TCAACATGACTGGCGGCTCAGCGGGGGGTGGGGTTAACAGTTTCCCCCCAGTTTCCACCGCATCCAGAACGGCAGCGATTTTCGCCGTCCACCAGATGCTTTTGTGAGGCGAATTTTGTGGTGGATTATGAACAGCAGGAACTCAAGAACCTGCAGATTCACATTCAATCGCGCGATAACAAGTTGTCTTTATAAAGACAGACACATAGACATATAAGAAGTAGATTGTGAATAGAAACAATCAACTGAGATCAGCAGATATGGCTTTTTATTCCCCGTTCCGGATGCGGTGAAAATTGGAGGTTAACGTGTCAATTTACACCGACTTCTTTCCGTTCCTCTGCGGATCGCCGGACTCCTCAGCTGATCACAAGAGTTCTATTTTTCCTGGACGCCGGAGCATGGCGGATAAATTCAGCACAGATTAACCCGTGCTGGAAAGGAAGTCGGGCACAGACACAAAATAAAACATCCGGCTTCTTTTCAAAATAAAACACTCCGTGTTTCAGGAGGATCGTATTTCACACCATGCAAACGGGCGGAGACGAACAAGTGAAAGGTTTTTAGACGTCATTTCACCCCGATGACACCATGGATGAGGAGATGCTGATTCTAGAAGTCTAGAAGTAGATTTCCTCCTCTGGAAGGACACAATCTACTGCTTATATGTCTATGTGTCTGTCTTTAGAGAGACAACCCGTTATCGCGCGATTGAACATGAATCTGTGGGTTCTTGTGAGTTCTCGTGATTCCCTCTGTCTGTAATCCACCACGAAATTCGCCTCACAAACGGATCCGGTAGGAATTGTTGGATGGAGAAAATCGCTGCCGTTCCGGATTGAAGCCGGTCCAGATGTGGTGAAAATTAGGGGGGACAGGTCTAGAACAGGTCTGCAGAAAACTGGACACTGGGTCTGAGGAGGTCAGCAGGTCTCTTCAGCAGGTCGTCCAGTTAGAGTCGGACTCTGTCTGTACGCCTCTCTAAGTCTGCAGGTTCTGAAGGATAAATATCACTTCATATGAAGGTGTGAGTGAGACGTTTCCAAAGACAGATCACAGAGTTAGAGGACTGACTCTGTCTGAACTCTCAGAGCTTCAGGAAAAACACATCAAGTCCTAGTTTTCATAATCCTGGTTCTGGTTTTTGTCGTAGTCCACCAGATCCAGTCTCATTTCCTCTGCTCACAGAGGGACCGCGGTCTGAGGTACGGAGGCCTCGCAGGGACAAATCAGACCTGAGGAGGGTCTGAGGTGGACCAACACTGTGACGGGTCAGATCACCCGCAGGGCTGTCTGACATCAGCGGCTCCGAGTGACGTGATTGGTCAAATGAGGAACAGCTTCCTGTCAGACTCCGACAGAGAGGCACGTCAGGTCCAATCAGGTTTAAACCCTGTGACTGAACCAGGACCAGGACCACAGACTCTGCCCGAGTCTGAACCAACCAGAGGTCCAAATCTCCCTCAAAGACCTGAAGTGACCCGGTTCAGGTCCCAGTCCAGGTCCAGGTCTGATCTGGCGTCATATCTCTGCATGTCTCTGGATTAAAACACAGTTTGTTCAGCTGCAGAGAGACGCTCTGAACTCAACGACACCCAGCAAGACGCCGGCGAGGGGGGGGAGGGGGAGGGGGAGGGGCTCAGCGAGGGGGGGAGGGGGGGCAGGAAAAGGCAAAGGGGGACAGAGAGGCCTGAAGATCAGAGTCTGACACCGTCCTTAAAACCCAGACCCACAGAACCACAGACCCTCTGTGACCCTCTTTGACCCTCTGTGACCTCTGTGACCCCGTCTCTCAGTGAAGACACCCATGAACCTGACCAATCAAACATCTTTAGAACAGTCTGGAGTGAAAAAATATCAAAGTAATGATAAAAACTGTCAAAGTGGTGTTTGATGAAAGAAGTCACAGAGTAATGTGTTCATATTAATAATGTGTTCATAATAATAGTGTGTTCATAATAATAATGTGTTAATAATAATAATGTGTTCATAATAATAGTGTGTTCATAATAATAATGTGTTCATAATAATAGTGTGTTAATAATAATATTGTGTTAATAATAATAATGTGTTCATAATAATAGTGTGTTAATAATAATAATAATGTGTTCATAATAATAGTGTGTTCATAATAATAATGTGTTCATAATAATAATGTGTTCATAATAATAGTGTGTTAATAATAATAATAATGTGTTAATAATAATAGTGTGTTCATAATAATAATGTTTTAATAATAATAATGTGTTCATAATAATAGTGTGTTAATAATAATAATGTGTTCATAATAATAATGTGTTCATAATAATAATGTGTTCATAATAATAATGTGTTAATAACATCACACTGTTGTTTGATAAAAACTGTTATAGTTTAGTATGAAAAATAAAAAATAAAATAAAAACAGTCCGGCGTCAGAGTCTGAATGTGTCTGGTTTCAGGTTTTTGCAGAGACCAGTTTCAGACGGATCAGGAGGTTTTCCTAAATACTCTCCAGGTGTCCCAGACCCACACCCGCTGACCCCCTTTTTCTGTCCCAGGTAGACCTCCTGATGGTGGTCTCCGTCAGCTGAAACCCTCTACAGACACAGAACCTCCCTCCGCCTGCTGCTGTGAGGACTCTGTGGTCTCTAAAGGTCACGGCCATGGGTGCTGGTCTGGACTTGTTGGTCTAAGTCTGCCCTGAATCAGGTGAGCTCACCTGAGAAACCTCAAACAGGTGAGCCTGCTGCAGCTCGCCCCCCGCCCACGCTCTCAGAGCCGCTGTGATTGGAGGCGATTAAGGGAATAAAAGCCGAGGCTGGGGGGGCGGGGCGGCGGGGGGGCGGGGGGGCGGCAGGTCGGAGCAGGTAGAGAAAAGAAACACCCCCCCCCCCCCGCAGAGAGAGATGAAAGTGCAAATTAACAGACAAAGAAGAAAAATTCTTGATGTTCAGGGAGGCGGAAAATCCACCAACAGAGAGGGACGGCTCTGAAACCTCCGAGGACCAGAACAGGACTGAGGACCTGAGAGAGGACCTCAACCAGGAAACCAGATCCTGTTCAGAGACACAAATAACCAGAGTCCAGTCTGAGTCCAGTCTAAGTCCAGTCCGAGTCCAGTCCGAGTCCAGTCTAAGTCCAGTCCGAGTCCAGTCTGAGTCCAGTCTGAGTCCAGTCCGAGTCCAGTCTAAGTCCAGTCTGAGTCCAGTCTGAGTCCAGTCTGAGTCCAGTCCGAGTCAGGTCCGAGTCCAGTCTGAGTCCAGTCTGAGTCCAGTCTGAACCGTCTCCACACCCAAACTCCGAGCGCCTTGTTGTTCCTGAGGATGATGCCGCTGCTGGCCTGTCATGTGACCTTCCTCTTACCTGATTGGCTGTTCTGCATCGCCTGCAGGGCCTGAGCCAGCTCCTTAAACCCGTCCAGGTTTTTATCGTTCTGACTGTACAGGAGGATCTTCTTCGCGTCCGAAAACAGGCGAGAGATTCTGAGGAGAGACGGAGACGCGAGCGTGAAACTTTTCACTCTCACACAGCACCTAACTTCAGGTCAGTCCATTACAGACTACAGCGGGGTGCCGCAGCTCAAGGAAGAACATTTATGATCATTTCTTCATGGAAATACAATCAGACCGAGACGCTAAGACAGAAGAACTACCGCGTCTGTAAAATGATCAATATGGTGATTATTACTTCAAGGAAATGATAAAGAAATGATCATAAATGTTCTTCCTTGAGCTGCGGCACTAACTAAACCTGAACACCTGTAATCAGCTGATCAGACTTTGAATTCAAATAAAAAAAAACCAAAAATGGTTTCCTGTAAAAACAGGAAATATCTCTTCAATAATACCTGAGCAATATTTCAAAATAAAAGCCACGAGGGTTTCAGAATAAGAGTCAGAGTTCTTACATGGAGTCGTTGAAGTTTCCCACGACACCCGGAGACTCGCCCGGCGTTGGACTACGGAAACACGGGTTGTTGGCGTTGCAAAGGATTCCCTGTATCCATGGCAACGTGCCCGCCGACGGCATCGCCTTGTTTGGAAAATGACCTAAAAAGGAAAAAACAGGAAGTGAGAAATCATATCGAACAGGGATGGGGACTCTTCAGACCTGACTCGCACACTGGGCGCAAAGACTCATGGGAAATGGAGTTAATGGTCAGAAACAGATCAGCCAGTTAAAAACGTGAGACCGGAACCATCAGAGATCCTCCTGCAGGTCTCTGCTTCAAACACACCCCTTCAAAGTGTGTGTGTGTGTGTGTGTGTGTGTGTGTGTGTGTGTGTGTGTGTGTGTGTGTGTGAGAACATGTGTGTGTGTGTGTGTGTGTGTGTGTGTGTGTGTGTGAGAACATGTGTGTGTGTGTGTGTGTGTGTGTGAACATGTGTGTGTTCTGCAGTGTCAGTCTGGATCTGATGAGATGTTCAGACGGCGTCTCTATCTGTTGGAGCCAACCTTCACCTGGATGCTCCACAAGCAGGTAGATAACCACCTGAGATCGCTTTATATCAACGGAGAGAGAGAGAGAGAGAGAGAGAGAGAGAGAGAGAGAGAGAGAGAGAGAGAGAGAGAGAGAGAGAGAGAGAGAGAGAGAGAGAGAGAGAGAGAGAGAGAGAGAGAGAGAGAGAGAGAGAGAGAGAGAGAGAGAGAGAGAGAGAGAGAGAGAGAGAGAGAGAGAGAAGCACCACGACCTTTAACCCCTAATCAGAGAGTGAAGACACTGCTATCAGAGAACCTTTAAGACTGCCAACAAACCTCTGTAATCCAAACACTGATAAGATAACACACACACACACACACACACACACACACACACACACACACACACACACACACACACACACACACACACACACACACTTTAATAATCTGACCTGTTTGATCAGGACAGTTATTGATCGTCAGAGTCACAGTGACATGTGATCACACCTTCACTCTTTCTGATCTTTGATTGATCGCCTCTGCTCTCAGTCCTCTCTGAGTATCTATAATTATTATTATTGATTATTGATTGATTCATGATTTAACTGGTTCTCCTTCTTTGACCTGCTGAAACATCTGAGAAACAGATCTCTAACTTTGAGGCTGAAGAATATTCAGAGATGATTTCTCACAGCTGATCAGAGTTGATTTGACTTCACGTCCTCACCGCTAAACTCTGAACTCTCTGAGTTTAAGCAGGATAATCTTATAAAAAATCAAACATGACAACATTTAACCTCTAATCAGAGGTGTGCAGCAGGACAATATTAGATCATTATTAAAGCCTCAGTGGGTGACGTTTTGGCTACATGAATTTCACACACAGGGCTCTGTTCTGCCTGCTCTTACATCAGCATTAACCACTTCATATGAAACACATGAGGGGATGTTTTGGGGCGGGGCAACCTGTGATTGACAAGCTGCTACCATGGTAACCAAACTATCACAGCTCAGATGTGACAAAGCCGATAGATCCGGTACAGTCCTGATCCAGGAACATCTACAGCGCCTCAAGACATGAGTCTTCAAACCCTTGGATGGCGTTACCATGGTTACTGTCATGGTAAATCTCACCAGAACAATAACAACAACAACAACAACAGGTGAGGACGACTGTTCATCAGAGACGATGTCACACACCAAGAACATGAGAACAGCCTGTGATAGAACAGGACCAGAATCAGAACCAGGATCAGAACTAGGACCAGAATCAGAGCCAGGATCAGAACCAGGACCAGAATCAGAGCCAGGATCAGGATCGGGATCAGGATCAGGACCAGAATCAGGACCAGGATCAGATGTCAGTGAACATGTTTCAGTTTTCCTTTCTGAGCTCAAGTCTGACGGAGGCGAGTTCAAACCTGCAGCTTAAAGACGGATCACGGAGACACGCCACGACACGCAGAGGTCACATGAGTGTGAATCACTGCTGCGCACACACGCACACACACACACACACACACACACACACACACACACACACACACACACTTGGAGCAGAAGTGAAAGCTTTCGCTGAAACAGGAGCAGCACCGTGTCAGAGATCATCAGCTCTGGGATGGATTAATCAGCCTGTGGTCACTTTAAATCAAACACCTGTAGACAGCAGGTGTCTCAGGTTAACTCTGACTCTTCTCACACACACACACACACACACACACACACACACACACACACACACGTGCTCTGATAAATCTGAAAATATTCTCTAATCCTGACGCCATTTTTTTCTCTGTTTCTATGGAAACGGTTTGAACGTCACGCACACATCAGTTTATTTTCACTGACTGCTGCACATGTGAAATAATCAAACTGCAGGACATTCAGTGTGAGTCATAAAAAGACGTCATGATGTCCCCACTTCCCCATCGTCCCTCCAGGATCAGTCCCCACTCACTCAGAGGGACGCTGACGGCTGTGACCCACAGACACCTGTGGAGCAGGTCCACTTCAGGACCGTGTCGCCCCATTTGTCTCAGTGCTGGTTAACTTTTCAGGCACACATAAGGACCAGACTAACTGGACCACCGACGATTACAGATGACAATATCTGATAGTGTTTTTGAAGTAACTGGAGCGAGTGTTTCCAGACAAGAGTAGACGGACGGACACTCGGCTCAGTGAAACATCTCCATGAGGAGGTGGAGGTTCTGCTCAGCTGTCTGAGATCATCTGAAAAATACAGCAGGTTACCTACTAAACTGTATTATTGTTTAGATCATTATTAATGTAACACTGAATTGACATGATTGATAATAATGTGTTTTTATCTGGAGAAGAAGCTGGTTTACCGTTTCCTTTTTTTAACCAAACTTCAGAACTTTAAAGCTCTTCAGACAGAGATGGGCCATAAAACCATTTATATCCAAAATTAATTTCCCTCAATATCAATATAAAACATGATCAATATCCTTTTCAATAGTCGTCATTCTGACATGTTTTGGTCGACTACACGAACAGCCAATGAAAAGGGGCGTGTCTCCGGGTCTGAACCAATCATGTTCTGAATTAGAACCAAGTATCAACCAACTGCAGCAAAGTCGTAGCAGACAGCAGCTCCACCCAACCATAGCACTTTAACAGGTGAAGCCGACAGCACTGTTGGTGAGAAACAAAGAAAATGAGTGCTACCCCCGACAGAAATGACCATGAAGGCTCAACAGATGACCACATCAATGTCAACCACAACACTGGCGTTAGGAAAACGTCGGTGGTGTGGAGGTATTTTGGTTTTTGGAGGTCGGACATGAAGCAGAGTAATGTGGACTGTAAATTATGTCGAGTACATGTTCTCACAAAGTCGGGGAATACCTCAAATCTTTTTCACCACCTGAAGCAGCGCCACGCCGCAGAGCACGCGCAACGCCAAAGGTTACATTCAGATGACCATTCAGTCGGCTTTCTCTAGAGCGACGCCTTACGACAAAACGCCAAAGAGACACAAAGACCTCACAGATGCAGGAGATTATTGTGTTGGAAAAGACATGAGACCAATAAACACTGTTACAGTTTTATATCCTGATATTGATCCATATCAGCTGATATGAAATCAATAATATATCATGATAAACTTTTTCCTATATCACCCAGCCGTATCCTCAGATATTCCGGTCCTCTGAATATGTAATCAATAAAACTATCAAGAGACAGTTGGAGTCTCCATCCCAGTTTATTCTGACTTGTTCCTTTTTGTTTTCATCAGCATTTTAAAAGTTACAGCTGAGAAAAACTTTTTTTTCTTTTAAATGAAAGTTTGTTTTGATTATTGTAAAACTAATTATCCTCTGACACGTTAACGACTGTCTGATTTAAAACCTCATCTGTCTGCAGACTCAGCGTCACTTCAGAGGGTCTGTGTGTGGGTCTGCAGCAGAGCGGTCATGATCGTAGATGTGCGATGATAAGCCTCCTGTCCTCACAGTGACGATGACCTCTGTTAACCTCTCCTCTCATTTCTTCTTCTTCTGTCTCTGCTTTAAGTCCAGCTCTGCTCTCATCCTGATCAGACGGCACAGTTCGAGTCAATCCATCAATAAATCAATAAACATCAGCGCAGCCCTCATGTAAATAAACACTTCAGTATCAACAGGCTAAAGGTTCAACCTCCATGAAAACACTCGGGAGCTGCATCAGCACTACGCCCCTCTTCTTCTTCTTCTTCTCTTGTTGATGGAGCAGAGAGGGTTTTACTTCGCCACAGCACCGCCCATCCTGGTCTGTCTGATCCTGAATCAGTCCCTGTGTTCGACTTTTCATCCTGATGCTCAGAGTGTTTCCACGGAAACGGGGAGGAGGAGGAGAGGAAGAGGAACCTGACAGCAGCTCACATCCATCCCTCAGAAACAGGACCGGTCTGTCCCAGCACAGGTGAGTCACAAACACCTGGACGTAGAAGTACTTCACCGATACTGCAGTGATACTGCAGTGATACTGTATAATATGTATATCAGTACTGCAGAGTTCAGCTGAAGTGTTAAAGCGTGTCTTTATGTAACCCATCAGAACGTTATCAACAGCGAACGCAGCTCAGTGACCTTCAGCAGGTGAGATTACAGCTCCTCAGGTGAGATTAAGAGTCATAAACACCTGAGGACATCAGTTCTGATCCATTATGATGATCAAGCCGATCAATCACTAATCAATACGCATCAATCAGGAAACAGAATCAACAACAACATCGCTCACCTACAAACAGCTCACCTTTACCTGTGATCACCTGAAAACACTCGCCAAGGACACACCTGTGGACCCGTTCAGACGAACTACAGGAGACACCTGAACAGGCTAACACAACAACACAACAACACCTGAACACAAGAACACCTAAACACAACAACACCTGAACACAACAACACCTGAACACAACAACACGACAACACCTGAACACACAAACACCTGAACACAACAACACGACAACACCTGAACACAACAACACATATACTAACAAACACCTGAACAGGCTAACACAACAACACCTGAACACAACAACACCTGAACACGACAACACCTGAACACAACAACACCTGAACACAACAACACCTGAACACAACAACACCTGAACACACCTGTGGACCCGTTCATGAGAGAGACCTCAATGTGAAAGTGACGAACTACAGGAGACACCTGAACAGGCTAACACAACAACACAACAACAAAACAACACAACAACACCTGAACAGGCTAACACACCAACACCTGAACACAACAACACATATACTAACAAACACCTGAACAGGCTAACACAACAACACAACAACACAACAACACAACAACACAACAACACCTGAACACAACAACACAACAACACAACAACACAACAACACATATACTAACAAACACCTGAACAGGCTAACACAAGAACACGACAACACAACAACACCTGAACACAACAACACCTGAACACAACAACACAACAACACCTGAACAGGCTAACACAACAACACGACAACACCTGAACACAACAACACATATACTAACAAACACCTGAACAGGCTAACACAACAACACAACAACACAACAACACCTGAACACAACAACACATATACTAACAAACACCTGAACAGGCTAACACAAGAACACGACAACACAACAACACCTGAACACAACAACACAACAACACCTGAACAGGCTAACACAACAACACGACAACACCTGAACACAACAACACATATACTAACAAACACCTGAACAGGCTAACACAACAACACAACAACACAACAACACCTGAACACCTGAACACAACAACACAACAACACATATACTAACAAACACCTGAACAGGCTAACACAAGAACACGACAACACAACAACACCTGAACACAACAACACCTGAACACAACAACACAACAACACCTGAACAGGCTAACACAACAACACGACAACACCTGAACACAACAACACCTGAACACAACAACACAACAACACCTAAACACACCAACACCTGAACACACCAACACCTGAACACAACAACACCTGAACACAACAACACAACAACACTTGAACACAACAACACTTGAACACAACAACACAACAACACTTGAACACAACAACACTTGAACACAACAACACCTGAACACACCAACACCTGAACACACCAACACCTAAACACAACAACACCTGAACACAACAACACCTAAACACAACAACACCTAAACACAACAACACCTGAACACACAAACACCTGAACAGGCTAACACAACAACACAACAACACCTGAACACAACAACACCTGAACACACCTGAACACACAAACACTAACACATTAACACCTGAACACAACAACACATATACTAACAAACACCTGAACACATTGACACATAAAGACACACACACCTAACCACACACCAACACCTGAACACACAAACACCTGAACACATTGACACATAAAGACACACACACCGAACCACACACCAACACCTGAACACACCAACACTAACACATTAACACCATATTTTAGTTTGGATTGTAATTTTTGTTCCACATGAAAATGAAAACAGGAGGAGAGAGGAGGAAAAAGGAGTGTGTGTGTGTGTGTGTGTGTGTGAGTGTGTGTGTGTGTGTGTGTGTGTGTGTGTGTGTGTGTGTCTGAAAAGCAGAGGGACAGATGAACACGACTAAAGAGAGGCTGTAGCGTTCAGGAGCTTAGTGAGCTAACAGCTGTTGATCAGCTGTTCTGACTCACTTACCTGGAGGTTACCTGGATAAGGGGGGGTCTGTCTTGATGCCGGTGTTTCGGTGAAATTTGTTACCATGTCAACCACTGACTTTGAGCTCAAAGCGTCTCTTCTAAATCCAGTTCTTTATCAAAGACGTGTCTGACGAGTGTATTTTGACACGACAGTTTAAAAAAAGATGGACTCTCTCAGTGTTTCAACAGCTGTTGTTACCATGACAACCACTGGCACTGTCAGCTTAAGGTCACCAGATCACAGGGTAACTCTTTCAACTGAAACACCGACAGCACACTCAGACGTCTTGGACTTACACTCATGCTGCTCGTACGGAGGATAGTTCAGTCTGACGGCGATGAGGATGAAGAAGATGAAGAGCGGCCACACGATCTCCAACAGCAGCTGAAGCTGAGAGAGAGAGAGAGAGAGAGAGTAACACACACATTAACACTACACACACTACAGCTACACACACATTAATAATATACACACACACTCACTGTTAATGTGTGTGAAACAGGAAGCAGCTTCTTCTCTTTATTCTTAGAAGTCATTCATAATAAATGAGGAGAGATGGATCGATACACTCCGATCACTACGACACACACACACACACACACACTCACACACACACACACACACACACACACACACTCCCGTCTGAATGATTCTCAGGTTTCAGATTTAAACTGCTCTGTTGTTTCTCTCTCAGGTTTTCTCTCTTTGTGTTTATATCAGTTTCGATCAGACTCTGAACTCTGTTAACAGACCGACCGGAACCTAAAGGCCAAATCTCAGTCACTCAGTCCCAGAACAGTTCGATGAGTCAGAAACAAACTGATCAAATCAACCTTGACTGTGTTGAAGTGAAGGAATAAAACGCTCAGTGTCTTACTGTCTGTCGGCGCCGGTAGGTCAGGTTCTTCCACAGCAGCAGGCCCAGCTGTGTGCTCACAGACATGTCTGACGTCCGCTCAGCTCCACGTCTGAATGATGCTCACCGCTCGCTCTGCGTACAACACACACACACACACACACACACACACACACAGAGTCAGCGTCAGCCAGCACACAGCTCAAAGGTGCCAGGGTCAAAGGTCAGAGCAGATATTCTCCTCACAGAGAGGAGGGGCAGGCAGATACTGAAGCTGCTGAGCCCGCACACATTTATCTACACACTCTACTACACACTTTATCTACACACTTATATCTACACACTTATATCTACACACTTATATCTACACACTTATATCTACACACTTGTATCTCCACACAGATCTGCTGTACGTGCAGAGTGCGTCATAAAAACAGTCGGCATAGAAAATAACGTTTGTGTTTTTGTGAAGCTCCAGAGTCCAGCAGCACCACATCAGAACCGGACCCCATGCTGAACCCGTCCTGGTCACCAAACAGCTGTTTTAATGTAAATACTGTCAAAGTTCAGCTCAGTTCACTTCCCTCCTTTTGTCTGAAATCTCATTTTTACATTTAGAGTCGAATTCTCGTCTTAAAGCTCCAGTTGGGAACTTTTGTTTTTGTTAAATAAATAAATCTGCTCTCGCTGACTTTGACGGTCAAATGGATCTTTGTGATAAAAATATAAAATATATATAAATATCATTTATTTATATATAAAAGTTAAAAACATTAAAGACGGTCTTTTTCTGCAGCTGACAGGAGCTTTAAAGGTGTTTTTTTTTTTTTAATCCAGGTGACCTGAAGCACACCTGAACAGATTCATGTCGAGTGTTTGATCTGGGGGGGGGGTCTGGGTGCTCCTTCAGACATGCGAATGCCCCCCCCCCCCCCCCCCCTTACAGTCATTTACAGGCTGTTTGAAGACAGACAGAGCCGCAGCTCGTCGTCCCTCACAGGAAATGCTCCAGATAATGACCGCAGGGGGGAGGGGCTTTAACACACACACACACACACTCACACACACACACACACACACACACACACACTCCCGTCTGAATGATTCTCAGGTTTCAGATTTAAACTGCTCTGTTGTTTCTCTCTCAGGTTTTCTCTCTTTGTGTTTATATCAGTTTCGATCAGACTCTGAACTCTGTTAACAGACCGACCGGAACCTAAAGGCCAAATCTCAGTCACTCAGTCCCAGAACAGTTCGATGAGTCAGAAACAAACTGATCAAATCAACCTTGACTGTGTTTAAGTGAAGGAATAAAACGCTCAGTGTCTTACTGTCTGTCGGCGCCGGTAGGTCAGGTTCTTCCACAGCAGCAGGCCCAGCTGTGTGCTCACAGACATGTCTGACGTCCGCTCAGCTCCACGTCTGAATGATGCTCACCGCTCGCTCTGCGTACAACACACACACACACACACACACACACACACACACACACACAGAGTCAGCGTCAGCCAGCACACAGCTCAAAGGTGCCAGGGTCAAAGGTCAGAGCAGATATTCTCCTCACAGAGAGGAGGGGCAGGCAGATACTGAAGCTGCTGAGCCCGCACACATTTATCTACACACTCTACTACACACTTTATCTACACACTTATATCTACACACTTATATCTACACACTTATATCTACACACTTATATCTACACACTTGTATCTCCACACAGATCTGCTGTACGTGCAGAGTGCGTCATAAAAACAGTCGGTATAGAAAATAACGTTTGTGTTTTTGTGAAGCTCCAAAAGTCCAGCAGCACCACATCAGAACCGGACCCCATCCTGAACCCGTCCTGGTCACCAAACAGCTGTTTTAATGTAAATACTGTCAAAGTTCAGCTCAGTTCACTTCCCTCCTTTTGTCTGAAATCTCATTTTTACATTTAGAGTCGAATTCTCGTCTTAAAGCTCCAGTTGGGAACTTTTGTTTTTGTTAAATAAATAAATCTGCTCTCGCTGACTTTGACGGTCAAATGGATCTTTGTGATAAAAATATAAAATATATATAAATATCATTTATTTATATATAAAAGTTAAAAACATTAAAGACGGTCTTTTTCTTCAGCTGACAGGAGCTTTAAAGGTGTTTTTTTTTAATCCAGGTGAACTGAAGCACACCTGAACAGATTCATGTCGAGTGTTTGATCTGGGGGGGGGGTCTGAGTGCTCCTTCAGACATGCTAATGCCCCCCCCCCCACAGTCATTTACAGGCTGTTTGAAGACAGACAGAGCCGCAGCTCGTCGTCCCTCACAGGAAATGCTCCAGATAATGACCGCAGGGGGGAGGGGCTTTAACACACACACACTCAGTCTTGTCCTTGAACTGTGTGTCGGAGATGAAGATGATGAGATCAGCTGTTTGATCAGTATCAATCAGAGCGATCAGCACACACTGATCTAACCTCTCTCAGTCGTCCAATCACAGCGTCTCTCTCAGCGTCTCTCGTGTTTTATTATCGGTCATTTCTGTTTGAATAAAACTCGACATTGTTCATGAAAACTCAGATTTAAAGCTGTTTCTGTTTAACCTCTGACCTTTTCTGATGTTAGCTGCTTCAGGTCAAAGGTCTAAACTTAAACTCATTATTAAAGTGGACTCAGAAGTTTCAGACGTTTAAGTGAACAAACATTTTAAAAAACTTGATCATTGTGATCGTTAATCAGTCTCTTTTCCTCCTTAATGTTTCTGTATGAAGTTTTAAACTGAGTTAAATCAGTGTTAAATTAAACTGGAGTAAAGAAAGTCTAAATGAGTTTAACTCTTTATCAAAAGATTTTATTTCGACCTTGTAAAATTTTGCAGTTGTGATTTTTTGTCTCCTTATTTTCATGTTGTGTCCCTTTTCTTGTATTTTCTTGGTTTTATTGATTTGAAGTAAAAATCTTCTTTGTGTTAACTTGCCTCTCCAATGTCATTTAAACTCGTTTAATAAAAAAAACAGAAAAACTCGACAGTAAATAAAGAACAAAACAGGAGTCTCAGCTTTCAGTTACCAGAATAAAAGAGCATTGTCGTCTTTGTTCTCACTGATTCCTCAGTGTTTAATGTTATTAATATAAAAGTCTTCAAGTATTCAAATAAATCATAATAAGAGTTAAAAGTTTGAGAAACCTGATCAGTTTTATTTAAAGGTAAAACGTCGTTTTTCGTGTTTCTGATGAAGGTTTTAAACTCTAATTCGGACCCTTTTTAGGCTCTTTAATTAAAACTCTTATTCCAGATTAAAACTGTGAGTTTAAATCCTCAGACTGATCAATAAAAATCTCTTTTAACAAGTTTTAAAGTCTTTGTCTTTGGGTGGACACGGGGCTGTAAACTTCTGTATCTAACAGCGCCCCAGCGGTCAACACACAAACTGCAGCTCCCGTTAAATGAACCTGAAAAACTCCTAAACTTTTCCTCTTTTCTTCACCGTTTTTTTCCGTTAACCTTCACCGACACAAACACGGACAGACTCAGATCTTCTCCTCGGTGTGTTTCTGTTTGTGTTTCTGTCCTTCAGCAGCATCTTTGACTCTTATTTCATCTCCTCTTCTTCACTAAAACTCCCAAAACTCTGACCGTCAATCTTCTTCAGAGCGGTTCGCTTCACTCTCAGACCCTCTCATGTTTCACTAAAACAGACCGTCTACAGTCAAACCTCTGAGTTTATCTGTCATTAAAGCTGCTGTTTCCGCTCAAACTCACCTGAAAATCTGATTTAACACCTGAGGCGGCGGCTCTCTTTGAAGATGAGCGACCGGATTAATAAAGTTGAAAAAGGTTCAAAAAGTCTGAAAAAGTTCCGGTAAAGAGGATTAACGTTCACCTACCGGTGTCTGGACAGAGTGTCCTGCTCCTCCAGCTCCTCTCGGCAGCATCTATCCCGCAAAGAGCTGCAGCCCAGGGACAAAACTCACCGCAGTCAATCCGCAACAATCACCCGCACACTGCTTCCGGTCCGGGACTTCAAAATAAAACTGACTTCAAACACATTCACTCAATCAGGATCAGAAATACTTTAATAATCCACAGGGGGAAATTGCTTTGTCACAGTTCTACCGTGCAAATACAGTAAAAGAGGACATGAATAAGAGATAAAATAAGTAAAAAAATGGTAAACAAGTATTTACACTATAAACAAGACAAATAGTAAAATCGAATTTAAGGTCTCTTTACTTTAAAGTCATTTGTAATTGTAATTTTTTTTGATGGTTTATATTTTTCCCCACAGCCTGAAGTCAATCGTTTTTTTAATGTTTTTTTTTTTTAATTTAAAGAAAAAAAAGGCAGAATTAAAGTCATTGTGGAGTGATTTACCTCTCCACATTAGACAAGCTCCCTCACTGTCCATCTTTAAAACTGTCTAAAAACCCATTTTTATTCCCTCTGACCCAGCATGAGACGACGATTTGTTGTTTTGTTTTTTTACCTTATGACTCAGTGTTTTAGCATTTATTCTCTCTAGTTTTAATAACAGGATCGTCTTTTATTGAGCTGTTTTGGTGCTCTTACTTTAGTTTCTTTTATTGTTTTTATTTCATTTTATTTATTATTTCTTAAATTTCATTCAGTTTCTTTATTTTTAGATTTTAAACCTCCAGTGTTTCTTTATCTTGAGTTCAAATGACGTTTCCTCAGTGCTCACACTCCTGTTTATATAAAATCAAGTCCTTTTTAAGTTCATGTGTTTTAATTCTGTTTCTGTTTAGATGGTGGGAATGAAGGGTTGGGCTGGGGTAGATTTGGGTTTTCTTTGTTTCTTTTTTTCCTTTTTCTGTGTAAAACACTTTGTGCAGCATTGTTGTGTTTGAAAAGTGTGATATAAATAAAGACTGATTGATTGATTGATATTGCTTTTTTCACTATTTCTAGTTGTTTTATGTTTTTATGTATAGCACTTTGTGTCAGCTTTGGTTGTATTTAAAGAATAGAATATTCCTTTATTGATCCCCACGGGGAATTTTTTTTTTTGCCACAGCAGCATCACAGACAAAGAGTGCAAAAATGCAGTTATAAAAATAAAGATCGTAATATTAAGAACTTAAATAAATGTAATAATTAAGAAAAAAATTAGAAAAGGGAGAAGAAAAATAAAACTACCTACAATATACACAATTTAAGTATCAGAGAAAAGTGGTGGTGTGAGTCCAGTTTTATTACAGTTCATTGTAAAGTCTTATTGCAGAGAGGAGGAATGGTGCTCTATAAATAAAGTGAAGTTGAGTTGAGTCGTGTTATCCATTGTGTGTAATCATCTGGTCTTTCAGCAGCACTTCTCTGTCAGCTGTTGTTGTTATAGAGTTTTGTTTACAGGATGTTTACTGTCTAATTTTTCTATCCATGTTTGTTATTGATAAAAAAACTTTAGGGTTAGAGGAAAATATATCACTCTGTCTTACAGATGACAATTCAGGCTGTTTTTAAAACAAAAAAAGACAATTCATAAATAAAAAGACTGTAAAGAATTAAATATTTTAGTCTTTTCTCACCGCCTGTTCATCAGCTGATGAGGCTCTTATTTTGTAAACGGTCCGTGTTTCCGGCCTCACTTAGCGGAAGTGGACACAGCTGGTGGACAGCGAGGTTACTATCGGTCACGAAGTTTGACTTCTTGACAAAAACAAAATATCTGAAAGTTTCCTTCACTTTGAAACTGAAGGTTTAATCTTTTTAAAGTCATTTTAAGGGTTTAAAGTTTTTCTTTTTTAGAGTCTGATTATTCTGATCATCTCTGTCTCCTTCAGATCCTGATCAGGTCTTTGTTCACTCTAACATCAAATAGACACTTCTTTTGTGAAAACATGAAGTCTTTAAGTCACTGGTGTTTGATTGTTCTCTGACGGTTCAGCTCGTTTTACTTTCAGTTTCTTTATGAAGTCATGATGAAAGTTTATGAATTATGAGGTTTTTTTCCTCCTTTTTTTTCTTTTTCTGTGTGTGTGTGTGTGTGTGTGTGTGTGTGTGTGTGTGTGTGTGTGAGAGAGAGAGAGAGAAACAGAGCAGCTGAGTGCAGGAGGTTTTCAGCAGCTGTGTTTAACTGACATCTAGTGGTCACATACAGAGGTCTACAACATAATCAGAATCTTACAGGACCAGGACTCAGATCAGAACCAGAACCAGAATCAGAACCAGAACCAGAGACACTTAATAGGAGATCAATAATAGATCAAATAAAATACAAGTATGTACACGATAAACAACACAAAATAGTAAAATAATCTGCATATAAACCGTGAGCAGAGTCCAGCAGGTAAAGACGACTGACTGAGGGAGGAGTTAAAAAGTTAAAGATCTCCTGTGGTGCTCCGTGGTTCATCGTGGAGCAAGGATCCTTCTGCTGAAGGTTCTCCTCTCTCTGGAGGACCAGTTCGCTGTGGAGCGGGTGGGTGGGAGTGTCCCTGCTGACAGTTTAAAGTCAGACGGCTCTGACTTCTCTCAAAGTATTTCATAAAGCTGCATTATAAGGACAACTGGTTGTCTTTTCCATGCGGTGACTCCCACTCCAGAGTCCTGTCTGTTTTTAAAGCCCTGAAGATCAGGACCATCCAGTCCTGGTTTTGGTTCTTGTACCTTTAGTCCAGAGATTTCTTCAGATCCTCTAAATCAGTGTGGGACCCACACGTTCCCACGGTCCTTCAGTCCTGACCCACTTTTATGAAATTCAAACCAAGAAAATTCAAATAAAGACTCAATTCTTTGACATAAATACACAGTTTTTATTGAGTAAAGTGTATTTCAGAGCACATGAACTGAAGACGACAACTACTGAAGTTACAAATACAGAAAATATCAAATTAAACAAAATAGAGACCATTTTGTATCTCTGCATTCAGAGCATATTCAGAGGAACCTGAGGAGGACAAAAGTGGATAAATATCAAATTAAACAAAATAAAGACCGTAAAAAAACATGTTATTTTGCTGCTCCGACATGGTGCGCGCTGCTGTGGCCATTTTGGGTCAGTAGCATGCCCGTAGGATGCACCGCGACCATCCTACAATGTGGGCATGTCTAGTATCTGAAGTAGTATCTGAAGTAGCATGCTACTTGCTCCGGTGGCCAATTCAGACATGCTAGATACTACTTCGGCTACTACTTGGCAATTCGGACGCAGCAAGAGTGCCAACTGCTGCACGCGTTGGAAACTTGGGCTCCACGCCATCCCTCACCAGCAAGTTTTGTGGTTCCGATCGCCTTTAATCATGTCAAACATCCAATGCGCATTAAATATTTACTTTTTCGACCAGCTGTTAGCGACCCATCCAGAACGTGTCCGCGACCCACTTTTAGGTTGGGACCCACCAGTTGAGAACCACTGCTCTAAATGATCTTTGAATGGTTTGATGGAGACGATGAACTTTATTCTGAAACTGTTGAACTGTTCGCTCACACAGTCACATATTTGTTTTGGCAAATCTCTCCATAATGTCAACTCCTCTGAAATCTGACTCACTGTTCAGGACAACATCCAGTGTAACCTTCATCAGACTCCAGCAGGACGGACTGAATCCTCCACAGAGGGGCGCCACAGAGCTGCAGGAGGCAGGAACACTGCGGAGGGTGAATAAAAATACTTCACTTCAAGGTGAGAACAGCTGGAGGTGAATTAAAGGTAGATATGACTCTGTGACCCCATCACAGCTCCTTCATTTAAAAGTGTGATCATGTTTCCTGTATTTATAGAGAACAACATGAAGTGACTCAAGAGTAAATCTGATTGTAATGAAGCTGAAATCTGAACTTTAAAGCTTCACTAAACAGTCAAAGTGTTTCATTGATCTGCAGACAAATGATCAATAATCACATCTGCTTTCATTCACACTTTCAGGAGTGTCAAATTAAATAAAAAGTGTGAATCTTACAAAAACAAAACAAACTGGACCATCACTAAAAACACAATTTTTTAAATTATCATACATTTGATTTAATGTACAGTAAAGAATTCATTTTAAGCTTTTAATATTTGTTTTTAAAAGCCTGGTCCCAAATACAAGGCTGAAGCTCAGAGGGGACAGAGCGTTTGCTGCTGCTGCCCCGAAGCTCTGGAATGAGTTGCCCTTGAATATCAGACAGGCCTCCTCATTTCCTGTTTTTAAATCCCTTTTAAAAACACACTTTTACTCCTTGGCTTTTGATACTTTTTAGTGTTATTTTGTTTTTTATCATTTTAGCACCTGCCGTGAGCCTGCTTATTTATTTACTTATTTATCCCCTTGCATTAATGTATTTCTGCTCGCTTTATCTTGCTCTTTGTGTTATTTGTTTTTATGTATCATTGTACGGCACTTTGGCTACCCTTGTGGTTATTTTAAATGTGCTATAGAAATAAAGTTGATTGATTGATTGATTAATTTCACTGAAAATCTGAACTCCATAAGAAAGACTGTAAGACTAGAAATCTCTCTCTCTCTGTCTCTCTCTCTCTCTCACACACACACACACACACACACACACACACACACACACACACACACACACACACACACACACAGTGTTCAGCCTGGTACAACAGTAAACAATGAGACAAAAGCTCTCTGTCCTCTGCAGGCTGATCAGACCCACATCGTTCCTGTCCTCAGTCTGACTGCAACACCAGGACCCTCCAGGACCCTCCAGGACCCTCCAGGATCCTCCAGGACCATGGACCCGAAGCGTCTGTCCTCTGCGTCTCAGCAGCAGGTGAAGCTCAGGATAAAGGTGAGATAATCTATACTTTTCATTTATCTGACCGCTTCAGAGGCTCTGTGATCAAGTTTTAAAGAAGTAAATAAAAGTAGGAACATTAACATCGTAACACTCCTGGAGTTTATTCACATTTATAAGTTATTATTGATAAACTAAAATGTGACAGTGACAGTCAGGGAACTTTAGTACAGCTGTGTGTAAATACAGTGAACTGAGTCATAGTAGAAGTAGGTTAGTCGGCCTACAGTCAGTGCTGTAGTGTTATACAGCTGCTCAGTAGGGGAGACCAGAGCTTGTTGTCACATTGCAATTATCTTCTCCACCAGAGGGCGCAACTAAAAAGTGGAATACTAGTTTTCTTCCTTTCCATGGTCAGGGGTCGTGTCCTGTCTGAGAAGAGACAATTGTGAGCTGAGATGAGCGTCAATTAACTATTTTACACAACCCGAAGTAAAAAAATTATAACTTTATATATTTTAAAATAATCTTCTTCCAGATAAAAATCCTCGCAGTGAAACATGTGGACTTGTTAGAGGAGAGATTAAGACATCCTGTCATACGTCAGTCATTCAACTAGAGCTGGAATTAGCAAACATGGTAATTTGGAGCGACATGTCTCAGTCATTCTGGGGTTAGTTTTCACATGTTTAAAAGGGATTAAAATTAACACAGAGAGTCTGTTTATCAGCAGTTTTCATCCAGAAACTTTGACTTTATTTTACAGAGAACAGAGTGGTTTAAAGGAGAGGAGAAAGAGAGAAAGAAAAACTGAACATGTCAGTGCAGTTCCTGACGTGATGCTGAGGACAGTCAGACAGGTGACCCTCGATAATAAATCAATCTGGAGGACAATAAAGGACTTTAATGTCGACTACCTTAGCTCTGTAAAACATTCACCCCAGCTGAAACAGAGTCAGACAGATCTCCAAACTCCAGAGCAGGTTGATAATATTTTATATTAACGTTTGTTTAATGACTTTTTCTTTAACTCAATGATAAACATTTTCTCTGTCTGACTTTAATGTTCACTTTACTGTAAAAAAATGAGAACAACAATAATTTTGTTTTATAAGTTGTCAAATCCACTGTGACATCTTACCCCATATAGTGAGACAACATGTCACATGATCACACTCTCTATTTATGGTAATGATAACTTTATTTTATCTTTATAGCACTTTTAAAAACAGAGGTTTACAAAGTGCTTTGACAAACAGTCATAAAGCATCAGCGCATGAAAATAACAACAAATTAAAAAAAAAAACCCTCAGAATTAAAGACCAATTAAATTTTTCATAAGGAACCCAGACAATACAAGAACCCTACAACATAAAATGAGACCATGAGGACCAAAATAAAACCATAAAATGGGAAAGAAAAGCAGGAAACAGGATAGTAAATATGAAAAGAGAATATTGGTTTATTTATATTTATATTTATATATATGATTGATTGATTACAAGAAATATATTAAAGTGTAAAAAGTGTGACAACAGGCCCCGGTCTCCCCTATAAGGTTACTGGGAATGTTTTGTTGAACTGGGAGCATCATTGAAATATTGTAAGCAGAGGAAACAGCGCCACTCTGTCATTAGACTCCACTCAGCGGTCATGCGGGGTACTACACCCGCTGCTCCGCTGTTATTCAGCGCCTCTACGAGTCCGGCACGAGCCCTAATTGCGCACGCGCAATGAGATGAATGGCCGCTGCACCTGACGGGCCACCAGGAAGTGTGGCGGACAAATCCTCGGCCGTTAATCCGCGCTCGGCACCGACAATAGCATGAACAGCGGGCCGGAGCGCTCAGAGTGACCGTCAGCACCGTCTCTGCTCCGGGCTCAGCCTCCGGGATCCGCCGCTGGGAGCGCGCTGAGTGCATGAGGCAGAGCGAGCGGGGCTGTCCGTGTCCTCCCCCCCGCCTGCCGGGCTCCAGACCCCGCTGCTGCCGAGCTGAAGCTCCGTGAAGCTCCGTGAGGTCCGGGCTCGTTCACCCTGACTGCAATGGGATGCTGCGGAAGCACGGAGGTAAGAACGACACGGTTCGGACCGGCCCGGTACCGTCCTCCCTCCGTTGCCCTTCAGCTCATCCCCGGTGTGTGTTTGTTCTGCCGCCGCCGGGACCGGGAGCCCGTCCCGGGGAGCGGAGAGGGCCGAGCCGGGATTAGAGCCAGCGGCTGTAATCCAATTAGCTGTTCCCGGGTTACCGGGGCCTGCTAACGGGACCGGGGCCAGATGGGTTACCGGGCCTGGTACCTGGACCACAGCCCGCCGCTCCGGGTCCGAATAATCTGATTAAAGATGTGGGGGGGAAACCGGGCCGGACCGGGATGATGGGCCGGGCCCGGGTTGAGGGTGGACCGTACGGCTCTGCTCCCGGTCTGACCGTGTGTGTGTGTGTGTGTGTGTGTGTGTGTGTGTGTGTGTGTGTGTGTATGTGTGTGTGTGTGTGTTTCAGAGGACAAAGAGAGAATGGAGACCGCTGGAGGACCGGAGCTGCACAGACCTGCCCTGGTTCCTGCTCTTCACCGTCTTCTGCGTCGGCATGGTAACCAACACCGAGCCTCGCGCTCTCACACACCTGACATATTTATATATAATGATAATAATCCGGTAAATTACCGGGACATCTCCGTCACATCACTTTGTTTACATAACCGGAGAAAAAAAACGGATCCAGAACCGATCCTGATCCGGTTCGGATGATCCATTAGGACCAATAACAGTCAGAGCGCGAGCCCCGTTATTTTGGCACTTCCTGTTTAACATCACAGCTGATTGTGAGGTGATCATGATCAGGAGGATAATCAATCAGGTCCTGAAATCATTGATTATTTGAGGCTTTAGCTGCAGCTGCTGTGTGAAGACAGAGTGAAGCTGCTGTCTGACGGACTCTTCAGTGTTATCACCGTGAGAAGATTCATCTGTGGAGCTTCACCTGCTGATGGAGAAGAAGAACGGAGGAGGCGTGGGCAGGTGACCTTCACAGAGGCGTCATAGTAAACCTGAACTGAACAGCAGTGAAGATGTAATCACTGTAATTAACTCATGAACCTGACATCAGAGTCAACATGAGAGAATAAGGCGACGCTAGAGAGAACGTCTGATGTGGACATTATCGTAAAAAGATGGACGTCAGCACAGGAGTGGACTTAAAGGGATATTCCGACATGAAATTAATTTAGGGTCAAACCCACCGTAACACCGAGTTAGACCCCCCCTCCAGAGATGAATGTTGTCGACCGCTTGCTTCTCTAGTTATACCAACTTTAGTAACGACCGCAGGATAGAAATACAGAGAGCCACGCCCCCAACCAAAACGCCACTCTATAGCCACAAATAATGCTCAGAACAGCACCTAACTTCATCAACAGGACATACAGACCTCAGGCTAGTCCATTACGGCTCAAGGAAGAACATTTATGATCATTTCTTCATGGAAATACAATCAGACTGAGACGCTAAGACAGAAGAACTACCGCGTCTGAAAAACGATCAATATGATGATTATTACTTCAAGGAAATGATGAAGAAATGATCATAAATGTTCTTCCTTGAGCTGCGGCACCCCGCTGTAGTCCGTAATGGACTGGCCTGAGGTATCGCTAGAGTCCGATAAGTCAGCTGCTAAACAGGTGAACATGAAAGTGAAGATGTGGACATGAAAACAAAAATAAACAAAACTGAAAATCTTATAAAACACTCTGGAAAAGTGGACTTCACCATCCTGAACTTCAGACATGATCAGATCCAAAAACTGACACCTTATTATAGATAAAGACTTTATAAAGCAGACGTGTACGTCATGATGAAGGAGCGGACAGTGAGGAAGAGTACAGTATGTCATAGTGAGCGTGTGGACATTCATGTGAACAGATGAAGATCTTATAAAACACATCGTCACCCTATTAAAATAATGGCCTGAGACATTTTTTGATGAAAATGAGTTTTTGGCCTCAATCATCTAAACTCATTTTCTTTAAAAAAGACTTAGACCATTATTTTAATAGGCTGATGACCGGGAGATGTTTGGATGGGTGAGCAGAAGTCAACAGTGGACATGGACTCTAAAGAGGAAGTATTCTGAACACATGGAGATCTGAGTGAACATGAGGACTTCCTCCTAAACTTCTGGACATCCAAGAAAATGTGTGGATTGAAGTAAGCGTGGGCTTTCATTGGACTGTGGGACATCCTGGTGAACATGAAGAGATCTTTGTGAACATGAGGGCTTCAGACTTTCTCATGAACTACATCCTATGACACGTGAACATCTAAGTGAGCGTGGGCTAACAGTGAACTCTTGGACCTCCTGGAGTGAACATGTGAAGACCTCGATTCTCTCTGAAGACTCAGTGACCGTGGTGGACATGCAGAAACAAAAGACAATCTGGTAAACACATAAAATGGTAAAAGGAAACAGCGGTGATCGTTGTGAACGTGTGTAGGTCATAGTGAAAAAAGGATTAATTAAAAATAAACATTTAAACTTTTAAGTTCACGTGGACATCCAGGTGAAAAGAGTAAAATATCTTCAGACGTATGAGGACATCACCATGAATGAAGCTCATCTGAGTGAACGTTAATTATGAATAAACCAAAGTGAAGCTGATTCAGCTCCTCACAGTTTATTTCAAATATCTCTCTAATTTTTGTATTTCCTGTATTTATATATCATTCTACATTTATATTTGGTCAGAGCTTAAACTGGACCGTGATCCTGTCCTCACTCTCTATCTGTTTTTTTTTTTTTTTTTTCAGGGCAGTATCTGCGGATTCACCATCGCCACCGGCGGCGCCGCGCGCCTCGTTTACGGCTATGACAGCTACGGCAACACATGTGGTCAACGCAACGAGCAGATTGAAGGCGTCCGGCTCAGCGGGCTGGACCACACCGACAGGAAGTGAGTCTGAGAACCCTGCCTTTACTGTTTTCATAATAACACACGTTACTGTCGCAGTTTTGGTTTGACTCAGCGGAGTTTGTTGTTCTGAACAGTTTTTATTTAGGGCCTCACCTCCCTCCAGGTTTTTCTTCTACTAAGTATCCTCTAACACCGTGTCCCAAAAACAGACTTTAGGGCTGATTTTAAGACGTGGATTTTATGACTGAGGTCAAAACATGAAGTGGCATCAAGCTCAGAGTTTGTTGGTTTGGGGCCTTTTCCTCTGGAGCTGTAGTGAATTCATGTGTTTTAATCTGACTGTTGAGATCAGATCAGCTCTTAAAATAAACAATAACAGTGTTATTAATGAGATAATGTTGTTATAGTTTAGTTCAGGGTTAGTTTATTACACTGTTATTAATCATGTGTTACTGTCATTGTAACAGTTAGGTTATAACAGTGTTATTAATGATGTAATGTTGTTGTTATAGTCAAAGTTAGGGTTAATTACAGTGTTATTAATCATGTGTTACTGTCATTGTAACAGTTAGGTTATAACACTGTTATTAATGATGCAGTGTTGTTATAGTTTAGTTCAGGGTTAGTTTATTACACTGTTATTAATCATGTGTTACTGTCATTGTAACAGTTAGGTTATAACAGTGTTATTAATGATGTAATGTTGTTATAGTTTAATTCAGGGTTAGTTTATTACACTGTTATTAATCATGTGTTACTGTCATTGTAACAGTTAGGGTATAACAGTGTTATTAATGATGTAATGTTGTTGTTATAGTCAAAGTTAGGGTTAATTACAGTGTTATTATAAATAATACTTTGCTGTTATAGTTTTCACAGTGAAATGTTAAAGGAGTATAACTGCAGTGTGTACCATGACTGTAGTATACCTGTAGTTTTACTGAGGTATGGCTGAACTATAGCTTCATTGTACTTTGACCGTACCATTCTGTAGTATAGGGCTGACTTTTGGCTGAATGTACTTTGACCTTCGAACTATGACTGTAGTTTAGCTGTAGTTTGATCCAGGAAAGACTGCAGTATATCTATGAAATAACTGTAGTATTACTGCAGTATGACAGCAGTATCTTGTTTTACTGTCATATCACTGTAGTATGATAGTGGTGTTAATATATAGCTTACTGTAATACTACTGTATTAATATTTCCAATTGCTCAGTGTTGATAGATCTAGACAGTAGTGTCACTGTATATTACTGCATATTACTGTAGTGTCACTGTATATTACTGTAGTGTTACTGTAGTGTCACTGTATATTACTGTAGTATTACTGTAGTGTCACTGTAGTGTCACTGTAGTGTTACAGTAGTATAACAGTAGTATTACTGTAGTGTCACTGTAGTGTCACTGTATATTACTGTATTTATACCTTAGTTAGTTAGTATCAGTGTTGGAGTACCACTGCATTTTTTACCACAGTATGGCTGAAGTATTATAGTATTACTGTAGTGTCACTGTAGTGTCACTGTAGTGTTACTGTAGTGTCACTGTATATTACTGTAGTGTCACTGTAGTATTACTGTAGTATTACTGTAGTAGTAGTGTCACTGTAGTGTTACAGTAGTATAACAGTAGTATTACTGTAGTGTCACTGTAGTGTCACTGTATATTACTGTAGTATTACTGTAGTGTCACTGTAGTATAGCAGTAGTATAACAGTAGTGTTACTGTAGTAATGGTGTAGTGTCACTGTAGTATTACTGTATTTATACCTTAGTTAGTTAGTATCAGTGTTGGAGTACCACTGCATTTTTTACCACAGTATGGCTGAAGTATTATTGTAGTATCATTGCAGAAATACTGCAGACTGTAGCACAGCTTTAGTCAGACTGTAGTAGGACTACAGTGTTACAGCTATGTCACAGTACTATGGGGGTAGTATGAATGTAGTTCTTCTCTAGTATAGCAGTAGTATGACTGTAGTTTTAGTGGAGTATTATTGTAGAAAGTTGTAGTATAACTGTAGTATGACTGCAGTTTGACTGTAGCATTGATGACAGTGATGTATTCTAAGTGGAGTGTAATTGTAGTGTAATTTAATTGTAGAATTAGTGTAGTGTCAGTGTGTTATGACCATAGTTTTAATGGAGTATTTTTGTAGCATAGTTGTAGTATAACTGTAGTATGGCTGTAGTATAACTTTAGTACAACTGTAGTTTTATTGAGGGTGTTATTGTAGTCTCGTTGCAGTACAGCTGTTGTTTAAACGCAGTATCATTATAGTATCATTGCAGTACGACTGTATCTTAAATGCAGTATTATTGTAGTATAGTTGTAGTACCGTTGCAGTACGGCTGTAGCTTTAATGCAGTATTATTGTAGTATAGTTGTAGTACCGTTGCAGTAGGGCTGTAGTTCTCTTCGGTGTCTGTAAGTGGGTCAGACTGGATCTAGAACAGAGGGTGCGTTCAGGTCCTGTGGGAGTTTTCAGTGTTGATGTGCTGACAGAGCTGTGACTCATCAAAACACAAACAGCTGATGAAACAAGGAAACACACTTTAATGCTAAGGCTCAGCGCCTGTCGAGATGTGTGTGTGTGTGTGTGTGTGTATCAGTGTGTGTGTAGGTGATGTTTGCAGGTTTTTCCAGTGTTTCTTTGTCTCCCACGTTCTCGTTCTGCTCCTGACTGAAAAATATCCTGATTAAATGTCGTTGTTGTCGTTGTCGTGGATTATAATCTGAGTTTATTTCCTGTAAATTTTCTGTCGTTATCATCCAGTTTTCTTTTTAATCCCCTGCTGAAAAAATATGTGCTGACTCTGCAAAAAAAAAAAACACCAGCATGACAGGACAAAAATAAAAGTTTCTCTGCCTGAGGCTCTTATTTTGAAGGAGTGATCTGAAGGGAGCTGTTGAATAACTCAGGTGGGCTCTGTGTGTGTCCGCAGGTACGTCTTCTTCCTGGACCCCTGTAACATCGACATCGTCCAGAGGAAGATCAAATCGCTCGCTCTCTGCGTGTCTCTGTGCCCCCCCGAACAAATGAACACCTACCAGGACCTGAAGAGGTTCGCCATGATCAACGGTGAGGTCATCGTCACTCAGTCACATGACCAAACACACCTGCAGCAGGTGACAGAGGCGCGCACCTCCTCAAAGTTGCACCTATTCATCTTTCCTCGGGTCCAAGTGTGTGTGTGTGTGAGGAAGCAGTGATGTCACCAGTTGTACGGATGCTCGCCGTCACGTCATGATGATGATTAAATGTCTGCAGGCGTACAGTGCTACACACACACACACACACACACACACACACACACAGGCTCTGTGTACAGTAACAAAGGCAGCATAGATCCGTGTGTGCTGGCGCCACTGTGCTCCGTTTGTCCGCCATCATGGCTGCTCTCAGTGTGGTCACTGTTTCAAACGTGACAGACGCTCCATCAGGTGACCTCACTGCTCCTCTGGGCGCCATGAAAGAACTTCTGTGAGAGGAACACCAACATGACCCACACATGACCCACACATGACCGCCGAGGTGAAGAGGTTAGCTTAGCTTCAGGATCAGGATCAGGATCAGGATCAGGGTTTCCCACGTCGTCTAAACTCCTGTTGTCAGAATCTGGTTCTGGATCATCTGAAGGTCTTCCCTGAAAACGTCCTGGTCTGGATGGACGCAGATGTTGCTCCTAAACCTGGAGATCTTGTTCAGGATTAAAGGAGCCTTCACAGATGACTGAGGCTGTTTACCGCAGTATTCAGTAGATACTTCATACTGAGTACTGTGTTCTATAGTAGTATACAGTAGATACTTCATACTGAGTACTGTGTTCTATAGTAGTATTCAGTCTGACTGTTAGTCGGCTGTTATTCTGTAGTTTGGTTGGTCTGGTTTAACTGGTTTAACTGGTTTCCAGTTTGGAAAAGTCCATTGTGGTAAATTAAAACAACACCACAGAGTTGTTCGTTCATTTACACCAGGGGTCTTCATATAAATTTTCAGTGGGTCCACCTGAATGAAATGCCTGCAGGCCTGGGTCCAGGGATTTTTATTGATTTATTTTTTTACAGTGCATTACTCTTTTGAAATATTCACTTCATTTGTATTGCCAATAACTGCCTACTTTCAATTGGCTGTGTGCTTCCTGCGGGTAAAATGAATGCAAATGACTCGGTCCACTCGCCATAAAACACCCTGTTCTCATTCTCTACCTTTCGTGGTTTTTAAGCCGACATGTTTAGCTGCTGCTACAACTTTCTCCTCAGTCTGCCGCCTGACAGTTTTCAACATCGGGATTGCTCGGTAATCTTCGTGTGTCGAGTAGGCTAAAAGGTCTGATTTGATGAATTTTAAAGTCCAGGAGCAAAAGTACCAAGATAAAAGCACGCAGAGCTCATCCCCAACTGTGGATGGTCTCCGGTGGCGCAGTGTGGTAGACATCTAACACCCTGATGTGAGCGATGTGTTCAGGTTGAAGACCGGCTCCTGGTTCGAAACCCGCTCAGCCCAGGGGTTTGGCGTTACCCCCCCCGGTGTTTCCAGAGAGATAAAATATGGGGGTTATGCTACAGGAAGTCAGAGCAGGCTGAACTTTAGAGTAAGGATGGGGAGAAGTGTTGATGGGGGGGATCATAGGGGGGGCGGCGGATGGCGTCCCCAATGAGGCTTGAACCCACTGACCCATGTGGATACACAAGACAATCTTGTTTTTTTTTCAATTATCACTGTACTTTAAATAATTCCAGATAACTGACTTTCCTTTTCTTTTTGGCAACAAATCTTCATTTTCGGTGGTTTTCTCTTGTTCGTTGCTCATTTTGCGATCGTTGTTGTTGTTGTTGTTAGCGGTGTTGTGCCGAGAAACTCATGTCCTCATGTAGAGTGGTCCACGGAAATATACATTTTAAAACCCATACAGTTCTTATTTGTTGGGCTTAACAGTCAGTGAAGTTCCGAGAGTAATTCTCAGCGGACACACGTCTCCCTCCATGTGCAGAACATGTGCAGGGGTGGGTTTCCTACGCTCTGATTTTGATTGACAGCTGGCAGGGTAGTCTGATTGGCAACTGATCTGATTCAGCTACCCTTGAAATTAACTGAGTTCATTCACCTCCAACATCGCAGGCTGTGCGATGTGACTATCGCACACACGTATATCGTGCAGGCCTACAAGAGAGAAAAAAACATACATTTTTCTGCAGTAGGCTCGGGTCCGTATTGGACTCTTTCCCGGTCCGGAAGTGGACCGCGGTCCGCCATATGGAGACCACTGATTTACACACTGAAAAAAATCTTTTCTGTTTTAATTTGATTTTTCTGGATTTTTTAGTCCAAATCCATCAGAACTTGTTCTGTCTCTGCGATGACTCGATGATGATCTGGCGTCATCAGATTCTCCTCACGGCGCCGTAAATACAGCAAAGTTCTGTTGTCATGATGTGTGCTGTTTGAGTGAGTTTTTCACTGGTTTTGTGTTTCCTTTGTGGTTTTTCTCTGTTGTTCCTGTCCCCCTGTCGTCTTGTCTTGTGAGTTTTCAGTTTGTGTCTGACCCTCATGTTCTTATTCATTATCAGTTTTCAGTGTTTCCTGTTTTATTTTGTAGGAGTTTATTCCGTGTTTCTACTTCCTCAGTTTTCACTCCTCAGTGATTGGCTGCACCTGTGTCTGAGTGTCTCACCTGCCTCTCGTTGCTCGTTTCCCTGTGTGTGTCTGTGTGTGTGTGTGTGTGTGTCTTCCCCTGTCTCTTTGTTGGTTCTGTGTACGTCTGTGTTTGTCGACGCCTCTGTGTCTCCGGTGACTTCCGTTAATTTTTTGCCCTTCTGAATATTTGAGTCGGACATTTTGAAAGTGAGTTTTTTGTTGCTTCTTATTTCGTTCTTTTTTGAATAAATCATCTTTGGTTCTGCACACGGGTTCTTCCCCTTTTTGTGTCACCCTGAAAAACATGACATCAGTTCTGTTAAGTGACTATTCTCGCTGATCGTGTTGACTGATGGCGTCTGCGTGGCGTGGTCTTAGTCTTTTAGTGTCTCTTAGTGTGGAGAGAGAACATGTCCCTGAAAACACAGAAGGACAGAAAATAAGAAAGAAAAGGAAACGATGAGAAGGACAGAGGACCGAGAAACATCCTGATAACTGATAGAGTCAGTCGATAAAGGGCTGATTAAGAGTTTAGGTTGTGGTGACAGAGTTGTTGCTCTAACAGATTTAAGATCTTTGATAGAAAAGGTCAGAGTCCGGAGTTCACCTGTTGTAATAATAATAATAATAATACATTTTATTTAAAAGCGCCTTTCTGGACACCCAAGGACACTGTACAGGCATTAAGAACACAGTTAAAACACTGTTAAAATAAATAAAAACAATATACAGGTATGGAAATGGACAGTTAAAGGGAATATGCAATTTGGAACAGATGTGTTTTGAGTTTTGATTTGAAGTGGGGTAGTGAGTCCATGTTTCTGAGATCCGGGGGGAGAGAGTTCCAGAGTTTGGGAGCAGAGCGACTGAAAGCCCTGCTCCCCATGGTGCTGAGTCGGGCAGAGGGGACAGAAAGGTGGAGGGAGGAGGAGGATCTGAGGGAGCGTGAGGGGGTGGCGATGTGGAGGAGATCAGAGAGGTAAGGGGGGGCAAGGTTATGGATGGCCTTGAAGGTGTATAGTATGATTTTATAGTGGATTCTGGACCGGATAGGGAGCCAGTGAAGCTGCTGAAGGACAGGGGTGATGTGGTGGAAGGAGGTTTGTTTGGTAGTGTGGGGCAGCAGTAGCTCAGGAGGTAGAGCGGTCGTCCAATAACTGGAAGGTTGTCGGTTCATTTCCCACTATCCTGAGTCTGTCCGTGTCTCCTTGGGCAAGACCTTTAACCCCCCTTTGTTCCTAGTGTGTGTCCTCCACTGGTGGTCGTGGTCGGCAGCCATGTTTCTGTCAGTCTGCCCTAGGGCAGCTGTGACTACTAAGGTAGTCTACCATCACCAAAGGGTGACTGTGTGAGCGAATGAATGAATGAATGAATGTAAAGAGGTTTGAGGGTCTCTGATGAAGCGCTCTATGAAATCTGATGCTTTATTATTATTATTATTGTTATTGAGTTTGTTAGTGTGTTCCAGGTGTGGGAGGCACGACTGGAAAAAGTGGTTTGACACTGTGGAAGAGCTGTGGAAGATTTTGTAAACCAAGATCACGTCATGATTTTTTAATATCTGACAGTGATGGAACATTTTTGTTGCTACTGCGCAGCGCTGGTTTCAGGAAATGAAGAAAAATCCCAGAAATACAGAGAGCTTTTCGGCTTCAAATCCGTAAACAGGCGGGAGGCGGAGCCAAGTTGTCCGGAGTAAATACAGTCTGTGGTTAAATTTAATTCTATTGACAGTGTTTTTTTATGTGTTGTTTATAAAGGAGTTGTGAGTCAAGAGTGATCCCTCAGTATTTAAACTCTTATATTACTTTGATGGTTTTACCTCGTACACAGACGCTGGATCTCTGTATGAACTTCTCAAAAAGAGCAAATACTGACAGTCTTAGAGATGTTCAAATGTCGTTTGGATTTCTCTGAGTCAGTTGTAAACATTCGTCCAAACATCTGTCAGTTCTGACGCAGCGAGTCCATGTGGTGACTCCCACTCCAGAGTCCGGTCTGTTTTTAATACCCTGAAGATCAGGACCATCCAGTCCTGGTTTTGGTCCTCAGTCAGCACTTTTACTTGTGTTAATGTGTGTGTGTGTGTGTGTGTGTGTGTGTGTGTGTTTCAGGTTCTGAACTGTGTTCTTATGAGTTAGCGGGTCATAAATATCCGGGTCTACCTGAGAGGTTCTCCAAGTGTCCCAAACTTCCTGTCCCGCCCAGGTACGCCTCCCCGCCGCCGCCGCCTGACCTGCAGTATCTCCGTCGTGATGTTTCTGTTTTCCCTGACCTTTGACCTCTGACCTCCTCAGTAAGCCTCTGCCCGTGTTTAACCGCTGCACGCCGCTGGATGTTTCCTGTTACGCCAAGTTTGCGGAAGCCGTGGTGACGTTTGTGGGCGACAACAGCGTCCTGCACCGCCTGATCGCCGGCGTGGCGGCGAGTAAAGAGATCATCATCGGGCTGTGTGTGCTCGCTCTAGGTGAGAGACACACCTGAAGGTCAAAGGTTAAGTGATTCAGGATGTTTGAGGTCAAAAACAGACTGTTTCATCCCGCCGTGTCTGACCTCTGACCTTTGACCTCTGTGTGCCCCTCAGTCCTCTCCATGATCCTCATGGTCATCATCCGGTACATCTCTGCCGTCCTGGTCTGGATCCTCACCGCGCTGGTCGTCCTCGGATCCCTCGGTGAGTCCGGGTCCAGTTTGACGTTTGTTTGTGTTAATGAACCAATCAGCTGACTGCGTGTGTGTGCGTGTGCGCGTCCTCAGCGGGGACCAGCGTCCTCTGGTGGTTGTACATCGATCACCGGCTGTACGGGAACGACACCTCCTCCTCCTCCAAGGCGATGAAGGAGGTTCTGAAGGAGGAGGAGCTCAGTAAGGACAGCGGTCAGGCGCTGCTGGTTTACGCGGCCGCCGCCACCGTCTTCACGGTAAGATAACCGTCTGTCAGAGCGATGTGGGCGGGGCTTTCTGCTGTAAACGAACGCTGACAGCGTGACTCTGTGTTTCCTCTCAGATCATCCTGCTGCTGCTGATGCTCTTCATGAGGAAACGCGTCGCTCTCACCATCGCTCTGTTCCACGTGGCGGGGAAAGTCTTCATCCACCTCCCCCTCCTCACCCTGCAGCCCTTCGTCACCTTCCTCGCCCTCCTGCTCTTCTGGATCTACTGGGTCCTGGTCCTGCTGTTCCTGGGAACCACGGGTCAGTTTAACCCTTTCTTGTCACCTGATTATCTGTCCGACCCGGGAGCGTTCTCTGGTCCGATCGAGGGCGCAGAAGTGGGTTAGGAACACGTCCGTATCAATAATCAGCTGCTACAGTGTCGCCCCTATCAATACAACAGCTGTCTGTTGTGATAATCAATGATTTTGGCACATAAAGGGTTAACAGTCGGTCTCTGCTAAAAGTCCCGCCTCTAACCGAGATATCGCTCTTCGATTGGCTGACGGTTTCTCACTCTCCTGCTGTCACTCATCTGCCTGTAAAAGTTACCTGCTGGTTGGACCAGATGGGAGAGGAAGGTCCCGCCCTCCTTTGCCTCTGATTGGCTCAAAGTGCTGGGCTCTGATTGGTTATTCCTTATAGCTGTGAAACGTCATCGTCTGTCGGGTTCAGAGATTCAGAACTGCGATAATGTTCTGTTCGATGTTCAGAGCCGACAGCCCGCGTTTGGCTTGAGGGTGTGACGACGTTTCACAGCCAATCAGAGGCGAAGGAGGCGGGACCTTTCCCTACCATCCTACAAAAAATATATATATAATTATTATTTTTAATTAATTATTACTTTAATTAATTATTATCTTTAATTAATTATTTTTAATTAATTATTATTTTAATTAATTATTATTTTTAATTAATTATTATTTTAATTAATTATTATTTTAATTAATTATTATTTTAATTAATTATTATTTTTAATTAATTATTATTTTAATTATTATTTTTAATTAATTGTTATTTTTAATTAATTATTATTTTAATTAATTATTATTTTTAATTAATTATTACTTTAATTAATTATTATCTTTAATTAATTATTTTTTTTAATTATTATTTTAATTAATTATTATTTTTAATTAATTATTATTTTTAATTAATTATTATTTTAATTAATTATTATTTTTAATTAATTATTATTTTCATGTATTTGTGTGGAAGAGAGAAACTGTATAAAATCACATAAAAAGAAAATTCTGGGGGAAATAATTCGTCCTGAAATCACGTCAACACCTCAGGGACTCTGTCGGGGTTCTGCTGGACGATGTCTCTGTCGGTGTGAGGACCTCTGATCTTTCAGCTCATCGTGTTTTTTTTCATTCAGACCGTCTTTGGAGGTCAGATTAGGAGGTTAGACCACAGAGGAGGACTGTGAAGAATAAACAGGCTGTTATAAATCTGAAGGTCCTCTCTGAGTTCTGTTGTTAAAGTGATGAAAGCAGACTCAAAGTCAAAGGAGGTCTCCTTCTTTTCATCACCATCATCCTTCTTCTGAAGGAGGAGGAGTTCCTCAGCTCCTCTCAGCAGCAGGAGACCAAACCGAACAGGAGAAACCTTCACCGCTCTGATCGAACCCGACCTCCACCTTCTCTACAGGAGGTTCTCATGCCGTCAGACGGCCCTAACCTCCTGAAGGTCTGCCGTCTGAACTACTGCTCGTTAAAAAATGTACTCAGAGGAAACAGAACTGTTTTCTTCTTCCTGATTTCACCCTCAGAGCATCATGGGAACTGTAGTAGAGGATAGAATAAGATCACTGTCGTGGTTGTTTGGGTGTTTTTGTCGTTTTTATGTGAAATCTTGTCGGCTGGACAACAAATGAACCCTCAGGACTTCTGAAGGTTACCTTTACCTGTTCACCTGTGCAGGTAACCCGGTCCAGAACGAGGAGACGGGTCTGATAGAGTTCAGACTGACGGGTCCTCTGCAGTACCTGACCTGGTACCACGCTGTGGGTCTGATCTGGATCTCAGAGTTCATCCTGGCCTGTCAGCAGATGACGGTGGCCGGAGCCGTGGTCACCTACTACTTCACCAGGTGAGTCCTCACCCGCACACCTGGTCCAGTCTGTCCCTGTGTGTGAGCGTCGGTCTGTGGATCCAACGGGCTGAGAGTTCATTCATTCATGTGTGACAGAGTGAACTGATCTCTGATCCCACTCTGAGCCTCAGTGACCCGGATCAACTCTGTTTCAGGGACAAGAACAGGCTCCCGGTGACCCCCATCCTGTCCTCGGTCCTGAGGCTGGTCAGGTATCACCTGGGAACTGTGGCCAAAGGATCCTTCATCATCACGCTGGTGAAGATCCCCCGACTCATCCTCATGTACATCCACAACCAGCTCAAAGGAAAGGTAACACACTTATATATACTGATATTTATATACCCTATTATACTTATACACTTATGTTTGTATATTTAAATACTTGTTTACTGTCCGTTGATTGTCATGTCAGCTGATGTTGTTGTCGTTCACCAGGAGAACGCGTGTGCTCGCTGTCTGCTGAAAACGTGTATCTGCTGTCTGTGGTGTTTGGAGAAGTGCCTCAACTATCTCAATCAGGTAACACACACACACACACACACACACACACACACACCTGTCTTTATCTTTGAATGTTTCCTCCCGTTTCCTGAAGACGAAGATCTCACCTGTTTGTGTTTTTGTTTCTTCAGATCCTGCATATGCAGCCACAGCCATCAACAGCACCAGTTTCTGCACGTCTGCTCGCGACGCTTTCGTCATCCTGGTGGAGAACGCTCTGCGCGTCGCTACAATCAACGCCATCGGAGACTTTGTGCTCTTCCTGGGGAAGGTGAGATAACTGCGAGAGGCTTTTATTTTGAAAGGCCCAGGCTGGATTTGTCTGTGGTTACTTCCTCTCTCTAAAATCACTGCGTCTGTCTTTATCTTTGAATGTTTCCTCCCGTTTCCTGAAGACGAAGATGTTCCTGATGTTTGTGTTCTTTGTTTCTTCAGATCCTGATCGTGACGTCGACGGCGTTCGCTGGCGTCCTCCTCCTGAACTATCAGCGGGATTACGCGGAGTGGCTGCTGCCTCTGATCATCGTGTGTCTCTTCTCCTTCCTGGTTGCTCACTGCTTCCTGTCCATCTTTGAGATTGTGGTGGACGTCCTCTTCCTGTGCTTCGCCATCGACACCAAGTACAACGACGGCACTCCGGGGAAGGAGTTCTTCATGGACAAAGCTCTGATGGTGAGACCGCAGGGAGAACCTCAAACCGGGCTGTAGTTAGTGACCTGTTAATGTGGTTCCTGCTGACGTTCACACCTGGTGAACCTGAACCTGTCATCAGGCTCCTGTGGTCTGTGAGGTCCTGGACTCCCACGTCCAGAAGAATCTGTGGTGCAGCCTGAGGAGGTTGGGGTCATGGAGTCAGAGTGGGCCCCGTTCAAAGCCTCTTTTATAGAGTCAGCTGATGTTACTGGCACACAGGTACAGAGAGGCTGAGAGGCTGCCAGGTGTGGGCGGAGTTTGGAGAGAAAGACTTTCAGTGTCCTCAGGCTGTGTTCGCCATCATAAGCAGACATGAGACAACATCGTAAAGACGCTGGTCTGAGTCAAAGTACCGTAAATGGAGAGTGTTGTCGGTTTCAGCTTTACATCGGTCTGGAGGTTCCTGTGAAGTGAAGTGACACGAAAAACGAAATAAATTATTGTAAGAAGGTAACGCAACCTCCGTCATCGAGCACGTCAGCGCTGTGTCTCAAATCAAACCCAAATGCAGAAATGTCTGCGGCTCGAGACGGCCCTGTCAACTCTGTCTGCTGCTGCAGGAGTCATGGCGTGATTGGACTTTAGACGGTTAACTGGAGCTCGTTCAAACCCTGATGGCGTTGAGATCACGTGTACGTTAAACTAAGAAAAATAAGGAACAGATATAAACAGATATGGATCGGTAAAAATAGTCACGGTTTCAAATACAAAAGTGAGAGTTCAGAGTCCCAAAACCTGCGAGAGAAGAAAACGTTTTTCAGCTTATTATTAGTGTGTTTTGGCAAAATTTAAGTGTTTTTTAAGTGAATTTTAATGTGTTTTGGCGTATTTTTGGTGTGTGTTTAAAGGTGTGTTTAAACGTGTGTTTTTAAAGTGAGTTTTAACATGTGTTGGTGTATTTTTGGGGTGTGTTTTTTGGCATATTTGTAGTGTTTTTTTAACCATTTTAGTTTTTTTTTGTGTGTGTTTTTAGGGATTTTTTAGTGTGTTTTTTAAGCGAATTTCAATGTGCTGACTTATTTTTGGTGTGTATTTTAAGTGTGTTTTTAAATGTGTTTTGAGCGTATTTTTGGTGTTCTTTGGCAATTTTTTTTGGTGTGTTTTCAGCAAATTTTAGTGTGTTTTTTAAGTGAATTTCAACGTGTTGGTGTATTTTTGGTGTGTGTTTTAAGCGTGTTTTTTAATGTGTTTTCAAAGCGAATTTTAATATGTTTTGGATTTTTTTTAGTTAGTTTTTTGGTGTATTTTTGGTGTGGTTTCAGCAAATTTCTCGTGTTTTTTAAGTGAATTTCAACATGCTGGCTTATTTTTGGTGTGTGTTTTAAGTGTGTTTTTAAAGCGTATTTGTAGTATTTACAGTGTGTTTTTTGTACGTGCCTCAGGTTGTTAGGAATCGCAGTAGTTTCTTTGCTCCATCCTCACAATGATTCTCCATCTCTCTGCCCCCCCCGCAGGAGTTCGTAGAAAGCAGTCGGCGGTTGGAGCGAGCGGTGGAACGTGGGCGGAGCCGAGTGAAGGAAGTGGTGTCTGAAGGGGCGGAGATGAAGCCCATGGTGAGTGACATCAGAGACGAAGGGGGCGTGGCCATGCAGCAGAAGAGCTCTCCAGAGGAGGAGGGGGTGGGGCTGGACGGGGGCGGAGGGGAGTGGGAGGAGCTCCAGGAGGTCCAGGTGTACTACCTGCTGGTGGGGGTGCTGGTGGACTGGGTGCTGACGGAGCAAAGCGACTTTATCCTCTGTTTCAGCGAGGATGTCGTCCTCTTCCTCTGCGTCTACCTGCCCACCTCCACCCTCTTCCTGTTTGTCAGCATGCTGCACACGCCAAGCCCCGCCCCCTCTGTCGCCAAAGCAACCTCCGCCACCGCCAAGAGATAACAGCCGTGCTAACAGACATGCTAACTCCAATGCCATTATCTGCATGCTAACAGAACTATGCTAACGGACGAGCGCTAACAGATGCATGCTAACAGAACTATGCTAACGGACGAGCGCTGACAGATGCATGCTAACAGAACTATGCTAACGGACGAGCGCTAACAGATGCATGCTAACAGAACTATGTTAACGGACGAGCGCTAACTGATGCATGCTAACAGAACTATGCTAACGGACGAGCGCTAACTGATGCATGCTAACAGACTTTCTGACTGTACGGACTCTGGTGCATGCCAACCTGCCTCTTCATCTTCATCCTAACCTTCATCCTCTTCATCACTGCTGCTTCTTTACTGCCTGGACCCACCGCTCACTGACTTCCTGTTTGTATTTATTTTTATATTTTTGTACGATTTTACACGGATGATGAATTTGTGTGTTTGGCCTTACGTTGTCACCGCCGTGCTTTCAGGACGATGCAGCTACTCTCCTGTTTACACGCTGACGGTGTTTTCCCGCTTCAGCTTCAGATAGTCACGCTAGTTTAACTCGAGTTTGGATTTAAAGGGATAGTTTGGGATTTTTGAAGAGAGGTTGTTTGAGTCACTAAATGTTTAAAGTCACAGTTGACGATCTGAGAAAAAAACTGACCCGTTGAGGCAGATTTGAAAAAGACGATCCAGAAGATCCTACGCTAGCTTCAAACAGGATCCACCATGTCGGATTGTTAGTGACTAGCGGCGGTAAACGCCAGCTCTGCTAGCGAGCGCCGTCTGCAGCTGCCTGGACAGCTACCGTGTTGACATGTCAGAGACTAATAAGAGTTATTTATGTAACATGTGCCACGGTAAAAGACTCCGCCCTTTCTTCTGTCTGCGTTTTTTTTTTGCGTCCTTCTCCATCACAGCTCCTGTAGCTAAGCTGCTACGCTACTTTTAGCCGCTCAGAGCTCCGAGGAGGGCCGGGAGAGTGGGAGGGGACGAGTCGGAACTATGGGAGAGGGGTGTGTCGAATACAGCGAGGTGATTGGATGGAGAGGCGGAACAGGAGATTGACCAATGGGAGCTGTCCGGGACGGATGGCTCCCATTGGTCGATGTTTTTGCAGCCCTGCACCTGATTGGGTGAACAGATTTTTTTCGATCTTTTTTCTGTTTGTGGAGATTCACTATAGGACCATGATCGCCATGGAAACCAGGTTCATAATAACAACCAATCTCTCCAATCGTCAACCACGACTTTAAGCCATAATTGATTCCGGTCAGCTCGGCGTCTTCCGTGAGAAACTGTACGCAAGCTAGGCTACAGTTTTCTGCAGACAGGGCCAAGAGATGATGTGGTAGACTCGACCCGGTTTTTATTAAAGAGGTCCAAATGTGGCAAAAAGGAGCTGTAGAGGAACCTGACTCAGAACCAAGAAACCCAAACAAGAAACTGTCGTTAGTTTAAACCTGATGAAAATAAAAATGTGAACAGACTTTCTGACCGTCTGCTGACTGTTCTTTCTGCCAGAGAACAAACTTCAGGTAAATACCAGCGCGAATCAAACGCCAGCAGACCAGGTTCTGGAGTCTGACAGTCTAATCTTGTCCCAGTCTGTCCTGATAGAGGATCTCAGCTGCTCCACAGTTCAGGGTCTCCTTGGTCCTGTTTTTGGGGTCATGATGGTCCAAATGTTTTCAGTCCAGTTCCTCAGCAGGACTCTTCTCCTCTTGTCAGAATGTGGTTTGGGATCATATGAAGGTCTTTGTCTGGATGGACGCAGATGTTCCTCCTAAACCTGGAGATCTTCTTTAAAACTGAGGATGCAGCATCTATGATTCACAGATCTTTGTTGAAAGGACAACTGGACTTCGGTGAAACGTCTCAAGTAAGTCCAGTTGTCCTTTTCCAAAAGAGAGTTAGATTTAGATCCATCAGACCTCAGGAGAGTTTTGCTCTTCCCCTCAGTCCACCTTAAATGAACTCGGGTCCAGAGAAGTCTCTGGTGTTTCTGGATCTGGTTTAAAAGAGGGTTTCTCTTTGTATGGTTGAGGTTTGAACCCACAACCTAACTGTCACACCTCAGGTTAAACAGCTGATATGTTGTCTCGCCATCAGGATTAATGGAGCCTTCAAAGATTTAACCCCCAATTTCCACGGCAACCAGAACGGCTCCGATCTGGAACGGCGGCGATATTCTCTGTCCGCCAATTCCTACCTATCAGCTTTCATTTCATTTGCTCACCCTCCATCTTTCACGCCCTGACCTCCCATGATGCTTCACTCTCAGCCTCACTAACACAGCCCTGTCTGTCTGTCTGTCTGTCTGTCTGGAGGTTTTAACATGTGATTTCCTGTTTCAGGCTCCGGGGACGAGCTCAGCTTGACGAAATCAGCCAATGGGACTTCTTTAAAAAAAAAAAAAAAGAGACATTCCAGAAGTTTATTTTTACCAACGTGTAACATGTTTACTATGGTTTACTCCAGGGAAAACGATATTTTAATATGAACTGTAAAAACGTAACCATGTAATGAAGCACTTTATATCGAAGCGCTGCAGATTTTAAACCGCCTGATGCATTTTTTTTCTAGTGATGTCGTTTTTTATAAACTCATAGCCCCGCCCACTCTGCAGCTTTTTTTATACACCACACACTCCTCAGCTGGACGCCATGTTGGATCACAGCGCTGTGATGTCATCAGCAGCTGATTGGCAGAGGAGCGAGATCAGTGGAGCTGTCGTCATAGAAACGGGAACAGGGATCTGATTGGCTGATTGGCTGATGAAGGCCTGTTGGACAGCTGACGAGTTTCAGACTCCATGTTGGACGTGTCATCATGAGGGCGGAGCCTCTGCTCACATATCAAACATACCTGAGGACTCAGCTGCGGGGGGAGGGGCTGTCTGCAAACTATTACGACCTGCAAGGTCAGGGTCATGTGACCAACGAGGAAGCCAAGCTAGAGCGCCGATTATAAACTGATGAGTCGAACTCGTGAACTGAAGATCACCGGGTTTTGGCGGGATCAGTCTTCATGGTTTTTAGCAGGTACGTACGCTAACAGGTGAGGGTATCCAGAACCAGTTTAGAGTTTGGACCGGGTCACAGTGTTCCTGGAGTCAACCCGGCACACGAAGTTCAGTTCTGAACTCGGAGAGAATTTACAGTCAACAGAACCTCAAGAGGTCGCATTTTGGAGCAGGATATGATGTCAGTGTCGCTCCCTGATCCGTCCCAGAGGTAAAAATTTTTTTTTGTGGGATGGTAGGGGAAGGTCCCGCCCTCCTTCGCCTAGAAGTGCTGGGCTCCGATTGGTTATTCCTAATGGCTGTGGAACATCTTCGTTTGTCAGAAGTGCGATAATGTTCTGTTTGATGAACAGAGCCGACAGCCCGCGTTTGGCTTGAGCGTGTGATGACGTTTCCAGCTTTTCCAGCCAATCAGAGGCAAAGGAGGCGGGACTTTCCCCGTCCCGGAAACCCGATATGTTCTGCACATGTGCAAAATGTACGTCACTTTCTCTACCAGCCATCTTTGCGACAGCTCAGCAGTTTTTCGCCCCTCGCCGTTTGCGTCAGCTTCGACATCAGCGAGCTCGCTACAGTCAGAGAAGACGCTTCAGTTGATAACAGCCACACTTTGAGTTCTTCCCCCGACTGAAGCAGAGCGCCGGAGAGTCCAGAGAATGGCGCCCAGTTTCATGATTAAAGGTTCCTACTCCAGATAAAACGTAAAATCGTAACGTAGTTCTAAAAAGTTTGAATAAATCTGAATATTTTAGTGTTGAAATTGAAACTGTATAAAAACGCTGAAGTTCATCGTCCATAATGTGTCGGCTTCTTGTTAATTAATTTAATTTATGAAATAAATTCCCCCTTGAAACTTTGAAAAGTCATAGAACCATATTTTTGACCAGGTGGCGGCGCTCTCTGTGGCCCAAAAGGTCTCACCGCTCTGGGCAGGAGCTCTGGCGAATGTTTCGGTATTTTCTCTGGAGCCTCCTGGTAGCGAGCCTGTCACATCGGCAGTTTGTTTACGAATCGATCGGTAGATTAAATAAAGTTTTTTCAAAGTGAAGTAAATTTACTCTTGCGCAGTACGGATCGGTTAGGTAGCGACTCACTGCCTTAAATTATATTGAAGTACCAAGAGAGGAAGTGACGAACGTTTTGCGCATGCGCAGAACAAATCGGGTTTCCAGGACGGATCGGGAAGCGACAGTCACATTAGCTGGCGAGAAAGAGAACGGACACATCGGGTCGACTTCAGTTCGCGCAATCAGCTACGTCGTTGTCGTAATCAGCTACAGTCGCACAGAGCCGTTCGTGTCGCTCTTTTACGATGTTAGCGAACAGTTTAAGTTAGCTAACCAGTTTGTTCAAATTTAACCGCGCTAACTAAAGCTAGCTTACGGACTTCCTTTGTCGGTCACATGACTCTTGCGATGCAGGTTGTCTCTACAGTCGCCCCCTGCTGGTGGGAGGGGTTTGGAGGTGTCAGCTGGTCTGTGTTGAAGATGATTGACAGTCAGATTGTTTTGGTCACATGGATTCAACTTCCTGTCTCTAAGTCCCTCCTCCTCTTCACCAAGACTTCCACCACATTCAAGCATTTCATCAAATTCAGACAAGAAGACGGTGGGAGGAGAGTGGGCGGAGCTTCCTGTGGGGGTGACGGTCAGCAATAAACAAACTGCATCATGTGACATCGACGACAACAACAAACGTCAACATCAGCGAGTCTTCCTGCTTCTGTTGGTTCATCGTGTCCAAAGTCTGATGACCCGCCCTCAGACAGGAAGTCTGAGTTTTCCTGTCAATCAGCTGTCAATCACAGGGGCCCATGGAGCAGCCTGACAGGTGTGGTCTCACCTGGTCAGGTGCAGGTAAAGTTAAGTGGTGAGTTCAAGCCCCGCCCCCTGCAGCGTCACAGATGGACTTGCTTTGGAGGCGATGCTGCTGAGATAACTCCTGCTGCCTGGTTGCCGGTCCTGGTTGCTCAACATGTTGCTGTGTTGATCTGCAGTTTGATTTGTGTCGGGCTGAATCCAAACATCCTCCAGAGTCCAGGAACGCCGATACCTGTTCAGGACAGGAAGTCTGGTTTCCATGGGGATCGGCGAAAAAACTTACCTGGGTGTAAAGATTAATTTGTCAAATTTAAAGTGACTCAAAGATGAGAGCTGAAGGAGTCAATGCTGAGGGTGATGTTCGGAAAAAAACACTAAATTTAAAGTATTAAATCTATAAACCATAAACACTACAATACCCATGAGCCTCAGCGGCTGTCCCCTGGTGTGAGGTTGATTAGAGATTTGATGCCTCTGGTGTTAAAAAAGAAACAATGTGAAAAATCTGCAGTACCTTCAGTGTCCACTAGAGGCTGTCCGAAAGTGAGTCAGTCCCCATAGAGCCTCATGTTAAAAAGTTCAACTTTACAGCAGAAATGAACGTGTTTACAGCCTGGAATAAAAACAGTTATGGTCTCTGTTGTACAACATTAACAAGGTCAAAGGTCAGAAATATATCATGTTAGTGAACGTAAAAAAAAAAGGGCAGAGACTAAAGCCGAGGTCAGTCTTGGTGTCCCACAAGGACCTCTGAAGTCCTCCTAAGAGCTCTGTGAGGTCATGTGGTTTCAGATCTGACTGTGTTCTCGTCTTTTGGTTCTATAATCGACATGATTCTTTAAAATCGTGATAAATTTACAAAAACAAACATGTGACACAAAAATGCAGTTCGTCACTTTAGCCCATAAGAAATGAATCATTAAAGTTTTGACTAAGTTAGCTGTGAGGACCTTCACCTTCAACCTGCTACCTGCTACCTGCTGCCTCCACTTTGTTTGCTCATTAAAGCCCTTTTTAAAGACTTTATACGTTCGCTGACTACATTACCCATAATCCTGTCATACTGGACGTGAATAAAAGCACTACCACTAAAAAAACAGACGCGATCAGGCGTGAATTAAGTGGATTCAGTAGATGGTGGTCCTGACCTCTGAGTTATTACTTATTTATTGTTGTGTTGGTCTTACTGTAAAGACTCTTAAATCAGTGACATGGCGAAAACGGGAATCAAAAGCAGCTCGCTCAGAGAAGGATCATTTAAAAACACGACAATGACTCATGCGGTCAGTCTCAGCCATGTTTGAGGAAAATGGCGTGAAGGAAACTCCTCCTCTGTTGGATTAATTAAAGTGTTTGGCAGTCATGCAGACACAATCCGACATTCAAATCAGGACAAATCGGGAGTTCAAATTTGGCCAAATTAATCGATTTCTTAATCTCTCGACACGGAGGCTGCGAAGAGACAAGTTAAACATCGGCAAAATATCCGTAGACGCCTTTTATTTACCAAGTCCGTTATTATAAACGACTTTAAGCCTGTTTCTCTCAGAAGTCGCTTGTAAAACCGATGAGTCGCAGGTGCTTTTTTTAAAATTTGTTTTTAACTCATAGTTACTTTTTTGCGTTTGTTTTCCTGTATGTGTGAACCCCCCAGATTTGAAGTTATTCGTTGGTTCGGCCCTTCAACACAGTTCAGGTTTCTCATGTGGCCCCATGTAAAAATTAATTGCCCACCCCTACATTAGGACGTCTGCCTCTCAGCCCCAGTGGCCACTCGGGGTACTGCAGCAAAAACCAGCAGAGAGCCCTCAGATTTGAACCCCTCAGATTCATGGATGTTTGGATTCAGCCTTGACTGAACTGTGACTGAAGAGTTTCTGTGATCATGAAGTTTGTTCAAGTGTGTTTCAGTGCTGAGATGTTTGTTTCCCATCATGCCCTTCTGTCAGAAACACACACACACACACACACACACACACTTGGAGGTCGTGCAGAGCAGTGAGTCTGCAGACACTCGGACCTCTCTGACGTTTATATTTCCAGCATGTGTTTAAACGCAGCGAGTCACATGACGCTTCGAGCATGCTCACACAGTAACTAATTGCACTAAAGATGGAGTTCATTCAACACTGACGTCAGTTAAAAGTAGCTGTAAGTATTTTAGGTGAACAGTGTCTGTAGCTCAGAGTAACACACACACACACACACACACACTCAGACCCCTGTAAGGAAAAAGACTTTTATGGAAATATTTAAATTCTGCTTCTCAGAGTCATTCAAACTTTATTTTGGGTCCACCGTGTGTGATCATGTGACCGCTGTCGCCGGGCAGATTAACCGTCTGACTGCAGGACGGGACAGTTTGATTCCAACATCAGAGAAACTCTTTTTTTCCATGTTTATTAAACGTAAACATGTTTTCTCAGTTTGTCAGAGCGACGTCTCTGCTGTTAGACGACAGATTTTAATACTTCTTAACTTAAACGTAAAAACTCGCCACCACCAGGGAGGACAGGGATACCGCTGAAGACGAAGAGCCTGCGTCCTTTCTCATGTTTTTCCTCTGGCGACGTCCACGGCTAACCTGACACGCCACTTAGACTGTTACTCAAATCCATGACCTTGGATGTAGTTCTCGTCCCTCTGGACTCTACGCAGACGCTGAAGGACAGAGCCTTTAAAAGACTCAAGAGGTCGACAGGACAAGTAGCCAATCAGAGCAATTACACATATGAGGTACTAATCGTAGAGTAAACCACGTAACGACGAACCGCCTTTGTCTCGTCAACACATGAATTTAACGACGTGTTAAATCAGGACCGATCGGGTTTGAGAAACAGGATCAGGATCAAACTCTTCCTTTGGCTGGAAAACATGAAGATCATGTCGCAGTTTAAACAGACGCTCTATTGATAAAGATCATATCTGTAGCCCCGCCCCTCTTTGATTCTGGTTGGTTAAAGTTAAAGAAGCGACATCGACAAGCGCAGCTTTCTGAGGGTTGAATTTAATAAAGCTGCTGAAGCTGAGGGAGTTAATTCACTGAAGCGCTGAACTGAATGTAGTTTGTAAAGTTAGTTCGTCACTGCAGGAGCTACGTCACCTTAAAACTCTAATAATTAAAAAAATAAAAAATTTTATTAACCAGTTAATTAACGTTACCTCTGAAACTGAGCTGATGTTGGTTAGTCCAACCTTTGTGACCTGATTGGTAGATTAACCCCCGATATTCAACGCATCTGGAACGGCGGCGATTTTCGGAGTCCTCCAATTTCAACCAGATCCGTTTGAGCGGCGAATTTCATGGCGGATTACAGACAGCAGGAATCACAAGAAATCACAAGAACCTGCAGATTCACGTTCAATCGCTTGATAACGAGTCGTCTCTATAAAGACAGACACATAGACATATAAGCAGTAGATTGTGTCCTTCCAGAGGAGGAAATCTACTTCTAGACTTCTAGAATCAGCATCTCCTCATCCATGGTGTCATCGGGGTGAAATGACGTCTAAAAACCTTTCACTTGTTCGTCTCCGCCCGTTTGCATGGTGTGAAATACGATCCTCCTGAAACACGGAGTGTTTTATTTTGAAAAGAAGCAGGATGTTTTATTTTGTGTCTGTGCCCGACTTCCTTTCCAGCACGGGTTAATCTGTGCTGAATTTATCCGCCATGCTCCGGCGTCCAGAAAAAATAGAACTCTTGTGATCAGCTGAGGAGTCCGGCGATCCGCAGAGGAACGGAAAGAAGTCGGTGTAAATTGACACGTTAACTTGAATGGTTACGATCAGCTACGATCGGAGGATACGACCTTTTAGGAGACGATCAGGATGAAGGTGGAGGTCGGGGGTAACAGTGTTTCATGTAGAAATGATTCTCCAGCGTCTCAATGGTCTTCAGCGATTAAATATTAGCATGCTAGCGTTTACAAAAGATAAACTCAGCAATGATTCTAATCCAAGTTTATCGATGAAGAAAATCTAAAAACAACAAAACGCTGACCACAGATTACAGATAAAGATGATAAATTATGGATTATAACAAATATAGATTACATTTATACTCAGTTTGAATGTTGGGATGAAACTGTCCGCCTCCTGCTGACCAATAATCATTCACCCAATCTGACCAATCAGCACGCAGAGAAGAGGCTCCGCCTGCTGAAGGTGTGGTGAACAGGTGAGCTGTGGGTCAGGGATGCTCCAATCAGAGTTAGTAACATGATCTGAAGCTGCTCACTGATTGGTCCACATTTGATCAATCAGCCAATCACTGGACAGCTTCAACCGGCAGATAGTAAAGTACCTGAGCCGCCACTCACCTGGTGACGGTGCGTAAGATGACATCACAGGTGAGCCCCTCAGCTTTTCATGCTAACTGTTAGCATGTCATTAGCTTGTCCTTCAGAGAATTTAGTTCTTTGATGCTCTTACCGCAAATACTAGCATTAGCATTAGCATCAGCACTTCCTGTTTGAGTCACAATGACGCCATTTCTCTTGATCTTCAAGGTCACCTCACAAGGTCACCATTGTGTCTTTGTGCTGTTGGGAGCTCTGGGTTAGCAGCTAAGCTAACGTAGCTAATGATCAGACTGCTAACACATTAGCCTGGCAGCAACATGCTAACGTTCTGATCCGGTCCGTCTTGTCGGACTTTAAATCATGAGACCATCAAACTTCGTCAGAAACAGCTCACTGTGGGCGGAGCATCCCTACCTGGAGTCTCTGGTCGTCATGGTGACAGCATTCAAACAAACACCTGTCAGGTGAGGACTGTTGTTCATGTCATAGAGAAGCTGCATGTCCATGTTTTAGCGTGTCATCTTCGTACGTACGGTGAGAATTATCTTAGATCCACACGATTCAAAACGACTCTTCAGATTTAACTCGTGCTAACTCGTGCTAATCGAGGGATGCTAATAGCAAAAACAAGCTAAGACTTTAGGCTGACAGGTGAGTGTACCTGTCAGGTGTAACACTAGTGTTTAGGTTTTCTCTGCAGTCAGAAATTGTTTGTAACATTGAAGAGTTTTTTTTTATATTTATCATTTCTTATGTATATTTGTTTTCTAAGAAAAATAATAAAAACGAAACTTTGACCTGAAGTTTGCTCTTGACTCCCGACGCTGCTGCTGCGAGAAGATCGGAGACGTAAATCTGAGGAGTTATTTAAAGGGACGGTGTTTGAGTTTAAAGGTCCTGGGAGGAGTTTCTGTGACGTCACATGAATTATTTTTTATAATGTAGAAAAGTAAATGCGACTGTCGAGGATTTACGAACTTTGACACCTGAAACAGCCTGTTTTTACTGTTTTCATGTCAAATATTTACTATAAAAGATAAATTTGACTGTCAAAGGTCAGGATGAGATTCTTAAGAAAAATATATATTAAAAATCATCTCGGTCATTTTATACGGGAAATAGAAGGATTTTGTGTTTTTCACCATTAAAAGTAAAAGTGATATGGTGCAAAAAGGGTAAAACATCGAATTTTCTCATTCATCATTTTTTTAATGGTTAGGGCTGAAGTCGTTTAAGAAATATGAGTCAAAAAAAAAGTTAAATAATTATTTCATCAACACTTTTCTGCATGTCTGTTTTGGGGACAAAGTCGGCTGGATGGAGCTTAAATACGAAATCGGCACAACAAAAAGAATTTAAATGCACCAAAATCAGTTTTACTTATCGTCATTGACATGAACCAAACTCTATTTATCAAAGAAAAATTTTATCTGTCATTTTATATGGAAAATACAGCGATTTTGTGTTGTTTTTTTACCATTAAAAGTAACACTGACATGGTGCACAAGAACTGTCATAAAAAGGGAAATACATGCAATTTTTAATTCATTTTTTTTATGGTCAGGGCTGAAGTTGTTCAAGAGATTTGAGTTGAAAAAGAAGAAAAAATGTTAAAAAATGATTATTTTATTTGTCCGTTTCGGGGACAAATTAGGCTGGATGGAGCTTCAAATGAACAGGAACTGAGGGTTAAGAAGAAGAAGAAGACACCATGGATGATTGTCTACAGAGGGCGCCAAATTTCACACAAACTGAAAGTCACTCACAGGAGCTTTAATGATTTTCTACGACCTAAAAGAGTTCAGACTCGTTTAACTGCGTCAGTAATTAACAGCTGTAACAAGGTGAAGTAAACCCTGTGTGATGTCTTTGTATCTTATATATTCTGTATAGATATCAGGGCGGCCAAGTTTCAGAAAATGACAGGAGTCAGACTTCAGCGTTATGATGTTAAAAAAATGTGACCTTTGTTATCGTGGATTTATACCTTCAGACTGATGTCCTCACCTCCATGTCAGCCGCTCTCCTAATGATCGTCTTAATTAACCAGAAATTAGAAATGAAAATTGTAACAAGAATTTTGACAAAGTACATTTATTCGTCAATATTAAATTTTAACCAACTTTCCATCATTTATCAGGGAACATGTCTCGTGTTGTAGGAGTTTGTGGCGAAGAGACCCGCCTGATGTTGCTTCTGATTGGTTTATATTGCCCGGTGCCTTCCATGGTTGGTTAGATTTTAGTCACATGATGGATTGGTTATCTAAATAAATACAGAGTAGTGAATGGGGAAATATAAGTGTGGCGTGAGAACGGGTCAAACTGCGCGGCTGTCACACTTCAGGCGTGACACTCGGCAGCTCTGATGTATATATTTATAAATTTATATATATAGAGAGAGAGATGAGTCAGTTGGTCATGAATGAGCCCAAGATGTCCAACAGGAACTGATTCAGCCAAAACTGGAGTTTAAAGAAGATTTATGTGCAAAACAACAAAAACAACAAAAACACATTTAAGCTCAGCTGTGAACACGGAATAACGACAACGACTCTGGTGAAGAAAGACACTCAGGAAATGAGTCCTCACACACACACACACACACACGTTAGTATAACACTGTTCAGTTACTATAACAGTAATCGTCACCATAATAACCACAGACTCAGACTGCTCCACCGTGTAAATGTAACTGAAATAAATGTTAAAGCGCAGGGAGAAGGCCGAGTTAACCTGAGCGTGAAATCCAGCAGCAAAGATCATCAGTGATGAGATTCAGAGTCCGAACTGTGAACGTTTGTGCCACCAGGTGTCACTAAAGTCTAACCGGTCGACTGACTTCTTCTCCAGTACCAGCTGAGGACTTCCCAGCAGGGGTCCAACTCTGAACTCGGTGAAGAGAGAGAGAGAGAGGAGTGAAGACGTCACAGAGTCTCTTCGTTCGTCTGGTTTCAGCAGCAGCAGAGGTTTCTTTCTTACTGTTTGAGATCTATTTAACACTATCGGTCCAGTGTGAGAGGATTGTGGGTAATGTAGTCAATAAAAAAGAGGTCTGAATCGATGTTTCATCAAGACAGAGGACAAGGAGAATTTCTAGAGGACAAACAAAGGTGTCAGTCACCTTCACGGTTACAGCTGCAGAGCTCAGAGGTCCTCGTCGTCCTCGCTGACCCCAGCGTCCAGCTCTTTGTCTTTACGCACGGGGATCTCCGTGACGAACTCCCGCTGCTGCTCCTCCAGCTCTCGCAGCTCCGCCTGCAGGCGCTCCAGGTGCAGCGCTCGCCGGTTCTTCAGCAGGCGACCGGGGAAAGGGTTCATGTCGGTGAAAGCGATGCTGATCAGCCTCCTGCGAGTCAAACAGATCCGTCAGCGTTAAAGTCGGATCTACAGACGGTCAATGTCAAGTTTATTTATATAGCACCTTTATAGGACAGGCCAGACAAAGTGCTTTACAGGAGAAAAAAGAAAAAGCATAAAATAATAAAAGCTACAAATATGGCAACATTAAAAGTGCAACATACAATGACAACAGTAAAAGAAAAGCGTACGCGAGTAAAAGCAGGTGACAACTCAGCCAAAGGCTAGGGTAAACAGGTAGGTCTTAAGGTGCGTTTTGAAGGAGGTGAGGCTGGTTGCAGAACGCACAGACAGAGGCAGGGCATACCACAGAGTGGGAGCAGCAACCGCGAATACCCGATCCCCTCTGCTTTTCAACTGGGTTCTCGGCACATCTAAAACCATCCGGTCAGCAGACCTCAGGGATCTGGTGGGTCGGTGCGCCTTGACAAGGTCGGATAAATACTCTGGGGCCAGCCCGTGCAAAGACTTAAAAGCAAATAAAAGAATTTTAAAATCAATCCTGAACTTGACTGGGAGCCTCCCGTTTCTTGGTTCCGGTCAGGAGACGAGCAGCAGCATTTTGCACAAGCTGTAGACGGTTAATTTCAGTTTGGCTGATGCCAAAATACAGCGAGTTACAGTAGTCAAGGCGAGACGAGATAAAAACATGGATAACCTTTTCCAGATCTGGCCTCCTAAGATAAGGCTTGACTTTTGCCAGTAGCCGAAGCTGAAGAAAAGTAGCCTTCACAACGGAGCTGATCTGCTTGTCCAGCTTAAGAGCCCCATCAACAATGACACCTAGGTTTCTGGCCTGGGAACCTATATAGGGTACTAAGGGGCCGAGGGAGCTGGCAAGGACCTTGACGGTGTCAGGGTTGCCAAAGAGGACAATCTCAGTTTTGTTTTCATTTAATTTTAAAAAGTTCAGGTCCATCCATGTTTTAATATCCCTCAAACAGTTGAACACGGTCCTAGATCTTTAAGGTCAGATTTAAAACTTTGAAATTAAAGGGGTAAGAAACAGCGGAATATCCCTTTAACGTTCAAACATCAAATCATTTTCAGAAGAACCCTGAGTCTGATGGACTCGGACGATTCTGGAAACTGAACCGACCGCGGTGTCACACAGAGAAGGAGGAGTGTGGAGATGCTCCTGCACAGGTGAGACAGGTGAGTGAGACAGGTGAGTGAGACAGGTGAGTGAGACAGGTGAGACAGGTGAGTGAGACAGGTGAGTGAGACAGGTGAGACAGGTGAGTGAGACAGGTGAGACAGGTGAGTGAGACAGGTGAGACAGGTGAGTGAGACAGGTGAGTGAGACAGGTGAGACAGGTGAGTGAGACAGGTGAGACAGGTGAGTGAGACAGGTGAGACAGGTGAGTGAGACAGGTGAGACAGGTGAGTGAGACAGGTGAGTGAGACAGGTGAGACAGGTGAGTGAGACAGGTGAGTGAGACAGGTGAGTGAGACAGGTGAGTGAGACAGGTGAGACAGGTGAGTGAGACAGGTGAGTGAGACAGGTGAGACAGGTGAGTGAGACAGGTGAGACAGGTGAGTGAGACAGGTGAGTGAGACAGGTGAGACAGGTGAGTGAGACAGGTGAGACAGGTGAGTGAGACAGGTGAGTGAGACAGGTGAGACAGGTGAGTGAGACAGGTGAGACAGGTGAGTGAGACAGGTGAGTGAGACAGGTGAGACAGGTGAGTGAGACAGGTGAGTGAGACAGGTGAGTGAGACAGGTGAGTGAGACAGGTGAGACAGGTGAGTGAGACAGGTGAGTGAGACAGGTGAGACAGGTGAGTGAGACAGGTGAGACAGGTGAGTGAGACAGGTGAGTGAGACAGGTGAGACAGGTGTGAGTGAGACAGGTGAGACAGGTGAGTGAGACAGGTGAGTGAGACAGGTGAGACAGGTGAGTGAGACAGGTGAGACAGGTGAGTGAGACAGGTGAGACAGGTGAGTGAGACAGGTGAGTGAGACAGGTGAGACAGGTGAGTGAGACAGGTGAGACAGGTGAGTGAGACAGGTTAGTGCGTACCTGCTGTCAGAGATGGTCTTGGTGAAGAAGCGCAGGTACTGGTAGATCTCCACACCGTCTCTGATCTTCAGGATGTCCTCCTCTTTGTATTTAAACAGAGCCAGAGCGTACCTGAAGATCACCTGGAGCAGGAACCGGACAGGTGAGAAAACAGAACCTCTGTGTGTGTGTGTGTGTGTGTGTGTGTGTGTGTGTGTGTACCTTGGTGCCCTCGTACAGGAAGGCGTCCCACAGCGGCAGCAGGATGTCACTGGGCAGACCCTCCACGAAGACCACCATGAACCAGTTAAAGGAGACCAGAGACACGTCGATGTTGTGATCCTCAAAGTGGGCCGCCAAACGGGGGAGTTTCTCCGAGAGGAGGTCCTTCAACACACGCTGGTCTGCCTGAACACACACACACACACACACACACACACACACACACACACGCACACACACACACTCTCCTGAGGTCTGATGGATCTAAATCTAACACTCTTTAGGAAAGGACAACTGGACTTACGTAAGTCCAGTTGTCCTTTCAACGTAGAACTAGAAATCATAGATGCTGCATCCTCAGTTTTAAACAACATCTCCAGGTTTAGGAGGAACATCTGCGTCCATCCAGACAAAGAGTTTTTCAGAGAAGACCTTCAGATGATCCAGAACCAGATTCAGACAACAGGAGAAGAGTCCTGGACTGATGCATGTCCCCCATTTGGACCCCAAAACCAGGACCAAGGAGACCCTGAACAGTGGAGAAGTCTAACTGGTGAACTGACCTGAGAGGCCACCAGGTTCTTGGTGTAGTAGTCCTGAGGCATGATGGTCTCCACCACGGTCACCAAACACCAGAAGGCGTCCTCCTCGTTCTGAAGGACCAGCAGAGCGAGGGCGGCCAATCTAAAGGGACAGACAGGTCACATGACCCGTGTTTACTCTCAGAACAACGGGAGGACATGTGTGAGTCCTGCTGAGCGGACTCACCTGTTGAGACCCTGGCAGTAGCCAATGGCGGGGTTCTGCCAGGAGAAGGCCAATAGGATGCGGTGGAGCTGCTGGAGGGCGGGGCTAGAGGGTGAGCAGAAATTCTGATTGGTGGTGAGGGTGCGGTGGAGGTCGAGCTGGATCTGTCTGCAGGCGGGGTGAGGAGAGGTCCGACTCTTCTCACAGAGCTGAAACACAAGAAGACCCACCTGAGGAGACCCGCAGTGACTGACAGCTGTGACAGGTCTAGGCCTGAACCCGGTCTAGAGCAGGTGTGCTCCTCCCTCCTACCTGTTGGTAGCGCTCTAAGTGCTGCTCTCTCATGGTTCTGGTTCTGGCTCGGACCAGCCAGCGCCACACCTGCTGTCTGTACTCCTGAGGGACGCCGGCTCTCAGAAGACCTTTGAGCTCGGGTGAGGGGACGAGGTCATCGTCAAGGCGACCCGCCAGGTACTGAGCCCAGCGAGCCAGCAGGGGGCGCTCTCCTCGCTCCTGCAGGTAAAACCAGGACACACACTTTTTTTTATCCAGCTAAAAAAGTACAAACAAGTATTTGGCAGCCACTGATTCTGCAAGTTGTCCCACTTTAAAAGATGAGAGAGGTTCTGTCAACTCTGAGAGACAGGATGTAAAATCACATTGTTTGATTTATAAAGAATTTATTAGTATGATGGTGCAGAAAACGAGTATTTAGCTCCTACAAACAAGCAAGTATTCTGTTACTTCGTCATTAAGAAGCTCTTCTATCCTCCACTTTTTACCTAAATTTACGTCACCTGTTCGAACTCATTATCTCTATAAAAGACACCTGTCCACACCCTGAAACTGTCAGACTGTAACCTCTACACTGACTAAAGAGCGGTCTGAGGACACCAGGGACAAGATTTTACACCTGATCAAAACTGGGATGAGCCGATCTACACTCAGCAGGCAGTCTGGTGAGAAGAAATCAATCAATCAATCAAATTTTATTTATATAGCGCCAATTCACAACAGTCGTCATCTCAAGACGCTTTTCAAGGAACAAGAGCAGGTCTGGACCACGCTCATTGTTTGATGATCAAGAACCAACCTAAGATGGGTTTTGGCCCATCTCAACTAACATGAGTTACAGTGGCGAGGAAAAACTTCCTTTAACAGGCAGAAACCTTGGGCAGGACCAGACTCATGCTAGACAGCCACCATGCCGCTGCTGGGTTGGGGAGGAATGTAGAGAGAAGAGGGGAGAGGGGGAGAGGACAGGGGAGGGAGAGAGACAACAAGATGGGGGAAAGGCGAGAGAGAATTAGTATGGAGAGGGAGGGGGAGGGAGAGAGAGTAGGGAACGAGGGTGAGAGAGAGACAGGAGGCAGCAGGAACAACAGCAACAACAACAACAGCTCATGTAATGGTGAAACAAAAAGACGTTCAGTTTACAGGTTTAGGATATGAGTGATAATGGACAATGTTAAATTAATTGAGTGTGATTACAGTTAGCAGGCTTAATCGTAGTCAGTTCTATTTTGTATTATTAATGTCAATAATGACAGTGAGGCTGATGTTCATGTCTGCAGTAACAGTAACAGTCCAGAGGAATCAGAGAGAAGAAGGAGCTCAGGGCCGGGGGAGAGGGGGGGGGAGCCAAAGAGTTGGAGGAGCTCAGGGCCCAGGATGGATGCAGCTGGGGTCAGGCAGTTCCGCAGCAGACCTGTTTGCAGCATTAGTCCAGTGGCAGCTAAAAGACTCAGAGACACTCAGAGAGACAGAAAACTGGTCAGTGACTTACATGGGACATAAAGATCTAAAGAGGAGATAGAGACAGACTCTAGCTCAGTGTGCCAGATAGCCCCGGCAGTCTAGGCCTATAGCAGCATAACTAAGAGCTGGTTCAAATCAGCCCTGACTATAGGCTTTATCAAAGAGGAACGTTTTAAGTTCATCAACTGTTGGAGCAAATATCAGCTCACTGACAATCTCCCTCAACCTGGGGCTCCACGCAAGATCTCACCTCCTGGGGTACAAATGATCTTGAGAACGGTGAGGAAACAGCCCAGAACTACACTGGAGGAACTGGTCAATGACCTGAAGAGAGCTGGGACCACAGTAACAAAGGTTCCTATTAGTAACACAAGACGTCGTCATGGATTAAAATCCTGCAGTTCTGAAGTTTACCAAAGACCATCTGGATGATCCAGAGGAGGATCGGGAGAATGTCATGTGGTCAGATGAGACCAAAATGGAACTCTTTGGTTTAAACGCCACTCGCCAAGAACACCGTACCCACTGTGAAGCCTGGGGGTGGAAACATTATGATTTGGGTCTGCTTCTCTGCAAAGGGGACAGGACGACTGATCCGTATGAGGGACAGGATGAACGGGGCTGTGTATCGGGAGATTTTGGGCAAACACGACTGGATCTTCCAACATGACAATGATCCCGAACACACACCGCCCCGGCAACAAAGGAGTGGGAACGTAAAAAGCATCTCAAGGTTCTGGAGTGGACTAGCCAGTCTTCGGACCTCAATCCAATCTGTGGAGGGAGTTGAAAGTCTGTGGTTCCCAGCGACAGCCCCGAAACATCTCAGCTGTTGAGAAGATCTGCATGAAGAATGAACCAAAATACCAACTACAGTGCAAACCTGGTGAAGACCTACAGGAAACCTTTGACCTCTGTCATCGCCAACCAGGGTTACATTACAAAGTATTGAGGTGAACTTTAGTTATTGATCAAATACTTATTTTCTGCACCATAATACTAATAAATTCTTTATAAATCAAACAACATGATCTGTCTCTTAGAGTCGAAGTTTACCGATGATGAACATGACAGACCTCTCATCTTTGAAAACGGGACAACTTGCAGAATCAGTGGCTGTAAAACACTTTTTTCCACTGCTCCACTGTGTGTGTGTGTGTGAGTGTGTGTGTGTGTGTGTGTGTGTGTGTGTGTGTGTGTGAGTGTGTGTGTGTGTGAGTGTGTGTGTGTGTGTGTGTGTGTGTGTGTGTGTGTGTGTGTGTGTGTGTATGTATGTGAGTGAGTGAGTGAGTGAGTGTGTGTGTGTGTATGTATGTGAGTGAGTGAGTGAGTGTGTGTGTGTGTGTGTGTGTGTGTGTATGTGTGTGTGTGTGTATGTGAGTGAGTGAGTGAGTGAGTGAGTGTGTGTGTGTGTGTGTGTGTATGTGAGTGAGTGAGTGAGTGAGTGTGTGTGTGTGTGTGTGTGTGTGTGTGTGTGTGTGTGTATGTGAGTGAGTGAGTGAGTGTGTGTGTGTGTGTGTGTGTGTGTGTGTATGTGAGTGAGTGAGTGAGTGTGTGTGTGTGTGTGTGTGTGTGTGTGTGTGTGTGTGTATGTATGTGAGTGAGTGAGTGAGTGTGTGTGTGTGTGTGTGTGTGTGTGTGTGTGTGTGTGTGTGTGTATGTGAGTGAGTGAGTGAGTGAGTGTGTGTGTGTGTATGTATGTGAGTGAGTGAGTGAGTGTGTGTGTGTGTGTGTGTGTGTGTGTGTGTGTGTGTGTGTATGTGAGTGAGTGAGTGAGTGAGTGAGTGTGTGTGTGTGTGTGTGTGTGTGTGTGTGTGTGTGTGTGTGTGTGTGTGTGTGTGAGTGAGTGAGTGAGTGAGTGAGTGAGTGAGTGAGTGTGTGTGTGTGAGAGTGAGTGTGTGTGTGTGTGTGTGTGTGTGTGTATGTGAGTGAGTGAGTGAGTGAGTGTGTGTGTGTGTGTGTGTGTGTGTGTGTGTGTGTGTGTGTGTGTGTGTGTGTGTGTGTGTGTGTGTGTGTGTTACCTGGTGCAGCAGGTTGTGTGAGCGGATCTCCAGCGCCTGGATCTTTGCGAGCAGCTTCATGTCCTCGACCTCGTAGTCGGGGATGATCTTGAACCCGTACTCGTCGTGTTCTCTGAGGACAAACATGTCAGACAGCTGTTTTCAAGGTCACCCCCCCACACACACCTTTAACGGTCCGGCTCACCTGGCCAGGTTCAGGTTCATCTTGCTGTTCTTCAGCTCCACCTTCAGAGCGTCCTCGATCCTCTTCTGGACGGCCGCCTGCTGGTCCGGGTCCAGAGCTTTCACCTCCTGCAGCTGCCTCAGGACACTCAGGTACCGGCTCTCCACCTGACAGTTACCCGCCTCCAGGTGAGCACACTGCAGCCAATCAGAGCACAGGACACACAGGTTAAACTCAGGACTCCTGGAGCTGTGAGGATCTGGTCCCGGTCTGACCCACCTTCATCATCAGACTCTTCTCCTGCTCGGAGCTGGTCCTCCACAGCTGGGTCAGCTGCTGGATCTCAGAGTTCAGGAACCGGTTCTGGGTCTGATACGCCTTCAAGTCATCCTGAACACACAGAGGAACACCTTTACACCTGAGGAGGAGGAGGAGGAGGTCTCCTCTGATCAGACCCTCAGACCCTCAGGTCCGTCTGGTTCTCACCTGCAGGTTCTCCATCTTCTGCCGGAGCCGTCTGAAGGTCTGAGAGTCTGAAGCTCCTCCAGGGGGCGGAGGGGGCGCCGCCATCAGGGTGGTCAGCTGATCAGAGAGCTTAACGATCACCTGACAGGAAACAACGAGGACAGGAAATGAGGAGGAGGTCTGGGGGTCCGAGTTTAGACCTGATTCAAGACCAGGACTTAGTGAGCCTGACTCAGTTAAGTGTGTGTGTGTGTGTGTGTGTGTGTGTGTGGTCACCTGGTCTCCTCAGGTGTGTCTTACCTCCTGCCGGGCCTTGTTTTTCTCCTCCAGCTCTCGGACTCTCTCCTGCAGCTCCATCACCTGGGCCTCGCTCTGAGCCTGACTCCTCCTCGCTGACTCCGCCTCCTCCCTCACCTCCTGCAGACGGGCTTGCAGGTCGGCGGTCTGTCGCTCCCGGTGACGTAGCAGCTCCAGACGCTCCTGCTCACCTGTCGCCGCCAGAAACTCGGCACAGGTGCGCTTCTCCAGCTGAGACGCCTCCAGAGCTTTGTGGAGGATCCAGACCAGCTCCTGAAGGGGGACACGCAGATCGTCAATAACCGGGTCGTTACTGTCAATCAAATATTGATGGTTACCGGAGAAGGAGGCTGCTGACCTTCTGGGCCTTCACCTCCTCCATCAGCGTCTGTTTCTCCTGCAGGAGGCGACTCGTCCTCTCAGAGGAGCTGGTGTCTCTGCGGAGGACCATCATGGAGCTGCGGTTCCTCGCCATCCTGCTCCAGCTGTCCAACAAAGACGAGGACTCCCTGCGCTCGGACGGGGTCACCCGACCTGTGGGCTCAGCCAACGGAAGCGCAGGGGGCGGAGTCTGGGGCTCGGTTGGCGTTCCAGGGGTCGGGGGAGCTGAGAGAGGTTGAGGAGGTTCTACAGAAGATCGACATGAAGCAGATGATCAGGAAACAGAACCGAAGGTCACAGGTAGGGCTCCTCCCTCACCTGTCCTTGTCCTCCCTCACCTGTCCTTGTCCTCCCTCACCTGTGCTGTTGGGGTCTGCAGGGTCCAGGTGAGTCGCTGACGGCGTTTCCACGTGAAACACGCTCTGACTCCACTCCTGAGACGACCTCTTCCTCAGACTGTGGACCGAGTTCCTGCGCACACAAACAAACAAACAAACCAGAATGTTCTTCATTTACTCAGAGCAGAGCATCATGGGAAATGTAGTCTCTGCTCTCCGTCACCGCAGCCTCTCACTGTTTCACACTCACTGGATCTCGATGAACGGGTGTTTGATTGACACGTTGGTGAGCGCCGCTCGTTGCGATGGCGTGTTGGCCGCCTCCTCACCCACCAGACCCAGCGGACTCTTCATCGCTGGCAGGAAGTCATCTTCAGGAACAGGAAACAGAATTCAAAGAGGATAGACGCCCTCAGAGGTGTTATTACCTGAAGTCTGAACCCTCTGACCCAGAAACAGAAACCTGCAGAGCTGGTTTACGGTCAGACCTCCTGAAATCCTGATCAGCTGATGTCTGAGACTCTAAATCCTGCAGAGTCCGGCGGCAGGAACCTGTTTTGTTTCACGCTCACCGAGCTCTGGAGTCATGTGACCGCGTGTTAGAGCAGAGGTCAGTCATCTTTACACCGACTGAATGAAACAAACAGACCAGCTGCTCCAGGTTTACAGAGGCGTCACTGTTTAAAATTTCAAAATAAAAGCTTGACAAAAAAACATCTCGTTCTCGTTTCTTCTCTGGTGATGAGGATTTTATGGTCATGATAACCGTGGAGTGAAAAAGTTAATTATAGAAACTCACAATAATATTCAGGTCAAGACACACATTATTTTCAGAGGATGAGGAGAACAGACGGCGATTTAATGTGAAGCAGCAGTTTGGAGGACAACGTTCAGACAGACGTGTGTTTCTGTGGTCGGGGTTTAAAAGGTGGAATACAGAATAATTTAAAGGGCTGCACAAACATATTTGTTTGTTTGCAATTATCATGGATCAACACCAGATTTATGATCCCAGCGTTTGGGGACGTCAACAAAAATCATCTTTCAGTAACTGGATCTGTCTTCTCCAATATAAGTCCATCTGCATGTTCACATGATGTTGCCATGAACTGCGTTCATCTCCTCCCTGTGGTTACCAAGATGATTTCTGTATAAATAAGCTCTCAAAGCTGGGATGTTGAAATTATTTATCCGCTTTACAAGGCAGGACTAAGAAATATTACATGAAGGGGAGGAAACATCAGGCTTTAGATTATAAAACTGCATTTTTTCACTTTATTAAACAAAGTAAAATAATAAAACATGAAGCTGACGGGTCGTGTTTTGTGATATTGCAGATGTTCTGATGAGGACGCTGACTTTGCTCTTGTTTGTTTCCTTTTATGTGATTGTAATATTGTTTGTAAAGTTAAAGGAAAATAACCTGAAGTGGACAGACCGTCTTACATTACTGTTCGTTTCTGTTTTGAGTGAAGGGAAGGTAAAATAAGCTTTATCTCATGTGCTGTGCTGCTTTTGTTAAATGACTTTTGTATTTATGGAAATGCTTCAAAATAAAAAACTAAAAATCAGATATGATGACAGCTTGAACATGAAATACATCACCGCTCTCCTTCAGCTGGAGGATATTTGAAAGTCAGAAACTATAACTAATCACATTTTGTTATTTTCCATGTTGATGGATGCAGCCCACTGAGAAGAAGTCCACGATATCAGCCTTCACCAGGAGCCTTTGAACATGGAGGAAATCAGGGCGTCCTCTAAATCAACTGTTCCTGAGTTTTATCTTTAAAGGTTTGACTGAAATGAAGTCACAGCCTTAATGTCATACCAAGGCGACTCAATGTGCTTTACATAAAAACTAAACCTTTTTTTTTTTCTTAAAGAACAGCATTAAAAACACAGATAAAAGCAGGAGCAAGAGATAAAGTTTAAAAGGGTTAAAACGAGCTCAGCCATGAACAGAGAAATGTGGATTTAAAAGTTCTTACAGTCTGGGCTGATTTTAGTTCTGCTGGTCGTTTTGTTCCACGTGTGTGAAGCAGCAGAATAACAGCTGAATGCTGCTTCAACATGTCGGGTTCGAACTCTGTGCTCCACTATCTGACCTGAATCAGTCGATCTCAGAGCTCTACTGGGTTTATACTCGACTAACAGATCAGTCATGGATTCTGGACCAAAGATTTGTCAGCTGTCTTCTGTCATTTCATAATTAATAATCAACTATAAAATACAGCCTTCCCATCCCTGTGTGTGTGTGTGTGTGTGTGTGTGTGTGTGTGTGTGTGTGTGTGTGTGTGTGTGTGTGTTACCTGCAGTGTTGTTGTTGTTGTTGTGTGTCAGCTCTGTACAGGTGGACGTCTGCCTGTGCTGCCAGCGTTTCACCTGAAGCTGCTGCAGCCAGTAGAGCATCAGGTCCTGAGTCACAGCCTGAAACAGAGAGAGGTTCGAACCCTGAGGATGATGAAGATGATGAAGATGATGAAGATAAGGAGGAGGAGGAGGAGGAGGAGGAGACCCATCAGCTGATTCATGTTTCATCAGTTCAGGTTCTGCTGGACCGTCTCTGACCTACCTTGAGTACGAAGGTGCGTTCAGGTGTCTTGATGTGGAAGGTTCCTCTCTCGGCGTTCAGAGGGTAAGTGAAGGTGGCGTTGCAGAGCTCCACCCGGCCCAGCGGCATCACATCCTGTGGCGTTCGGTAGTAGAAAAGCTGGTTCTTCTTCTCCTCGTAGGTGAACCAGCGCTGCTTCCAGGTCCTCAGAGGACCCGCCTGCTTCAGCAGGAAGCCGCACAGTTTAGGTTCACCTGAAGAAGAAGGAGGAGGGCGGGAAAACACCTGCTCACTGAGGAGGTCAGAGGTCGGGGGCGGAGCAGGTGGAGCCAGGGTTACAGAAGGAAGCGAGATGTTCTGATGGTCTGCAGAAGGAGGAAGAGGAGGAGTCTGCTCAGTGTCCAGGTGAGAAGAAGGGGGAGGAGTCTTCTTACTGTCCAGGTGAGGAGGAGGGGGAGGAGTCTGCTCAGTGTCCAGGTGAGAAGAAGGGGGAGGAGTCTTCTTACTGTCCAGGTGAGGAATAGGGGGAGGAGTCTGCTCAGTGTCCAGGTGAGAAGAAGGGGGAGGAGTCTTCTGACTGTCCAGGTGAGGAGAATGGGGAGGAGTCTGCTCACTGTCCAGGTGAGAAGAAGGGGGAGGAGTCTGCTCAGTGTCCAGGTGAGAAGAAGGGGGAGGAGTCTTCTTACTGTCCAGGTGAGAAGGGGGAGGAGTCTGCTCACTGTCCAGGTGAGAAGAAGGGGGAGGAGTCCTCTTACTGTCCAGGTGAGGAGAAGGGGGAGGAGTCTGCTCAGTGTCCAGGTGAGAAGAAGGGGGAGGAGTCTTCTGACTGTCCAGGTGAGAAGAAGGGGGAGGAGTCTGCTCAGTGTCCAGGTGAGAAGAAGGGGGAGGAGTCTTCTTACTGTCCAGGTGAGAAGAAGGGGGAGGAGTCTGCTCAGTGTCCAGGTGAGGAGAAGGGGGAGGAGTCTGCTCAGTGTCCAGGTGAGAAGAAGGGGGAGGAGTCTGCTCAGTGTCCAGGTGAGAAGAAGGGGGAGGAGTCTTCTTACTGTCCAGGTGAGAAGGGGGAGGAGTCTGCTCAGTGTCCAGGTGAGAAGGGGGAGGAGTCTGCTCAGTGTTCAGGTTTGAAGGGGGAGGAGTCTGATGTTCTTGTTGGTCTTTGTATACCAGGTTTTGGGGTTCTGATAGTTTCCTGTTTGGACCTGAATCAGTCTGGTCCTCTAAAGGAGGAAGAAGATTTCTCTCATGTGTGGTTTTCTGATGATGGTTCTCCTGAGGGGTCTGGTTCTCCTGAGGGGTTGGGTTCTCCTGAGGGGTCTGGTTCTTCTGAGGGGTCTGGTTCTTCTGAGGGGTCTGGTTCTCCTGAGGGGTCTGGTTCTCCTGAGGGGTTTGGTTCTCCTGAGGGGTCTGGTTCTTCTGAGGAGTTTGGTTCTCCTGAGGGGTTTGGTTCTTCTGAGGAGTTTGGTTCTTCTGAGGGGTTTGGTTCTCCTGAGGGGTCTGGTTCTCCTGAGGGGTTTGGTTCTTCTGAGGAATTTGGTTCTCCTGAGGGGTCTGGTTCTCCTGAGGGGTTTGGTTCTCCTGAGAGTGGTCCAGTTCAGGTTTGGGACTTTGGGGATGTCCTGGTTTTTCTGGATCTGACTGAAGAGGACCTGGTTTTGGTGGGTCTTTGGGTCCCTGTTTTTCTTCAGGAGGAGATCCTGTCAGGTTTAGGAGATCTGGTTTCAGTGCCGGTACCACAGGATCTGTTTGGATCAGATCTTCAGTGGAACAAATCTGGTCTGGGTACTCTGCTGGACTCTGGGACCCTCTTTTAGAACTCTGTTGGGTCTTTGCAGGACTCTTGTGGGTCTTAGCAGGAACTTTGTCGGTCTGTACAGAACTTTTGTGGATCTCTCCAGAACTCTTGGAGGTTTCTTCAAGACCTTGAGGAATTAGGTCTTTGTTTCCAGAGTTCTGGTGAGTCTCTTTTGGTCTCTGTTGGATCTCTCCAGGACTCTGGAGTTTGTCCTCAAGACCTTTGTGGGGGTTTTCAGGTTCCTGTGGGGTCTCTCTGGGACAGTGGGTCTTTTTTGGACTCCGATGTTTGTCTTCAGGACTTTGGTGGGTCTCTTTTGGACTCTGTTTGGTCTTTGGACTTTGGTGAATCTTCCCTGAACTGTGTTGGGTCTCGTTAAGACTCCAGTGTTGGTTCTTTGGACTCAGTTGGCTCCCTTTGGGACTCTGTTGTGTCTCTTCTGGACTCTTTTGGGTTTTTTTGGTCTTTGGACTTTTGTGGGTCTTTCCTGAACTTTGATGAGTCTCTTCAGGACTCTGGTGTTCCTCCTTAGTACTCTGTGGGAAGGTCTCTTCTGGACTCTGTTGGGTCTTTCCTGGACTCTTTTTGGTTCCCTGAGGACTCTGGTGGTTCTGGCAGCTCTCCTCCAGACTTTGGTGGGTCACCTCTTGACTCTGTTGGGTTTTTTGGGTCTTTGGACTTTTGTGGGTCTTCCCTGGATTTTGTTTGGTATCCTTAAGACCCTGGTGTTGACCTTCTTGACTCTGCTGAGTCTCCTTAGGACTCCGTTCAGTCTGTTCTGGTTCTTGTTGGGTCTCTGTAGGACTCTGCAGGTTCTCTTGAGGACTCTGTTTGGTCTTTCCTGGTGTCTTTTGGGTCTTTTCTGGTTCTTGTTTGGTCTCGTTGGGGCTCTGGTTACTCTCTGTAGGACTCTTCTGGGTCTCTGTAGGACTCTGCTGGTCTGCTGGTTCCTCAGGGTTCTGGTTCCTCTCTCCAGGTCTCTGTTGGGTCTCTTTAGGACTCTTTTGGGTCTCTGTAGGACTCTGCTGGTTCTCCTCAGGGTTCTGGTTCCTCTCTCCAGGTCTCTGTTGGTTCTCTGTAGGTCTCTGTTGGGTCTTTTCTGATTCTTGTTGGTTCTCCTTAGGGAACTGGTTCCTCTCCCCAGGTCCCTGTTGGGTCTCTGTAGGACTCTTTTGGGTCTCTGTGGGACTCTGTTGGTTCTCCTTAGGGTTCTGGTTCCTCTCTCTGGGTCTCTGTTGGGTGTCTGTAGGACTCTGTTGGTTCTCTGTAGGACTCTTCTCGGTCTCTGTAGGTCTCTGTTGGGTCTTTTCTGGTTCTTGTTGGTTCTCTGTAGGACTCTGCTGGTTCTCCTCTGGGTTCTGGTTCCTCTCCCCGGGTCCCTGTTGGGTTTCTGTAGGACTCTGCTGGTTCTCCTCGGGGTTCTGGTTCTTCTCTCCGGGTCTCTGTTGGGTCTTTTTAGGATTTTTGTGTTTCTTCTTGGGTCTCTGGTGGACCTGGTTCCCAGTCAGACTGAGCGGTTCTGGTCTCTGCCCCGTGTCCTTCTTGTCAGCTGGTCGGAGCGTGTCGGGGTTGGGCTGGACAGGAAGTCGGCGAGACGAGGCAGCGCTGGGATTTCCTGCTGGTCCCTCTGATCCCTCTGATCCTTCCATCTTCTAAATAAGGAAAAACAGAGAGGGGGGGTAACAGATGTTCAAGAGGAAAGAGAGGTCTCAGTGTCAGCTCTAGTTTAGTCCTCAGTTTTAGTTTAGTTCTCAGCTCTAGTTTAGTTCTCAGCTGTAGTTTAGTCCTCAGCTGTAGTTTAGTCCTCAGCTGTAGTTTAGTCCTCAGCTGTAGTTTAGTCCTCAGCTCTAGTTTAGTCCTCAGTTGTAGTTTAGTCCTCAGCTGTAGTTTAGTCCTCAGCTCTAGTTTAGTCCTCAGTTGTAGTTTAGTTCTCAGCTGTAGTTTAGTTCTGAGCTCTAGTTTAGTTCTCAGCTGTAGTTTAGTCTTCAGCTGTAGTTTAGTTCTGAGCTCTAGTTTAGTTCTCAGCTCTAGTTTAGTCCTCAGCTGTAGTTTAGTTCTTTAGTCCTCAGCTGTAGTTTAGTTCTGAGCTCTAGTTTAGTTCTCAGCTGTAGTTTAGTTCTCAGCTGTAGTTTAGTCCTCAGCTCTAGTTTAGTCCTCAGCTGTAGTTTAGTTCTCAGCTCTAGTTTAGTCCTCAGCTGTAGTTTAGTCCTCAGCTGTAGTTTAGTCCTCAGCTCTAGTTTAGTTCTTTAGTCCTCAGCTGTAGTTTAGTCCTCAGCTGTAGTTTAGTTCTCAGCTGTAGTTTAGTTCTCAGCTGTAGTTTAGTCCTCAGCTGTAGTTTAGTTCTTTAGTCCTCAGCTGTAGTTTAGTTCTGAGCTCTAGTTTAGTTCTCAGCTGTAGTTTAGTCCTCAGCTGTAGTTTAGTTCTTTAGTCCTCAGCTGTAGTTTAGTTCTGAGCTCTAGTTTAGTTCTCAGCTGTAGTTTAGTCCTCAGCTCTAGTTTAGTTCTTTAGTCCTCAGCTGTAGTTTAGTTCTGAGCTCTAGTTTAGTTCTCAGCTGTAGTTTAGTCCTCAGCTGTAGTTTAGTTCTTTAGTCTTCAGCTGTAGTTTAGTCCTCAGCTCTAGTTTAGTTCTTTAGTCCTCAGCTGTAGTTTAGTTCTGAGCTCTAGTTTAGTCCTCAGCTGTAGTTTAGTCCTCAGCTCTAGTTTAGTTCTCAGCTCTAGTTTAGTTCTTTAGTCCTCAGCTGTAGTTTAGTTCTTTAGTCCTCAGCTCTAGTTTAGTTCTCAGCTGTAGTTTAGTCCTCAGCTGTAGTTTAGTCCTCAGCTGTAGTTTAGTTCTCAGCTGTAGTTTAGTTCTGAGCTCTAGTTTAGTTCTCAGCTGTAGTTTAGTTATCTGCTCTAGTTTAGTTCTCAGCTCTAGTTTAGTTCTCAGCTGTAGTTTAGTTCTCAGCTGTAGTTTAGTTCTCAGCTCTAGTTTAGTTCTGAGCTCTCGTTTAGTTCTCAGCTGTAGTTTAGTTCTGAGCTGTAGTTTAGTCCTCAGCTGTAGTTTAGTTCTCAGCTGTAGTTTAGTTCTGAGCTCTTGTTTAGTTCTGAGCTCTTGTTTAGTTCTCAGCTGTAGTTTAGTTCTGAGCTCTAGTTTAGTTCTCAGCTGTAGTTTAGTCCTCAGCTGTAGTTTAGTTCTCAGCTGTAGTTTAGTCCTCAGCTGTTGTAACCTATTAAAGTTGATCTTAAACGATGATGGCCTAAACCTGCTCTCTCTCTCTCTCTCTCTCACAGACTCGGTCTCCTTCAGGTTCATTCATGACAGTTTTTCTGATTCCTCAGAAAGTTTGAACAGGAGGAGGAGGAGGATCGGTCTGTCATTTCAAATGTGATCATTTCTGTGGTTAAACTGAAGAAAAATGTGAAAAACTGGGAGTTTCTATTTTTAAGCAGAATGTGAACAAACTGAAGGTTCAGAGAAAAAACGGTTTAATGACACATAATGACAGGAAGAGGCTCATAATCAGCGAGCGTGACACACACAGACCAACATCACTCATGCTGTTCCTATGAAACCTCTGAACCTCCCTGTGTGCTGACTCAGGGTCCGACAGCCAGGGTCCGACCTGAGGCTCAAACCAGGACTAAACCTGCAGGGAAGATCTGATTGACTGGATGTGAAACTGGAACAAGATCCAAAACCAAACAGAGTGTCAGTCTTTAGCTGAAATGATCAATAACTTTAGTGATCTCTTCCCTTTTTGATCATTTACTTCAATAGTGAGGTTCAGGTTTACTCCAAAAGACTAAACAATCACACACCTGTCCTCTCAGAGACCGGGAGGCAGACCCCCTCTGGACTTTTCTTTTCTGTGGTTTAACGTGAGGGCTGCTTCAGGCTTGGACTGATTTTGAGTATGCTGTTAAAATGGGTCTGATACAGACTTAGACTAACACGAACTTAGACTTAGAGTAATACAGACTTACACTAACTTAGACTTAGACCAATATAGACACTAATACAGACTTACACTAACTTAGACTTAGACTAACTTAGACTTAGACTAATATAGACTTACACTAACTTAGACTAATATAGACACTAATACAGACTTACACTAACTTAGACTTAGACTAACTTAGACTTAGACTAATATAGACTTACACTAACTTAGACTAATATAGACACTAATACAGACTTACACTAACTTAGACTTAGACTAATATAGACTTACACTAACTTAGACTAATATAGACTTACACTAACTTAGACTAATATAGACACTAATACAGACTTACACTGCTGTAGGTGCAGAATGCTTTAAGCTCAGACTCTGATAAAATAAGTCTGATCCAGGTCTAAACTGCTGCAGGGTTGGACTGTTATAATCTTTGACTGCTGAGGGTTCAGACTGATTTTATTTCGGTGTAGTCTGACCTAAAGGATGTAGGCAGAAGTGATGCTTGTGAAGACCTCCTCCTTAAACCAGACATGGAGTCCATTATACAGTTATTATCCATTATTCTTGTAAAGTCTCTTAAAGTTCACCGGAGTACGACATTTTCTCATTTCTACAGTCGTTCCAGATTTTCACTCCTTTTTACAGACTCACAGAAATTTTTGACATTTGTTCACGTTTTAGTTTCTGATTTAGTTTCTTGATTTTTATACTGAATTATTTGTTTATTTCCAAATTTAATTTATTTAGTTTTGCCAGGATGGAGTTAAAGTTTATATTAAACTAGTCTGGTCTAAGTTAAAGCTGCTGTGAGCTGACACTGACAAACGTTTAGACCACTTTAGAGGGTCTGAGCAGGGGTTCCCAAGAACTCTTTAGGTTCTGGTTCTGTTCTTACAGAGACTGACTGTGTCTGGGTTTGGTCTTGGTTTCTGTTTGTTCATTAATTCTAAGTGGGTCAGGTTGTTTTCAGTCAGTCTGGTTCTGTTCTGGTTCTGTTGACGGTCTCTGCCTGTTAAAGACAGTATTTCTGTCTCTCTTGGGTTCTGATAGAATCGGTTCTGTTCTGAAAGTTCTAACTGTCTGACCTGGTTTGTTTTTTCCTCCTTGAGAACATTTTAAACACTGTTACACACACACACACACACACACACACACACACACACACACACACACACACACACACACACACACACATGTCCTAACCTGTTCAGAAACACACCTGAGTGTTTACCTGAAGGGGCGTGGCCGTAACCCACCTAGCTGGTTGCTGTGTGACAGTTGTTGTTGACTTCTTCTACTTCTTCTTCTTCATGTGTTGTTGTTGTTGTTGTTGTTGTTGTTTACATGTTCCCCGGATGTTGATGTTGTTGTTGTTGTCGTCTGTTTCTTCTCTCTCTCTCTTTCTTGTTTTTCTTCTCTAATCCCGTCTCTTTCTTGAGTTTCTCTTCCTGATCCTTCCCTCTTCCCAGCCGGCTGCTTAGTGTGTCAATCTCACATACACAGCAACCGCACCCAACTTCCGCTTCAGTGTTTCAAAATAAGAGCTCATGTTTAAGATTTCCTTCATTTGTCTGAAAATAATAAAATAATTCCTGAAAAGATAATCTATTCTTCTTCTCATCATTATTTTTTATTTTACTGAGGAATAAACCTTCAGTTATCACTGAGTTACATGTGAATAAACTCGTTTTTAATTTTACTTTTAGAGGAAGTGAACTCAGTGACTCAGTGAAGGAGGAAACTTCTGTTTCATTTTGAGTCATACCCTTTCCTGACATGTTTGACCTAAGATATGAAATCTTTGAAGGACTCATGTTCTCCTCTAATATTCGACCTTTATCTGAGTGTAAAATCTTCACTGAGGGAAAAAGAGGTTAGACTGAGAAAGTCGCTCATTTTCATGAGTTTTGGATCTCAGACTGAGATATTTAAACTTTACCTGAACTAAACCTTAATGACTGGATCTTAAAACCTGAATCACCTGTGGTCTTAAGTCTGTACCTGAGACGGTCTTTACTGCTGCTCTCCCCGCCTCAGACTTTGACGTTACTCTCACTCACATATTCAGTCCTGACTGAACTCTCTCTGGTCTGATGTTAAATATATATGTTGGTGTTCAGTATTGATTCATCTAAAAACTGTCCACACATCTGGTGGGCGGGTGCATATATGAAAAGAAAAAAAACACCTAACCCTAAAAAAATTCTAACAAAAGGTTTCTCAGCTGTTTTTCTTTATTGTATTTCTAATGAATTAATTCTTTCTTGTAATCAACAGAATGGTTATGAACCACAGAAACCACCAACACGAGGCAAAACAAAGTGAGAAAGGAGAAATATGCAATTACCTACGGGAAACTGAGTTTATTATTTTTAAATAACTGTGCTAGTAACTAATTTCTTTAATATATAATTGTCCTTGTAATCACTTCTCTATCAGACAAATATGCTAATTAGAAATAAAACAAGAATTTTAAAAGGGTCTTTATCTATTGTTCAGTTTTCTGTAAATGTCTGTAAATTAGTTCAGATTTAATTAGATATGACCTCATTTACATATTCAAACATAACATCTGACAAAACTTGTAATATAAAAAATATTTGTCTTAATGTAAGTTATAAACTTGAAAAGTTTCATGGTGATATCTGTTGGTTAAAAATTTTACCCTATTCAACTGGGGTGTCTCCTACCATCATGGACGCCATCTTGAAAATGACGCCTTTCTAGTGGTCAAACTTTGGTAAACTTTGAGTTTGTCATTAAGGAAATCTAATACTATAAAAAATAGCTGAGGAACCTTTGTTAGGATTTTTTGGGGGGGGTCAAGTCATATTTGCACCAGACTATGAATTCTGGGTAAAGTCCCTTTAATTCAGGATGAGGTTTTTTAAATGTCCTCTTGAATTTTGATCTTCAGCTGATATGAGGAGTAATAACAGAGTATTTAGCATCATATATATATATACAGTATATACAGGCTTCAATAGAGGACCTTTACTGAACCATCCTGAGGGGGGAGTCAAAGGTCGTACACACAGGTGTTAGTACAGGGACAGGACAGAAGGTGTCAGTAAACCCACACCTTTGTCTGCTCAGACTGATCTCTGTCTGCATCTCAGAAATGAGGATGTGATTCAGACACAGTAGAAAAGCCCTGATGGTGGGTGAAACAGGATGAACTTCCCTCCTTGTCTGTGTGGAAAGTTGTGACTCTGGAAAATCTGGGACTCAAATATCTGCTCTGGAGGAAACACCGAGTGGACAACTGGAACATTTGGGGTCATGGACATGAAATAAAATCATCTTTAATTTACTTTATTATTAGGTTTGAAAAGCAGAAACTGGCTCCAGGTCAACAACCACAGAAAGACTTTAAAAAGTAGAAAAGACAGACGACTACTCTTGAATTTAACTCCTCGAACCCGAGCAGGAAGCTGAAGTAGTCGACTTTTTGTCTGATGTGTCGTTAACTTAAAGAAAATAATAAAGTTTCAGGTTAAAAAAACACTTTTCTGCTCAGACACGAGGTCTGCTGACTTCTCCACTTAATCATAATCATTATTTGACTCTGTGATACAGATTAAAGGGATATTTCAACATTTTTTCAGCGTATGAATTTAATATTTGTAGTAATTGTTTTTTCACCGTGGATGATGTCCGTTAGCTCGTCACTGTTACTGAGAAACTGCAGGATGTAAACTAGACTACAGTTTCCTGCAGACAGACCGACTCATGGATCAGATTTAAGGACTCTGACCTTCACACTCTTCTCGGTTTAGTGTGCACTCTGAGTCTGGAGTTTTCAGCTCCTGAATCTGTTTGTCCGTTTGGTTTTACACTCAGAGACAAAAATGAAACCAGACTGAGTAACGAGGGACTGACACCGTGGAGGACATGCTGTTTGGTGTGGACACACATGGAGACCTTCCTGAACCGGAGTTGATGAGGGAGGAAGGTGACTCAGTGCTCAGAAGGACAGTGGAGCAGGAGAGAAATTACCTGGTGGTTCAGGTGTGTAAAGTCTGAGCTCTACAGAGGAACTGTTTGTGGGTAACTGTCAGGACTCAGACTTGGGAATCTGGATCTATCAGCAGTTCAGACCAGGCTGCAGTCTGAGACCATCACTGAAGACCAACGCTGTTTGTTTCCCACCTTCTCCAACATTCAGGAGTTCAGTCAGAGAAGATGAATGTCTGAGCGTCTTCACGACTTTTCTTCCTTTGTAAAATCAAAGATTTCTCCTCTAATTGTCAGATTTTAATGAACTTTTATCGGTGTATCATCAAAAGTATTCTTACCTCTTCGTCTACAGTTTGGGTTTATTACCCTCACTGAACAGGACCGAAAATCTCGGACCAGAAAAGTCAGTCTGGCTCAGAAATGATTGACATTGACCTGCCTAAACTAGATGCACTTTAGAATTGAAGGCTCCGGGCTCGGGATTCAAAATTAATGAGTGACATCATTGACCCCGCCTCCAGCCTTTCTGTTCTCCTCCCCGCCGGTAGACGGTCCGGCTCAATCAAACGTTCTACCTCCTGTTTCTTTCTTTTCCTGAATAACCTCTGACCTCAGGGCGTTACTTCATTTCATGTTGTGTCTGATCACTTAGGGTCAAATAGAAGTTTTTAAATACTATTATTATCTTTATCATTATTATTTATTATTATGATTATTACTATTATGACTTGCAGTGTCCTTCTTTACTATAATTTTAACTTAACCTTATTCTATGTTTCTATGTAACTTACTTTGTCTGTCTTTGTCCTCTTGCAAATGCTTTCAAATGTGTTTTTATTTTTCTGCAAATGGCAAATAAATGACTCTGAAGACAAACCCTGGACCAGAGGATCTGTTCACCTGATCAGACCGGGTCAGGATCCTCAGAGGGAGCCTCTGAATCTGGAAGAACAAACTCTACACACATCAGTGTGTCCAGAGGAAGATCTGAGGCTTCAGCTGCTGCAGAAAAAACATTAAATATCTACATTTATAATCTTAAAGTGACTCAAACGTCACCGAGCGGATCAGCTGATTACAGAAGAGCTCGTCTTTGTGTGTCATTCAAAAAGAAGAAAAAAAAAAAGGCGTTTTACTGACGGGGAAGTAAAGGACTGACTCATCTCTGAGCAGAGTTCAGACCAAAGATGAGGTCAGTCCTAAATGAGTTAAATCCTGTACAGAGTCGTCTGCAGGAAACGGTTTCTGTTGGTGGTTTCACGGTTTGAGGCGTCTTCACACCCTCACATCAAAAACTCTGAAATGTCCCTTTAATACATCGGCACAGTTTCTAATCTCGTTTTGTTCTCAGCATCACAACATGGACCAGTCTGTTAGCATCTTTCTTTAATTAATTTAATTATTTATTCATTTATTTTAAGAACAAATCTATTATTCATACAGGAAATGACATCATCAGAGTTCGATGTCGTAGATTTTATAAAAATATATTTTTTTATTCATATTTTACTTCACAGAACAAACAGCTGATGAATAAATCTTGTTTTTAAAGCTTTCACACGAAAACGCTGTTTTAATATAACTGTAAATAAAGTGAATCGGTCATGTGACCATGACGCCATTTTTTTGTAGGATGGTAGGAGAAAGTCCCGCCTCCTTCGCCTCTGATTGGCTAGAAGAGCTGGAGACGTCATCACACGCTGTCGGCTCTGAACACCGACCAGAACATTATCGCAGTTCTGGATCTCCCAACCTTAACTCCAACCCGACAGACGATGACGTTTCACAGCCATCAGGAATAACCAATCGGAGCCCAGCACTTGTAGCCAATCAGAGGTGAAGGAGGGCGGGACCTTCCCCTGCCAGGACAGATTCTTCCTTCATATGGTCAGTCTGACATCACCGGACAGCTGTGATGTCATCTGCGGTCATGTGATCAGTTTGTCGTGTCCACAGGTAAACACTGTCCCCTCTCGGATGTCCCGCTCTTAGTGGACCTGGACAGCAGGGTGATCTTTGACCTCGGGCCTGAGGAGGAGGTGTGGGAAGAGGACACGGTTGGTTTGTCGTTGCCGCGGCAGCACACCACGTTTTTCGCCTTCTCCCTGAACTCCGTGGAGATGAAGTAGTAGATGAAGGGGTCGATGCAGCTGTTGAAGGTGCTAACCGCCAAGCTAACCATGTAGGGGACGTACATGTCCTCGCCATCTCCGTCCAGTGAGCTGTCGGCGTATGTGAGAAGGAGGAGGATGTTGCTAGGTAACAAGCACACGATGAAGACCAGCAGCACCAGCACCGTCGCCCACACCGCACGGCTGTAGCGCTTCCCTTCGGCCAGCAGGGTGCGCAGCACGGCGCAGTGACAGAACACCACGACCACGAAGGGCAGCAGGAAGCAGAACGTGAACAAGATGCTAAAGTACGGCAGGAAGTAGTTCTCTTGCTCTTCCTCCGGCAGCGCATCATGACAGGTGGTGATCTGCAGCTCGTCCAGATAGTAGGTCTGCCGAGACACCAGCAGGGGGAGCATGGCCGCCAGGACCCCCAACCACATGGCCGCCATCATGTACATAGACGTTTGGCGGCTACGCAGTGTCTTGGCGCCAAATGGGTGAACCAAAGCGATGTAGCGGTCCAGGGCCACCAGAGCCAGACACAACACAGACCCGTACATGTTCCCATAAAACATCGCCATGACAACACGACAGGAAGCCTCACCCAGCTCCCAGTGGTTCCCCCGGAAGTGGTACACGATCCGAAAGGGCAGGGCCAGCAGCAGCAAGCAGTCCGCCGCCGTCAGGTTGATGAGCAGCGTGGTGGATGGCAGATGTTTGGTCCTGAAGACCAGGATCCAGAGAGCCAGCAGGTTGGTGGGCAGACCCACGATAAAGGCCAGCAGGTAGAGGACCGGCAGGTACAGGTTGGTGGTCGGAGCCTGAATCTCCTTCAGCTGTTTATCCTTCAGAGTGGTGAAGTTACAGGAAGTCTTCAACCGGAACGCCCGCAGACCTGCAGAGACCAGAACACAGGTCAGACCTGAAGGAACCAAATGGATCAGAAGGTCTTAAAGAGGGTTAGGGGCATCATCACTGTGAACCGGCCTGAGGTCTGATGGATCAAAAACTAACACTCTTTTGGAAAGGACAACTGGACTTAGTTGAGACGTTTCGCCTTAAACGTCTCAACTAAGTCCAGTTGTCCTTTCAACGAAGAACTGGCAGGGCTCGTCAATGCGACCGTTTCACTCGCATTTGCAACTAAAAATAGATGTGTGCGAACCATAACGGGGAATAACAACAGCAGCGCGGTTAAATCTACTCGACACCCTCACTGTCAACGTCGGTGTTGAATAAGGGACCGTCAATAAATTACCGGTTGATGTTCTCAGAAAAGGCTGTTTTCCTTCAACAGCTTCACTGTCATGTGACCAAAAGACCTAAAATTGGTTTCTAATAGTAGTACTAAGGTCGATCAATGAGACAAACATTATTGATCAGTTTTCATTGATCCCCTAAAGTTCTTTGTGCTCCTTACTTTTTCATTTTAGGAGAACATGTGAACAAAGTTAGAGTCGAACCCTGTCTAGAAATCATAGATGCTGCATCCTCAGTTTTAAACAAGGAAGAAGAGCTGAGGACACATGATGAGGAACATGAACGTGGATCGGCTTTTACAAACATGCTGCTGACATCAAATGTAAAATGAGAAGATTTCTCGGCTACTAAAAGGTCGTATCCTCCGATCGTAGCTGATCGTAACCATTCAAGTTAACGTGTCAATTTACACCGACTTCTTTCCGTTCCTCTGCGGATCGCCGGACTCCTCAGCTGATCACAAGAGTTCTAGTTTTTCTGGACGCCGGAGCATGGCGGATAAATTCAGCACAGATTAACCCGTGCTGGAAAGGAAGTCGGGCACAGACACAAAATAAAACATCCTGCTTCTTTTCAAAATAAAACACGAACGACGAACAAGTGAAAGGTTTTTAGACGTCATTTCACCCCGATGACACCATGGATGAGGAGATGCTGATTCTAGAAGTCTAGAAGTAGATTTCCTCCTCTGGAAGGACACAATCTACTGCTTATATGTCTATGTGTCTGTCTTTAGAGAGACAACTCGTTATCGAGAGATTGAACATGAATCCGTGGGTTCTACCGATGTCCGTAATCCGCCATGAAATTCGCCTCACAAACGGATCCGGTAGGAATTGGCGTACAGTGAAAATCGCCGCCATTCCAGACTAGAGCCGTTCCGGATGCGGTGGAAGTTGGGGGTAACTGGTTTATGTCTATTTAACCATTTTTGTTCCTCACATTGTAAAAACAAACAGAAGGTTTCGGGTTCGAACAGACAGCGGGGGTCTGAGCTGAAGTTCTCACAGTGTGAGTGTTTAACTCTTCAGTGAGGTTGTAGGGTCACGGTTTACGGGTGTTCCAGTCAGTCGTCGCACATATTTGAGTTCCTTCAGTGCTCTGTAAACAGGATCTGATGTTTATCTTCATGTAAACATGTGTGGACACCAACTCTAACAGGACACTACAGAACTCCAACATTAAACTCATGTCCTCATTATGTCCCCACTCTGTAAACACCAAAGTCAGGTCCTCCCAGCGGTATAAAAACAGAAACACATAAGGGTAAGTGTGTGTGAAAGTTGGATCAGTTGAATCTTTTAATGAGTAAACCCAATAAAAACATGTCCTGATGTGAAACAGAAGCTTTGGAGTCAGACCTGTCTCTACCTGTCCATGTGTGCTGAAGACGAGGACAGAGAAGAAGAAGAAGAAGACAAAGAGGACTTACGGACGGACATGCCAGAACATTCATCTGCAGGACGAGCAGACGGAGAGAGACTGAAGACAAACGGCAGCAAAGAGACGAGGAGCAGAGTCCAAACAAACATCCTGGTCTTCATTTTCCTTTCAGGTCTTCTTCTTGTGTCTCCTCCGTGTCCTCTCTGCAGCTGCTGGTCTCTTCCTGCTCCTCCTCCTCCTGCTCCTGTTGGTCAGTCCGGTTCTGCTCTGATCCACGACGGTGTTAAAGAACAAACAGTTTCTGGTCTCAGCGCTCAGAGAGGCTCTGCTGTCAGTCTGGTATCTGAGCCCGGAGCTGACTCGCCTGCTGATGGAATCCAGATGTGTGTGTGTGTGTGTGTGTGTGTGTATGTGTGTGTGTGTGTGTGTTTTGGGGGGGTGTCTCATTTGTCTATCCTTGTGAGGACCAGTCTCATTCCTTAGTAACCCTCCAGGGTGTCTGTTTGGGAGTGGATCAAATGAAAGTGTATCGAGGCTGGGTCATTTCCTGAAATAAAAATCATCTGATCTCCGGTCGCTGATAAAGGGAAAAACTTCTGATATTGTTTATAATTATGGATGATCTCAAACTGGGACTGAATGTTTCCGCCTACAAGACATGTCTCACCCCTGTCCAAGTGACTTCAGAGAGCTCAATGACTCATCGATTTACTCTGAAAAAACTCTGAATTATCGACTAAAGACCACAAAGTTAACAGGAACATGAGAACTGAGAAAAACAGACAGATAAGTGAGAGACGCAGAGACAGAAGAGGAACAGGACATCAGACACATGAAACATGTGTGAGAGGAAAACACGACACTCTGGAAATATGAGACAGAGACATGTGTTAGTGAGACAGAAACCATCATGTGATCCACAGAGGGACATAAATGAGACAAAAGCCGAGGACAGAAGGACAGATGACAGTCTGAGATAAGGACGTGAGAGACGGAGAGGCAGGACTGAACACAGTGAGACATGTCTCTGAGACGGGGGGGGCGTTTGAAGAGGAAGTCTGAAGTCCAATAACACATTCAGATATAAATATATACTAAAGTTCTATACTCTGAAAAAACACGTGTCTTTAAGGGACGGGACATCAGTGAGACACATGGACGTGTGAAGACAACATTTAAATCTCAGGGACATTTGTGTGAGAACGTGGAGGGACATGAGTTAACTGGACATGTGAGAAAAAGGGACAAATGTCAACGCCAGATGGTGATGGAAGATCAGCTCTTTAGACTGAATCTTTAGAATCTGTTCATTAAAAGGATTCGTTTAAAAGATTCGTTCACTGAATCAGTCAGTGTTTCGGAGCCCCGTCCTGTCGCTGCAGAACATCAGTGAGTGACACAGCGGCGAGTTCGTTCATTAGCCCCTCCCCTCCCCTGCTGCTGAAGTCACAGCGTCGTTCACTGGGTGACTCATGTCTTTCATTCACCAAGTCCTGAAGGAAGAATCACTCCCCCGACCTGAAAAACTCACCTCTCTGTGTGTCGCTCGTTTAGCGTCGTTCTTTTATATGATGGAAAAGTGGCGAGATTAAAAATAAATAAAGATGTCAGCTGTAGCGAGGATTCAGATACTTTTAAAGATATCAAATATCATATTTCTTTAAATCGGCTGAAATTAAATCTTCTTACATAAAAGTTTAAACGTGTTTTAATGTAAAGACGCCATAATGACCCGTTTTATCTTAGCCTACCTTAACCAACCGCTGCTCAGCAGGAAGTGAACGACGCTACACCCCTCCCTCCTCTGCTTGACTCAAGTCGTCCGTTTGTTTCACAGTCTGACTGATACATGTCATTCATTCGCTGTGAGCAAATCACGAGACTCCGCTGGCTGGCTGTTTGTCGTTCGCCGAAGAGTCAAAGACGGCAGATCCACTCCTGACCGGCACGCCAGGCTCACGGCTGAGGTGAACTGACCTGAGAAAGGAACCAATCAGGTCGAGGTTGGACATTTAGAGACAGCTGGAGTCTGATTTAGATTGGAAGTTTGTCTCTTTGCATAACTGCACTGTTAGCACGGCAGTTAGACCACCTGACCACTAGGGGGCGGGGGTTCAGAGACGCTGTTCAGTGTTATATGCCTCCTTTTAAACCTCAAACATGGAGACTGATCAGAGACGGTCATGTTGGTCTGGAGCTTCATACACGTCCTTTTCCTGTCTCTGAAAATACGTCACAGTTTTAGCCCCACCTGACGCTAACAGGTGGTAGCATGTAGCTTCATGCTAACCTGAATGTGATGCTAGTGAGCGGACCAATCAGAGCGGCTGCCTGTCTGCTGTGGTGGAGAATGGAGGTGTGTCACCCATCTTTACAGTAAATGTGTGTTTTTTTAAAAGTCAATACTGTCCATCAACACTTTCTTTCTCCCCCGTCTCCGTCTGTCCCGGTCCTCCCCGCCCTCCGTCTTCCTGTCTGATAAGCACGTTTCCTGTCAGTCAGTTTAAATAACCTCTGGTTGGCCGTTTGTCCGGCTGTCTTTGAGAACAGTCAGATAAACCTCAATCCAGAGTCTGAAGCAGAAACAGCAAAAAAAATAAAACAGAACAAAGTGTTTTAGAGGCGAAAACACAGAAAATAAGAAGAACGTGCCGAACAACAACAACAACAACAAAAACAACAACAACAACAACAACAACAACAGCAACAACAACAACAAATACAACAACGACAACAACAACAGCAACAACAACAACAACAACAACAACAACAACAACAACAACAACAACAGCAACAACAACAACAGCAACAACAACAACAACAACAACAACAACAACAACAACAACAAATACAACAACAACAACAACAACAAATACAACAACAACAACAACAACAGCAACAACAACAACAACAACAGCAACAACAACAACAACAAATACAACAACAACAACAACAAATACAACAACAACAGCAACAACGACAACAACAACGTGTGTCAGGAAACAGAGGGTTAATATGTAGACACTGACAGAGCAGGGTTAGCAAGAACACAGAGAATTCAATCCATAAGAGACACACTGTCAGCAGAACTGCATAAAAAGGAAATGAAAGGGACATCTATTATTCAACATCTTTCTATATCTGCTGTTAGAGGATATCGGCGCTCAGGCTGTTTAAAGGGCCACTCCTCATTTTTGGTGTCGACCAAATTATTATTGTTTCATGACTCACTCTACAGGAGGATTTCTCTGTGCTTTAAAACAACTTCACATCACAGCGCGCCATCTTTGTCGACTTTCCTTCCTCTACTGAATTTAATTAGATTAAAGGGATATTCTGGTGTAAAACTAATTTAGGGTCAAACACCGAGTTAGACTCCCCCTCCAGAGATGAATGTTGCCGACCGCTTACTTCTCTAGTTATACCAACTTTAGTAACGACAAACTGAGCAGGTAAAATCTGGATTTGTGCAGAGTAGAGCTCATCCACTTGACTGTTTAATAGACTGTGTTATTTAATGATTTTATCTTAAAATTCAGTAACTGATGCTGTAAAAAAAATTAGCAAAGTTCAGTGATTTCTACAAAAAATACTTAAGTAAAAAAAGTTGAATATTTGGTAAAACCTCTCACAGAAGCTTCATATCAGTGTTTGAAGTTGGTTCATGTTATTTTCAGTTTTAAAAAGTAACACAGTCTTCTGTTCAGACTCAGAGGGAGGTTGGTGGAGGTAGAGATGAAAAACCGTCTGGGGAAAAATCCTGAAAAAAATCCCAGGAGGACAAAAAGCTCTCTACGGTTCAGGAAGGCGTGTGGTCGCAGTTATAGCCTCAATTTAACAAAGTTTAAACCATAAATCAAGCTCAGGTTAAACATTTAGTTTAAATATCTAAATCTAAAAACACAAAAACCATCTGGTTACAAACGTGAAATAAAAAAACTCGACTAACTCGATCTTACAGGTTCACACAAAAAGAAACTCAAATTTTAGCGAGTTTAACAACACATCATCAGGTCAAACGGATGAATATCTATAATAGACTGATCAGTACAGAACTGTCCTCCATCAGCCCTGAGTCACAGACAGGTCCGCCATCTTCATCACCGGGTCCTCAGAACCGTCAGGAGCCGGTCCAGACTCGGTATCCTCCTGTAAACCAAGAGAACCGTCATGAGTGAAAATTCTGCCATGTTTCCATGAGTTTTTCTGTTAGTCAGACTCACCAGGGCCTGAACGAGGGTTTTCTGGACCAGGTTGAAGGTCTACAGGCTCACAGTGAGACAGGAAGTCCGTCTACAGAAGACAGGGATCAGATCCAGTTAGTGGACTTTTACATCCTCACAACTTTGACTGAAACAAGCGGATCACTCACACAGATTGACTCACCTCTGATTCTTCAGCTGGGTCCTGGAGCAAGAGGGGGGTCATCGACGTCTCGGTGTAGTCCTCCTAAAAAAAAAAAAAAAAAAAGGACAAAGTTAGTCCGGCACAGTTTTTAACCTTTACGTGAATCATTATCTCTGTTCTACGTACCAGTTTCTCAGGAATGGTGTCCACGGTATCTGGTAGAGTCCGATGAGGTCGAGGGGCGGGTTTCTCTGCTGGTGCAGACTTCAGTTCAACATCAGTGGGTCCAGAATGAGGTCCAGAATGAGGTCCAGAATGAGGTCCAGAATGACGTCGATCCGTCCTTCAAAGTGGGAAAAGCCCTGATGTTTGGGAAAGATGAAGATTGTCAAGGTCCAGAAATCTGGATCAAACTTCTGAACCAGGTTTCTTGTAGGTGGTGAGATCTGGACTCCATACTCACCTGTTACCCAGGATGCAGTGGCTCAGGGTCCAGCAGGTGACGGGGTCTGTCAGGGTCTTCTTGGATGTTGACTCTGTAACAAGACCCAAAAGTTTTTGGAGAAGCAGAGAGACGGGTCACAACACTGGAAACAGAGCCGAGAGTTCGTCAGAATGAGTTTTAAAACCAAGTCTCTCCTGGGCGTCTACAAACCCTCAGAGGTTTTTAGACCTCGGTGAAAACAACTACGAGAACTTTGAAAAGTTCCTCAAAACCTTTCAGATCAAAATATGATATTGGAAAAATTAAAAGAACTAGAAACCTTCATCGTGACAGAGACTCTTGAACGTCCCGGTCTGGATGGAGGAGCAGCTCATGGAGGTGGGGCACCATCAGATCCTCAGAATAACAGGAAACACAAACCATGATGGGTACAGAGAGAAAAAGTGTTACAGAGACTCAAGGGTCGAAAAGAAACAAACAAAAAAACACAAATTAAAGAAAAAAAATCTAAAAATTATTACAGAGACTTGAGGGTCGAAAAGAAACAAACAAACAAAAAAACACAAATTATAGAAAAAAAAAATCTAAAAATTATTACAGAGACTCGAGGGTCGAAAAGAAACAAACAAAAAAACACAAATTAAAGAAAAAATAATAATATAAAAATTATTACAGAGACTCGAGGGTCGAAAAGAAATAAACAAAACAAACAAAAAACAAAACAAAAAAACAGATCTCAAAATGATTACAGAGACTGGAGAGTCAACAAAAAAACCCACAATTAAAAACAAACAAAAAAAAAAACAAAAAAAAACACAGATCTTTAAATTATTACAGAGACTTGAGTGTAAACAAGAAACAAACAAACAAAGCAAACAATAAAAAACAAAAAACATCTCAAAATTATTACAGACTATAAAAAACACAAATAAAAAATAGAAAACTAATGATAATTTAAAAAAAAAAAAGAGATCTGTTGATTACAGAGACTTGAGCGTCAAAAAGAAAGAAACAAAACAAAAAACCCCACAGAAAACAAACAAAAACAAAAAGAAAAGAAAACAGATCTCAAAGTTACAGAGACTGAAGCATCAAAAAGAAACAAACAAAAGAAGAAAAAAACAAAAACATTTTACAGTCACAGTTCATTGTCCCGGTTGAAGCTGTAGGAGACGTTGGTGAAGTGTGAAGTTGTAGTCTTAGTTGATGTAGTCGATGTTGTACTTGTTGAGCTGGTTTCCTTTGAGTGAACTTTGCTGATTCGTTGTTTCCTTCAGAGACGTTTGATCATTTTGATTTTTGGATTTTGTTGTTTTACTGCTGGGCTCATGAAGGATTTGGTAAAACTGACATTTTTACAGGTTTTTGAGCACAAGTTTAATAAAAACAGAAATAACCTTTAATGTCATAAAACCTCTAAACCTTGAGTGCTGCTGAATCGTTCCTCAGTTAGTTTGGAATTCTGAGTTTTTATTTTGTTCACCATTTGCAGCTTGTTGTTGATTTGCCCTTCTGTCATTGAAAACACCATTTAAACCTCATTTGTGTTACCACTGTGTCCCTGTAAAAACCTCATGAACCTCGTTGTCTGTTTTCATATTGTCTTTGAACACATTATTGTAAACCTTGATGGTTTGAAGCTGAAAAACCTTTTAAACCTTGTTGTTGTTGTGTCTTTGAAAACACCATTTAAACCTTGTATTACCATTCTGACCCTGAAGGCACCGCAGAAACCTTGGAGTTGATTTGCCCTTCTGTCAATGAAAACACCATTTCAACCTAATTTGTATAACCATTGTGACCCTGAATGCACCATTTAGACCTTGCTGTCTGTGTTCATATTGTGTTTGACAGCATCATTGTGAACCTTGTTGGTTTGTAGCTGAAAACAATGTCTGACTCATTTCTCCAGCCGGGTCCATTTCTAGAGGAGATCAGGACCTGTTCCTGAAAAGTGATATTTCAAAACAAGTTCTTCACAAAGAAAATGAGTCTGATTGTTAGAGACAGAAACACACACATATATCTGTACAGTTAAACAAACATTAGAAAAGGCTGAAGTGTCACTGAGGAGCCAATATTCTCCTGCATCCACTTCCTGGAGGACATCTGCTTCAATGTAAACAACAAAACATTCACAAAACACAGCTGCAGCATCACCTACTGGCTTTTGAAGAGAGGTTATAGTCATGACATTGGAAAAACTGACCCAACCTTAAATGTTATCAACATAAAAACAGGCAGAGATCAAGCTCAGGTGGGCCTTAACCACCTGTCACCATGAACCTTTGTGAAAACCATCAATAACCAAAGAAAAGTTGTTCCTGGAAATGAAGCATTTCATTTTTTAGGTAACAAAAGGACAGTGAGTTCAGTGTTGTTCGCCGTCTCATCTTACCTGCAGCTCAAGGACGCCTGACTCCGTCTGAATGGAGGAGAAGCTCCTAGAGGTGATCCAGATCCTTCCTGAAGACAACACTGAAGCTGCTCACTGCTGTGATGTTTGGGGAAAAGCAGAGAGACACAAACACACATGCTGAGGGATGCAGAAAAATGCTCAAAGGGGAGGCGCAGATTAGAAAATCTGTTTGAAACTGAATATGGACGAAGTTCTCAGAATGCAGGACCTGGTTTCTTACATGCTTCCTTCAACACAATGATGACCGTTGGATTTCCCGGACGGCGCAGGACGTTTTCAGCTTCTATCGCAACGGTTCCTCCAGGACAACAGCGGTCACCTCGTCAGACCTGCTCATGTTTGGAAGAAATGAGGGACATACAGCAGCACACAAAGGACCATGGCCAAACATGAACAGGTACAACACATGCAGGTCACGACAAGTACAGTTCAAGGGTTCAGTTACAGAGATTTAAGGTTCACAAAATAAGTAAAATTACAGTTTTTAACAAAAAAAAAAGCGAGGATGACCGACACAGTTTATTGTCCTCTTTTGTGTTTTTTTTTTCTTCTTTTTTTACACACATATCTTTAAGTTCACATCAGTTTTCTGTTACATACATATGAATAAAAAAATAAAACTCCACATGTAGATCATGAAATGTACAGACTGACCAGTCAAAGAAGTAACAGTTTGGTAAACACTCAGTCACCGGACTGTTTCTGACATTCTTCTATATCACACTTGGACAGTTCTAAGATAACATAGCTTGACAATGGTTCACATTGGTCGGTCTAAGTATTTGCTTACGGGGCCCCATCTTGTTGTGAAAATGTCCATCTAAGGATGAAGGTGTGCTGTTATCTTCTCTATCCTGTATACCTTTTTCACTCCCTCCTGCCACTTGGGTTCCTTTAGTCCTTCTGAATGGTCTTCTTGTTCTCATCCATGGTGGTGATGTCCAAAATCGCATCCTCAAAATGAACGACATCTGGACGAAAACCTGCTACTTGGGCGGGAAAAGTTGCTCTCCGAAAGCACATCACCAAAACAGACCTAATCCTGGTGACGCAACCTGACTGATGAAAATGATTACCAACTTCAGTTTTTCCTCAGGAAGTTATAGTCAATCTTTGGGGAGCAGGGGTTACTTACTTTTTTAGAACATTTTTATTAAATATGGTATAATGCGAAACTTTCTCCTTTATTTGCAACTGAGATCTTTCTTAGAAAACGATGGTATTTCATTGCAGAGCCCTCTTGTAACACACCCAATTCGCAAATTGTTTGATTCTTCTAGAAGCACAGGTAGTTTTGTCTCAAGACTTTGTTGGCTCGTGTTACGACACTCTTACAGACCTCTGACATTAGATAAAATATGGAGGAAAGATATTCCAGATCTTAGAGTTACATTTCATTGGGATAGAGTATGGGTTGATGTACGCTTAGCATCCAGAAATCCTGACCATCAACAAATACACTATAATTATTTACAAAGAGTATACTTAAATCCTCGGAAGCTTCATTTGATGAAAGTTATAAATGATCCTACATGTACGTTATGTTCTTCAAATGCGATCGGCAGTTATTTTCACGTGTTCTGGGAGAGTACACCAGCGGCAGAATTTTGGAAAATGGTTGCCTTGAATCTATCCAAGTAGTTGAAGATCAGGTTGCTTTGTTTGCCCGTTACACTTATTTTGAATGATTTGTCTGGGCTGGGTTTCACACTGGAGGAGAGGAGAGCATTGCTGGCGGGAATCACAGCTGCAAAGAAACTAGTAGCTGGAATCTGGATCCAAGGGGGTGGTTTGTGTTTGGGGTAGTAATTTTAATATGTTTATTTTTTTATTTTTTTTAAATGTATTTATATTCATTTAAAAGGTATGGATATATGTGAATATTTATTTTGTTTTTCATTGCTGTAACATTGACTTGTACCTTTCTACTTTTCTCAGTTAAATTAAATAAAAAGTTATATTTTAATTCTTGTGAACTCTCATTTTTGCTTTGGTAAATTTGCTGATTAACAGGTTTTTGAGGACTGAGTTGCTATTTTGTTTAATTAAATCTGATAGTGGACTTATTTTGGGGGTCTATACTGCTGCGCTGGTTAACGGTAGGGGTTCTTGTTTTTGTGGTTTTTGTTGGTGAGGTTGTTGTCAAACCAAAATTAACCTGACCTCCAGTTGTCCGTGTTGATGTTCTGTCTGTGTCTTTCCTTACAGGGTCCAGGAGTTGGGACATCATGAGCGCTGCCTAAGCCATCACAACCATCACATATTCTCCTGCATCCACATCCTGGAGGACACCTGCTTCAATGCAAACAACACAACACTCACTAAATATACAAAGCTGCAGCATCACCTACTGGCTTTTGAAGAGAGGTTATAGTTATGACAGTGGAAAAACTGACCCAACCTTAAACGTTATCAACATAAAAACAGTCAGAGATCAAGCTCAGGTGGGCCTTAACCACCTGTCACCATGAACCTTTGTGAAAACCATCAATAACCAAAGAAAAGTTGTTCCTGGAGTTGAAGCATTTAATTTTTTAGGTGACAATAGGACGGTGTGTTCAGTGGTGTTCGCCGTCTCATCTTACCTGCAGCTCAAGGATGCCTGACTCCATAGGTGATCCAGATCCTTCCTGAAGACAACACTGAAGCTGCTCACTGCTGTGATGTTTGGGGAAAAGCAGAGAGACACACACACACATGCTGAGGGATGCAGAAAAATGCTCAAAGGGGAGGTGCAGATTAGAAAATCTGTTTGAAACTGAATATGGATTAATTTATCAGAATGCAGGACCTGGTTTATTACATGCTTCCTTCAACGCAATGATGACCGTTGGATTTCCCGGACGGCGCAGGACGTTTTAAGCTTCTATCGCAACAGTTCCTCCAGGACAACAGCGGTCACCTCATCAGACCTGCTCATGTTTGGAGGAAATCAGAGACATACAACAGCACACAAAGGACCATTGCCAAACATGAACAGGTACAACAAATGCAGGTCATTACAAGTACAGTTGAAGGGTTCAGTTACAGAGATTTAAGGTTTACAAATAAATAACTAGATAAATAAATAAAACAAAACATAAATAAACATAAAAATATGCAGATCATAACAAGTACAGTTGAAGGGTTCAATTACGGAGATTCAAGGTTCATAAATGAATTATTAAACCGCCAAATGTAGATCATGACAAGTACAGTTCAAGGGATCCATTACAGAGATTTAAGGTTCACATATAAATAAATAAAATTACAGTTTTTAACAAAAAAAGAAAACCGAGGATGACCGACACAGTTTATTGTCCTCGTTTTACTTGGTGTTTTTTTTTTTTTCTACACATATCTTTTAGTTCACATCAGAGTTTTCTTTCTGTTACATACATATGAATGAAAAAACTCAAATGTTATTCATAAAATATACAAACTGAACAGTCAAACAGGTGACAGTTCACTCAGTCACTGCATTGTTTCTGACATTCTTCTAATGTTGAAGAAGATGCTGGTTGATGTCCTTCAAATGGGTCCACGCCTTGGGCGGCCATCCCTCCTCTAAGATCTCCACACCTTTGAGGTCGTCTTGTATCTTCGTTTTCTTCTTTACCAAAAGCATGTCGAGGAAATCTCAGGTAATTTAGGAGGAGAAGGAAGATCTACTCAGGCAGAGAAACGTTGCTCTCCAAAATCGCATCCTCAAAATGGACGAAAACTGGAAGATAACCGGCTTCTTGGGCAGAAATAGTTGCTCTCCAAAATCGCATCCTCAAAATTAGACCAAATCCTTGGTACGCAACGCAACTGGTGAAAATTGAGACCAAAGTAACTGATGAAAATAAGTATCACCTAAAATTTTTCCTCAGGAAGTTATATTTCAATTCTAGTGAACTCTCATCTATCATCTTACCAATTGCACCACTAAAACTAGACCACAAGCTGCTACACCGGAGACAGTTTCTCTTCGCAATTGCATCATCAAAATCTGTTACTCCAGAAGAGAACAGATCCTCTCCACAATTGCACCTCTAAAATTAGACCAAACCAGTCTATTCCAGAGTAGAACAGTGTCTCTCCACAATTGATTTGCCAAAACTAGACCAAGACCTGCTTCTCCAGAGTAGAACAGTATTTTCTCTACAAGTGCATCACTAAAAACAGACCAAAACTAGACCAATACCTGCGACCAGGGCAGACAGCAGCTGCACTGGTTGATCATTGATGGTGGGTGGTTTGTTTTTGTGGTGTATATTGGTGCAGTTGTTGTCAAACCAAAAGCAAACCAGCAGAAGCCAAAAGCAAATTAAACGCAAACTAACCTGCAGTGTCCCTCGTCGATGGTCTGTCCTTGGTATGCAGCAGAAGAACCTACCTTACAGGCTCCAGGCGTTGGGATGTTATGAGTTCTGCTTCAGTTTGGCCAAAACAGAGCAAAACTAGACTAAAACATGCAACAGTTTCTCTCCACAATTGCATCGCCAAAACTAGACCAAAACCAGCTACCAGGGCAGACAGCAGCTGCACTGGCTGATCGTTGATGGTGGGGGTTCTTGTTTTGTGGTGTATGTTGGTGTGGTTGTTGTCAAACCAGCAGCAAGCCAAAAGCAAACCAGCAGCAAACTGACCTCCAGTGTCCCTCGCTGATGGTCTATCCATGGAGTGAAGCATTGTCTTTACTTACAGGCTCTATGTGTTGGGCAGTCATGAGTTCTGCCTTAGTTTGTCTTGATCCAGTGCAATTTCAGCTCCTGGTAAACACACAGAGAAATACACAACCATAAAACCATTTAAGACTCATACCTAAAAACCTTGACCTCCTTCAATAATCAGCTCCTACACAAGTTTATGAGTTCATCCCATCTTAAACAACTATTTTAAACTGCTCATGTTTGCATGATGGTTGGCCGCCATGCTCCAAATCAGAATCTCTTCACACATGGACATGTGCCGATTTAAAGACCATTTTAAAACCTCATCTTTATTTTCCCTCTGGGCTTATAAAGTTGCATCCCTGCCTCAGTCTCACCTTTGGGCCCAGTGGAGTGGAGCCATCTCAGAAGACATGGAGTCAGCTGGGGTCTGAGGAACATGCTGGAAAAGAAAAAAGTTGATGGCTGGTGTTAGGTGATGAGATGTTTGTTGAAGCAGACTGAAAACCTTTTTCATCAACCTCTTTAAAAAAAGCCACCCACCTTCATGATCCAGACGATGTCCTCTCAGCATCCAGGCCTGGTTACTGGTTCAGGTGTAGCACAGACATCTTCCTTCTGCTCCCTCAAAGTCCCAGTCATTCCGGTGTCACCATGCTGATCCTGATGGCCACGTCCTTCTTCATGATCCTCAGGTTGTACTTGCTGACTTACCTCTCAGCATTTTGCTCTACTTACAATCAATAAAAATGCTAAACTAGTCTACAAGGTCAAAATAAAGCACAGCTGAATACTGTGCACTTAGGTTTAGCAGGGTTTGTTTTCAGTCTAATTATCCTTACAACAGCCTTGTATCCCTCTCTTTGTAGCAGCCACTGCTGCTCCAGTTTCCATCATTAACATTACCGAGTTTGCATCTTTTTCATCACTCCTTCAAAGAGTGAAAACAACAGTTTAAGACAAATAATGGAAGAACAAAGAATATGAAATAAGTGACCTGGTTGATGTCCTTCAAATGGGTCCGCGTCTTGGGTGGCCATCCCTCGTTAGAGATCTCCTTACCTTTGAGCTCTTCTTGTATCTTCGTTTTCTTCTTTAACCGAAAGCATGTTGAGAAAATCTCAGGACGTGGAGGACGCAACGCAAACGAAAAATAATACCAACCCGACAGATGAAAATTAATACCAGCTCAAATTTGGCCTCAGGAAGGTGTATTTTATTTCTAGTGAACTACAATTATACTTTGAGTAAATGTGCTGATTTACAGGTTTTTGTGGACTGCGTTGCTATTTTGTTGAATTAAATCTGATAGTGGACTTGTTTTGGTGGTTTATGTTGCTGCACTGGCCGATCCTTGATAACCTACCACTCCAGAAGAGAACAGTTTCTCTCCACAATTGCACCACTAAAACTAGACCAAACCATGCCACTCCAGAGTAGAACAGATTCTCTCCACAATTGCATCACCAAAAAAAAAAAAAAGACCAAAACTCGACCAACACCCACTACTCTGGAAAGGAACAGTGTCTCACCACAATTGCATCACCAAAACCAGCTGCTCCAGAAGAGAACAGTTTCTCTCCACATTTGCATCACCAAAACTAGACCAAAACCAGCTGCTACGCAAGAGAACAACTTCCCTTTACAATTCCATCACCAAAAGAAACCAAAACTGGACCAAGACCTGCTACCAGGGCAGACAGCAGCTGCACGGGTTGTTCATTGATGATGGGGGTTTTGTTTTTGTGTTGTATGTTGGTGCGGTTGTTGTCAAACCAAAAGCAAACCAGCAGAAGCCAAAAGCAAATTAAACGCAAACTAACCTGCAGTGTCCCTCGTCGATGGTCTGTCCTTGGTGTGCAGCAGAAGAACCTACCTTACAGGCTCCAGGCGTTGGGATGTTATGAGTTCTGCTTCAGTATAGCAAAAACAGAGCAAAACTAGACTAAAACATATCAGCGGAAGAGGAAAGATTCTCTTTACAATTGCATGACCAAAACTAGACCAGAAGCAGCAAACCCAGAAGAGCACAGTTCCTTTCCACAATTGCATCGCCAAAACTAGACCAAAACCTGCTTCTCCAGAGTAGAACAGTTTCTCTCCACAATTGCATCACTAAAACAGACAAAAACTAGACCGAAACCAGCTACCAGGGCAGACAGCAGCTGCACTGGTTGATCATTGATGATGGGGGTTTGTTTTTGTGGTGTATGTTGGTGCGGTTGTTGTCAAACCAAAAGCAAACCAGCAGAAGCCAAAAGCAAATTAAACGCAAACTAACCTGCAGTGTCCCTCGTCGATGATCTGTCCTTGGTGTGCAGCAGAAGGACCTACCTTACAGGCTCCAGGCGTTGAGATGTCATGAGTTCTGCTTCAGTTTAGCAAACACAGAGCAAAACTAGACTAAAACATGCAACTCTGGAACAGAAAAGTTTATCTCCACAACTGCATCGCCAAAACTAGACCAAAGCTCAACCAAAACCTGTTACTCTGGAGGAAAACACTTCTCTCTTCAATTGCATCATCAAAACAGAGCAAAACTAGACGAACACCTGCTACCAGACCAGACAGCAACTTCACTAGTTGATCTTTGATGGTGGGGGTTCTTGTTTTTGTGGTGTATGTTGGTGCGGTTGTTGACAAACCAAAAGCAAACCAGCAGAAGCCAAAAGCAAACCAGCAGCAAACCAAAAGCAAATCAGCAGAAGCCAAAAGCAAACCAAAAGCGAACCAGCAGAAGCCAAAAGCAAACTGACCTCCAGTGTCCCTCGTTGATGGTCTGTCCGTAGAGTGAAGCATTGTCTTTACTTACAGGTTCTAGGTGTTGGGCAGTCATGAGTTCTGCCTTAGCTTGTCTTGATCCGGCGCAATTTCAGCTCCTGGTTAACACACAGAGAAATACACAACCATCAAATCTTAAGTCCTGAATATTAGACTCAAAATTCAAAACTTCGGCCTCTTTGACCTCCTTTAATAATCAGCTCTTAAACAAGTTTATTAGTTCAGCTTTGCAGAAACGCCCCCTTCATTACTCGACACACGCTTCAAAGCCTAGGCACTGAAAGACACATCACTAGCAAGAGCGCTTTAAGGGGTCAGGGGTTTCAAAGCTTTGAATCTTTATGGCTCAATTTAAGACGAAAATTAAAAGAAATTAACCGTATGAGCTTCACTTACCATTACAACATCCACACATCACCACAAAAACAATCAAATATAAAGCGACAAACAAGTAAAAAAAAAAAAACCTGTTAGCTTAAAGTAAGGACTACGGTGTTGCTTCCTCTCAGTCAGCCGACAAACTAACCAGCGTCCCCAGGTGCGCCTCTTTTAAACCCTGTGACTCCTCCCACTGTGTGTTACTAATTACATAATTTAAAACAAACTAAAAATTACTCATGTCTGAGAGCATTTTACACCTCTAAACTCTTATTCTTCCCACATTCAGTTTTTTTACATGTCTATGTTCACTTTATTTCCACCACAGACTGTTTTTATCATATTTGTTGTTTTCTGAACCACCTGACCGTCATTTTCGTATTTACTCTGAGGGAGTTTATCGCCTCGGTTTCCCGGATTTCACCTGCAGATGTCGGACGTGGTTCGGGGAGTCTGCGCCTCACCTGGAGGTTAGAGGAAACACACATGTTCAAATGTAAATCAATGATCGATAGCTGAGATTCACAGTTGTGTTCGCGCCACTTAAACAGAGTTTAAAAGTGGTGTTGGCGAAGATGGCACGAACAGACGCGGTCGAGTTATCATCCGACCGTTTATTGTGTATTTCAACCGTGTTCTGAGCGAATCAGGGCAGAGGCCTACCGAGCTAACGAAGCTAACGGCGCTAACTTTTCTCGGAATAATCCGGAGAAGGAAAACGGCCATAAACCGGTGAATTGGGCTGATAGTGTGCTCTTTTTTTGTTAGAAAGACCCACACATTCAAAAATAACAGTAAATGTCGGTATATTGGTCCCTTTGTACCGCATACAGGTGAAGTGAGCTAACATGGAGGCGCCGCCGCCTGGTAACGTGTCTATAAAACCTGCAGTCAACAAAACCAACTGTATCATCGATGAAAATCACATCATAGTTTAGCAAGTTATCAATATTTGATCAATATTTCTATAGTAGGAGAGGCCCCTGCTTGTGTACTTGTATGAGTTATACATAGGCCTGTAGGGGAGACCGGGTAAGTTAAGTCCCCTCTGTTTCTTGTAAATGGTCAAAGAAATTGATAATGTGACCAAATATTTAGGAGATGGTCATCAATTCATGGAGTCTGTGAAGGTTAGAAGCGTTGGCTGTGTCCAAAATGGATCCCTAATCCCTATATAGGTGACTACATGGGGGTTAGCGCCATTTTGAGGGGTATCCGAAACCTCAGTGATCAATTCCAGTGCCCAATATAGGTGATTCAAAATTTCCCATTAAGCATTGCAAAATGTATTGACCATCCGATGGTCACTCAACGGTTGCATCTTGCCATGTAGTGTCCGAAACCTCCGGTAATTGAGTTCACTACAACTATATAGTAAAACCCCATATGGGGGTTAGGGGTCAGGGATTGAGTGATTCATTTCGGACACAGCCTGAGACATTATTTACGTAGACGCCCCAAAGCCTGATGCTGCCTATTGGAGCTCTGGTATCAGTGCGCCCGCCATCTTGGATGGGTCCCCCGTGTGCCTCTAGTGCATTAAGGTAAGTAGGAATGCCCAACCAACTCTCAGAATTTCTGCCCGATTTTCACACTGTTTGGTTTGTTACAACGGCAGGGATGTAGCAATAATACAGGACAATGTCACATTAAAAATAAAAAATATATGTTTTTCAATCCTGTTTGTGAAATGTAATCCCACGTAATCTGGTTTCAATACTGCGTCGGGTTTTTCAACCATAGAGTGCAAAAAAACGGGCACAGTTACTCGTTCTCCATTGACCCCGTTTGGCTCTTGAGTGAACCTGGAGTGGGGAGACCCATCTAATATAGCGGTGACACTGGTTTACGCTCCAGCACGTAATGAGGCGTCTACGTATATAATCATACATAATACATTTTATTCACGTCATATTGTTGGGATACATTTCTGGTTGTTTTTTGAGACATCAGCCTTTTTTCCCTGTTTTTCTTAGTAGGAGATTCTGATTTGTTCTGCCCAATAAAGACAATCATGACCCAAACACATTAGGACGCTTATTTAAACAGTTGCATGTTCATGTTGCATGCTAATCAATTTGAGCAATGAAGTGAGGCAAGAACATATTTAGAGCTTGGTGACCTGATGTCTGATTCTGTTTATTTTTATACAATCACAGGTGTGACCCGGGTCCCCAGCCTCAGTGGGATTATCAGTGTCCACTGTCAACACTACTGCAGAAACCAGACTTCATGAATCATCAGAGTTTGTCCAACAAGACACACAGATATGAACACCACCCATCCCAGCTACAGCAGCTTCCACCACCCTGAAAACAACATCAACCTCTGCTCTGTCTCACTGAATCTCCAGTGCAGCTGGATAATTTGAATGAGTGTGTATTCTAGTAATCACATACACTAACTCCCTTTATCATGTGTCCTGTCAAAGACTCGCACCATTCGTTGTACTTTCTTGTTTCTACAAATAAAGATTGTACCACTTTGACTTACCCTTATAAACTGTCTGTGCGTATATGTTTATACAGAAATGTATATTTTCACATTATTAAGTATTTAGATGAAAAACCTTTTATAATGTTGATGTAGTAGATAAATAAAATTAATTAAACCAGTGTTAAAGGGTGCAGAACTGTTAGACTGAGAACTTTGGATGTAATTACCCTTTAAAACTTAGTTATTCGACAAAAAGTGTCTTTTAAAATTGGTGCATCATTGTAGTAAAAAGGTAACCTATCTCAGAAACATGGTTTCAGTCTGCCGTCACTCAATGAATATTTTTATATTTTCAGTAAATTACTTTGAAAAGGGATGAAACTGAAGAGCAAGGATTATGTTTCAGGAGTCAGAGTCTTCACTGTCCTGCAGTCTGCTTCTGCATTTACTGGGGTTGGCCACCAGATGTCAGCATTCAGTCATCAAAACAACCATCACCTGCATCAGCTGAACCACAAACATCATCATCTGTGTCCCTGAAAGTCTCCTCAACAGTTCAGGGTCTCCTTGGTTCTGTTTTTTGGGTCATGATGCTCCAAATATCTTCATTTTTACTTATTTACTCTGTTCATCTGACCATTTGCTTCTTTATTAAAATACCCACCCACCCGATTTATTATTCAATTGTCCTCTGCTGTTAGAACCCTTTTATTTATTTTTTTACTACTATGTCATTATTATTGTTGTTGTTGTTGTTATTTTTTTTACTACTTTATTATTTTTATTGTTATTATTATTTTATTTTTTTTACTACTATATTATTATTATTATTATTATTATTATTACCATTGATGTTGTTATTGTTATTATAAAATAAATAAATGCTGATAAATCAGACTCCTGCTCTGATCAAATACCGCGATAGTTGATCTAAATCTCAGGTAACACATTAAGATATCGCACACGCGCCTTGTCTGCCGCGTCCCCGTGCCTTTGCCCTGCGCCTGCGCAGCGGAGCAATAACTGTTAAAGACGGAGACGGTGTTCGGTTATCAGCAGCGTCTACCAGCGGGAATCTGTAACCTGTTCAACACCGAAAAACACCGGAATCCACCGGACACAAGCCTAACGGGCTCCACCGGACATCCAGCGGGATAGAGCGGGGCAGCAGGCGGGGGCAGAGCCGCGGCAGGCCGGGGTCTGTGGACCGGGAGCCCGCCTGTCTGTCCGCCTGCACACGGTGACACAAAGCGGACTGAAGAGGAGCTTTAAACGGCGTTTGAGCACCGAGAGCCGACCCTGAGTTCACCACAGAGCCATTTTATACGAGGATTTAACCGGAAAGAGAGTCTGAACCAGCCCGGGACCGGAGGAGGAGGACACGGTGCTGTTCGGGTCCAGATGTTGGCCTGATGACGATGCTCCGAGGACAGAAAACACATGAAGAAAGGACACGAAGAAGAACTGTGGAGGACTGACAGAGACACCGAGAGGACACCAACAAGACACGAAGAAGAGCACCGACGGGACATTTAAAGGTGAGGACACAGAGAGGGACATGATTATTACAGGTGGGAGGGAGACATTCAGGAGAGAACAGACGGAGGACAGGTAGAGACAGGAGGGACAGGGTCCAAGGAGGACACAGAGACATACTGAACCAGAGTAAATACAGAGACACACAGAGGACAGGACAAACGTAAACACAGGACATTGACCCATAAAATCAGGGGCTCTGATTAGGACAGAAGACACATGAGGACAAAACAATCAAACACTAAAGAAGTGAAGACTTATCTATAAATAAAGGGACACGAGTCACATGGAGGACACACAGAGAGACCTTATAGAGACATCTGAGGACATCTGAATGGACAGAAGACATGAAACTATTCAAGACCTTTAAAGGGACGTGGGGGCGGATATGAGGACATAAAACCCTGAAATAAACATTAAAACACGTATTTATTAGACATCCAGAGACCACGTCAAACACAGAGGAGACATTTAGTGGACATTATATAATCAGAGACTCTGAGGAGTATCAAACAGATTATGGACGGGGACAGTGAGACACTTTTCTGAGTATTTTGAGACTTTCTTTAAGAGACACGGACAGAGTCTGGAACATCAGGAGACAAAGGGACAGTAAAGCGTGATGAAGGACAGACTGTGCTGGATGTACAGAGGGATTCAGATGTGGAGGACAGACAGGTGACAGTACAAGGATAGTCTCTGTGGGACTCTGGTGACATTAAAGACAGTCAGGGACGGGGGTCCACAGAGTTGAGGACATTTGGAGGACAGACTGTGAAGATGTTTTTGTCTGACAGAGTGTCTTTTTGTCTCCTGGCAGGTTGGATGTAAAGAGGGCTGAGAGGACAACATGATGTCCCCAGAGTGGACCCGTGTTTTCGCTCTGTCCATCCATGTCCTGGTCCTGGTCCTGGTCTTGTCCCGACCTGCGCTGGGGGCCCGCTCCGACAGGAACTCTGCGCTGGAGGAGTATATCTGTGCCACGGTCAACGCCACGGTGCTGGACGGACGAGGACACACCGTCCACATGATGAGCAGCGATGAGGGGACGTATGGACAGAACTCCCCCAAAGTGGACACTCGAGGGGTCGTTATCGCACCGGCGCCTCACAATGGAGGTAATGACATCACAGCATCATTAACGCTGCGTTTGAGTTTCCTCAAAAGTCGAAGCTGAAAATGACGTCAAACCCGAGTTCCCAGCGTTTCAGTTACCAAGTCGTAAAAAGCGAAATCAGACAAACAAGATGGCGACATCTACGAAAGTTATTTTAGCGCTTACCTTATATCGGACAAGGCGAACGCTAAAATAATTCACGTAGATGTAGCCATCTTAGATCCGCCTCTGATTTTGCTTTTTCCGACTTGGTAACTGAAACGATGTTAACTCGGGTTTGACGTCATTTTCAGTTCCAACATCTGACCTCCGAGAAAACTCGAACCCAGCATTAGACTCAACGTAGTGAGTCAGTCCGACTGAAACTGGACTCAGAAAAAGACGTTAAATCCCGTTAGTCCACCTGAACCGGTACTAAACTAAAGTTCTGCAGTTCGACTAACAAACCTAGATTCTCTTGCACCTAAACCACTCAGTTAGACTGACCTGACTCAAGTTCTGCATGTGCTCCTCGCCTCGCCCGGCTCTGACCCGGTAGTTGAATGACATGAATGTGTTGTTGAAAGCTGAGCGCTAAATAAAACCTTAATAACGAGGAATGAACAAAGTGTGAACGGTCGGAGAAACGGAGATGAGATTAGAAAGAACTTTATTGATCCTTTTGGGAAGGTTCCCTGAGGGAGAGTAAAAGAGAAGTTTTTATTGTTCGTCTAACCAGTTTCTTTCTAACGTGTTTATCGAAGATTAACCAGCTGGAAAAAAGGCATGTCGCCACTCACCGTTACTGAGATGGACACACTCAGTCGATGAATTGATTCTTGCCTGGTGCTTGTAAACAGAGACGAGGACACTAGTCCAGTTACGTCACCTGGTTAAAGCTACACCTGTAGTTTGACTGACCTACTGAATGACCCACCTGAGTTCAGACGCAGAGTTTCTCCTGTGGAAATATCACATTAATGCCCAACTCGGAAACTCAGGCAACAGTTTGGCGCCTGACTCGCTGACTTCACATCGTATTTGTCGTTAAAGTGGCTGACAATGTTTTTGATATTAAGATTTATTGATTTTGAATGAATTCTTGATTTATTGACATTGCTTTTTGTTCAAGTATAATTTGTGACGTGTGGTGTTCGCATTAGTTGTTATCCATTGAGTGACCTAGACTATCCAGAAACGTTATTAATAAACATTAGAGGGACACTGAACTGATTTTAGGATTGATATAGTACCTGTGATAGCTCTGTTGGTGAACTTTACACAAATAACACTTTACAATTTTTGGAAATGTACCTGACCCCCAATTTCCAACGCATCCTCCGATCGTAGCTGATCGTAACCATCCAAGTTAACGTGTCAATTTACACCGACTTCTTTTCAAAATAAAACATCCAGCTTCTTTTCAAAATAAAACATCCGGCTTCTTTTCAAAATAAAACACTCCATGTTTCAGGAGGATCGTATTTCACACCATGAGCTGATCGTAACCATTCAAGTTAACGTGTCAATTTACACCGACTTCTTTCCGTTCCTCTGCGGATCGCCGGACTCCTCAGCTGATCACAAGAGTTCTATTTTTTCTGGACGCCGGAGCATGGCGGATAAATTCAGCACAGATTAACCCGTGCTGGAAAGGAAGTCGGGCACAGACACAAAATAAAACATCCGGCTTCTTTTCAAACAAAACACTCCGGCGGAGACGAACAAGTGAAAGGTTTTTAGACGTCATTTCACCCCGATGACACCATGGATGAGGAGATGCTGATTCTAGAAGTCTAGAAGTAGATTTCCTCCTCTGGAAGGACACAATCTACTGCTTATATGTCTATGTGTCTGTCTTTAGAGAGACAACTCGTTATCGTGAGATTGAACGTGAATCTGCAGGTTCTTGTGAGTTCTCGTGATTACTGCTGTCTGTAATCCGCCACGAAATTCACTTCACAAATGGATCTGGTAGGAATTGGTGGACGGTGAAAATCGCCACTGTTCTGGATCGGAGCCGTTCCGGATGTGGTGAAAATTGTGGGTTCGAGTCCCGTCTTTGAAAACTAAGTCTGAAACGCTCCGACTCAGCCACTGTCTCTTTAAGACTCTTCAAAACATCTCCGAACTCTCGTACATTGTTGCCATGAAACTGAGTCACGTCTCTCCTGTTAAAATGACGATTTCGCCCTTATAAGGAAACTCACCAGTTGGTGAAGTCGTGGAAATATCAGGTGGATTTCAGATTGATGGAGGATGACGTTCAGAGCGCGGTCTTATCCTGGGATTAGCTCCACACACATTTGGTCGTTACTCGTTAACTATCACTGTCTGAAACTTAAGTAAGATATGTTAGCTTCAGCACTTCTGTAGTATTTATTTCCTTCAGCCTTGATTAAAAGATGAGGTGATGTTAAAGCGGACTTCCTGAATTTATAAGACAGACTTTCCGAACCGTAACCATCGTGAACCATCTGAGGAGCGTCTTTAAGTTTGTTTTTTTCACACCTGCCTTCGAATTAGGGAGATCGTTTGATTGCCAGCAGCGATGGTCATGTGACCTCTAATGCGATCATGCTGTCAGGTATAAACGTTAATATAGAGATATGTTATGATAAACAAAACTGGCTTCACAATTTTCACAATCATCTCTAATCAGTAGAAACAGATCACTTTACTGCTCTGTGATTGGACAGTGTGTGTTGAAATGCACTCTGGGAGTTATAGTCTTCCCTTTCATACTCTTTGAATGAAAAACAGATTTTTCTGTAGTTTAGTTTGGGCTCATGTTGGTTTGACCCGAGAGTTCTTCATCACCTCAGACACACCTGTGGTTCTGATGTGACGTCACAGAGAGGGGCGAAGCCGGAGCGCGTCACGTTTAAACACGTCGGGAACATCCTGACTCTGAACGCCCTCACACTCACTCCTGAAGAATGAGGAGGTCTCTGTGAACATGTCCAGTCTGATCAGTGTGTGTGTGTGTGTGTGTGTGTGTGTGTGTCTCAATCTGCTGAAAAACAAACTCAAGATGTTTCTGTGTGGTGTTCAGGAGCCTGTGCACAGCGCGGAGAACACAAAACCCACCACCAGACTGACTGTCTCTGCAGCCTGTGTGTGTGTGTGTCTGTGTGTGTGTGTGAAAAGCCTTTATGAGGTGAAAGGTCAGTGTGCAGAGATCAGATAGAGTAAGTGTTGAGAGGTCTCGCTCTGATTTTATCCTGATGTTTCTGTCGGCTGTAGTTTATCTCATTTATGCTCGTTTAATTACACTCTAATGGTAGAATCCATCTTTGTGCTCAGTCCACTAAAACTTATTGTATAATCATAATGCTGTGTGTGTGTGTGTGTGTGTGTGTGTGTGTGTGTGTGTGTGTGTGTGTGTGTGTGTGGTAGTCTGGCACTGCAGAGGTTTTCAGGCTGCGTTCAGGATGATGAAGGTCGACCATCTCTGAGGTGTCGGGTTACAGTCAGACTTTAGAGGACACTGCAGAGCTTGAAACACACACACATACACACACACACACACACACACACAGACCACATAAACAGATGATTTCAATAATCACTGAAAACAAATGAAGGAATTACCTTCAATAACTTCCGTAACATTTTTATTATCATAAGACTCCAATTCCACAGGAGTTAGGAAACTGAAAAATGTTGACAAAAATAAAATTTGATGTTTTCCAAATTATTAAAAGTTAATTAATAATGGTGGAAAAACAACAAATCAAATGATAAAGTGAAAAAAATGATTACAAAACTCTGATTATGAAAACTCTTTGTCTGAACCAGCTGATCGAGCCGTTAAACCTGGGCTCTCTGTGTAAGGAGGCGCTGATCAACACTCTAACTATTAAAACTTCGTCTCTTCTCAGTGGTGGACCGGCAGGGTTGCGACCCGAACACGCGCTTCCTGGTTCCTCCCCGCAACGTCCACTGGGTGGCGCTGCTGCAGAGAGGAAACTGCACCTTCAAAGAGAAGATCCTGAAGGCGGCGGCCTACAACGCCACAGCGGTCCTGATCTACAACAACTCGACCAACAAGACAGTGAAGATGGGCCACGAGGGTCAGTCAACGCACCACAGTTCATTTATTATAGATATTTGTATATGTATGCAGGTTATGGAGAGTGAGAAGACACCGGTAGATCCTCAGAGAATGTCTGTCAGATATCCAACCTGAAACTAACTTCACCGCCGTATTTACAGGAAAATATATCCAACCTGAAACTAACTTCACCGCTGTATTTACAGGAGAATATATCCAACCTAAAACTAACTTCACCGCCGTATTTACAGGAAAATATATCCAACCTGAAACTAACTTCACCGCCGTATTTACAGGAAAATATATCCAACCTAAAACTAACTTCACCGCCGTATTTACAGGAAAATATATCCAACCTGAAACTAACTTCACCGCCGTATTTACAGGAAAATATATCCAACCTGAAACTAACTTCACCGCTGTATTTACAGGAGAATATATCCAACCTAAAACTAACTTCACCGCCGTATTTACAGGAAAATATATCCAACCTGAAACTAACTTCACCGCCGTATTTACAGGAAAATATATCCAACCTAAAACTAACTTCACCGCCGTATTTACAGGAAAATATATCCAACCTAAAACTAACTTCACCGCTGTATTTACAGGAAAATATATCCAACCTGAAACTAACTTCACCGCCGTATTTACAGGAAAATATATCCAACCTGAAACTAACTTCACCGCCGTATTTACAGGAAAATATATCCAACCTAAAACTAACTTCACCGCCGTATTTACAGGAAAAAACATTTGTTGATTTTTTTATGCGCACACATGACCCTAAATACGTTTTACAATTCACACACATGTATTTTTAGAGTGAAATGGTCGCACTGTCGAGACCTGATATGTGTGTAAACGTACTGTAGACCCACACAGTTTATACTCAAAAATAGTGAGTGATATTTATTCTGATTATTTATTATTTACACTGTGATGAAGTCTGCTGAGTCACATGATCTCACTCACACCTGTCTGATGTCTACACCTGTAATGTGAACATGCAGACAGACAGTAGGAGGAACAGCTATCTTAGCTCAGCATTCAAATATATGTGTCTATGAACTCCTTTAAGAGGAAGGAGGAGAAAAAAAGGAGGAAGAGGAGGAGTTAAAGATGGTGGATAAGGAGGAGGGGGCGGGGCAGGAGGCAGGAGACGCGGGGAAGTGTGTAAGGAGGTGAGGAGTAACTTCCTGGGATCAATGTCGACTAAATATAGACAGGACCATGTCATTAATTGATGAGGTCACAGTGACCTCATGCTGTGTGCGTGTGTGTGTGTGCATGTGTGTGTGTGTTAATGTCACAGAGCAGAAAATGAGCGACTCTAAACCCGTTTCAGATGTTAAGATCCCCGACGCTGCAGAAATATTCATCCAGACAGGAGAAACTCAGAATTCCTGTATTAATTCAGTTTCAGCTTTCTATCTAAATATAGATCTAGATCTGTATCTAGATCTTCTTTACACACACATCAGCTTTTTTTTATCATGGATCATGACATAACAGATTGTGGATTGGTTCCATATGAACAAAGATTTATCGATTGATTGATTTCATATCTAATCAATCACTTTTATAGAAATATATATACAGTAGTTACATATACAAGTTTTCGGACACTATATAAAAAGGCTCATCACCTTTTTTTCCTCACCGTCTAACTTTAAATCAGATTAAACTTTTCCTGTTTTTGGTCGATTAGGATTAACAAAATTATTTTTATTTGCTAAAAGCCAAAAAAGCCAAAATTCCTGCAAACTATTGTGAGAAGTTTGTGGAAGCGTATCCAAAACATTTGACCCAAGTCATACAATTAAAGGCAGCTACCAAATACTAATAATATGTATGTAAACTTTGACTCTCAGGAAAATAATAAAAAATTGTCTAAAAAATGTTTCTCTCTCATCATTCTGGGATTTAGCAAATAAAAATAATTTTGTTCATCCTAATCGACCAAAAACAGAAAAAGTTTAATCTGATTTAAAGTTAGACGGTGAGGAAAAAAAGGTTATGAGCCTTTTTATATCCACTGTATGTAAACTTCTGTATGCACAGGTTGTACTTCTGAATCTGTGAGTCGTCCTGATCCCGCCTCTGTCTCCAGGTACGGGTGACACGGTGGCGGTGATGATCACTGAGGCCTACGGGAAGGAGATCCTGGCTCACCTGGAGAGGAACCTGACGGTCCTGGTCTCTGTGGTGGTTGGAGATCGGGGTTCCTCTAAAAACATAAACCGAGGTTCTCTGGTCTTTGTCTCCATCTCCTTCATCGTCCTCCTCATCATCTCCTCCGCCTGGCTCATCTTCTACTTCATCCAAAAGATCCGCTACACCAGCGCCCGCGACCGCAGCCAGGTAACAGCGAGCGCGCCGCTGACACGGTTTTTAAGGGGTTAACCTGCTCATAAAGCGCTAACATGCTAACGTGGAGCTAAGTTTTGTATAAAGAGGTGAATCTGCTCATTATTACCGAATCAGCAGGTGCCCTCCCCCTCTCTCCCCCTCCTCTCCCCCCTCAGTGTAATCTGACCTTCCTCTCAGGACTCCGCCTCCTCCCCCCATCCACCCTCCATCTAATGCAGATCAACCTTCAGTCCAGGTCCCTGCGGTCCCTCTGTAGACTGATAACAGCTGATGGGGATCTGCTGACACTGTAGTGTTATACTAATACTGCATTACAGAAGTACTAAATAGTATTTCAGACTACAACACTGCTGAGAGTAATACTACAGAGGATGAAGTGGAATACAGAGTCAGTACACAGCGTACAGTGAAGGAGTAAAAGTACCCGGTATAAGGTATAGATCGTATACAGTTGAAGTAAACAGAGCCCTGTCCCCTGATCAATCCTTCTGATCACTTGTCTTTGTATTATAGTTTCCTATTTCCTTATATGAACTCTTGTAATAGGGAACCGAAGTCATGCTAACTTCCGGGTTAGCATACGGTCCTATGGAGCCCATCAAAATGAATGGACAGATATATATAACTACTGGTCCGCTTTGGTATACGTCGTGGATTTCACATATAATGTTTATCATGTTTAAATTTACATTTTAACCTCGAAAAAGCCGTGATTTTAGACATGTTGCTATAGCTACAGTTTAATTTAGAGTGAGACCACGTAATGAACTACACCGCTCGTCGCACTATTTTTGCGTCACTGTCTAAGCTTTGACAGACGACGATGGCGGTGACTTTGGCAAGTTTCACGTCCTTCTTCCAGGATGAAGGAAAGAGTATTAAACGTGGTGAAAACCACTACAAGTCGGGTCATGTTGAGAGTGGGAGTTACGCCGGCGGAGAGATAGTTGGTCGAGTGAGAGCCAGCATGCGGGACAAGCTCTGACAAGGGGCTCTATGTCATTTACGCGACTTCTTGAGGTCTGTAGTCTCTCCATTTACGTGTTTTCAAAGACAAATAGATCAACAATTACACAACAGACAGAGCCTTTATTTACCTTAATGGTTATCATTTAAGTTAAAATACAACATATTTGTGACTCAGGGTGTAAAACAAAGCGGACCAGAAAATACCATAGACCTGTCCATTCACTCCTATTATCCCAATAGGACCTATAGCGCTAACCGGAAGTGGGCGTGGCTTCGGTTCCCTATATTGTTGGTTTGTGACGTTTCCAACTGACCTGAAGAAATGATTATTAATCCAGAAGAGATTCTTCAGAATGAACATGAACCTTCTGCTCCTCTTTTCTAAATACTCCATCTTAACGATCAACAAACTCAGTGTCTTTCACTCTCGTTTGTTCATCAATAAGAAACAAAAACCTTCCTGAAACTTTTTAACCTTTTCATCCGACCTTCACCCGTACACTAAGACAAAACCACCATCTTCAGTTTCCTTCATGTTGAACTTCTTCTCATCAGTCTAATTTCACTTTAGAGGAGAGAAACTAAGAAATGATCTGGATGGATCTCTAAAATCAATATTAAATCCTTTAAAGTATCATTAAAATGTCTTTGTCTCTGTGTGTCTCTGTCCTCCTCAGCAGGCCGTCATCTGTCATCGATTATTTCTGTCTCCCTGTTTCTCAGAGTCATAAACACTCTAACCCCCAATTTACACCACATCCTGAACGGCAGCGTTTTTCGCCGTCCGCCAATTCCTCCCACATCCATTTGTTACGCGAATTTCATGGCGGATTGCGGACAGCTGTAGAACCCGCGGATTCACGTTCAATCGCTCGATGACGAGTTGTCTCTCTAAAGACAGACACATAGACATATAAGCAGTAGATTGTGTCCTGGTTACGATCAGCTACGATCGGAGGATACGACCTTTTAGGAGACGATCAGGATGAAGGTGGAGATCGGGGGTTATAGTATGTGAAGCTGTCTCATGTCCACACAGTCTAATCTGTCCTCTGTCCCTCAGCGTCGTCTTGGCGATGCAGCAAAGAAAGCCATCGGGAAGCTGACCACGAGGACAGTGAAGAAAGGAGACAAGGTAACTTCCTGTTTGTCTCATGATGCGTAAATGTGTGTGTGAGGGGGTCGGGGGGCAGGAGGACCCTGAGGTGATGTGTTTTGTGTCATAAACCTTCAGCTGCCGATGAAACAGTGATGGATGCCCACTCAGTCAGAGGTCAGAGGTCAGAGGATGATAGCGAGGGAGGGTAAACATGATGGAGATAAAACATAAATCAGACCCGACGAGCTGCTGCCAGAGTGTTTACAGCCACGACAGAGACACAACACAAACACACAACATAAACACACAACTGTCAGTAAAAGCAGCAGTGAGTGTAGACACTACAGAGACACAAGGACACACAACTAACACACAACAGAGGGACAAACACACACACACAAAACAACAAGAGGAAAACAACAGCACACACCTCTGTTACCTGTTACCTGAGTGGTGGTGGTTCAGGTGTCTTAGTCTTGAGGTTTGGGGGTGTGGGGGGTCAGGGGTTTTGGGGAGGACAGGATGTGAAGTGGACAGGTCTTTAAGTCCGTGCACATGCCCCGCCCCCCCAGCTGTCATTGGCGAGTAAATCACAGAGAGCTGACCCTGAACAAACGTGAGGAACATGATGAACCAGAGGGAAGTAAATCTGTGTGTGTGTGTGTGTGTGTGTGTGTGTGTGTGTGTGTGTGTGTGTGTGTGTGTGCGCGCGCTCTATAGGAGACTGATCCAGACTTCAATCACTGTGCCGTGTGTATCGAGGCCTACCAGCTGAACGACGTGGTCCGGATTCTGCCCTGCAAGTGAGTCTAACACACCTGCTGACCGCTCCGATCCTGAGCAGGCGCTCGGGTCGGCGGTCTCACGCTCACGGTTCATACGGTCGTGTAGGGATCGCCATAATCGATTATCGACCGAGGTCTTAATCGATTTCTGGTTTTTGTTTGTAAAGAAAGTTGTCAGTTCTGATCTCCTCTAAAAAAGCGTTTATGAATCAGAAGCTGCCGGTCTCACGGAGCGAGTCGATTTTACAGCAAGTCTCAGAGTTCTGGGTCAGAGCCGGTTCTGTCGTCAGTGTTTTTGAGCGCGTCTGTCTCTCTGTGCGTCGTTGTTTTGGAAGTGAAGGACGTTAAAAAAAAAACACTTAGTTGTGTATTTGTTGATGTAGTTGTGTGTTTTTGTAGTGTGTTTGGTTCATCTGAGGTTTGTCGATCATGCATTGTTTAATTGTGTTGTCATGAATTTCTTTTTTCTTCCATTTATTGTGTAACTTTGTTTTTTTACTTTATGCCGTCTCTGTGTTTTTAAATATAAATGTGTGTGTTTTTTGTGTTTTCATTTGTTTGCTGTCATCTTGTGCATAATCCCTTATTAATTTTGTGTTGTCTTGTTATCAGTTTGTCATCTTTTGTGTTAAGATATTTTAAAAATGGTCTTTTTTGAGTCTTTTTGTTGTGTGATTTTTGTTATTGATTATTGTGTATTCCTTGTGTTTTGTTGTGTATTTGTACTTCCTGTGGTGTTTTTGTTGTGTGTTTGGTTCATCTGAGCTTTGTCGATTATGCATTGTTTCATTGTGTTGTCATGAATTTCTTTGTGTTTTTTTCTTCCATTTATTGTGTAACTTTGTTTTTTTTATGCCTTCTCTGTGGTTTTTAAACATGTGTTTGTGTGTTTTTTGTGTTTTTATTGTGTTTGCTGTCTTATTGTGCACAATCCCCTATTAGCTGTTCTGTTTTGTGTTGTTTTGTTATCAGTTTGTCATATGTTGTGTAGTACAGATATTTTAATAATGGTCTTTTTCAAGTCTTTTTGTTGTGTGATTTTTGTTGTTGATTATTGTGTATTTGTTGTGTTTATAGTTCCTTCTGTGTTTTTGTTGAATGTTTGTGGTTCTTTGGTTGTTTTGTTGTGTTTGCTGTCTTTTTGTTCATTAGTTGTTGTTTTCTGTTTTTATTACTTCTTTTTAAAGTGTGTTTTCGTCGTTGGGTTTTAGTCGCTCATTGTTGTGAACTCTTCATGTTTTTGTTGAATGTTGTGTTTTTGTCGTATTTTTTTCCTTCTCTCTATCCTCAATCAAAAAAAATCGATCTCAGTGTCATGGCGGACAGTTTTAGTAAAGGGGCGGAGCTTCAGGTGATATTTGGGGCCTGAACTGACGGACACTCGGCTCACACTCACTCTGGTCTGGAGGAGAACAAACAGAAGGAAGGCTCCACCCTGAGGCTGTACTCGGTACTGCAGTGACATCACAACTTCAGGCCTGATGGTGTCACACTGAGTCTCAACACACACAGACAGACACACACAGATCATGTGTGTTTAACAATAACAACAGTGACGTTACAAAGAAACTCACTCTTGGTGTTTTGATTGTGCGTTTGATTTGATTTGTTGTGTATTTGTAATAGTTGTGTAAGTGTTTGTGTGTGTTTTTGTTGTTGTATCTGTTGCAGATCTGTTGTTGTTTATTCAATGTGTGTACTGTTGTGTATATTGTTGTGTAGTGTTAATGTTGATTTTGCTCATGTGTGTCTCTGCTGTGTGTTTTGTTTCTAGTGTGTCCTGATGTGTATTTTTTGTTTTGTTTGTTGTGATGTTGTATTTAATTGTGTTCTTGTTGTGTGTTATTGTCGTTTTTGACACATTTTTGCTGTGCTTTATTTTTTGTTTACTTTGATGTGTATTTATTGTGTAATTTTAAAGTTTGATATTGTTGTTTATTTGTTGTGTCATGAATATGTTTTTTGTTGTGTATTCAGTGCAAACGTATTTTGTGTATTTTGTTTTTGTATTCTGTTTTCATTAAGTGTTGTGTATTTGTTGTGTGCCCTGTTGTGTTAATGTATTGCTCTTATTGTGTACTTGTTGTGTTATCTTTTCATTGTTTTTGTTGTGGTTTTTGTGTATTTATTGATTTATCTGTTTTTATATCTCTCATTATCTGAGTGTGTTTATTACACTGTTTGTTGTGTTGTGAGTTTAGAGTGTGTATTTTTTGTGCTGCTGATGTGTGTTGTTGTGTGACCTTGGTTGTGTTAAAGTAGCGCTCTTATTGTGTACTTGTTGTGTTACTGTTTAATTGTTTCTGTTTTTTTGTGTATTTATTGATTCATCTGTTTTTGTATCCTCATTATCTGATTGTGTTTATTACACCGTTTGTGGCGTTTACTGTGTGTATTTTTTGTGTTGTTGATGTGTGTTGTTGTGTTGTCTTTGTGTCAGTTGTGTGTTATTTTGCTGACCAAGTGTGTGTGTCTCTGCAGACATGTCTTCCATAAGGTGTGTGTGGACCCCTGGCTGAACGAGCACTGCACCTGTCCCATGTGTAAACTGAATATCCTGAAGGCTCTGGGCATCATGGTGAGTCATCACTGACATCATCACAGGAACCTGCTGTGATTGGACGAAAGCGTTAGCGCCTCACTGGCCTTTCCCTGTCCTCTCTGTCTGTCTACAGACCAGTCTTCCCTGTGTGGACAGTGTGGTTCTAGACGTGGAGCGTCTCGGTGTCAGTCAGTCCTCCAGCAGCCAGAGGGCGCCCCTTAACGACAACAACCAGCCGTCCATTAGCCTGGAGCCGCTCAGCCCGCCACATCCAGAGGCCACGCCCAGAACACCAGCTGACATCACCATCTCTGTGACCAGTAAGAAAGCAGCGTTCATGAAACGCACCAGACACCACCAGGCAACTTTACTAAACACAACTCACCTACTGTCTTCCAGCAGCTGCTTGTTTGTAGTGAGACCTCAGGCCAGTCCATTACAGACTACAGCGGGGTGCCGCAGCTCAAGGAAGAACATTTATGATCATTTCTTAATCATTTCCTTGAAGTAATAATCACCATATTAATCATTTTACAGACGCGGTAGTTCTTCTGTCTTAGAGAGGAAATGATCGCAAATGTTCTTCCTTGAGCTGCGTCACCCCGCTGTAGTCTGTAATGGACTGGCCTGAGGTCTCATCCATTCAAAGCAACCTAAGACTGATTTAGAGCAACTTTAAAACCCTAGGAAGCAACTCCACACTGATGTGGAGCAACTTTACAACAATGTAGATCAACGTGACAGAGTAACCTGCACAGATTAACCGTAATTTAATACTGATGTAAAGCATCTTCAGTCCAACATGGAGCAACGTAAACACTGAGAAGTAACTTTATACCAAAGAGAGCAACTTTACACTGATGAAGAGCAACTTTATACCAACATAGATCAATTTTGATATTGACAAAGTGATGCATCAACTTGAACTGCCTTTGATTTTTCATTCAGAGCAACTTCAGCCAATTTAGAGCAACTCTTTTTTTTAACCAGTATCTTTATACAGCAGTAGAGTAACTCCACACTTGAGTATATTCACCCTGATTTAGTGACTCGTCAAAGTAGTCGTTTAGCAACTTCACGCTGTTTTTGAGTGATGTCACACTGACGTTTGTAGATGCTGTCGACCATTTCCAGTCGGTGTTGGATGATCAGCAGCAGAGAGGATGGTTGACTGGAAACATAACCGACAGATTTAAAACATTTTAAACGTGTTGAACTTAAATCTCCTGTTTTTTTTTTTTGTGCGTCTCTCTCAGGCGGCGGCGGTCACTTCTTCAACAGGAACTCGATGTCTCCTCGCAGCGTCGTCTGTGAGATGGAGCTCCCCGACATCCAGGCCTCGCTCGACCTCTACGATGACAACAAGTCCTGAGGTCGTCGTCATGGTTACAGCCCCCTCCCATCACCATCACCTACACCTGCTGTGGATGGACTTAGAAGTGTTACCTGTCGGGGGCGGGGGGGACAACACAAACCTGGAGGAACTTCAAATATCATGTTACCCATCAGATTCCCTCAGTCTGGACTCTGGTCTCCATCTGGATCCTGGACTTAGACAGGCTCCTCAGCTCAGTCTTGGTTCTGGACTCAGTCTGGGTCCTGGACTTTGACTAGATCCAAGACTCAGACTGGATACTGGACCAAGACACAGTCCTAGACTCAGTTTAGTCCTCTCAGTTTAACATCCATGGATGAGGTCTGGGTGAGCTGGAGATCCAAATTTGATCAAAAACCAGAACTAGAACCAGAGCCTCCCCGGTAAAGCGAACACACAGTCATGTGAAGAAGTTCCTTAAAGTGCTCTTGTGGTCCTGGGAACTAAGTCCCTGGGATTGTTCCTGAGTGTCTGACCCATTTCCCTGAATTTGAGAACCTTGAAAAGTTCTGCGGTTCCTGAACTTCAAAATGGTCCCCAGAGGTTCTCCTCGGTTCTAAAAAAGTTCCTGACTGCCACAAAGTTTCTTAGTTCCCCCAAAGTTTCTAAGGTCTGCTGAATATCTGTGGAGATCTGGGACAGTGGTGAGAACTTTATCCATGCTGATATTGTTGGACCAACAAAAAAAGTTCTTTCTATTGGTTCTGGGGTTCTCTAGATGGTTCTCTAAGTTCTTTAACCCATCAAAAGGTTCTTGGTTCATCTTCCTGGGAAAGTTCTTGATAAGGTTCCAGTTCCAGTGACTCTCCAGGAGCCTCCTCAGACGTCTTCAGAGAACTTGGGTTCTTGAAATCTTGAAAGACCTCCTCTCAGCTGAGGGGGTTTTGTGCTTCCTGAAAGTTTTGGGTTCCTGAAGGTTCTCAAGAGAACTGATCCTTAATTCTGCTTCTGAGACTCTCATACAGGACCAAATTGTATTTAGAGCTTCAGGGCCTGGACCAGGTCTTCACTACGGAAACTGCTTGACTGGTCATTCTTGACCATCATGAGACTGGGACCAGGATCAGAGAAAGACCTGTACTTGGACCCTCTGGAGACCCTTAAAAAAACAATCTTGTGAACTCGTACAGTGTTACTCTTCTGTAGCAAAAGCAGTTTTTGTGTCGAACAAAGACGATCGGACCAGTTCGGACTTTCAGGGGACCTCATGCTCTGTTTTTAGTACCAGGGGGCGTTCCTCAGGGTACCGTCCTGGGTCCTCTGCTCTTCAGTATACAGGAGCTCTGTCTTTGGTACCTGGTGGAGTTCCTCAGGGTACCGTCCTGGGTCCTCTGCTCTTCAGTATGCAGGACCTCTGTTTTTGGTACCTGGTGGAGTTCCTCAGGGTACCGCCCCGGGTCCTCTGCTCTTTAAATTACCGCTAACACAGACGGATCGACTCCAGTTAACCCCTTCACGATCAGAGAGGAGGAACGCTGCTCAGCTTTGCCGAGTTTTAAGCTTCGCACCGACGCTGAAAACTGTTCGCTTCTCCATAGAGTGAACCCTGACCCGCCGTAGTCTCGGGTCAGTTGTTAGCTTGTTAGCTCAGCAGCTACTTAGCACAGCATCCTGTAATTATCTGGTTTAGATGACAATAGAGTCAGCATATATGAGGTAACTTTTTGAGCCAATCAGAAGGCCCCGCTTACTCTGTCACAGACCGTGACGACAGGAAGAGACGCCCAGAAGGAGAATGAACTGAAACAGGAAGTGAACATGAACTGCTGTTAACCTGCCTTTGAACGGACACACTTTCTCTCTTCCTATTGGCTCTCTGGGTCCTCAGCGATGCAAACAGGTGTGTGTGCTGCAGAGTGTGAGGTTCTCTGAATTTACGGACTGCTCCTTTATCGTGTATAAACAGCCTGTGACTAATAATCAGCCTCTCAATATATAAACACACATACCACCTATAATCTGATCAATGTTAGCTCTGAATGTGAGTGAGTGAGTGTGTGTGTGTATCAGTGTGTGTGTGTGGCTTCAATTTAACGTGTCTGATACTGCCTCAGCATTAAAGTGTCATTATTGCCTTTAACATGGTGTCATTATTACACAAACACAATCAATCAATCAATCAATCAATCAATCAAACTTTATTTTTAAAGCTCTTTTCATACATAGAATGACGCACAAAGTTCAGTCTATTCACGCAGGATATTAAAAAAGTCAAAAGCATTGGTGCTACTGTAGATGCCAACAGACTACCAGCAAACACAATGTTTGCAGGACTTCTACAACGAGGATAAAGTGACATAGTCCAGGACCCGAGGGAGGACAGTTTAGCGATGGCGCTACAACACGCTACAGCAGGTCCGTTTGACAAGAAACACTTCTGTTACAGACACTTGTCTTACTTTGTTAAAGCGGTTTACCTGTCCAGCAGAAAGGTTACAGGGTCACCAAGATCCCCAAGCGTCCCCCATCGTTTATGTTGACCCGGCTTTTTAGCTCTTGTCCGGTCTACCTCCTTTTTAAGCGCCCGTTATTCCTCCAGAGTCTCCGGTATTTACTTTGTTTTCTCGCTTGTGTCGGCAGTCGTGGCCAAAGGAGGATTCAGACAATTTTCCGAACTTTCTGGTTGGTTTCTACTGTCCGATATTGTAGCACGCTAACTTTGTTTGGGCTCCTGAACGACACGGGGGAGCAGCATTTTCTTGCTGACTGTTTTCTTGCTGACTGTTTTCTTGTTGACTGTTTTTTTATTGACTGTTTTTTTGTTGACTGTTATTTTGTTGACTGTTTTCTTGTTGACTGTTTTTTTGTTGACTGTTTTCTTGTTGACTGTTTTTTTGTTGACTGTTTTCTTGTTGACTGTTTTTTGTTGACTGTTTTGGTGTTGACTGTTTATGGTTGACTGTTTTCTTGTTGACTGATTATAGTTGACGTTTTCTTGTTGACTGTTTTCTTGTTGACTGTTTTTTTGTTGACTGTTTACTTGCTGACTGTTTTTTGTTGACTGTTTTGGTGTTGACTGTTTATGGTTGACTGTTTTTTGCTGACTGTTTTCTTGTTGACTGATTATGGTTGACTGTTTTCTTGCTGACTGTTTTCTTGCTGACTGATTATGGTTGACTGTTTTCTTGCTGACTGTTTTCTTGCTGACTGTTTTCTTGTTGACTGTTTATGGTTGACTGTTTTCTTGCTGACTGTTTTCTTGCTGACTGTTTTCTTGTTGACTGTTTATGGTTGACTGTTTTCTTGTTGACTGTTTTCTTGTTGACTGATTATGGTTGACTGTTTTCTTGCTGACTGTTTTTTGTTGACTGTTTTGGTGTTGACCATTTTCCTGTTGACCGGTTTGGTGTTGACTGTTTTTTTGCTGACTGTTTTCTTGCTGACTGTTTATGTTTGAGTGTTTTCTCGCTTGTGTCGGCAGTCGTGGCCAAAGGAGGATTCAGACAATTTTCCGAACTTTCTGGTTGGTTTCTACTGTCCGATATTGTAGCACGCTAACTTTGTTTGGGCTCCTGAACGACACGGGGGAGCAGCGTCTGCCTCACAACCAATCAGGTTAGAGGAGGTGGAGAACGGCTTTGTTTACAGTCAGAAAGAGCGGACCGCTCAAAAATGTTCAAATGTTGACGACACAGACATAAGAGAACACAGAGATATCGATATATTACCAAATGTCATCAATAACTAATAACTATTGACTGATATTAAAAGATTTTTTGTATTAAAACCACAAAATAAAGACGCTTCTTTAATGGATTCCTGTCTACTCCACCTTTAAAAAAGATGAGGAAACACTGGATTTAGGACTAAAACGATAAAACCATGATTAAAACAAAATGTAACGAAAAGCCAGACTAAAAAGGTCGGTCTTTAGTTTAATTTTAAAATATGAACAGTAGGTGTCGCTCTCAGCTCTGCAGGTCGGCTGTTCCACAGATGGGGATTGTAATATTGGAACGATGGTTCACCGTACGTCACGACTTTGTAAAGTCGATATTTAATCATTATCAGAGAAAGATGCTGCTGCTGGGACAACAGATCTGATATGATAACAGAAAAACTACATTCTTGTTTTAGAAGAAACCTGATCATTTTGAAGTTGATCCAACAGCATGTTTGTTTCAGGTTCATGTTTCTCATCGTGGAAACTAAAGTCAACCCAGTAAACCAGGTTCTGGAGTCTGACAGTCAAATGTGGTCCCATTCTTTCAGATGCTCCACAGTTCAGGGTCTCCTTGGTCCTGGTTTTAGGGTGATGATGCTCCAGATGTTTTCAGTCAGGACCATATCAGTCCAGTTCCTCAGCAGGATTCTTCTCCTGTTGTCTGAATCTGGTTTGGGATCATATGAAGGTCTTTCCTGAAAAACTCTTTGTCTGGATGGACGCAGATGTTGCTCCTAAACCTGGAGATCTATAATTCTATTATCTATAATTTGTAGTTCTTTGTTGAAAGGACAAATGGACTTAGTTGAGACGTTTTGCCTAAAAGAGTGTTAGATTTAGATCCATCAGACCTCAGGACAGTTCACGGATAAGTGATATCAAGCCCATGATGCGGTGACTCCAACTACAGAGTCCTAACCTGTAGATGTTGTTCAGCATTAATGGAGTTTTACAGATGTGGAAGATACCAGGACATGGACTCTGATGATCCCCAGACCATCAGGGATGCTGGATTTGGACCCTCTACTCTTTAAAGAGTCCAGGATTTCCAAAAAGAAAATGAATATTTGAATATTTGAGGTGATAAAAGGTTTTATTTGTGAGAAATAGAGTTGAAGTGTTCTTTAATAAAGTTCAGACACGGTGAGTTTCAGTGTTTTTTAGTTAAAGTTGGTTAAAATCAGATTATTCTCGTATTTCTTATATAATCGATATCATCCATCTCCCTCCACCAATATGGAGGACAACGCTTGGAGATGATGTAATTACGCAGCGCACGCAGAGGGCGTGTCGTATAACGTCAGACCCGGAAGTGATGTACAGTCAGCAGACTGAAGGGAAAACAACAACATCAGAGTCTCCGTTTGTCTGATTACCGGAGCTCCCCCCGCGAGGACTCACCGACCTCAGTTACAGAGCTTCCCCGGCGGAGGGTGAGCAGCAGGCGGCCGGAGATGTGGATCCACCCCGAGGAGGTGCTGCTGGCCGGGGCGCTGTGGGTGTCCGAGCGGGCCAACCCGTTCTTCATCCTGCAGAGGAGGAGGGGGCACGGCCGGGGAGGGGGGCTGTCCGGTGAGTCACACACAGACCACTACAGACCGTCAGGGTCCACTATAGACCACCACAGACCACTGCAGACAACCTTAGTCCACTACAGACCATCAGACCCCATTATAGGACCACCACAGTCCACTACAGTCCAGTCTGTAGACCAGAACACAGACGATCCAAATCCTCTTCAGACCGTCAAAGTCCACTACAGACTCTCAAAGTCCTCTTGTAGACCTATTGACAGTTGGTCCTGGTCTACAAGAGACCACCATAGACCACGACAGACTTCTTCCTGCATTACAGACCAGTACAGTCCACCAAGAACCATGATAGTCCACTATAGACTGTCCAAGTCCATTATAAACCACCACAGTAGGGGAGACTGGGGCTTGTTGTCACACGGGTAAGTTGTAGGGATGTAATGATTACCGGGGAAATGTCTGATGGGTAAGGTCCTCACACGCCGGGGCCGACGCGAATACAGAACGCGAAATTATGAAATATTTTCAGAGGCGAATTTTGACGCGCCTGACTATAAACATTCACGGGGAAAGTCCCGCCTCCTTCGCCTCTGATTGGCTAGAAAAGCTGGAAACATCATTACACGCTAAAGCCAAACAGTCAGCACTTCTAGCCAATCAGAGGTGATACGATAACCACATGAAACCATGGTAACAACCGTTAGCTTACGTTAGCACAGATGAAAGTTCAAACAAAGACGTTTATCAAACTGTTGAAGCTCACAAACCATCGTCAGATGAGAAATCCGACGCTATGACTCTCCACAAGTCGTCCTTGAGGTCGTTTTCTTTGTAATGTTTGTGAAAACGATCGTAAACAATCAGCCGGTCGGCCATGTTGGATATACCGGTGAATCAGACGTCGCAACAACACGAAATCTGATTGGTCAGAAGTGAACACACAGTATGCGAAACTTTAGAAAAATCGACCATGATCGGGAAAAATAAATGCCACAATATCGCAGGACGGGAAAACGTCGCTGATGTGAACGATTGTGTTGACAGGATACAGGTTCGAAAAAAATATTGACATCTGAAATAATCACAATAATTCCAGGTGTGAAAGGACCTTTAGACGTCGAGTCCTGGATGGTAGACAAGTGTTCGCAGCTAAATTAGGACCAAACTCAGGTTTTAGTAATCGTACAGGTCCACAGAAAGAGAAACTGGATCAAAAACTCTGAGCTCTATCATCGTTCCAACATTACGGTCCCCATTGGTGGAACAGCCTACCTGCAGACACACCTACTGTTCATATTTTTAAAAGTAAACTAAAGACCTTTTTAGTCTGGATTTTAGTTTGATTTTGTTTTAATCTTCTAATCTGCATTAAGTGATTTTACCCTATTTAAGTCCTAGAGTAACTATTCTGTGTTTTATTACCTCTTTTTAAAGATACTCTCTTATATTGTTTGATTTTAACTGTTTTATTTCATTAACTTTTAAGACTTTATCACCTTTATCATATTTTATCATGGTTTTATGGTTTTAGTCCCAGATTCAGTGTTTCCTCATCTTTTTTAAATGAAGGTAGTGTTTCCTCAGTCATCTGTGGAAAGTTGAAGAGTCCACCTGATCTTCTGTGTGAGTGTGTGAGAGTGTGTATGTCTTCAAGGGGGGGGGGGGGGTTCTGTATTTTTATTTATTTTGCTAAATTGTTTTTTTAATATCCTGCATGAACGGACAGAACTTTGTGCTTCATTCTGTGTGTGAAAAGTGCTTTAAAATAAAGTCTGATCGATTGATTGATTGATTGATTGATTGATTGATTGATTGATTGATTGATTGATTGTCACAATAGTCTGTTATAGTTCTCTACAGACTCTCATGGTCCACAATAGTCTGCTACAGTCCACCTCAGTCTGGCCCAGTTCTGGTCTCTCTGAGGTTCTTGATCCCTCGTAGACCAGTTCAGTCCAGCAGAAGTTTATTTCTTATATTTTGGTCACATCTGGACCTGAAGGTCTGTGAGGTCCTGGAGAAGGACCTGGACTCTCTGTGACTCTCTGTGTCAGAGAGGCGGATTCTGTCCTCCTGGACCAGGTCCTCCACACAAACACAGGAGCTCATTCAGAGCCGGACTAATTCCCTCTGAATGGACCACAGAGCTCCACAGGAAGCTGCTCTGGCCTGAGGTCTCCAGCTCCTCCTCCTCCTCCCCCCTCAGCGTGACTCTCTGACTCACTTCCTCACTCTCAGCTGTAAACGTCTCCAGGATCTCATGAGAAACAACCTGAATGTGCAAAACGGACTCCAGACTGGACCACAGAGTCCTCTTTGACCCAGAACTGATCCCAGAACCTTTACTGCTCAGAAGGACAGCAGACTGATCTTTCTTTAGTGCTCCACATTTTAAATACACAACCTTTTCTTCAACAATCATGAAAGGGTTAACTACGGTGGCCAAGAACTGCCACTGCTGCAAATAAAAAAAGAAGTCACAACGGAAGTGAACCACGCAAAAAAAAGAAACGGTGCAGATTTAAAAAAAAAAACACAAGGGAAGTTAACAGCACAAAAAAATAATAATAATAAACTGCAGATAAAAAAAAAAAACACAAGGGAAGTTAACAGCACAAAAAAAATTTCGCCTTAAGTAACTTCTTTTAAAAAAGAAGTAGCAGCAGCACAAAAAAACAGCATCAACTAAATTAACAAGAACAAAGTACAATAAAAAACCTCGGTCTGGACCGTCCTGTCTCTCAGTCTCTGACTCTGCAGACTGACCCTGAATGGATCACAAAAACCCTCACAGTCGAGTTTTAGTGGATTTTCTGCAGGAACACTAAACCCTGATCCAGAGTCCACGACTGATCCAGGACCAAAGTCGAGCCGGTCTCAGTTTTCTTTCCTTTCTTCTTTCCCCTCAACAGTAAAAAAACTGTAGTGACTGTTTAATAATTATAAACTCGTGTCTCTTCATGTGTATTTTTGTTGTTTTACGTTAAATCGACTGAATTTCACCTCCAGAGTTTTTCAGCTCAGAGTCAAAGTTCAAGTTTAAAAGATCATCTCAAAGTTTCTCCAACGTCAGAGGACTGAGACTTTAAACCTTCATGACTGTGTGTGTGTGTGTGTGTGTGTGTGTGTGTGTGTGTGTGTGTGTGTGTGTGTGTGTGTGTGTGTGTGTGTGTGTGTGTGTGTGTGTGTGTGTGTGTGTGACATCACTGTCAAGTCAATCTTTATTTATAAAACACATTCAGAAACAAAACTCACTGTGGACAGAGGACGAAACTGACTCACCTGTCCACCTGTCTGTCCTCCACCTGTCTGTCCTCCAACTGTCTGTCCTCTAACTGTCTGTCCTCCTCCTGTCTCTGTCCTCCTCCCATCTGTCCCTCACCTGTCCCTCCACCTGTCTGTCCTCCTCCTGTCTGTCCTCCACCCATCTGTCCTCCACCCGTCTGTCCTCCTCCTGTCTCTGTCCCTCCTACTGTCTGTCCTCCACCTGTCTGTCCTCCTCCTGTCTCTGTCCCTCACCTGTCTGTTCTCCACCCGTCTGTCCTCCTCCCGTCTGTCCTCCACCCGTCTGTCCTCCTCCTGTCTCTGTCCCTCCTACTGTCTGTCCTCCACCTGTCTGTCCTCCTCCTGTCTCTGTCCCTCACCTGTCTGTTCTCCACCCGTCTGTCCTCCACCCGTCTGTCCTCCTCCTGTCTCTGTCCCTCCTCCTGTCTGTCCCTCCTCCTGTCTCTGTCCCTCCACCTGTCTGTCCTCCTCCCGTCTGTCCTCCTCCCGTCTGTCCTCCACCCGTCTGTCCTCCTCCCGTCTGTCCTCCACCTGTCTGTCCTCCTCCTGTCTCTGTCCCTCCACCTGTCTGTCCTCCAACTGTCTGTCCTCCTCCTGTCTCTGTCCTCCTCCCATCTGTCCCTCACCTGTCCCTCACCTGTCTGTCCTCCACCCGTCTGTCCTCCTCCTGTCTCTGTCCCTCCTACTGTCTGTCCCTCCACCTGTCTGTCCTCCACCTGTCTGTCCTCCTCCTGTCTCTGTCCCTCCACCTGTCTGTCCTCCAACTGTCTGTCCTCCTCCTGTCTCTGTCCTCCTCCCGTCTGTCCTCCACCTGTCTGTCCTCCTCCTGTCTCTGTTCCTCCTCCTGTCTGTCCTCCACCTGTCTGTCCCCCTGCAGGCCTCCTGGTCGGGACCCTGGACGTGGTTCTGGACTCGAGCGCCCGTGTGGCGCCGTACAGGATCCTGCTGCAGACGGCGGACTCTCAGGTGTACTGGAACATCGCCTGTGGTGAGTCAGCTGACCTGGGAGCGCTGTGATTGGCTCGATAAGTGTGTATGTGTGTGCGGTTAACCCTCAGCTGTGTCTCGCAGGCTCTTCCAGGAAGGAGATCACGGAGCACTGGGATTGGCTGGAGACCAACCTGCTGCAGACCATCTCCATCTTTGACAACGACGAAGACGTCACCACCTTCGTCAAAGGAAAGATCTCTGTACGTCACTTCCTGTCTCGCCATCATTCCCGGTGTGATATGATCCTGTTTTTGAACGATGTCACTTCCTGCAGGGCATCATCGCCGAGGAGAACCGTCTGAATCAGGCGGAGGAGCAGGAGGAGGATTGTGGGAAGTTCCGGGAGGCGGAGCTAAAGATGAGGCGTCTCTTCGGGATGCCCGATGAGGAGAAGTTGGTGAATTATTACTCCTGCAGTTACTGGAAGGGTCGAGTCCCGCGGCAGGGCTGGCTCTACCTGTCCGTCAACCACCTCTGCTTCTACTCCTTCCTGCTGGGCAAGGAAGGTACGAGCAGCCAATCACAGAGGCCGGAGTGTCATGATGTCATCAGAAGAGTGTGTCCTGTTATTTTAAGTTTGTGTTTGTGACTCCGCCCCCTCGCAGTGACCCTCATAGTGCAGTGGACGGAGGTGACCCAGCTGGAGAAAAACGCCACCCTGGTGTTTCCGGAGAGCGTCCGCGTGAGCACGCGCACCACCGAACATTTCTTCTCCATGTTCCTGAACATCAACGACACCTTCAAGCTGATGGAGCAGCTCGCCAACATCGCCATGCGCCAGCTGCTCGACAACGAGGCGTTCGCTGCCGACCGCTCGCTGCCCAAACCCAGCAAGACGCTGAAGAACGTGTCGGCGCTGAAAAGGTCTGACCCTGACAGAAACCCAAACCGCATGTTAACGCGGTGACAGAACCGGGTCACATGACTCTGTTTGGTTCTGTCAAAAACTCAACGCCTCTTTGTAGGGCTGGGATGATACGATTTTCTCCCGATTAGATTCTTCTACGATTTTTTGGATGCCGATTCGATTTAAATTCCGATTCTACGATATTGTCGATTTTCTCGATTTCTAGTCAGCATTTTTAACTCCAGTGAAACATTTCGAGGATTATGATTGTCTCCTGAATATTCCAGGAACCGTATTTCCTAAAAAAATTCACATCACATCTAAGTCAGTTTTTAAGATTTATCCCTAAATTTGGGGAAAAAAACGATTTTTGAAACATAAAAATTGTTAAACAAAAATTAGCGATACTTATGTGAATCGATTTTTTCTCTCACCCCTACCTCTACGTACATTCAGAGCCAACATGGAGGCAAGGAGGGTAAGGGAGCAGGGAGAGCAGCAGCAAAGACCCCCCCCAAAAAAAAGGAGCAGTCAAGACCACCAGAGTCCAGAACAGGGTTTACAGACTATAGGACATTATACTGCGGAGGTGGGACTGACGCTGTTCTCAGTGCAGGTCTCATGTGCTCATATGAAAGGCTAAGGTCGGTAGAGCATCAGCAAAGACCTACAGAACAGGGCAGCACCAGGGACCTGTCCTAAATCAGACGGGAGGAGGCTGAAGACGTGTGAATAAAACCAGGGTTTGATATTTGGTGGAAGGGAACGAGACGAGCTGTCGCCTGATATTTCACCACTTCTAGCAACTTTTGACGACATTAAAGGGATATTCTGGTGTAAAATTAATTTAGGGTCAAACACACTGTAACACCGAGTTAGAGATAGATGTTGCCGACCGCTTACTTCTCTAGTTATACCAACTTTGTTCTTCCTTGAGCTGCGGCACCCCGCTGTAGTCTGTAATGGACTGGCCTGAGGTCTCTCTACAAACAAGCGTCTGCTGGAAGAGAGTAGGTGAGTTGTGTTTAGTCTCTTTGTTAAAGAAATGAGTCAAAGTTAAAAAGATGTTTGGTGTCTAGTACTATGGCTGTGACCCTATATGTACTAACCTCAGTAGAACATGGTGTAGTTCCGTTCAGTAACAGAACCTCATTGAAAAATTATCTGATTTAACTTTACTGTGCTCTTGTTCATATATATTAACTCGACAGCACATAAATCCATACCTGTTAACAAAATCATGATTTTATTGATAATTCGGCTCAATAAAAACACCTTCACCTTTTCATTTAGTCTCTTTGTTAAAGAAATGAGTCAAAGTTAAAAAGATGTTTGGTGTCTAGTACTATGTCTGTGACCCTATATGTCCTGTTGATGAAGTTAGGTGCTGTTCTGAGCATTATTTGTGGCTATAGAGTGGCGTTTTGGTTGGGGGCGTGGCTCTCTGTATTACTATCCTGCGGTCGTTACTAAAGTTGGTATAACTAGAGAAGGAAGCGGTCGGCAACATTCATCTCTGGAGGGGGGGGTCTAACTCGGTGTTATGGTGAGTTTGACCCTAAATTAATTTTACAGCAGAATATCCCTTTAAAGCCCGGATGTCTCTGAACGGTGATGGTGTTCGGTCCCAGTGGTTCTTGTGATCCCCCTCCCGTTGGTTTGGGCCCCCCTGTCGTTGAAGCCAACAGTTTCTAACCTGGTTTTAAGATGGACGGTCGTTTTAAACTCGACCGACAGATGTTCAGTTCGGCTTTTTCTACCTTAGGCAGCTGGAAAAGGTGACGCCACTTCTTTCTGAGACAGTAGTCCACGTCTTCATCACGTCTCGGCTGGATTACTGTAACGCACTTTATCATGGAGTCAGTCAGTCTTCACTCGCACGTCTCCAGTTGGTCCAAAATGTGTGAGAGGGAGAACATCACTCCCACTCAGGCCTCCCTCCTTTTTGAGCTCATTTTAATTTTCTTTTATTTGTTTTTAAAACCTTAAATGTTCTGGTCCCATCATACCTCTCTGAGCTGCTTCACCTCCACGCTCTCAGGTCAGCTGACCAGCTGCTCCTGCAGGTACCGAGGTCTAAGCGGAGGTTCAGAGGAGACGGAGCTTCTTCTTATGGAATGACTTACCTCTCCACATCAGACGAGCTCCTCACTGTCCATTTTTAAAACTTCTACTCCTTGGCCTTTGACCCGGTTTGAGACGGCGTTTGTTTTATTACTTTTTAAAATATTTATTGTTTTATGTTTTGATGTTCTCATGTTCAGCTTTGGTTGTCTTTAAAGTGCTCTGTAAATGAAGTCGAGTTCATCAGCTGATGTTTTTTAGCCGGAGCTCGACCTGAACTAACACCGTGCTACGTTTCATGGATTTATATGTTTATGAAAAGGACGATGAGGTCAGAACATGTGTCTGTTGTCGACCTTTGACCTGATCAGCTGTTTCCCGTCTCAGGGATTTTGACGCGCGTGCGAAGAACGAGCGGTACCGAACGATGTTCCGGCTGACGCAGGACGAGCGTCTGGACGGACACACGGACTGCACGCTGTGGACGCCGTTCGCTAAGATGCACGTGGTGGGTCAGCTGTTCATCTCCAACAACTACATCTGCTTCAACAGCCGAGAGGAGGACCTGTGTCAGCTGATCATCCCGCTCAGAGAGGTAAACACGCTCGGGTGGACTGATGATGACGAAGTTTAACGAAGTTTATTAACGATGATTAAAGGAAATAAATAGATAAATAGAACATAACGACAAGATAATAAATGATTTACCCATCATCCTCTGCTCCTCAGGTGTCCATCGTGGAGAAGGCGGACAGCAGCAGCGTCCTCCCGTGTCCCGTCTCCATCAGCACCAAGAACAAGATGAACTTCCTGTTTGCTAACCTTAAAGACAGAGACTTCCTGGTTCAACGGATCTCCGACTTCCTTCAGCGAACGCCCGACAACTCCTGGGGCGACACCAACCCGCTGTCTCTGATTGGACACTCGGTTGGTTGAGGTCATTCTGTCATCAATGTCATACCGGTGACACTGCTACTTCCTGTCTGCTGGTTACAGACTCACGCTGCGTCACACCCGAGTTCACAGCGTTTTAGTTACCGAGTCGGAAAAAAGCAAAATCAGAGGCTGAAACGAGATGGCTCGGCGAGCGCTAAAATGACTTTGGTAGATGTCGCCATCTTGTTTCCACCTCCGATTTTGCTTTTTTTACGACTCGGTAACTGAAACGCTGTGAACTCGGGTGTGACGTCATTTTCAGCTCTGGGGAAACTCAAACGCAGACGTAATCAGACAGGAAGTAGAATCCTCCCAGAATATTTCTGTTTGATCGTCGTTTTTTTGTCGTCAGGCGTCGGGATCTGCAGGGTCGGACTCCGCCCACAAGGGGCAGCATTTCCACCCTGGTCTCCCTACAGCCAGCCAGGGTCTGCTGCAGCTGTACCACCGAGACGCTCCTGAGGACCTGGGACCCAAAGCTGTGAGTAACAGACCTGATCTAAAGTCCCGGTACCATAACAGAACCTGTACCAGGTAATTCTGGTTCTGTTCTGGTGCCGTTTGGTTCTGTAAACCCTGATCTTGCTTGCTGGGAAGGTCCCGCCCCCTTCGCCTCTGATTGGCTGTGAAAAATTGGTGTAAGTGCAGCTTCAGATACTCACACTGATGGAGTAATCCTCATCCTCTCACCTGCAGATGAAGGAGAAGATGAAGGAGGAGGCGTGGAACATCCACTTCTCAGAGTTCGGTCGGGGCGTCTGCATGTACAGAACCTCCAGAACCAGAGAACTGGTCCTGAACGGGATCCCAGAGCGCCTGAGAGGAGAGCTGTGGCTGCTGTTCTCCGGTCTGTTCACTCATTCATCCACACGCTCACTGGTCATCATGTGTTCACTAACAGGTGACATGCTGTGTTCACCCCTCCCCCACCTGTGTTTCCAGGCGCACAGAACGAGATGGCCGCTCATCCCGGTTACTATAGCGACCTAGTGGAGCAGGCGATGGGGCTGTGCTCATTGGCTACCGAGGAGATCGAACGCGACCTGCACCGCTCCATGCCTGAGCACCGCGCCTTCCAGAACGAGACCGGCATCGCTGCGCTGCGCCGCGTGCTCACCGCTTACGCCCACCGCAACCCGGGCATCGGGTACTGTCAGGTAGGTCGACGAAACGGAAATCAGGATTCCTGTCGGGATAAAAGACTAAACTGTATTTTTTTAAAACCTCACAGTAAGTAAAATAAAAAAAAACACTGAAATCTTTTTGAGTAAAAAAATATTTATGACCTTTGTGTGTTTTTTTTAACCTTCAGGCCATGAACATCGTCACCTCGGTGCTGCTGCTCTACTGTCCAGAGGAAGAAGCTTTCTGGCTGCTGGTGGCGCTGTGCGAGCGAATGCTGCCGGACTACTACAACACCAGGGTCGTAGGTCAGTAAGACCAGAGTCACAACAACATCGAGCGATGTGAAGAACCGTTCTTTTGACTGACTCTTTAGAATCCGTTCATTAAAAAGATTCGTTCACTGAATCAGTCCGTGTTTCGGAGCCCCGTCCTGTCGCTGCAGAACACCAGTGAGTGACACAGCGGCGAGTTCGTTCATTAGCCCCTCCCCTCCCCTGCTGCTGAAGTCACAGCGTCGTTCACCGGGTGACTCATGTTGCCCTGAGAAACTCACCTCTCTGTGTGTCGCCGTCTGTCGGCGGAAACAACACAGCAGCGAGCAGCACGCCGCTAAACGAGCGCGAGTCGTCGTTCTTTTATATGTCGGAAAAGTGGCGAGATTAAAAATAAATAAAGATGTCAGCTGTAGCGAGGATTCAGATACTTTTAAAGATATCAAATATCGTATTTCTTTAAATCGTCTGAAATAAAATCTTCTTACAGGAAAGTTTAAACACGTGTTTTAATGTAAAGACGCCATAATGACCTGTTTTATCTTAACCTCAGTCAACCAACCGCTGCTCAGCAGGAAGTGAACGACGCTACACCCCTCCCTCAAGTCGTTTGGAAGTTGTTTGATTTGTTCACAGTCTGACTGATACATGTCGTTCATTCGCCGTGAGCAAATCACGAGACTCCGCCCGCCGGCTCGCTGGCTGCCTGTGTGTCGTTCGCCAAAGAGTCAAAGGCAGCAGTTCCACTCCTGACCGGCACGCCAGGCTGAGATCAACTGACCTGAGAAATGAACGAATCAGGTCTCAGAGTGATTCAGTTCTTTTGAACGGATCGTTCATAAACAACACAACACTAACAACACCGGAGTCACATGGGGGCTGTTGTTGTTGTTGTTGTTGTTCATCATGTCTTCGTTTGTCGCCCCTGCAGGCGCTCTGGTGGATCAGGGCGTGTTCGAGGAGCTGACCCGGGCCTTCCTCCCTCAGCTGTACGAACACATGCAGGAGCTGGGAGTCATCTCCACCATCAGCCTGTCGTGGTTCCTCACCCTCTTCCTGTCCGTGATGCCCTTCGACAGCGCTGTTCTGCTGGTTGACTGCTTCTTCTACGAGGGGATCAAGGTCATCTTCCAGGTGAGGGAACATCTCAGACAGGTCACGTGACGTCAGACAGGTCACGTGACACATCAGGCAGCTCAGTCTGACAGGTAATAAATCACATTCTGCTCTGAATCGTCCTGCAGGTGGCGCTGGCTGTGCTCCATGACAACATGGACGCCCTGATGTCCTGCAGCGATGAGGGGGAGGCCATGACGATACTGGGCAGGTACCTGGATAATGTAGTCAACAAGCAGACAGTGGCTCCGCCCATTCCTCACCTGCATGCCTTGCTGACGAGCGGAGATGAACCTCCACCTGAGATCGACGTGTTTGAACTCATCAAGTCGTCCTACGAGGTCAGACACGGCTCAGTCTAATTCCTGGTCCTTAACCGTCACAGAATAATCTCAGGGCTCGTGTCGACGGTTTTTTGTTTTTTTCTTCTTCTCTGGTTAGAAATTCGGCAGCCTGCGCTCTGATGTCATCGAGCAGATGAGGTTCAAGCAGAGGTTAAAGGTCATCCAGTCACTGGAGGACACGGCGAAGAGGAGCGTGGTGGGTGACGTTTTCTAACATCTGTTTCATCATCACAGATTAACCAATGAGAGCACAGAGCGCTCTGACATCGTGACTGATCATGTTTGACCTTCTTTGACCTTCGCCTTACTGTGTGTGTGTGTGTTTGTTTGTGTGTGTGTGTGTTTGTTTGTGTGTGTGTGTTTGTGTGTGTGTGTCTGAGTGTGTCTGTCTATGAGTGTGTGTGTGTGTGTGTTTGTGTGTGTGTGTGTGTGTGTGTGTGTGTCTATGAGTGTGTGTGTGTGTGTGTGTGTGTGTGTGTGTCTATGAGTGTGTGTGTGTGTGTGTGTGTGTGTCTATGAGTGTGTGTGTGTGTCTATGAGTGTGTGTGTGTGTGTGTGTGTGTGTCTATGAGTGTGTGTCTATGAGTGTTTGTGTGTGTGTGTGTGTGTGTGTGTCTATGAGTGTGTGTGTGTGTGTGTGTGTGTGTGTGTGTCTATGAGTGTGTGTGTGTGTCTATGAGTGTTTGTGTGTGTGTGTGTGTGTGTGTGTGTCTGTGTGTGTGTGTGTTTGTGTGTGAACAGGTGAGAGCGATGATGACAGAGTCGGCCTTCAGTATTGAGGAGCTGGAGGAGCTGTACTGTCTCTTTAAGGTCAGAATCAACTGTGTTTATTATGGGGGGAGGCGTGGCCTCCAGCAGCCAATCAGACTGGCCGTTCCACCTGCACAGCCTCCCAGTAATCTCCTCTTCCTCTTCCTGTTTCAGTCCAAACACATGACCAGCTGTTACTGGGGGTCCAGCAGCACAGCGGCCGAGCGCCATGATCCCAGTCTGCCGTACCTGGAGCAGTACCGCATAGACCCCGCCCAGTTCACACAGCTGTTCACAGCTCTAGCACCCTGGGTCTGTGGAGGCCACACCCACACGCTGTCAGCCCGCCTCTTCAGACTTCTGGACCAGAACCAGGATGGACTGGTCAACTTCAAGGAGTTTATCACTGGACTCAGTAAGTCCAGATCCGAAACACAACACACAAATTCTGAGCCGTCTGTACTGGTCTGTACTGGTCTGTACTGGTCTGTACTGGTCTGTTCTGGTCTGTACTGGTCTGTACTGGTCTGTACTGGTCTGTTCTGGTCTGTACTGGTCTGTTCTGGTCTTCGTTCAGTCTCCTCATGTCTTCTGTTCCTACAGGTGGGATGTATCATGGAGACATGACGGAGAAACTGAAGCTTCTGTATAAGCTCCACCTCCCTCCAGGTAAGGTCACCTGTGTGTCGACCATCAGATCTTTGTTTCGTTAAATAATATCTTTACTAGTTTAGAGCCCATAGGCTGACCAGAAGTTATTTTGTTTGTTTGTTTGTTTGTTTGTATGTTTTTGTCTGTTTGTTTTTATTTGTTCTTTTTGTTTTTCTTTGCTTGTTTATTTTTTTGTTTATTTGTTTGTTTCTTTATTTGTTTTTGTTTGTTTTTTAATATGTTTTTGTTTGTTTTTTTTCATTTGTTTATTTTATTTGTTTGTTTTTGTTTGTTTGTTTTTGTTTGTTTGTATTTTTCATTTGTTTATTTTTGTTTGTTTGTTTTTGTCTGTTTGTTTATTTGTTTGTTTCTTTATTTGTTTTTGTTTGTTTTTTAATATGTTTTTGTTTGTTTGTTTTCATTTGTTTGTTTTTATTTGTTTTTGTTTATTTGTTTTTGTTTGTTTTCATTTGTTTATTTTTATTTGTTTGTTTTTGTCTGTTTATTTGTTTGTTTTTGTTTGTTTTCATTTGTTTATTTTTGTTTGTTTGTTTTTGTCTGTTTGTTTATTTGTTTGTTTCTTTATTTGTTTTTGTTTGTTTGTTTTCATTTGTTTATTTTTATTTGTTTGTTTTTGTTTGTTTGTTTATTTGTTTTTGTTTGTATTTTTCATATGTTTATTTTTGTTTGTTTGTTTGTTTTTGTCTGTTTGTTTATTTGTTTTTGTTTATTTGTTTGTTTTTGTTTGTTTGTTTGTTTTTTTGCAGCCCTGTGTCCGGAGGAGGCGGAGTCTGCTCTTGAAGCCACAAACTTCTTCACTGAGGATGATCGAGGTAAACACCTTCATGAGTTCAGTTGATACTCAGTCTGTTCTGCTCACCTGCTGACAGGTGAGCTTACTGTAAAGCTTGAGTGAGAGTGTATTTCAGGTGTACTCCGTTTTGTTGGAAACCACCAGGTAGATCCAGGTGATGAAGGTAAAGAGCGTCTGTGTGTCTCTGATGTTTCCTTTGTATAGAAATCTATTCAAACACATTTCTACTTTTCCTTTCAAACTGACGCTCTGCTTGACCTTGACTCTTCATCTTTAACCTCTACCTTTTTACTTCTACATGTTCTTCTTCTTCTTCTTCTTCTTCTTCTTCTTCTTCTTCTTTTTCTTCTTCTTCTTCTTCTTCTTCTTCTTCTTCTTCTTCTTCTTCTGTCGTGTTTCTTTCCAGAACCTTCCTTCGTGTCTAATCCGGACTCTTCAGGGCAGCAGGAAGTGTCCCCAGGTTGGTCTCTCACTCTGTAATCTGGTACCTGTGCTGTCCAACATGGTACTTCTGTGGCTCCACCCACAGCAGTGATGTCACAGTCGAGAACATCTTTACCTATTCACTGAGAGGCAACCTGTATGGTCATAATGGAGATGGTGATGAATGTGAGGTGTGACCGTGATAATGATGGTGATGATGATGACGATGATGGCAATGGTCATGATGGTCATGATGGTCATGATAGTTATGGTGATGATGGTGATGATGGTTATGGTGGTGATGGTGGTGATGGCAACTGTCATGATGTAAATGATGGTGATGATGATGGTTTTGGTGGTGATAATGATGGTGATGATGATGGTGATGGTGGTGATGATGATGGTGATGGTGATGGTGGTGATGGTGATGGTGATAATGATGATGGCAACTGTCATGATGTAAATGATGGTGATGGTGATGGTGGTGGTGGTGGTGATGGTGATGATGATGGTTTTGGTGGTGATAATGATGGTGATAATGGTGATGGTGATGATGATGATGATGGTGATGGTGATGATGATGGTGGTGATGGTGATGATGATGGTTTTGGTGGTGATAATGATGGTGATAATGGTGATGGTGATGATGATGATGATGGTGATGGTGATGATGATGGTGGTGATGATGGTGATGATGGTTTTGGTGGTGATAATGATGGTGATGATGATGGTGATGGTGGTGATGATGGTGATGGTGATGGTGATAACGATGGTGATGATGATGATGATGATGATGGTGATGATGGTTTGGTGGTGATGATGACGATGATGATGATTGTGATGATGGTGATGGTGATGGTGGTGATGATGATGGTGATGGTGGTGATGATGGTTTGGTGGTGATGATGACGATGATGATGATTGTGATGATGGTGATGGTGATGGTGGTGATGATGATGGTGATGGTGGTGATGATGATGGTGATGGTGATGGTGGTGATGATGATGGTGATAATGATGATGGCAACTGTCATGATGTAAATGATGGTGATGGTGATGGTGGTGGTGGTGATGGTGATGATGATGGTTTTGGTGGTGATAATGATGGTGATGATGGTGATGGTGATGATGATGATGATGGTTATGGTGATGATGATGGTGGTGATGATGGTGATGATGGTTTTGGTGGTGGTGATGGTGATGATGATGGTTTTGGTGGTGATAATGATGGTGATGGTGATGGTGATGGTGGTGATGATGATGGTGATGGTGATGGTGGTGATGGTGATGGTGATGGTGGTGGTGGTGATGATGATGGTGATGGTGATGGTGATGGTGGTGATGATGATGGTGATGGTGATGGTGGTGATGGTGATGGTGATGGTGATGGTGGTGATGGTGATGGTGATGATGATGGTGGTGATGGTGATGGTGATGATGATGGTTTTGGTGGTGGTGATGGTGATGATGATGGTTTTGGTGGTGATAATGATGGTGATGGTGATGGTGATGGTGATGGTGATGGTGGTGATGGTGATGGTGATGGTGGTGATGATGATGGTGATGGTGATGGTGATGGTGGTGATGATGATGGTGATGGTGGTGATGGTGATGGTGATGGTGATGTGGTGATGATGATGGTGATGGTGATGGTGGTGATGGTGATGGTGATGGTGATGGTGGTGATGATGATGGTGATAATGATGGTTTTGGTGGTGATGGTGATGGTGGTGATGATGATGGTGATGATGATGATGATGGTGATGGTGGTGATGATGATATCGATGATGACAATGATGATGATGATGGTATTAAAAGAAATGATGATGACTTTAATGGTAAAGTGATTCTGATGGTGATGAAGTCTAAGGTGATGGTTATGGCGTTGGTGAAGAAAGTCACTTTGAATATTGTTGATTGTCATGGCGGCGGTGATGATGATGCTGATGATGGTGATAATAACGATCATAATGATGATGATGATGATGATGAAGATGGTTTCCTATCTGTGTGCAGGTGAAGAGTTGAAGGAAGGATGTGCAGACGGTGAGGATAAGAAAGGTAAATGCTCCGCCCACTTATTTACCAGTGAAGTGACTCAGAGTCACACCTCTGACCTCTGACCTCTGACTGATGTGTAGGTCCAGACGACCGAGTGAAGGACTACAGGTACTACCTGAGGATGTGGGCCAAAGAGAAGGAACCAAAGACTGAGACCATCAAAGACCTGCCCAGAATGAACCAGGTAAGAACAACCTCAGGTCTCTGTCTCTCACCTGTCTCCTTCCTCCCTCACCTGTCCCCCTCTCTCTCACCCGTCCGTAGGAGCAGTTCATCGACCTGTGTAAGACCCTCTATAACATGTTCAGTGAGGAGCCTCTGGAGCAGCAGCTCTATCACGCCATCGCCACGGTGGCGAGCCTGCTGCTGCGGATTGGCGAGGTCGGAAAGAAGTTTAACAACGGCAGCAAGAGGACAGAGGAAGCCGTACAGGCCCCGCCCCCTGAGCCCCTCCCGGAGGAGGAGGGTGTGTCAGGTGACGCTCAGGTGTGCCGGGCTTTGGCGGAGGCTCAGCTGGAGCCCGCCGCTCTGCAGGGGTCCGACGAGGAGACGAAAGACGACACATCCGTCTCGTCATACTCGGTGGTGAGCTCCGGTTCGCTGCAGTGTGAGGACATCGCCGACGACACTGTGCTGGTCGGGGGAGGTGAGCAGAGGCGGGGCAGCGTGCTGGATGTAGATTGGTCGATTACCTTTGAGCAGGTGTTGGCCTCGCTGCTGACCGAGCCGCCGCTCGTCGACTACTTTGAGAGGAAAAGGGACATTCAGAGCAAGATCGCCGCCTGTAAGGCTCAGCGAGCTGTGGAGCGCCAGACAAGCTCCGCCTCCGACCACGAACTCGCTCAGCACTCCATCTGACCCACCGTCACCTGACCTCCTGACTGGGCTTTACCTGTCCAGGTGTTCTGAGAGGGGACGGAGAGCTAACAGCTAGCTGGCTAACTGATGAGCAGGTGAAGTACGGGAGCCCACGAGTCCCAAACATGTTTCATCGTTACGAACCGACTTTTAGTTTTGAGCTGAAATGATCAAATTAATCATCTTCTGTTTGTTATTGTGTCATAAAAAGGGGAGGTTCCAGGTACGACAGGTGATCAGGTGATTTTATTTTTAGAGAATCAAAGTTTATCGACTCTTAAAAACGACTGAATAAAGGAAATATAAATAGTAACGTGTTAACTGTGTTTCTGTACAGCTCCTAGTAACTGTATATTAATCATGAAGTATTCGTACTCTCAGTCAGGTGGGGTCACACCTGTCGGCTTTTTATCGTGACGTCACTGAAGCCTTCTTTGTTTCTTTGTTTGTTTGTTTGTCTCTGCTGCCTTTCTGATGACATCACCGCTGTTTACTTCCTGTTCAAACAATGATGTCAGAGGACGTCGACATTGTTTTATTTCTGTCGTCTGAATTTATCCATGAATCTGATTTTTTAATCTTTGTATCGATCAGTTATTGATCTGTTATCTGTTGTCTAATAAAAACAAAGGTGACGTTTCATCTGTGCAGTAATTTTATTTTTCCATGTTCAGTCGAGTTTGAACTCTGTGTGAAATCAAATTTGATGGTTTGAAAACCAGTTAATGAAACTCCAGAATCTGGTCTCTGCTGGGTTCACTGATGTTCAAAGAGAGCTGGTAAAAGCAGAGCTGAGGACACACAGGAGGAAACATGCTAGCAGCATAACCGAGATCTGGTCCAGATCTGCTCTACAAGCTTTATCTAAAAGGGAAGTGTTGATGTGATACTCACAAAAGTGTTTTTGTAGAGTTATTATCATTGTTTTATCTCCTCCGAAGTCACTTTTTGGTTTATTGCTATGGTATCCTCTTATTTTATTATTTTATCCTGCTAAATGAGAACACGAAAGAGAAACACACAATGATTTGTAGTACCAGAAACAGACACAGGGTGGCAGCACTTACCGGCAGCGCCACTTGGACTCTCCACAGTGCAACGAGGAAGGAAAGCTCATAATCCGTTGGACTTGTGCTGCGTCAGAATTGCCAAGTAGTAGTCGAAGTAGTATGTAGCATGTCCGAATTGGCCACCGGAGCGAGTAGCATGCTACTTTAGATACTAGACACGCCCACATTGTAGTATGGTCGCGGTGCATCCTACGGGCCAGAGCGGTGGATTAAACAGAGTGGCGACAACTTCAGATCTCGCCGCCAGAGCGGTCACGTGGTTCATGTACCCCTCAATAGTTCCAAGCGCAGCCTGCACTGTCCATGCTCTACAACGGGGCAGACTGCAGTGAGCGCGCATTTAAGAGGTAAATATTAAAATTAACCGTAAAAAGTCAACATTTGCAACTCTTATTGGATTACTGTGTACACGTCAAAGTCACGTACGTATATTTAGCGGCTGGATGACAAATAAAAGTGAAATAAGACAAGTTTGGTAACACGTGTTACTTTTTAATAAGAGAAAATAATACAATAAAGTGGTAAGTAACAGGTGTTACAAGCTGTTTAAACAATTGTGCAATGTTTTGGTCTTGCAGCATGGCCTGCATAACATTTTTCCATGTTAAACATACGCCTTACATGCTGACAGGATTTAAAAAGTAGCGGCCCCTTAACTCTATCATCCCATAAGCAGAAATCAAATTACATAGCACTTATGTTAGTCTAAAAAGAATAAACTGCATATAACATCGGGAACTGATAAAGGCTGAAATCTAAAATAAAGCCCATAAGTAACCATCTCAACATATGATTGATGATGATGATTTATCTGTGATTCAAAACTCACACAATACATTTTGGCAGGCCTCTACAGCTGACGACGTCCAACTAGCAGGCCGTGGCTAAAAAAATCGATCCCAATTCCTAACTAAAAAAACGTAATTACATTTGTAATTACAATTTGAGCATACTAAAATTAAAATCATTTTACATATAAAGGGGTCCCTCGATACCATTTACACACGTATTGGCATTACATTCGTTGATACAATATTTTACCTCGGGGAGTGTGGGGGCAAACCGTGGCTAAAAAATCAATCCCAAATCCTGACTTAAAAAAACGTAATTACATTTGGGATATACATTCTTACATATAAAGGGGTCCCCTCGATATCAATAACACATGTATTGGCATTAAACTTGTTGATATTTTATCATTTAACCTTGGTGAGCGCTTGCCTTGTGGCCATAGAAGCGAACGGCGTCCGACGTGACAGGCGGTCACGTTGGTACTATTAAGAGATCCATAACCCGGAAGTGGGGTCCGCCGGGCTGTACAGCGTATGCCTATGGTATGGGAGTGTCGCCACTCTGTGGCCCAATTCCAAACCACCCCCTCACTGACTCATTGACTTAGGTGCGCGCTCATGTGAGCTCTGTAAGGGCTTGAGGGTTGTTCCAAATGAAATCGGTAAGTCAGCGAGGGCTCGGGAACGCCCCTTTCTGCACCCTTTCCGTAAGTCCGTACCGTTGGAGACTTTGGCTATGAAATTGCCCACAATTCATTGCGTTGTGGGCGTTACTGGAGGACGCCGACGCAGCCGGGGCCAGGATTTAAAAAGGAACGAGGGAATCGTCCGCGACAGACACCAAAAATGACGGAGATCATGGCGAAGAAGCTCAAGAAGTAGCAGTTCATTCAGGATCTAGGTGCACCCTTAATACTCTAACATGGATGTTCCGCATCGTGTATGGTGGGCGTGTGTGTGTGTGTGTGTATATATACATACATATATGCACACACATACACACACACACGCATGCGTTATTCTTCTAACAAAGAAAATTGATTTTTACTTCAAACTTTTATCTGAATCAATACATTTTATCCTGAACTAACACTCTAAAGCAGTGATTACTTTCAGAATCTAGTGCTTCAACCTTTTAACCATTCAAAATCACTTAACCTATCATTAATGCTGGTTTTATAATTTATCAATCTAATCATTATTTACCAATTACCTGTTGTCTATGTTCAAGAGCAAGTGTGTGCAAAAGGAGCGGAACAATGTTGGCCTTTCTTCTGCGACGTCGCTGGCCGCGAAATAAATGCAGAATTAAGAGCCCAGAGAGGCAAGTGTCAGTCGCATCTTTGGTTGTCAACGTTGTCGTCTATCGTCAAGGTAACGTGGCACGTCACAAAGGGCTGTTCCATTGGTTTTATACCCTTTTGGAGCCCTTAAACCCTCCCACACTCAAGCACTTACCAGCTGACTTAACCTAAGCTAATGAGGGTGCAGGGCTTGAGGGCTTAGGGTGGAGTTTGGAATTGGGCCTGTTTAATCCACTGCTCTGCTACGGGCATGCTACTGACCCAAGATGCACCGCGGGCTTCTTCTTCGTCCTCTTAAAAGTTGTAGAATCGCATGTGATGCTAGCGCCACCAGTTGCTGCCTATTTAGATGCATCGCGAACGCCGGCTGGCCACAGCAGCGCGCACCATGGCGGAGCAGCAGCAGGCAGGACCGCAGCAGTACAGATGTAAGTTTAATGTAACTTCACACACTGTCCTAAAAAATGTGCGGTTGTATCTCTTTGTCATGTCATGGTGTCATATTTGCCCAAGTAATCATTTTATGAGCAAATATGTGGCGACATCATGGAGGTAAAGCTCACTTATTCCATCATTAAACTGCACAGCTGCAGTAATCAGGCAGATCTCATTGAACAAACGATCACCACGTGAGTGAATGAAGGCTTAAAGTAATGGAAAAGCTACTTTGTGAATTTCTAAAGCAGTGCAGGAATATAATACAGCAGCATCCATCACTTGCACAATTACCATTCAAAGAGTCTAAAACGGGCGCAGTACCGACTCTCTGCCTGTGGGGGTCGTCTTTCCCCACCGCTCGTCTACTGTGCCCGAATTGGGCCAACGTGTTAATGTAGGAGTAGGATCTAGCAGTAGTATGTAGCGGTGGTATGTAGTATGCGAACGGGCAATTTGGACGCAGCATTGGAGAATGAGCAGTCGTGGTCCTGTTTCACTTATTACTCTTCCGTGTTTCAGGTTGGTTATCAATGTTTTTGTGTGACTTCAGATGTATTTAAGTTCATATGGAAACCCCGTAACGTATGGTCGATAAGTTAAAAGCCCGTTAACTATGTAAATAAAGTAAATCTCAGTGTACGTGACAACTGTACAGGGGAAAATGGCGGCCGCCGCCGCCGCAGCTACATGTACTTTTCATTTCTTTCTTTCGGCTCCTCGGCATTTGTGGGTTGTTGTTGATATGTACGAAGACCAGTGTGTGTGTGGTACATTATTCAAGTCGGGCATTATTGCTGTATGAAAACTAGTGTGTGTGTAGTGCAGTGCTCAAAGTGCTAAAGCTAATGCTAAGCTGCAAGTTAAGACCAGCTACGGCTGTAGCCCTGGTGAAAGACACACACTTGAATTGTACCGTTCGAGTTCAACGGTCAAAGCGGCAAGCTATCGGTCAGCCGTATATATTATTTCAGTTGAGTATATATTGTGTAAATGTGAGTTAGTTACTGCAATTACTATTATTCTGTTATATTAAGTGAGCACTTAATTTACTTAATGTACTTTTTTTTTTTTAACTTTATTTTTATCTTTTAAGGCAAACTTTCAAACATACACACAAATACTGTACAAACAAAACAAAACAAGAACAAGGGGGGCAAACACTACTCAGTTACATATAGGTGCCATTTAGTCCATCTTACAGCATATATCTCAGCTTTAATTCGTAGTCTGTAAGTCATTTGTTCCATTGATCGGATTTCCTCTACAATGGTCAGCCAGTCACTCAGTTCAGGTGGATCAGTTCTTAGCCAAGTTCTTGTGATGGCTTTCTTAGCTGCAAGAGATAGGATCTTGAACAGGTATATGTCCTCTTTACCCATTACATCTTCTAATATCAGTCCAAGATAGATAAACCGGGGATCTTTGGGTAAATTATATCCAAAAACTTTACCCATGACTCTCAGGACCTCATCCCAAAATGTCTGTATTTTCGTACATGACCAAAATATATGAGAGTGGTTGGCATTCAGTTGCCCACATTGTCTCCAACAATGCTGTTGTTGACCTAATTGTTTATTTTTGATTTTTGGTGTAATAAATAGACGTGTCAAATTTTTCCAACCGAACTCCCTCCATGTTTTAGAACTTGTTGATGTATGTTGGGTCTTGAGCATGGTCTGCCAATCACTCTCAGATAATTCAATGCCGAGTTCCTTTTCCCATTTCTCTTTTGTATACATTGTGTTTCTTCCCTATTGCTTCAATAAACCTTTGTATAGTTTTGAGACAATTCTTAAGGGGGTTTGCTTGAACGCGCCTGTTAATATTTCGATCACATCATTCCCCTCCACAGAAATTTCCCTCTTAACTTCTGTCTCATAAAAGTGTCTTAATTGGAGATATCTATATAGATCTTCATTTTCTAATCCAAACTCATTTTTCAGCGATGTAAATGATTTGAAATGTTGCTTATCTATAAGTGTACATGTGGCTGTTATTCCTTTGTCTCTCCACTTTTCAAAGGTCTTATCTAACATTCCTGGTCTGAACCTAGAGGTGCAAGAGGGCCAAATCAACAGTTTACAATCTCCTGTTAATTTATATTTTTTCACCACCTCATACCATATTTCTAATGTTCCTCTCACGACCAAGTTTTCTCCCTTAAGGTCTCTGTATTCTTTCCCACTTAACCTTGACTGTGGAGGGGCTTGGCCTTGGCTCATCTCAATGTCCTTCCATCGGGCTTGATAATTCGGAGAGCACCAATACACAACATATCTTAACTGTGCTGCATAATAGTACCCTCTTAAGTCTGGTAGTGCCAATCCTCCATTTTCTTTGTCTAGCTGAAGGGTCTTGAGTCTTATCCTCGGTCTGGCTCCAGCCCAAATGAATCTGGATATTAGCTTATCCCATGCTGAGAATTGTGTGTCTGGTATTCGAACTGGGAGCGACAGAAAAAGATACAACAACCTAGGCAGGAGGTTCATCTTGACCACCTCAATTCTTGAACTGAAGTCCATTATTAGTGTTGACCACTTTGCTACATCTCTTTGAATTTTATTGTTTATTAACTTGTAGTTTATCTCATAAGTTCTGTCAAGTTCCTGAGTTATTATCACTCCTAGGTATTTAATTGACCTAGCATTCCAATTTAAGTTATATTTCTTCCTGATTTTTTTATTTGGCTTATAGTTAAAAGTTAAAACCTGAGTTTTAGACATATTTAGTTTGTAGCCTGACATTGATCCATATTCTTCTGTTATTTTTACTAGTTTGGTAAATGTTGAATTTGGGTTTTGAAGGTAGGTGATTATATCATCAGCGAATAGCCCTATTTTATGCTCATCTCTTGCTATCATGATTCCTGTCAACTCATCTTCCTGTCTAATTGCTTGGGCGAGTGGCTCTATGAAGATTGCGAAAAGGGCGGGGCTAGCACAACAACCTTGTCGTGTCCCTCTGTACAGCTTAAAGGTGTCTGTCAGGTGTCCATTAATTTTGACTCTAGCTGATGGGTCAGTATACAATGTCTTAATGCATTTAATGAATTTATCATTAAATCCCAATTTCTCTAATACTTTATATAAAAAATCCCAGCTGACCCTGTCAAACGCTTTTTCGGCGTCTAAGCTGATCAGGGCAGCACATGTATGATGTTTGTTAACGTGATCTATAATATGGAGGGTGCGCCTGATATTCTCCTGTGTTTGGCGTCCCTTAACAAAGCCTGTTTGATCTTCATGTATCAGGTCAGGCAGAAAACATTCCAGTCTTTTAGTAGTTATGGATGTGAACAATTTGTAATCGGCATTCAAAATCGATATTGGGCGGTATGACTCACAGTATTCCTTGTTTTTCCCCTCTTTGGGAATGACAGATATCACAGCATCCTTCCAGGACGGTGGTGCTATAGCTTTCTCAAGTGTCCAATTGAATGATTCCAGTAATATCGGAGCTAGGACTTCTTTGAATTTTTTGTACCATTCATTTGGATATCCGTCGCTCCCAGGACTCTTATTAGACGCCAGTCTACCTATGGCTTTATCCAATTCGTCTTTAGAGATAGGGGCGGTCAGATATCCATTTTGTTCTGAGCCTATTGAGGGGAGATCAAGTGAAAGCAGGAATTGTTTTATTTTCTCTTCGTCAGCCTTCTCAGGCTGTGAATATAAAGTTTCATAGTAGTTTTTAAACATTCTGTGAATTTCTTCTGGGTCGTATTTTAGTGTATTTGATAAAGGGTCCCTTATCTTATGGACTGAGTTTGTTATTTGTTGTGTCCGAAGACGCCTCGCCAGTATTCTGGTGGCCTTTGGGCCTGATTCATAGAAGGTTTGCTTCATGAATCTCATTTTATTTTCTGTTTCATCTTTAATTAAGTTTTCTATCTGTTTTCTTATAGCTTTAATCTGGTCTCCTATTGTATCTTTCTTTTCATTTTTAGGAAGTTGTTTTTCTAGTTTTTCTAATTCCTTTTCTAGTTGATCATATTTTGATCTCTGCATTTTCCTTAGATAGGCCGTTCTTGATATGAGCTTCCCTCTCATAACTGCTTTGACCGTGTCCCAAACAATAGTCGGGTCGACATGGTCATCCTTATTATCATCTATACATTCTCCTATTTCTTTTTGGATTTCTTCCACTGTTGATTTATTGTTTAAAAGTCCTACATTCAATCTCCATAGTGTATTTCTTGGTTTACTGTTTAGGTGTATATCGAGGTAAACAATACTATGATCGGATATATCTGCTGTTCCAATTTTGCACTCATTTATCTTATGTCTATCTATAGTATTTATCAGGAAAAAGTCCAGCCGAGAGTGTACTTTGTGTGTAGCTGAGTAATGGGTATATTCCCTTTCTCTTGCATGGATATTTCTCCATACATCAATCAAGCCCGTCTCTCTTATCAGAGTATTTAGGTATTTTGATTTGGGGGATCCCTGTCTGCTCGTGCTTGTTGTGTCAAGCTGATAGTTCAAAATAGTGTTCCAATCTCCCGAACAGACAAGTACCCCCTCACTCTCACGTACAATTAGGTCAAATAAGTTTTTAAAGAACGATATATTACTCTCTGGAGGAGCGTAGACATTCACAAATGTGACCAAAACATTATCCATCTTGCCTTTGACTAATATATATCTACCTTCATCATCCCTTTTTGTTTTAATCGGCTCAAAATGTAATGAATTAGATATCATTATCACGACCCCTCTCTTTCTGCTATTTTTACATGAACTATAATATGTATTAGAGTATCCAAAATTGCTTAGTTTCTTGTGTTCTGAATTGGTCATATGTGTCTCTTGTAAAAATATTACTTGGGACTTATCTTTCCTCATTTTTGCCAGCACCCTGCTCCTCTTGACCGGATTACTCAAGCCGTTAACATTCAGTGAAGCTATTTTCAATTTATGTGGCATTATCACTCAAATATAAGAAGAAATGAATGGCTTTGTAATAGTGTTGTCCCCCAGACAACCCAGAAAAACAAAAAAAAACCAAAAGACAGAACAATGTCGACTGAACATAGTAGAAAAACAGACCTCCAAACTGGGAGGAGGTGACTCCTCACCGAGACCCCGTTGGTGGGTTGAGGGAAAATCCCATCCCTAAGATAGGGCCCTATACATAGGGTGGCTTGGCCATCTAAAGGAGAAAACCCTACCATCCTAAAGTCCAACGTCAATCATTAAATTTAAGGTCGTCACTCCCAGACGTTTATTTAACAATAGCCTATAGCCTTAAGAAAAAAGCCTTATATTTGTCCAGTTCAGCTCTTATATCTCAGTTTTAAAGTGGCAGCAGTTTTACCAGTCTGTGATGGTTTCTACTTCTTTATTTTACCTCCCTTGCGCTGGGGTTCGTCTCTCTGAGCAGTGTTATCACTCTGGAAACTCTGAAGTTTATACCGCGCTCTCCGGGTCACATCGTCCTCTGCCCCGCGGGGTCCCGTTACTCTCTGCCACGACCCCAGCAGCTCTCCCAGGCGCGCTCCCCAGTCGGTCTCCCCGTTGGTCGGCGTCGCCTCCTCCACGGTGATCCCGCGTCTCCTCAGCTCCTCTCTCGCCTCCTCCGCGCTGCCGTACAGCCGGGCTCCCGTCTCCCAGTGGATGCGCATGTTGACATAAGGTGTTTGGAAACGCACCCCTTTCACTTTCAGTGCCTTTTTAATCCCGTTATATTCTCTGCGTTTCTTCACCACCTCTGCAGTGTAATTGGATCAAAATAGAGGGGCTTGTTATTCAGCTGGATCTTTTCCGTTCTGTTTTTCCCCCAGGCTTCCTTTAACACCCATTCTTTGGTCGTAAACTCCTGGAAATTGACGATAAATGCCCTCGGGGGTTTGTCTGGAGCTGGCCTCTGAGCCCCGGTTCGATGTGCGCGCTGGATCTTTAGCTCCATGTCGGCCGGGATCGGTAGTTTGCTCCGGAGTAGCGCCTCGACAAACTCCTGCGCCGAGTTTCCCCCCTCTTCTCCTTCTGCCACCCCGAAGATGCGGAGGTTATTGCGTCTCGATCGTGATTCTAAATCGTTTAGTTTTTGCTGCAGGACTTTTTGCTTTTTCAGGCTGGAGGCCAGGGCCTCAGTTGTTTCAGCCGCCCATCTCTCCACCGTCTCCACCCGCTACTCTGCCTCCTCCACTCGGTCCGATAGGTTATGGACTTCTGCCCCCAGCATATCCAGTTTACCGTTGATTTCTTGTCCAAGATGTGTGATTTCTTGTCGCAGAGTGTTGTTGTCGCCTTTTAGATCCGTTTTTAGATCGTTGATTGCCTTAATTATGTCCGCAGGCGCCATGTTGTCCTGGTCCACTTTACCGCTGCTGTCTCTGGCTGTCGTCGTGTTTTTCTGTTTTGGAGGCTCTTTTTCGTCGTTTTTTTGGTTTCGGCGTGTCCTTCCCCAATCCATCTAAGTTTTTTATCAAACAATATTGAATTTTAAATTACTCTTGGGTATAAATTGCGGTTTGTCTGGGAGAGCGATCTCGCGTGCGTGTGACTACTCCATGTGCCAACCCGGAAGCCCTCTACTTAATGTACTTTAGGTACAGGTAAAGAAAATACTCTTTCATTAAGAGATACAGAAGATGTGTGTTTGAGATAAAAGTGTATACATGATTGGTAGTAGATTACATGATTAGTGATAGACATATGACATGATTACAAGGGAAAATGTTCATCTTGGGTTTAATACAAAGGAAATTGTTCATTTTATTGAGTTTATTTCTTGAAGACTGAGAAAAATATACATTTCATGTGAATGTTATCTAAATGTGGTTTATACCAGTGCTTTAATGCAGACAGAATAACAGATATAATTCATTGTTGCAGTGAAAAGGTTAAAAATGTGAGAATAAATATAATCCGTTGGACTTGGAGAATGAGCAGTCATGTTCCTGTTTCACTTATTACTCTTCCGTGTTTCCAGCACTCCTGTCCAGGATTATCTATCTGCTAACAGCCTAGCTGGGACCCGCTACATTGAGCCAACCTCGAACACCTCAGCGAATAATGACACATGACTTAAAGGTGGGGTAGGCAGGAATCCATTAAAGAAGCATCTTTTTTTGTGGCGTATTTACAAAAAATCTTTGAATATCAGTCAATAGTTATTAGTTATTGATGACATTTGGTAATATAAGGATATCTCTGTGTTCTCTTATGTCTGTGTAGTCAACATTTGAACATTTTTGAGCGGTCCGCTCTTTCTGACTGTAAACAAAGCCGTTCTCCGCCTCCTCTAACCTGATTGGTTGTGAGGCAGACGCTGCTCCCCCATGTCGTTCAGGAGCAAAGTTAGCGTGCTACAATATCGGACAGTAGAAACCATAGGTGGGGGCTTGACGACTCGACTTGAGACTTGACTTGGACTTGAGTCCCGTTTTTGACTTGCTTGATGATCAAGAAATGACTTGGACTTGCTTGGGACTTGGTTGCTAAAGACTTGAGACTTGACTTGAGCCCAGTGACTTGAAAAGTCAAGTCAAGTCTTTTCAAGTCACTTAATACCTTATAGCAAGCCCAAACCATTTAAAAAGTGTCGCATCAACTAATAGTCAGTAATTACAGTCGTTGGTAACACTGTGTTGTGTTGCCAAGTCTGCTTATTTCCCGCAAAAAAATGTTGCTTGTTTTTGGCTTGTTTCTGGAGGTCTGTTTCCTTATTTCTCTCACGAAACTTGGCAAAACTGTCTCAAACTCTAGCCTCCCACATAACAACACCGGGAGGACTGAACATAAATCGCTCGCTAGTATTGCCCGCCTGTTTCCACGTGTTGCCTTGTGTCTCTCTTTTGTTTTGCTTTGGAACAGTGAATTAGAGTATCAGTTTAATGTTTAATTGTATTTGAGTCTTCCTTATTTTTGTGCACATTGTCTAAGTTTCCAATTATTGAAGTTTATCTGATTATTTTTTGTATGACATGTAAAATAGTTTGGTTAAAGCTGCACTATGTAACACAAACAAGAACCCTTGTTTAATAATAAATGCAAATAGTGAAAAATGCTCATGATTTATGTAAATCTTTAGATATAACAAATGGTTGATGGCTTTGATATGATTTGTTTTTCACTTGGAAGAAACGGTAAGGACTTGGACTTGACTTGAGACTTATCGGTGGTGACTTGGACTTGACTCGAGACTTGAGAGCAAAGGACTTGGACTTGCCTCGGACTTGAGAGCCAAGACTTGAGACTCGACTTGGACTTACAACATAAGGATTTTCCCCCACCTTGGTAGAAACCAACCAGAAAGTACGGAAAATTGTCTGAATCCTCCTTTGGCCACGACTGCCAAACAAAGTAAATACCAGAGACTCTAGAGGAATAACGGGCGCTTAAAACGGAGGAAGACCGAACAAGAGCTAAAAAGCCAGGTCAACATAAACGGTGGGGGACACTTGGGGATCTTGGTGACCCTGTAACCTTTCTGCTGGACAGGTAAACCGCTTTAACAAAGTAAGACAAGTGTCTGTAACGGAAGTGTTTCTTGTCAAACGGACCTGCTGTAGCGTGTTGTAGCGCCATCGCTAAACTGTTGACCTCGGGTCCTGGACTATGTCACTTTATCCTAGTTGTAGAAGTCCTGTGTGACACCCACATCAGACATCACCTACAGTAATGTGTGTCGACAGATCAATGAAGGAATTCAAGAGGGTTTCAGTGACTCCGAAATTGTCAGGTCTGTGCTCAGGCTAATTAAACCAGGCAGCTTCATGGATATGTTGATCAACAAAGATGATGTAACTGTGGAAGAGCTTAAAGGGTTTTTACAGTCCCACCTCAGAGAAAAGGATAGCACTGAACTGTTTCAGGAGCTGATGTGTGCAAAACAAAACGACAGTGAAACGCCCCAGCAGTTCCTTTACAGAGTAATGGGACTGAAACAGAGGATACTGTTCACATCCAGCCTCCCTGATGCAAACATTAAGTACAGCAGAACAACTGTCCAAGACATTTTCTTACACACCGTATATCAGGGGCTGGGACACAGACACAATGATATCCGAAGGGAGCTAAAGCCCCTCCTCACAGACCATAATATTAAAGATGAAGTGATCCTCAGACATGTGATGAGAATAACCAGTGAAGAGAGTGAGAGGCTATGGAGGTTTGGCACAACACATCGCCAAAACCAAACCAAAGCCCACAGTGCACAGCTAGAGGCAAATGCAGCACAAGCTGAAGGTGCCAAGCAACAGAACGCCGAGAGTGCGGTTGGAATGGACATTATTTAACAACTGTCAGCAAAAATTGAGGCACTTACCAAAGTAGTTGTCTCACTGAAACAACCTACACAGGTACGAACACCTGAACAGTCGTGCCACTGTTCACAGAGGAAACCGACGACTGCTGGAAGAGAGTGGACCAGTGGTTGCCCTAAATGTGTGGAGCAGGGCCTGTCACACTGTCGCCATTGCTTTGTCTGTGGTGAAGAAGGTCGCCGGGCTGTGGGTTGCCTGAAAAGGCAGAAGAATCAGGGAAACTGGAGCCGGTCACTGCAGGGGGGCAGCCAGTGACCGGACACCAACGGCCCCAACCCGGTGATGCCCAAGACAGCCAGACCAATACAGAGGACACAACTAAAACAAAACACTCACCAGGTCTCTCTCCCTTGGTAGCCTGTACAAAGCAGAGACATGGGCAGAGAAAGACAGTCGCTGAGTTGCCATCACCAGACCCACCAAATGCTAAAAATGAGCTAGTCATCGGGTACAGGTCAAGAACATAATCTCCGGCAGAGAGAAACTACAATCTACACAGTGGGAAGTTGGAGTTTCTCGCCTTGAAATGGGCAGTGTGCGAAAAATTCAGGGATTACCTGTACTACACCCCTCACTTCAAGATTAACACAGACAATAACCTGCTCAGGTACATCATGAGCAGTGCCAAGCTAAATGCAGTGGGGCATCGGTGGGTAGGGGAACTGTCTGATTTTCGTTTTGATGTGAAGTACTGGCCTGGGAAGATAAACATTGACGCAGATACACTGTCGACAATCCTGCTAGACATCCACAGATACATGCCTGCTCGCACGGAGGAGCTAGCCCAAGATGTGGTGTCTGCCACATGGGAGGGAAACAAAGCGGCGCTGAAGAAAGATGTGGCTTGGATTGCTGCCCTGGACATCTCTTCTCTGAACACTGAACAACAGCCACCTACACTCCTGTCAACGATAAGTCACAATGAGCTGGTGAGAGCACAGCAGGAGGACCCTGCTATTGGCGGGGTAGTGAAGTTCAAGGAGACAAGTACAGCACTTACCGAGGAGATGCGGAAAACAGCCAATGCATGAAAAAACTCTTACATAAGTGGAGTAAGCTACACTTGGAGAATGAGCTTCTGTACAGACGGACTGACTCCAGACACCAGCTTGTCCTGCCTGCAAAATTCAGACCATTGGCGTTGAAACATCTTCATGATGAGATGGGGCATGTTGGCACGGAGCGAGTACTCAATCTGGCTAGAGAGCGATTTTACTGGCCTTATATGAAGAGAGAGATTGAGGATTACGTCACCAGGAAGTGTGTATGCCTCAAGCAGAAGAAACCAGTCACTCACATGCGTGCTCCCATGGGCAGTATAACTACAAGCTTCCCTCCACAACTCATTTGCATTGATTACCTACACCTTGAGACCAGCAAGGGAGCTTACCAATACATCTTGATGAATTGACCACTTCCCACGATTTGCGCAGGCATATGCCACAAGGAATAAGTCAGGTCACACAGCAGAACGCATTTGGAACGACTTCATCCCACGTTTTGGTTATCCGGCCAAACTGCATCATGACCAGGGCCAGGAATTTGAGAATGACCTGTTTCAGGCGTTGCAGAAACTCTCAGGAGTTGGACATTCCAGAACGTCGCCATACCACCCACAAGGTAACCCAGCAGAGAGGTTTAACTGCACTCTACTTCAAATGTTGAGGACGCTGGCAGACAGAGAAAAAGAGCGCTGGAAAGACCATCTACCGCAAATGATTCAAACGTACAATTGTACCCGGCATGAGGCCACCGGCTATTCGCCATATTATCTGCTCTTTGGCCATCATCCACGCCTGCCAGTTGATCTGCTGTTCAGGTTGATGGAAGAAACAGACTCAATCACACCCAAAGGTTACGCACAGAAGTGGGCCAAGAGAATGTCTGAAGCTTACCACATTGCAAGCAGTCAAGCGTCAGGGGAAAATCATATTATGACCAAAAGATGAAAGGATCTGTCCTGCAACCTGGAGTACTCGTGAGGAACCTCAGTGAACGAGGAGGTCCTGGCAAGCTAAGATCGTACTGGGATAAAGCCATATACTTAGTCAAAGAACAGGTATCAGATAATCCTGTGTATGTCGTATATCAGGAAAGTGGAGACAAGGAAAACAAGAACCCTGCATCGTAATCTGTTGTTACCTGTTAGCGACCTACCAGTTGAAACTCCTCCTGACCCAGTGAACTCAGCACCTGCGAAAAGACAGAGGAGAAGGTATTCAAGAGCCAGTGACGCAGAGCAGCAGATGCACGAGAGTAACAACTCAGAGGATTCAGGTGATGAACAGAGCACTGGAGGCTATTGGCTAAGACTGCCTTTGAACAGGGAAGAATGGGAAGATTCCTTCCAAGAACCAACCTCAAGTCAAAGAGAACCAATGAATGTCCCTGTAATGGAGGAAAGACAGAGTGAGGAAGAATCCTTACCTGATTAAGTCCATCAACCTGTGGGGAAAGACAAACACTTACCTGATCCTGTGAGAGAACCTGCAAGGGAAAGTCAAGGACAACCACAAATACAAAATGATGTGGACAGACACTTACCTGATCCAAGGGGGGAACCTGAAAGGGAAAACCAAAGACAACTAGGAGAACAACATGATACAGAGTACTTACCTGATCGAGTCCCATCACCTGTAAGAGAAGAACAAAGACATCCAGAAAGACAGACAGACAATGAACACTTGATGTCAGAAGGTTGACCAGAGAGAGGAGGCCACGACGCATGTTTACATATGACACACTTGGCTGGCCAGCAGTAAACACAGTTGAGGCATACATACATTTTGGGGTGCGCCATACCATATACCACTGACGTACCCACCTGCACCTTACATGCCATCAACATACACTCCACACTTTGCACCCATTCGTTGATTTTGTTTTTGAAGAGGTATTTCACTGTGTATTTGTGTTTGTATATTTGTAAATTCACTGTGAATTTCAGGAGCCATTTTATTTTGTCGGGGAACGTGTGACACCCACAAAGAGTTGTCATTTGTGTATTTTTGTAATTTGTTTTGTTTATACTGAAGTGAATGAGAAGTATCTAGACACAAGAATCTAACAGAATGTACCAAAGAACAATAATTAACTACTGATAGTAGGTGGCAGTGCATGTCTGTTTCGCTCTGAGAATCTGCTGGCATAGTGATGTCACCTCCGCCCTGTTCCACATTATCCCGTTGATTGTGTGGAAACAGCAACACGTGTGCGATTCTTGTGTCCTGTTTTCAGGTTAGTAATGGTGGGCTCTTACAGTTTACTCTTCTATCAGCACATACTTTAACTCATTTTGCAAAGGTGACAAGTTTATTAAGTCGGGATGTTTACATTGTGACTTTGTTTTATGATTGAACGTGCTACTGGGTACACGAAAGTGAGTGGGGATGTTAGCGGCTGTTGCTAGCATTAGCCGTATTTTGGTACTGTCTATTTCCTGGATGTAACGTAGTAGTGCAGTGGTTTTATCGGAGTGATACTGTCAAACGGTAATGATACTGACTATGACCAGAGAAACATTGTTATGCTACAAAGCAAGGAGAGAAGTTAATGTGAGAAAATGATGTGTGTGTGATGTGATGTGACAAGATATAGAGAGGAAGGATGATAAATATGGATATGAGAATGGTTACAAGAAGTATGTTTATATGATAACAGAATAATTATTATTGATTATTGTTGAATACAAAAAAAAGATGAAAACATTGAAAAGACAATGGAAAAAAACAAAGAAAGGAAAGTTTTTTTGGTGGTTTAATAAAACTACACATTATCCCGTTAATTGTGTGGAAACAGCAACATGTGTGCGATTCTTGTGTCCTGTTTTCAGTTCTCAGGATAATCCATAAGCTGTACAGCAGGTACTCATGCCGGGACCTGCAACCTGAAGAACTGTGATCTCAACAACATCATCCTAGAGTTCTGCAACCTTGCTTTGCTGCACAATCGGCTGCCTGACATGTGGTCTCTATCGAACATTGTCCCAATGCCCAAAGCACTGTAATACACTGTAATGCAGTAATACTTGGTCGTCATTGTAGCGTTGTTTACGCTGGTTTCCACGTCATAGCAACGGACAACGGTAATCACTAGAACTCACAAGTAGATTGTGTCCTTCCAGAGGAGGAAATCTACTTCTAGACTTCTAGAATCAGCATCATCCATGGTGTCATCGGGGTGAAATGACGTCTAAAAACCTTTCACTTGTTCGTCTCCGCCCGTTTGCATGGTGTGAAATACAATCCTCCTGAAACACGGAGTGTTTTATTTTGAAAAGAAGCCGGATGTTTAATTTTGTGTCTGTGCCAGACTTCCTTTCCAGCACGGGTTAACCTGTGCTGAATTTATCTGCCATGCTCCGGTGTCCAGAAAAAATAGAACTCTTGTGATCAGCTGAGGAGTCCGGCGATCCTCAGAGGAACGGAAAGAAGTCGGTGTAAATTGACACGTTAACTTGAATGGTTACGATCAGCTACGATCGGAGGATACGACCTTTTAGGAGACGATCAGGATGAAGGTGGAAGTTGGGGTTACAGTGCAGATATTTCCTGTTTTCAGAGGTGACATCAACGACAGTCAAATTCATCGACCCTCAGATTAGACCAGATTAAGATCCTCATTCCTCTGATTTAGGATCATCTAGACCTGACATCTGTGAGAGACCACGGCTCAGCTGGGAACACTGGAGAAGATCACCTTTGTGGGAGAGGGAGAAAGAGGAGACACAGATTAGAGAAAGGATGATGAGAAAACAGAGAATAAACAACGAGAACAAACCAAAGAAGAAATAAATCGAGAGAGGGAGGGAGAGAGAGAGAGAGAGAGAGAGAGAGAGGGAGAGAGAGAGAGAGTGTTTCTCTGTGTTGTATCTTTAACTCTGTGGCTCTAAAACAGTTGAAGTGTGTTTCTGCTCGATGAGGTTTCTATGAGGTGAATAAATGTTGGTTCAGTTGATCTTCAGGACGGCTGCAGCTTTAAGAACTTCTGCTTGTTGGAGTTTGAGAGTCTAAAGTTCACAGAGACACTCCTCTTCCTGGAATGTTGACAAACTGGATCCCCCCCCTCCCTCGTCTCTCTCAGCTCACTCCACTCTGCACTCTCACATCCTTGTTCCCTTCCCTTCCTTGCTTCCTCCCCTTTAGATCTACAGCCTAAAGGTTGGGTGTAACCTCCGTGTGCTGAGGTCATATCCTGCTGACTCACACATGTTGTTGAGATCAGAGCTCAGACTAGTTTCACTTCTCAGGAAATAAAACTCAGTCAGTCGTCGTCGACAGCGAGTGTTGAAATGGCGCAGAAAGGAGTTCATCTGGACCATGAGTCTTTCTCTTGTTCCATCTGTTTGGATCTTCTGAAGGATCCTGTGACTGTTTCCTGTGGACACAGCTTCTGCATGAGCTGTATTCAAACCTACTGGGATACTGAGGATGAGAAGAAGATCTACCACTGTCCTCAGTGCAGAGAGACTTTCAGACCGAGGCCTGTCCTGAAGAAAAACACCATGTTAGCAGGTTTAGTGGAGGAAGTGAAGAAGAGTGGACTCCAAGCTGCTCCTGATGGTTCCTCTGAGGCTGGACCTGAAGATGTGGCCTGTGATTCCTGCAGTGGGAGAAAACTGAAAGCTGTCATGTCCTGTCTTCAATGTCTGGCTTCTTACTGTCAGATTCACCTCCAGCCTCATTTTGAATCTCCTACATTTAAGAAACACAAGCTGGTGGAGCCCTCCAAGAAGCTCCAGGAGAACATCTGCTCTCGTCATGATGAGGTGATGAAGATGTTCTGCCGCACTGATCAGAAGTCCATCTGTTCTCTCTGCTGTTTGGACCAACACAAAGGTCACGACACAGTCTCAGCTGCAGCAGAAAGGACTGAGAGGCAGAAAGATCTGGAGGAGAGTCGAGGAAACATCCAGCAGAGAATCCAGGACAGAGAAGAAGATGTGAAGCTGCTCCAACAGGAGGTGGAGGCTATCAACAGCTCTGCTGATAAAGCTGTGGAGCACAGCCAGGAGATCTTCAGCCAGCTGATCCGTCTGATGGAGAAACGCTGCTCTGACGTGGAGCAGCAGGTCAGATCCCAGCAGGAACGTGAAGTGAGTCGAGTCAAAGAGCTTCAGGAGAAGATGGAGCAGGAGATCACTGAGCTGAAGAGGAAAGACGCTGATCTGCAGAAGCTCTCACTCACAGAGGACCACAACCAGTTTCTGCACAGCTACCCCTCACTGTCAGAACCGGGTCAACCTGCAGACTCATCCAGAATCAACATCCGTCCTCTGAGATACTTTGAGGAGGTGACAGCAGCTGTGTCAGAGGTCAGAGAGAAACTCCAGGATCTTCTGACAGAGACGTGGACAAACGTCTCACAGGCAGTGACTCAAGTGGATGTTTTACTGTTAGAACCACCAGGACCAGCAGAACCCAAGACCAGAGCTGGTTTCTTAAGATATTCAAAAAGAATCACACTGGATCCAAACACAGCAAACAGACGACTGTTATTATCTGATGGAAACAGAAGAGCAACAAAGACAGGAGAAGAACAGTCTTATCCTGCTCATCCAGACAGATTCACTTATCCTCAGGTCCTGAGTAGAGAGAGTCTGACTGGACGTTGTTACTGGGAGGTGGACTGGAGAGGGTACGAGGTTGATGTAGCAGTCGCATACAAGACTATCAGGAGAGCAGGAGAATCAGGGGATTGTTTATTTGGATACAATGATAAATCTTGGAGGTTAGACTGTTATCAAGACAGGTATAGATTTTTGTACAACACACTCTTCACTGATGTCTCAGGTCGTCCGTCCTCCAGAGTAGGAGTGTACCTGGATCACAGCGGAGGTATTCTGTCCTTCTACAGCGTCTCTGAAACCATGACTCTCCTCCACAGAGTCCAGACCACATTCACTGAACCTCTACATGCTGGACTGACGTTATGGTCTGATGGAGCCTCTGGTGAGTTTATAGAAGTGAACTAAAGAGAATTTTGAGTCCATCAGACCAAAATCATGGACTGAGATCCTTGAACTCTTGAAATGTTCTGGTTTGTAAATGTTTGTGGATCAGTCTCACCAAAAACTCTGGGTTTAGTTCTTCATTTCAGCTTTTTGATTCTTTTCTAAAGATGCTGATTTGGTCGCAGCTTTAAGGACAGTGATTGTGGAGAACTTTGATTGTTTGTATTTCTCATGTTGAAAAATCTTCATCAAGTTTGATATCAACAACATCAAGATGATGGTTTGTTCAAATCACCTTCAGTTGGTGCAGATGTTGAAGGTCTGAGACTTTAGAAAAAAGTGAGGTCAAAATCACAGAAAAAGGACGACCTTATTTCCTGTCCCAAATCCAAGCGTCTAAAGTCTTTCCAGTCGTCCCCAAAAACTCTTCAGATGATCTGTTTCTTTCTCTGTTTGCTGAATATTTGTGTTCATGTGATCGATGGATATTTCTGTCTGCTTCTGTTGGATCAGTGTGTTTGTAAAGACATCTAGAATCAGACTTTGGACAGATCTACATGTTGTTATGAGCTTTTCAATCACTCTAATAATAATAATCACATTTATTAGTCCGACTGTTTGGATGTTTCTCACTCAGCTCAGATTGTGGTCAAGTCTCTGATTGTGGGTAAAAAAATCATAAAAATCCTCAAACTGAGTCACTGAAATCACCTCGTCTGTTTGTCTTTATTGTGTCTGTTTCTGCTGGATGTCATGTTACCGCTCCGTCTGGGTCATGGATCCATGTGGTCTTACATGTCCCAGATGTGAGTCCTGCAGCTGGATCAGGTTTTCTGTAGAGGACAAAGACAGGAGGAGGTTGTGTGTCTTTTTGATTTGATGTAACCAGACTAGTCCTGTTGAGATCATCAATCTCTTTTTCAGGGGGGGTCCTGACCAAGAATGGCAGCAGAAAACAAACACACTCAGACTCACACAGATCCACATCAGCAACAAGAACTCAGTGTTCATATAAGAGAGTCCAGCTGATCTCTAGTCTAAGGAAAGAAGTCTGGTCCACAAGAAGAAAACCGACTTAAAGGTGAAGTAGACAGGAATCTGTTAAAGAAGCATCTTTTTATTTTGTGGTTTTTATACAAAAAAATCTAATATCAGTCAATAGTTATTAGTTATTGATGACATTTGGTAATATAACGATATCTATTTGTAATGATCTGAAGGATTTATCTGCATTATATCTGAATTTAATTGGAACGATACGAGCGAGCAGGAGCGTCTGTTTGTGGGCGGGGCTTGAGGGGAGAGGAGGAGCTGAGGGGAAAACTGGTTTGGAGGGGTAGAGTTTACATTCAAGATTTCTCCTAAAAACTGGAACTAACTCAGATCCTGACTACACCACCTTTAAACACAGTATTCAGTTTTTGGTAATTTACAGCTCCTGTGAGAAACTTTTGGTCTGTGTTGATTTTGGCGCCCCCCTGTGGACACTGTGCTACCTCTCATTGCTCTATTGATTTTGTCCTGTTGTGTTTGTGTCACCACAGACCAAACAACAGACTGCTTTTATCACCTCCTTTACTGCTGGTCACTGTGATGAAGCTGCTGTCTGTCAGGATGGATCCTCCTGTTTATTCATGAACAGCTGATTCGGCTCTGATCTGGGAGGAATTATGGGAATTTACTGCGTATCCTCACAGCTGGGTTTAAATCAGGCTGAGATAAAGTTCATGTTTTTGTCTTTGTGGGCTGTCTGACAACATTACAGGAAAGCTCCCTGTAGAGGGCGCTCTTTGCTGCAGTAACGATGGTTTTTAACCTCCAACAGCCTTCCCTTTATTTCTGTTAACTCAGTCCACCAGAAAATTACAGCAGGTAAACCAGAACTCTTAAAAGCTTTTAAAACATCCCAAACATGCCATTAAAAAAAAAAAAAGAGTGATTCACATGTTTTTGAATTTTCATCAGCATCATTTCACACGAACATTATTATTTAACATTATTTTAAAGGGGACCTGCCACCAAAACTTCATCCCCATTTTTATCATTTTTTCATAATCCTTGATGTCCTCTGATCATGTTTGCAACATAATTTTAGCTGAAAAGTTATTTGATGGTTTGTTTTAGTCTGCCTAAAAAACCTTACAGGAAAACTAACTGGTTTTGGCTCATTAACATTTATGGTAATGAGCTTTGCTCTGATTGGATCGCTGCTGTGAAGCCTGCTGTGCTCTGATTGGTTCAGCAGTGGAGGTTCGGATTTCGGTTTATCCACTGTTATTATGCTAATGCTAATAGCATATGCTAATGTGTGCTAAAGTAAGGTGCCCAGATGTCTGTAATGATATCCGGGGATATTCGGTGCGGCGGCGGCGGTGCAGGGGCTGCAGGGGCTGTGTGATCACAGACAAAGTCTCGGTACTATTCAGTAGCAGCGCATGCCCCTTGTAATAACCCCGTAAGAACTGTTGTTCAGGACTGCTAACTTGTGCTTCCTACCCATTCGGCTACTGTAATAACCGTTGTTCGAGCCCACACGCAACATTTTTGCTCTCATTCATGAAACGCTTAAATCGGGGACATTTTCGGGGACAGCTTTTGCCGGGGACAGATCATCCAATACGGGGACTGTCCCCGGAAATCGGGGACGTCTGGTCACCTTATGCTAAAGGCTAAAAACGGCAGGTATTAAACCATATATTTTAGACCCCGAGTCCGAAGAGGAGGTGGAAGTTGAGGAAGAAGGCGGAGATCTCCAGCGGTGTTTTCTCATTCATTCTGCCCAGCTTTAAGTTCATTTTCCCGGCAGTGAACCGAAGGAAACACCGGTCGTTTGGAAGAGACCCATAGCGGATACAGTGGTAGCTGGGTCTCGCTCTGGCTGTGACTGAGTACGAGAACGAGAGAGTGGGCGCGGCTCACCGAGGACGCGCTCGTGAATAATAATGAGCAACGTCGACGCAACGTAACACCGACGGGCTTTTTCTATTGGCCTGGTTTACTCGTTCCTTGATTTTAAACCTTTACAGAATGAAAACGACATAACGGTTTGTTTTCACATGTACAACATAAGACGAACATAATATGGACCTTATATGACACAAAAAACCCCAAAAATTACATTTTTATGGCAGGTCCCCTTTAAATACATTTGTGAAACTACAGACACCTCTCAGATCATATTGACTCTCCCCTACAGACCGTGGATCTGACTCTGATTTGGCTCTCAACATTATTCTGTCATTAAATAAGTCCATAAATGTTTTAATTCAGGTCAAACTGAAACTGTGGGGTTAAGTCAGTGTAAGAGTCAGTCTTACTGAGAAATCATACGACTCTTCCTGCTGTTGATTTTACGGTTGTTCTTTAGCACAGTTCAACACAACAAGAAATAGATGATTTTAAAAGCCTTTAAGTTTACAACATGTAAAGATTTATGCAGAATTACCAATATAATCAATACTGTTTTGAAGTTAACTTATGATCAAGAAGAATTTCCCTCTCGCCTTAAACTCCAGAACAAAATGAATTGGTATCACCTACAGAAATGACTTTATTCTGAGTGTTGATCAGCCTGTCTGCGGTCTGTTTATCTGCTCTGGAGGAAGTTGGACAGCTCTGCATCTGTCCTCAAACCTTCCTGCTGTCTGATCCTTCTTCATTTTTCTCCAAAGTTTTCTCACGTTTGTCGTCTGAAGTTGTTCAGAAAAGTGCTGAGGCTTGTTCAGGTTTCTGTAAAATCAGTAACCAGTTTATCAGAACCAGTTTACTCGACCATAACTGGTCTCCGGCAGCTGGAGGGGCGTCTGAAACTGTCGTGTGGGGTGCCTTGAAACCGTCCACCAAAACAAAAACAGACTAATCCCCAACAGAATCAAATTTGTGGAGCACAAACGCTGCCTGCTGCATTGTTATCAGAGAAACTGGAATTTCAACGTAATCTTTGTCCTTAAAGTCAAAGTGAGAAAGATGATGAAGTGATAAAAGAGTTTTAGTTTTAGTAAATTAGTTTTGCAGCAGGGTTAACAAAAGACAAGTACTCAATGACAACATAAATTTAAAAAATGTAGAAGAATTAAAAACATAAGAACACAGAACCACCTAAAATTCAGTCCAGAGCTCAAACCAAAAATGGAGAAAAACTACTACCAAGTAATTAAAAGTGCAATATGTGCAAATGAGCAATAATGAGACAACGTGAGCAGCCTGAGGGTCAACTGCTGTTTAATAAATAAACTGCACTGCGGATAAAAGAGACCTGAGATCTTCTAGTCCTCCTCATAGGGGCCCTAAAACGACGGCCTGAAGGTAAACGCTCAAACTCTCATCTGAGTGGATGATTGGGACGACCCAGAATGGCATTAGCCTTCCTGAAGACCTGTCTGTTGTCGAGAGACAAAACCCCAACCTGCTGATTTCCAGAGAACCTGTCCAAGAGAACCAAGACGGTTCTTATTGGACAGGTTCAGGTCCTCCTCAGAGAGTAAACCAGACCATCAAGGACGAGACTAACAAGAGTGTGGACTCCTATAGATGATTCTGTTATTTTATTTTTTATAATTCAAGGTGACGAGCATCTTATGATAATTATTTATTCACACAGGATGGGACACCATCCAAAAACCTGGATACACTGACACACATGACCTGGACTCACTGCCTCTGTGGTCGTCCACCCGTCAAAGATGATGAATGTCAAATATTGGTTCATCAGAAATGTTGGATCTGATGTTTGAATATGAAATATTTGTTGACAGCTCTGATAGGTGGATTCATGTTCGTGTGTCTGCTGGACCATCGTGAGTTCATCTGCAGGGTTAGATATTAAGGTGTCATCTTCACACAGGTGTAGACAGTCTGCTACAGTCATTACGGTATTTATCTGTGAGATGAGAGGTGGACAGTAGCTCCATCAAACAGAACCTTCACCGTGTCTTAACTCAGCGACACGAGCGCCTAGCTGCTGGGAAATGTAGTGAAGTTCCTGATGTGATGATTTTCTTACCATCACTGAGTTCGTGTGAGTGAAGCTGAAACAGAAACAGAAACAGACCTGTTTTATGTTTTTATGTTTTCAACATCATAAATTCACATATTTCAGTCAAAAGTCAGCAGGAGGAGAGTAATCGACATGTAAAACACAAGAGGAGCTGAGGGGTCATCACAGGAGCTTTAATGTCTGATTACACCACAAGTTTATCTAATGATTATTGATTATCACCGCCAAGGAGGTTATGTTTTCAGTAGCATTGGTTTGTTTGTTGGTTTGTCTGTAAGCAACTTTCCCATTACATTTTGGTGGTGATCCGGACAAAATTCTGGATACTGTGATCCAGAACACACAAAAATAAGGGTGTCGTTGGAATTTTCAATGCTGACAGATAACCAATGGGCGGTACAGTGGTGTAGTGGTTAGCACTGTCGCCTCACAGTAAGAAGGTCCTGGGTTTGAATCCGGGTCAGGGCGTTTCTTGTTTTAGGAACATTATGAACAGTGAACATACCAGTTTAAACACAAATAAAAGTTCATAAAAGACACGTAACAGTAAAAGTTTTGGTGTGAATTACAATATAAGGCGGACATGAGCTGTTCGGTGGAGGTCTGCACTCTCAGAGTGCTTTCTTAGTTTATTATGTTCCTCCTTTAAATCCGATCTCTGGCAAATGAACTAAAGCTCCTAAATAAAGTTAACTAAACTAAAAAAAAACACCTTCATGAATTAAAACTGAACTGAAACTAAAACAGAGAAACCTGAATATCTGCTGACTCATGAAAACATGAGTCCAGATCAGACCCTGATTCTGTAAAGAGGGTCTTAAAGGTCCAGACACTCTGATTTATTTTTCATGGAAAGTTTTGGAGTCGAGGTTTTTCTTCCTGTGGAGTCAAACGTGAAAAGTGGCGTTTCTCCGGTTCTCCTTGTTCGGGGGTTGTTGATGAGTTTCTGTTCAAACTTTTGTCAGAACTTGGTATTTTGTTTGGGCGGCTCCTCTTCCTCTCAGCTGAGTCGGCGATATTTCAGAGCGGCAGAATGTTGATCCCCAGATTAAAGTGCGGACAAAAGAGAGCAGCCGCCGTCACAACAACAGCAGGTCACATTGTTCCAGACCGTAAACCAGAGCCAGTCCTTTTTCGGTCAACAACAGAGTCAGTCCTCCATAAGACAACAACTCAGCCACCCAAACCTTCAAAAGCACCACAGAGACCGACACCGAGAGACCGACACCCATCAGAGACCTGCACCCAAACACAGATCCAACTTCTGCCTAACACCCTGACTTTGACTTTTGGCTCTTCTGAGGATCCAGGATGTTTGTCCGGACCTTCCTGCTCATCTGTGTCACGGTTTTTCTCAGCGCAGGTAAGACCGGGTCTTCATGGATGGGACTGTAGGGTTACCTTTGGGGTCTCTGCAGGAAGAAGCCGGTCCACTTCTTAGTGTCTTAGATGAGCTGATGCTTAAACCTGGTCTTGAGTCGATGATGTTGTTGGTCAGTGTGTTGAAGTCCGTCTGTGTTTCTGTCTGTGTGACGGTTTTTATGAAATATACGCAGATTAACGAAGAAAACTAAAACCATGTCTTCATTCTCGTCTTCATCATCGTCATACTGTGTCTGTTCCTGTCAAACTGCAGCTGAGATAAAACCTCCTCAAGTCCACAGAAATGTAACTGGACCTCCTCAGAGCTGGGACTGCAGGCTCCTGTCTTTACGAAAAACGTCTTTTTAAATCGAAATTCTTGAAATGAGCTTCAGGAAGAGTTCATGGGGACGGTCTTCACGACACAAAACAAGGAGAGACAAAGTCTGGTCTATACTTCCTGATCGGACCTACGCTGCAGTGGCCGTCGCCGTCGTGGGCACCACATAGTCCATGTTGTGGTGTGTGTGTCTCTCTGCAGTACTCCACCTGAACACCAGTGGGCAGCACCTCCATGCTCTGCCATTTTTTTGTCAGTTTTTAATGCAGAGAAGAAAAGAGGGGGACACCAAGAAGGCGGACTATAGAACCACTGAGGAAGACGACAGGGGACAGCAGCGGTATAAGAGAAGTCCACCAAGCAGACCAATCGCAGGACTTCAGATCCGCAGGAAGTGAGGAAGTGCACATCGGGCGTCAGCTTCAGGCTTCATTGTTGGGTACAGGGACAGACGGGCCATGTTACACCGTAGGTCAGAAGCAGCAGCTGCACGCGAGCTCGCCGTAGAGCGGATTAGTCACCTTTAAAAACCAACATTCAGAGCGTAAGGAACTCTTCTTCAGTGGACTGAACCACAGAACTCTTCAGTTCTGAGATCGAACATTTATTCAGGTCACATGGAAGGTAGTACAGCGCTGGACTCAGGATCACGGAGCTCCTAGGATCTCCATCATGAGCGCCCAATTCTGGGTACAGTTCACATTAATCTTCGTGGTCAGGGATTGGCCTTCGTACAGAGGTTGGACTTCATACACAGCTGAGTATCATTGGCCAGTTATTCCCAACGTGAACAGGCCGACCGCTGTTCACACGGTCTCAGTATGAAATATGTGAGTGTGTTGTTGACCTTGAGGCGTCTAACTACTGTAACAAACCTGTCCAACAGAACAAAGAGAGCCCTGTGGTTCATCAGGTTCCTCCTTATCGAGTTAGACGTCACAGTGTTCAGATCAAATGAAAACGACCTGTGAGTCAGTAAAGTTCAGTGGAAAAGTACAAAACTAACACGAGCGAAATAAAACACAATTATAACAAGAGATTTAATCTGAATCGGAAAACGATGGTCGTCAACGTCAACATCAACCGGTCAGGCTCCGTCCTCGGTGGTCGGGGTCCCAGTCTGTCATCTGGAGCCTGTTTTCCTCAACCCAGTACTCCAGTAGGTACCACCGGTCTCTCTCGGGGTCGACTGAAGACTCCTCCCCTCGCTCTCAAACTCTTCTTTTCCTGCTCATACAGACTTTCTAAAACCTCCAGGATGAAGGATTCCAGATTACACTCCTATAATCTGATGGAGACTTTTCACTCTTCATTATAATCTGAGGATGTGACGGTTGGAGTCCCAGAGTGTTGTAGAAGTGTGGACACGGGCGTCTGTCTCTGCATGTATCCAGGACAGCAGCTTGGTCAGGACTTGGTCTGTTGAAGCCGGTGCTTCAGTGGGGTGTCCTCGTCTTCTGGCCTCCCTGGATCAAAGGGAACAAAGGGAGACATGTGAGACCAGTCCTGTCCTCCTGCTCAGCTGACCAGGTCCTCCAGCTCTGATGTTCTCCATCCTGAAGCAGCAGACGTGAAGATGATCTGCTGACGAGGAGACGCCATGATCTGATCAGAAATTGGTTCTAGTCTAACATCCATATCAGGCAATCTGACCTTTGACCTCTGAAATAAAAAACTTTTGGTTTTTCTCTTCATAAACAGAACTGACCTTTGATCAGCGAGTTTAACTCCGTAAACTCAGATTAAAACCTGAGCTGATGAGGAGGAGAGTTTCTGCAGATGTTCTCACTGATTTGAAGCTCTTTATGGAGACTGTAGTTATGGTGCAACCATCCTCAGACATGGTCAGGTTAATTATAGTTAATTATAGTTATATTGGTTATAGTTCTGTTGGTTATGTTGGTAATTGGTATGTTTCATTGATTTGAGTTCTTGTATTTATGGCTTTAATGTTCGAGTTCTGTTGGTGATAGTTCAGTTCATGTTGGTTAAATCTGAGTTTTATTGTCATAGTTACGGTTTCATTGGTCGTGGTCATGGTGATACTGGTTTATGTAATGGTATAATGGTTTCAGTCGTGGTTATTTTGATGACAGTTATGGTTACACTGGTTATAGCTCAGTCTCGCTCTGTGTTGTGCTTCAGTTGTGGTTTGAATATCTAAAGTTATGGTTATATATATAACAATATAGTTATATTGGTACTTGTTCTGGTTTTACTGGTTATAGTTATATCTGCTTTACTGGTCATATATAAATCAGTGGTGGGTGTTCAGATGAGTCTTTAAAAACCCTGATGAAGTTTTCTGTCTGTTTTCAGATGCTGAGGATAAATCCAGACTGTACAGGAGGGTAAGAGACAAACACTCTCTCTCTTTATGGACGTGGACACCAACAAACTTCTCAAAAATACATAAAAACCAAAACTATAATAATAATAATTATAATAATTTTGAATTCTGGTTCAGAAAAGAGTTTAAATGTATTAATTCATATTTGGTTCGAGATTTCATGTTTTTTTTTGTTGATGTTGTCATGAAATATCTGTTGATATTTTTGGTATCAATATTTTAAGGTTGTTTATTGTTGTTGTCGTTTGTTTGTTTGTTTGTTTGTTTGTTTGTTTGTTTGTTGGTGTTGTTTATAGTTTTATTGTTTATTGTTGTTTATTTGTTCATTATTGTTGTTTATTTGTTGTTGTTGTTTATTATCATTGTTTATTGTTTGTTGTTTATTGTTGTTGTTGTTGTTTCTCATTATTGTTGTTTTTGTTTATTATTGTTTGTTGTTGTTTGTTGTTTGTTACTGTTTTTTATTGTTTTTGCTCATTATTGTTGTTGTTGTTTGATGTTGTTGCTGTTTATTTTTGTTTATTGTTTGTTTTTGTTTATTACTGTTGTTGTTTATTGTTTTTGTTTATTACGGCTGTTGTTTATTTTTGATGTTTATTGTTTGTTTTTGTTCATTATTGTTGTCGTTGTTGTGTTTCAGCCCTCCTGCGTGGGGTTGAGTTTGGCACAGGCGTGTCCCTTGAATTACTCCCCCGTGTGCGGCAGCGACGGCATCACGTACCCGAACGAGTGCTCTCTGTGTGTCCACAGACTGTGAGTACTGGACGATCAATAATCTGATCTGTTAACCTCTGATAAACAGACAATTGATCATTTTTTTACAACCCCAACTCTACAACAACTTCTCACCTGTTTGTTTGTTCCTTTACCTTCTTTTTAGAAACATGAGAAGACTTTTCAGGGAACAATCAATATTTCCAGTTTAAACAAATGTTTAATCTGTAATCCAATAAACTATAATATGTGACATAGATAATGAAGGAAATGAATGGATGACAGCCAATCAGGTGGTCCCACTTAGAAGTCTGATCAGTCCTGACCAATCAGAGCAGAGGAGATTACAAACTGATCCTTTTAAAGATCAGTCAAAAAGGATCATTTGAGTTTGGTTCAGATTTAAACTGTTATTATTGGATCATATCGATCAATAATTTTGTATCTGTGGTCAAATATTGTTTTCCTTTAGTATTGATGAGTGATGATCGATTATTTCTGTGTACAGGGAGCGAAATGTCGACACTCTGATCGTCATGGAGGGACCCTGCTGAGGATCACATCGTCCCGCTCCTCCTTTACTGATGACTCTATCACACACACACACACACACACACACACACACACACACACACACACACACACACACATATCTCGAACCTTTCGTGCAGTGTTGTATATTTTCATATCTATGTAAAAAAAAAATCACGTTAAAAAAATAAAGACTTTCATTTTCTCTAATTTTGATTTAATCTCGTCTATTTTCTCCGTCTCATGTACGACAGGAAGGATAGGATAGCTGACAGTAAGGTATGCTAAAAAATATCATAGTCGCATGAAAAAAATATCATAATATTGTACAATGAAAAATGTCCCATATTGATAGTGTGTTGTAAAATAATCTTTATGCAGCAGAATGGAGGTGTGCTCTCCCTGATTCAGGCTTTTACATTTCATATAAGTATAAGGATGTACTCGTGGAAATATACTGTATATTAGTGGTCCTGACTGAAGGATAATCAGTGGGAACTGAGATAAAACAGTTGATATAAAAGACCAACACTGTTATGATCTCAATCAGCTTTTACATGGACCTATAGGCCAGACTGTCAGACTATGAGGATAAACAGATAAAAAGGGAGTTATATTTACTAAAGAATGGACTGGCTGATGGTTCAGGTTTGAGCTGTGAGACTGGAAAGAAGTAGAGGGGCTGGTGATTCAGGTGAGTGAAGTCCAGGTATGATCTATGAGAGACAGAGCGCTGAGGATCTGAAGGCAGGGAGAGGTTTCATGGGATCAAACGGTCTGATAGGGTCAAGATTAGAGCTGTTATAATCACTCCTTCACTGTAGGTGGTAGCAGGCGATTTTAACTCCAGAATACATGCAGTCTAAAAACATACAGAAGAATAAGTAGTTTGGAGGTGACGTAGTGCTCATGTAGGAGTCAGAGGGAATCACAGGAAATAGACATAGTGCTTCCCAAAACAGATGTTAAATCTATTATAAAGAGTCACACTTTAAAAATGTGGCAAGAATACTGGAATATAGCTGACACAGGAAGACATCTGTACAAGATCCACAAACATGTTGGCAGAATTACAAAGGAGGAGACAGGATTTACCCGTCTAAGAATTGGACATACAGGACTCAACCAGAGCCTGTATTTGATAAAAAACAAACACTCAACTGATCACTGTGATTACTGTAAGACAGCAGAAACAGTAAAAAATGTACTCATTGATTATGTTAAACAAACACAGAAAAGGCAACAGGTTAGTCACCAACTTGAGAATATGTCCATGTAGATTCTCATTCATCCAGGTCATGGTTGTCTTGAAGACTAAGATAACCAACTTGAGAAGAAAATCTGGATCTGACTGTAGAGAATCTGTTCGGGTCAGCATCTGACAAAGTATTCAAGGCATTAAGGAAGGATTAAAGGGAGACTGGATTATTGTACAGAGTTTAACTTTTGGAGATTAGTGAGTATTTATATGTATGTATGTATGTATGTATGTATGTATGTATGTATGTATGTATGTATGTATGTATATGAGAACAAATAATAGACATGTTTTTGGAGCAAAGTTATTGTGAAACTGCACACAGGTTACAGCCAGAGAGAGTCCAACTCATGGTGAATCATGACCTGGCAAAAACATTATTTACAGAAGAAATCACGTTGTTGGCGTTCAGACACCAACGCTAACGCCGCCTACGGGGATAGGCTAATGACACCATTGGGGATGTACAGTATAAGAAGGAACAGTTCTCGGTGTTAGAGGGATTGTTTGGGCTTCTACTCTCCATCTGATTGTCATGATTCGTGTTTGATCCTGTAACTAAATTAAAATCAGGCGAGACGCAGCTAGTTTGATTCTGTCTTTGTATGATTCATTTTTGCACCTTTGCATCTATGAAATCTACCTTATGTAAAGGCAGATATCCTTTTTTTTCTGCTTAATTTACTGTCTCACACTCCAGTCCAGTAGGTGGCGGTAATGCTCCTTAAAGTTGGTTTCTAACCGCTAATAAACTCCATTGAAGAAGAAGTAGGTCGGAAGTGACGCAGTGGTTCCGGTGCGCGCTGCAGCTAACGTCGTGTTTGTGTCTTTGTTGGATTATTTTTATTATTAACTTCATCTTTTCAGCAGAAACATGTACGACCAGGATGAAGGTGAGCTGTGACCTGATAAAGAAGAAGCTTCATGAACTGATAGGCCTGTAACAGTGTTAATATATAAATATAATACTGAGAACTGAGCCTGAGAAACTGTTAGCTGTTAGCTGTTAGCTCCTCATCAGACAGACCACTGATGTTAATAAACCGGGTGGGCAGTTTCTAGTTAGTTTTGTCGAGTTTCTCCTCATCCCTAGTTTATAGTTTAGCAGACTGGTATCTTAGTGATGTTCTCAGAGTTTAATCTGTGAGTCCTGGAGCAGAAACTCCTGAATCTCGGCTTGTTTGCTGTTATTGTGGACTACTTGTTGACTGTTCTGCCTCCTAAATCATCCTGATTTATTCCGAAGTCATTCTAGACTCTGGATTTGAAATCTGACAAGTCTTACCTTTCAGCAGGTACCAGATTTACGCCTGTAGCCCTCATAGTTTTGGAAAAACACACATTTTTATGTTCACGTGCACAACAAGATCATTAGAATCAGAGGGAGCTCAAAGTAAACCTGATTTTAACATAATTCAACCGAAAAATCCTCTTTTAGAGTTAATTTACACTCAGACTGAGAAAACGGGAGAGATTAACTTATAAAGAGAAAAACAGAGAAATTATAGAAACTAACCGACTGAGAACTGACTGAATTATAACTAATTTACTGATAACTAACTAAACTTAACCCCGAGAACATAAACTAATCTCATATATGAAGGTTCAGTCTGTTCCACGTTATTTCACAGTCATATAAAACTTCACAGAATAAGAAGAATCAGAATCAGAAGGGGTTTTATTGCCGTTGTCGATGAATAGGATTCACAGACTTGGAATTTGTTTTGGCGTGATGGTGCAACAACAAACAGAGAGAAATATAAAATACTAGAATATAAAAATAGAGGAGTGCAATTAAAAAACCAAGGTACATTAAACTAAAGTGAGCAGTGTTAAAGTGACAGAGTTAAAAAGTGATCATGAGTCCAACGGCAGAGGGGAAGAAACATGTTCTTATGGCGGGAGGTTCTGGTCCGAATGGACTGTCGCCTCCTGCCTGAGGGGAGTGTCTCAAATAGTCCGTGTGCAGGGTGAGAGGGGTCAGCTGTGATCCGACCTGCTGGGCCCGAGTCCTGGAGACGTACAGGTCATGGAGAGATGGAAGGCTACAGCCGATCACCTTCTCAGCAGAGCCCACAATGCACTGCAGTCTGTGTCTGTCCCTGACAGTGCTCTGAATCAATTATAACATAAAGACAGTAAACATGTATTTAACTGTTTGATTTAAGCAACAATTCAGGCAGTGAATGATGGAAAATAACAAACACTCAGATATCTATTGGTACTCATATATATACACGTTAGGGCTGGGCGATAAAACGATAACCATAAATATATAATATTATTTCCCTCAATATCAATATTAAACATGATCAATATCCTTTTCAATAGTCGTCATTCTGACATGTTTTGGTCGACTATACGAACAGCCAATGAAAAGGGGAGTTTCTCCGGGTCTGAACCAATCATGTTCTGAATTAGAACCAAGTATCAACCAACTGCAGCGTCGTAGCAGACAGCAGCTCCACCCAACCATAGCACTTTAACAGGTGAAGCCGACAGCACTGTTGGTGAGAAACAAAGAAAATGAGTGCTACCCCCGACAGAAATGACCATGAAGGCTCAACAGATGACCACATCAATGTCAACCACAACACTGGCGTTAGGAAAACGTCGGTGGTGTGGAGGTATTTTGGTTTTTGGAGGTCGGACATGAAGCAGAGTAATGTGGACTGTAAATTATGTCGAGTACATGTTCTCACAAAGTCGGGGAATACCTCAAATCTTTTTCACCACCTGAAGCAGCGCCACGCCGCAGAGCACGCGCAACGCAAAAGGTTACAAACCCCGAGAGGAGCGAGGAGCCGAAACAGACGACCATTCAGTCGGCTTTCTCTAGAGCGACGCCTTACGACAAAACGCCAAAGAGACACAAAGACCTCACAGATGCAGGAGACTATTGTGTTGGAAAAGACATGAGACCAATAAACACTGTTAGATTTTTAGATCCTGATATTGATCGATATCAGCTGATATGAAATAAATATATCCTGATAAACTTTTTCCCGTATCGCCCAGCCCTAACAAACGTTCTGATGGGAATCAACAACCATCTCAGTCAGTAATTTTGTCTAAATTAGTCCATTAAAAACCAGGTTTGTTTAAATGTCAGTAAACTAAACACACATTTATTCATAAGAAAAGAAACTGTGTTATTGACATTATATATCAGCCAACCTGCTCCCTCTTTATCAGTATCTGCATCGGTCAGTAAACAAGTGTAACCTCTATCATTTACAGTCTGGTTTGAGTCTACAGATATGATAAAATTTCACTGAAATAAGATCATAGATATTAAAAACTCTGCAGTCTGAGTTTCTGTAACAAAAACATAAAAATACCTTTAAAATAGAATAAATATTCAGATCTTCACAGCGGTGGGTTTAATGAGGACGTGTTGATGGATGATTGATGTGTTGGCTCTGACAGTAAATATTATCAATAACTCCCATTTACTCATACTTCTGTTATTGCTGTCATATTATAATGTTAAATAACTCAGCAGAGGGTGTTACTGTAACCATCCCTGTTGGTTCTGAAGGTTAATGTGGTCAGAAAAACAAAACAGAGACATCCACCGAAATAAAAACCTCGAGAAGTTTATAAAGAATAAATCCACCTGAAGTCTTCATTATTGATCAGTGGTGAAATGATCAATGTTTGTGTCTTCAGATAACCAATACGACGAGGATGACGATGAAATCACTCCAGATTTGTGGCAGGAAGCGTGTTGGATCGTCATCAGGTAAACTCTCACCTGTCTGAGCTGGAATCAACTGGATTTATTCAACAACCGAGTTCAAATATATTTCAATATATCAGTCAGCTTCAGCTCTTATTCTGACGAGACTTTCTGCTTCCTGTTTCAGCTCTTATTCTGACGAGACTTTCTGCTACCTGTTTCAGCTCTTATTTTGACGAGACTTTCTGCTTCCTGTTTCAGCTCTTATTCTGACGAGACTTTCTGCTTCCCGTTTCAGCTCTTATTTTGACGAGACTTTCTGCTTCCTGTTTCAGCTCTTATTTTGACGAGACTTTCTGCTTCCTGTTTCAGCTCTTATTTTGACGAGACTTTCTGCTTCCTGTTTCAGCTCTTATTTTGACGAGACTTTCTGCTTCCCGTTTCAGCTTTTATTTTGACGAGACTTTCTGCTTCCCGTTTCAGCTTTTATTTTGACGAGACTTTCTGCTTCCCGTTTCAGCTCTTATTTTGATGAGACTTTCTGCTTCCTGTTTCAGCTCTTATTCTGACGAGACTTTCTGCTTCCTGTTTCAGCTCCTATTCTTACGAGACTTTCTGCTTCCTGTTTCAGCTCTTATTCTGACGAGACTTTCTGCTTCCTGTTTCAGCTCTTATTCTGACGAGACTTTCTGCTTCCTGTTTCAGCTCTTATTCTGACGAGACTTTCTGCTTCCCGTTTCAGCTCTTATTTTGACGAGACTTTCTGCTTCCTGTTTCAGCTCTTATTTTGACGAGACTTTCTGCTTCCTGTTTCAGCTCTTATTCTGACGAGACTTTCTGCTTCCTGTTTCAGCTCTTATTCTGACGAGACTTTCTGCTTCCTGTTTCAGCTCTTATTTTGACGAGACTTTCTGCTTCCCGTTTCAGCTCTTATTCTGACGAGACTTTCTGCTTCCTGTTTCAGCTCTTATTTTGACGAGACTTTCTGCTTCCTGTTTCAGCTCTTATTCTGACGAGACTTTCTGCTTCCTGTTTCAGCTCTTATTCTGACGAGACTTTCTGCTTCCTGTTTCAGCTCTTATTCTGACGAGACTTTCTGCTTCCTGTTTCAGCTCTTATTTTGACGAGACTTTCTGCTTCCTGTTTCAGCTCTTATTTTGACGAGAAGGGTCTGGTGCGTCAGCAGCTGGACTCCTTCGACGAGTTCATCCAGATGTCGGTTCAGAGGATCGTGGAGGATGCTCCGCCCATCGACCTGCAGGCTGAGGCTCAGCACACCTCCGGAGAGGTGGAGGAACCGGTGAGGAACCACACAGACTGAGACCTGGACCAGGACCAGACCTGATCAGGCTCCTCCTGGGTTTGAACCTGGAACAGCCCCTGATGATGGGTTGGTTAAGACATGGCGTGTGTAATGACATCACTCTGACATCACTGTGTTTCAGCCCCGGTACCTGCTGAAGTTCGAGCAGATCTACCTGTCCAAGCCCACCCACTGGGAGAGAGACGGAGCGCCGTCCCCCATGATGCCCAACGAGGCCCGACTGAGAAATCTGACGTAGGTCTCACCTGGTCTCTTCTCCTGTCGTTTCTGTCCTTTTATGTTCGTCACGTCTCACCTGGTGTCCCCTCTCTAACCCAGTCTGTCCTCAGTCTTACCTGGTCCCTTCTTCTGCTCCTGGTCTTCCTCACCTGGTCTTTGACCTACCTAACCTGGACCGACCCTCACCTGTCCCCTCCTGTCCACAGGTACTCCGCCCCGCTCTACGTGGACATCACAAAGACCATCATAAAGGAGGGCGAGGACCAGCTGCAGACCCAGCACCAAAAGACCTTCATCGGTAAAATTCCCATCATGCTTCGCTCCACCTACTGTCTGCTGAGTGGGCTGACTGACAGAGACTTGTGCGAGCTCAACGAGTGTCCGCTCGACCCCGGAGGTTATTTCATCATCAACGGCTCTGAGAAGGTAAACGCCGACATCGCGGTGACATCACTGTGGCGAGCTGTGGTTAAAGTGGTCAGACTGGTTTAACTCTTTATCTGCTGGTTTTTCAGGTGCTCATCGCTCAGGAGAAGATGGCCACCAACACGGTTTACGTGTTCGCCAAGAAGGACTCGAAGTACGCCTACACGGGCGAGTGTCGATCCTGTTTGGAGAACTCGTCCCGTCCGACCAGTACCATCTGGGTCAGCATGATGGCCCGAGGAGGACAGGTGAGAATCAAACCTTGAACGTACCGACCAATCAGCAGCCAGGACGTTCGCTAACCTCACTGACGATTCGCTGATTGTCTCCTCAGGGAGTGAAGAAGAGCGCCATCGGTCAGAGGATCGTGTCCACGCTGCCGTACATCAGACAGGAAGTCCCCATCATCATCGTGTTCAGGGCGCTGGGCTTCGTGTCGGACAGAGACATCCTGGAACACATCATCTACGACTTCGACGACCCCGAGATGATGGAGATGGTGATTATTGGTTATTGTTTGTATTTAATAGACGTCATTTCCTCGTCGCCGCCCTCTGATGTCACCTCTGACGTCACTGTCTCCAGGTGAAGCCGTCTCTGGACGAGGCGTTTGTGATCCAGGAGCAGAACGTGGCGTTAAACTTCATCGGCTCGAGAGGAGCGAAACCCGGCGTGACGAAGGAGCGCCGAATCAAATACGCCAAAGAAGTCCTGCAGAAAGAGATGCTGCCGCACGTCGGCGTCAGCGACTTCTGCGAGACGAAGAAAGCTTACTTCTTAGGGTGAGTCTACCTGAGACAGAATTCCTGATGGTCTGGGGATCCTTAGCGTCCATGTCCCGGGTATCTTAAGTTTAAGTAAAACCAGCTGTGTAACGATGAAGACTGACGGAGTGTGTGTGTGTGTGTGTGTGTGTGTGTGTGTGTGTGGCCTACAGGTACATGGTTCACAGGTTGCTGCTGGCGGCTCTCGGCAGACGGGAGCTTGACGACAGAGATCACTACGGCAACAAGAGGCTGGATCTCGCCGGGCCGTTATTGGCCTTCCTGTTCAGGGGGTGGGTTTTCTTTCACACGCTCTCATGACCTCCTGAGAAAATTAAAAAGTAGATCTTGATTTTTTTTTTAAATTTATTTATTTTACTTTTTTTTTTTTTTTTTGACATTTTTATTTATTTATTTTACTCTTTTTTGTTTTTACATTTTTATTTATTTATTTATTTATTTTACTCTTTTTTTTTTTTTTACATTTTTATTTATTTATTTATTTTACTCTTTTTTTGACATTTTTATTTATTTATTTATTTATTTTACTCTTTTTTTTGACTTATTTATTTATTTATTTTACTCTTTTTTTTTTACATTTTTATTCATTTATTTATTTATTTTACTCTTTTTTTGACATTTTTATTTATTTATTTATTTTTTCCCATTTTTCAAAACATTTTACAATGCAACATGAACATGGGGTGTTTCTGGTATATTACAATAGATTGAGTGATCAAGTACATTTTGATATAGAGAAGAGAAGAAAAGAGAGAGAGAAAAAAGAAAAACATTAAACAAAAGAAGGGCGTCGCAGGGAAATATATATTTTCCATGGCTTCCAGATGTCCTTGGATTTTGATTGTTGAAGCCTCATTGAAAAAGTTATTCTTTCCATTACATAAACATCATATATAATGTCATACCATTCCTCTATAGATGGGATAGATCTTGAGTTTTATAAAAGTGTGTTTTTATTTTCGCAGCATGTTTAAGAACCTGCTGAAGGAGATCAGGATCTACGCTCAGAAGTTCATCGATCGGGGGAAAGACTTCAACCTGGAGCTCGCCATCAAAACACGGATCATCTCTGACGGACTCAAGTATTCGCTCGCCACCGGGAACTGGGGCGATGTGAAGAAGGCTCACCAGGCCAGGGCCGGGGTGTCACAGGTGAGAATCACACCTTCAGTTCATAATGAGGGGGGGGTTTTATTATTTAACAGACTGGAAACATCACGGCGTCTCCGCCTCCTCTGCTTTCAGGTGTTGAACCGGCTCACCTTCGCCTCAACGCTGTCTCACCTCCGTCGAGTCAACTCTCCCATCGGCAGAGACGGAAAACTGGCCAAACCCCGACAGCTGCACAACACGCTGTGGGGGATGGTGTGTCCGGCCGAGACGCCCGAGGTGAAATAAGGAGACAGAGACAAACATATGTACCGTATTTTTCACACTTTAAGGCGAACTTCAAATCCTTTAATCTTCTCAAAAATCCTTATAGTGCAAAAAATACGGGACATAGATTTTTGTGATAAGTGCGTTTGAGATGATCGATCGTTGTGATTGGTCGTTAATATGTCCGTGTGTCCTTTCAGGGTCACGCTGTCGGCCTGGTGAAGAATCTCGCCCTCATGGCGTACATCTCTGTAGGTTCTCAGCCGTCCCCCATCCTGGAGTTCTTGGAGGAGTGGAGCATGGAGAACCTGGAGGAGATTTCCCCCGCCGCCATCGCCGAGTCAGTCTGTTAATTAATGTGATCCTGACGAACCAAACGCAGATTCAGTTATTGATTTATAGTTTATTCATCTGTTTTAATTGTTTATCAGTTTACAGAAAAACAAAAAAATTATAAAGAAGTTCAACAGAAATGAAAAAGAAATAATTCACGAAATTAAATCAAAATTAAATCTGCAGATTAAAAAAGATTCAACAGAAAAAATGAACATGAAAGTTAAATTTAACTGTGAAGTTTAACAGGAAGTTTCTTAAAATGTTTAAACAGAAACTTTATTTTTTAAAATTGGACAAAAATCCACATTTTTCACAGAAAAAATAAAGACGTGTTTTCTTCAAAAGTTCAAACAGAAAAAAACTTTAAACCAAAAATTTTATCAGGAAATCAAAACATTAAAAAGATCATCAAGGTTTTTAGAAAATATGAACTTTATTCAGGAAAATCAGCTCCATCTAAAACTTTATTTTCAATGTTTGCTCTTTTACTTTGTTGTGTTTTCTGTTTTAAGTTCACACTCTGACCAGCAGGGGGCGGCTCAACACTGTAACAGTCTGACAGAGACTCAAACACACATTTCTGAATCAAACGGAAAGCGACTCTGTGAACTCTGTGAACATGTTCGTTGTTGTGTCGTAAATTAAATCCTCGTCTTTGTTTCTGCTTCAGCGCCACGAAGATCTTTGTGAACGGCTGCTGGGTCGGAATTCACAAAGACCCCGAACAGCTGATGAACACCCTGAGGAAACTTCGCAGACAGATGGACATCATCGTGTCGGAGGTAACGAAACTGAAAATCACAAAAACAGGAAAACAGTCGATCCGCTCAGAGTCTCTCAGGTCCGAGTTTTTATTCTTCTGGAGGAAAGAATTTTAAGAAGAACGCCAGCGGTCTTTAAAGACACCTGGATGGACGCAGGAGTCCATGTTTTTCTTCTCTTAGCTGAACGTAGAGACTGACGTTTAGTTTAGAGACCGCCCTGTTCGTCGAAATATCAGATCTGAGGAGAAGTGAGGAAAGAGTGTAAAGGAAGTGTTTACAGCTTCAGTGTCTCTGTGTACACCTGAGCTCAGGTGACCTGACGGTTTCAACGTTTCAGGTGTCGATGATCAGAGACATCAGAGAGCGAGAGATCAGGATCTACACGGACGCCGGGCGAATCTGTCGACCGCTGCTCATCGTCGAAAAACAGAAACTGCTGCTGAAGAGACGACACATCGACCAGCTGAAGGAGCGCGAGTACAACAACTACAGGTGAGAGGGACGCAGGGACAGGTGAGGTGAGAGCGGAGTTAGATATTCGTACAGAGGAGGAGCCTAAAGGGGGCGGGGTTATATCATATGTTACATTGTTTTTTTCGTCTTTGCGGCGGTCAGCTGGCAGGACTTGGTGGCGAGTGGCGTGGTCGAGTACATCGACACTCTGGAGGAGGAGACGGTGATGCTCGCCATGACACCTGATGACCTGCAGGAAAAGGGCGTGGCCTACTGCTCCACCTACACGCACTGTGAGATCCACCCGTCAATGATCCTGGGAGTCTGCGCGTCCATCATCCCCTTCCCCGACCACAACCAGGTACGCACGCACGAACATCAGACTCCAGACGAGAGACAGAAGTGTGAACACCTGATTAACCCTTCGAACACCTGTCCCGTTCTCACCTGTGGTTCGCCAGTCTCCCAGGAACACGTATCAGTCCGCCATGGGGAAACAGGCCATGGGCGTCTACATCACGAACTTCCACGTTCGGATGGACACGCTGGCACACGTCCTGTACTACCCTCAGAAACCGCTGGTCACCACGCGCTCCATGGAGTACCTGCGCTTCAGAGAGCTGCCCGCAGGTAAAACACACCTGAAGGTATCTCTGCCCTGCTCTCCGTCTGTCAGGCGGCCTGATCTCTAACTCACCTTTCTTCTTCTTCTTCTTCAGGTATCAACTCCATCGTCGCGATCGCCTCCTACACGGGATACAACCAGGAGGACTCTGTGATCATGAACAGATCAGCTGTTGACCGAGGGTTCTTCAGGTGAGCCACCTGAGTCATGTGATCTCCTGGTCGTCTGTTTAACCCGTTCGTTGGATTAAACCCGAGTTCTCGCCCCGCAGGTCTGTGTTCTACCGGTCGTACAAAGAGCAGGAGTCCAAGAAAGGGTTCGACCAGGAGGAGATCTTCGAGAAACCGACTCGTGAAACCTGTCAAGGTGAGGACAGGTCTGTGAGGGAGGTGTCTGCGGTGGGCGGGGCTTATTTAACGCCATGTTGAAAATCTCAATCTCTGTCTCAGGTATGAGGCACGCCATCTACGACAAGCTGGACGACGACGGGCTCATCGCACCCGGCGTCCGTGTGTCAGGCGAGGACGTGATCATCGGTAAGACGGTGACGCTGCCGGAGAACGACGACGAGTTGGACAGCACCAACCGCCGCTACACCAAGAGAGACTGCAGCACCTTCCTCAGAACCAGCGAGACGGGAATCGTGGACCAGGTGATGGTGACGCTGAACCAGGAGGGCTACAAGTTCTGCAAAATCAGGGTGAGACGGCGCCACACCTGAAACACCTGAGACACCTGAGACACTCAGACGTGTCTTCAGAACAGCTGAGAGTGAAATCAGAGTCTGGACGTTCGTTTGGGTCTCATGTTCTGATGTTCTGATGTTCTGGTGCAGGTTCGCTCCGTCAGGATCCCTCAGATCGGAGACAAATTCGCCAGCCGACACGGACAGAAAGGAACCTGTGGGATTCAGTACAGACAGGAGGTAAACAAAACAGGCGGTAAAAAAAAAACAGTCTGTAAAAAAAAACAGACAGTAAACAACAGACTGAAAACAACAGGCTGAAAACAACAGACTGAAGACAACAGGCTGAAAACAACAGGCAGCAAACAACAGGCAGCAAACAACAGGCGGTTAAAAACAGGCAGTAAACAACAGACAATAAACAACAGACTGAAAACAACACGCAGTCAACAACAGGCGGTAAACAAACAGGCTGTAAAAAACAACAGACTGAAGACAACAGGCTGAAAAAAAACAGACTGAAGACAACATGCTGAAAACAACAGGCAGAAAACAACAGGCAGCAAACAACAGGCGGTTAAAAACAGGCAGTAAACAACAGACAATAAACAACAGACTGAAAACAACAGGCTGAAAACAACAGACTGAAGACAACACGCAGTCAACAACAGGCGGTAAACAAACAGGCGGTAAAAAAACAGGCGGTAAAAAAACAGGCTGTTAAAAAAAACAGACAGTAAACAACAGACTGAAAACAACACGCAGTCAACAACAGGCGGTAAACAAACAGGCAGTAATAGAACAGGCTGTAAACAACAGGAGGTAAACAAAACAGGCAGTAATAAAACAGGCTGTAAACAAACAGGCTGTAAACAACAGGCAGTCAACAACAGGCAGCAAACAACAGGCGGTTAAAAACAGGCAGTAAACAACAGACAATAAACAACAGACTGAAAACAACAGGCAGAAAACAACAGGCTGTAAAAAAACAGACTGAAGACAACAGGCAGTCAACAACAGGCAGCAAACAACAGGCGGTTAAAAACAGGCTGAAAAAAACAGGAGGTATCCAAGAGTTAGTAAACAACAGGCAGCAAACAACAGACTGAAAACAACAGACAGTAAAAAAACAGACTGAAGACAACAGGCTGAAAACAACAGGCTGTTAAAAAAACAGGCTGAAAACAACAGGCCGAAAACAAACAGACTGAAGACAACAGGAGGTATTCAACAGGCGGTAAAAAAACAGGCGGTTAAAAATACAGGCAGTAAACAACAGACTGAAAACAACAGGCAGTAAACAACAGGCTGAAAACAACAGGCAGTAAAAAAACAGACTGAAGACAACAGGAGGTAATCAACAGGCGGTAAAAAAACTGACTGAAGACAACAGGCTGAAAACAACAGGCTGAAAACAACAGGCAGTAAACAAACAGACTGAAGACAACAGGAGGTAATCAACAGGCGGTAAAAAAACAGGCTGTTAAAAAAACAGGCAGTAAACAACAGACTGAAAACAACAGGCAGTAAAAAAACAGACTGAAGACAACAGGAGGTAATCAACAGGCGGTAAAAAAACAGGCTGAAACAACAAGCTGTAAAAAAACAGGCTGTTAAAAAAAACAGGCAGTAAACAACAGGCAGCAAACAACAGGCGGTTAAAAATAGGCTGAAAACAACAGGCTGAAAACAACAGGAGGTCAACCAGACTGTAAAAAAACCGGCTGTCAACATTTTCAAAGTGAAGGAAAAGATTCAGAATTCAAAAATAAAAGAAGGAAACTCACCTGAAGTCGTAAACAAATAAACATGTTTGAAGTCGTTTAAATGATTCTGTGTTTAAATCAGTCGGTGTTTTTTTTTAGGACATGCCGTTCACCTGTGAGGGAATCACACCTGACATCATCATCAACCCGCACGCCATCCCGTCCAGAATGACAGTCGGCCATTTGATCGAGTGTCTGCAGGGGAAGGTAATTCATTAATGTTTATGTTTCATGATTTATTTTTATCAATTCATTCGTTACAGAAAACAAACAAACAAACAAACAAAGAGTGTTTGTGCCGTTAAATTGTTGATCAAAATAAACGAGTTCGCTGCTGCGCTCTGTTCGCTCCTGTCTCGACTTTATACTGAGGTTATATTCAGTCGTGTTGATTATTTGTTTATTTAAAGTTTGTTTTTTCTCTGCGTGTGTTTGAAGGTTTCCGCGAACAAAGGTGAGATCGGCGACGCGACGCCGTTCAACGACGCCGTCAATGTGCAGAAGGTGTCGAACCTGCTGTCTGAGTACGGATACCACCTGAGAGGAAATGAGGTCACTGTTCACTTCCTGTTTGACTGGTGTTGTTTGTCAGATTTAAAGGATGTGTAATGATCGACCGTACTCAGACTGATTATTGGTTATTGATCAGGTGTTGTATAACGGGTTCACGGGGAGGAAGCTGACGTCTCAGATCTTCATCGGACCGACGTATTATCAGCGTTTGAAGCACATGGTGGACGATAAGATCCACTCGAGGGCCCGGGGCCCCGTCCAGATCCTCAACAGACAGCCAATGGAGGGACGTTCCCGGTGAGTCTCACACCTGTCCGTCTCATCTCTCACCTGTCCGCCTCACTTCTCACCTGACTCACCTGTGACCCGTGTCTCTGTCAGCGATGGCGGGCTGCGTTTCGGAGAGATGGAGCGTGACTGTCAGATCGCTCACGGCGCCGCCCAGTTCCTCAGAGAGCGTCTGTTCGAGGCCTCCGACCCGTATCAGGTACACGTGTGTAACCTGTGCGGACTCATGGCCATCGCCAACACACGCACACACACCTACGAGTGTCGGGGCTGCCGCAACAAGACACAGGTAACCGCCGTCACCGAGTACCTGACGACACAGGTGACCTTCTTCACAGGGACACAGTACAGCTCACCTCTCTCTCTCTCTCTCTCGCTCAGATCTCGCTCGTCCGGATGCCGTACGCCTGTAAACTTCTCTTCCAGGAGTTGATGTCGATGAGTATCGCTCCTCGTATGATGACGTCATAGAGCATCTCAGCCAATCAGACGCCTGCTTGCAGACTTTTGTAGTGACATCACCAACAGTTTTGAGAGTTTAATGTTTTTTAGTTTCATGTCGTCTTATTTTGTAAAAGCTGAATAAATCTGAGTTTCATTGTCTGATTGTCGGTCACATGGTTTCTTCTCTGCATTCTTATTGGTCCAAAAATGTCACACACCACACTTAAAGGTGGTGTAGTCAGGATCTGAGGAAGTTCCAGTTTTTAGGAGAAATCTTGTCCGGTCTACCTCCGTTTTAAGCGCCCGTTATTCCTCCAGAGTCTCCGGTATTTACTTTGTTTTCTTGCTTGTGTCGGCAGTCGTGGCCAAAGGAGGATTCGGACAATTTTCCGAACTTTCTGGTTGGTTTCTACTGTCCGATATTGTAGCACGCTAACTTTGTTTGGGCTCCTGAACGACACGGGGGAGCAGCGTCTGCCTCACAACCAATCAGGTTAGAGGAGGTGGAGAACGGCTTTGTTTACAGTCAGAAAGAGCGGACCGCTCAAAAATGTTCAAATGTTGACCACACAGTAGGTCTGGACAATTATATGATCGTGATAAATTGTGATAAATTTCAGTTCGATCACGGTGATCAGCTGTGAGCATATTTACTCGATCAAACATGGCGGACATGTGTGTCACAACAGCCAATCAGAGTCGAGCTTTTCCTGCTCACTTCTGTAATTTGCTGGAGTTGTAAACCGAATGACCGAACGTGGAGCAACAACATAGATGTCAGCCGTGACTTTGAGTCATCCTCTGAAGACGCCGTTGTTGAGAAGAGAAATTATTCACCGTCGGTTGTGTGGCGGTGGTTTGGAAACCTCCAAAGTGACGTCGAGTAATTACGCCGATGAGCATCGTATGTTGGCGGTCGGTACCTCAAAAACCAGCAACATGATTTGCTTCATTATTTACTTTGTATGTTCATTAAATGTTGAACTAATCTCTAGTTTCTTTAATTTTAGTACAGACGCTTTAAAACTGGCAGTTTAAAAAAAAAAAAATCGTGATAATAATCGAGATCGGACGATACGACAAAATATATCGTGATCATTTTTTTTGCCAAATCGCCCAGGCCTACTACACAGACATAAGAGAACACAGAGATATCGTTATATCCCCAAATATCGTCAATAACTAATAACTATTGACTGATTTAAAAGTTTTTTTTGTAAATACACCACAAAAAAAGATGCTTCTTTAACGAAACCCAACCTTTACAGGATCTAAAAAGTGCGGTGCAGAGTGAATCAGGCACAGGGTGCAGAAAGTCCCTTTAAGACTCAGGTGTGTCTGTGAACAGGTGTGTTATTATTTACACAGCTGAGTTCAGCCTCTCTGCTTTAACACCGCGGGCCTGAGCCGGCGTGTCGAGAAACAGCCTCACAGGACGAAAACAAGTCAGAACACCGTGGAGATGACTCTTTATTCTCCTGGTTTATTAAACATTTCAGTTACAGTGAAAAACACTCGGGGGCCCCGGGGCCCGTCATTAGAGACAGTGTGGCCTCTGAGGGCCTCAAACATACTTTATTATAAAACATTTACATCCACGGTGCGTTCAGGTGCTGCATCAGCCTGATAAACACCTGAACGCGTCAGGATGCGTTAAGAGAAACTGGCTCTGATCACATGCACGTCTTTTCAAAGTAAAAGCCTGAGTGAACCAGAAAACCAACAAAATAAAAGTTGAATTAATAATCAATAATAAAGAAGAAAAGGTTAAAAATCTTTGACACAAAAACATCAAACTAACAGATTTTAAAACTTTAAACATCATCATCATCAGCTCTGATGTTGGTCTCTGTGGATCTCTGGTCAGCTGATTGTCTCCATGGTTACCTGATCAGCTGATTGTCTTTCATTGATCTCCAATCAGCTGATCACAGCTCGTCCTCCTTTGTCACTGAAAGGAAATGACATCATCAGGGATACTGGTTACACTTTACAATAACCATAACTTATCAATAGTCAACAGATAGTTTATAAATGTTTAATCATCATTTATAAAAAGCATACAGACCATTAATTTATCGTAAATTTTACAGTTTTAAAAACATAACTCTAACTTTACAATAACCATCTAAATAATGTTTATAGATGGTTTAAAAAACAGATATTAAATATTTACAAAGTGCTGCTGACACACATTTTAATCTAGATGTTTTACAACCAAAATTTAAACCCTATATAAACCTTTAATCAATAGAAAATTATTATCATAATTTCATTGCTTGTTCATGTAAAGTAACTATTAATTTACATTAATAAACTATCTGTTTACCATTTATAAATTATGGTTATTGTAAAGTTATTGATCAGTGTTGAATGTGTTGATGATCACTAATAAACTCTTCCAATCTCTTATTTTGAAAATCCAGATTTTTCAGCCTTTTTGGCGCCTCATCTGTCTCTTGGATTATTTTACAGGAAACTCATCAGTTAACCTTCTTTGATTTTTTAAAGTACTTTTTACTTTTTACACACCTAAGGCCGAAAGCCTTCTTGTAAACATCAGATTGTGTAGTTTGTGGTGTTGTTTGTTGCGTCCTCTGCTGTGTATTTCGTTGTCGTGGTTACCTTTCTTGACAGCGATGTCATCGAGAGACTCGACCAGGTGGATGGTGCCGATGGCCGAAGCTTCTCCTTTGGAGTTGGTGGCGTGACACTCGTACGATCCTTCGACCTCTTTGGTCAGAGGGGAGATCTTTAGAGAAACACATGTCAGAGCTGTTATTGGACGAGGTCATGACATCACTTCCTGTGTGTGTGTCTGTGTGTGTCTGTGTGTGTGTGTGTGTATGATGAGACTCACGAGCACCCAGCCGGTCACTTCGTGTTTCTCAGGTCCTCCTCTCGTCTGAATCGCCAGATTGTCTCTGTCTCCAGGAAGAAGCTCCATCCTCTTTGTCCCACTGAGGACCTGAAAGAAAACACCACCCCTGATCTCATCATCATCTTCACCATCAGAGTTTTTCAGGTGGTCTTCATAAAACCGCCTGAACTGAAACCTTCTTAGTTTTGTGAAATCCCCTCTGCAGTTTCTCAGTCAAAGTTATTTCCAGATTCATTTCATGTTCAAACTCTAGCAGACTCTTATTGTTTCGAGCAGGAAACAGGAAGTCAGACGGGAAGGGCGAAGGGGTGGGGGGGCACTTAAGCTCCAGAAGGTTTTTCTTATTATTCTGCCCGAGTGAAAATCTGAAGATGATTTCTACGTTCATGAGGAGAATCTACGAATCCAAACCTGATCTTTAGGGCATTAAAAACAGACAGGACTCTGGAGTGGAAATCACCGCATGGAAAGGACAACTGGACTTAGTTGAGACGTTTCGCCTTAGTGGAAACGTCTCGACTAAGTCCAGTTGTCCTTTTAACGAAGAATTGGGAATCATAGATGCTGCATCCTCAGTTTTAAAGAGTAGAGGGTCCACACGGCCTCATGTTGTGGTTGTTGGTTTATATTCATTAAAAACGTTTTTTCTTAAAGGGATATTCCGGCCTAAAATTAATTTAGGGTCAAACACAAAGTAACACCGAGTTAGACCCCCCCTCCAGAGATGAATGTTGTTGACCGCTTTCTTCTCTAGTTAAACCAACTTTAGTAACGACCGCAGGATAGAAATACAGAGAGCCACGCCCCCAACCAAAACGCCACTCTATAGCCACAAATAATGCTCAGAACAGCACCTAACTTCATCAACAGGACATATAGGGTCACAGACATAGTACTATATTCAGAGTTGTTCTAACTCCTAAGAAAACAAACTTAAACGGGGGCGTTTCTCCACTTCTGTAGTCTATAATCTGGGCCAATAAACTTCTACTGTAGTAAAATAAAAAGGTAAAGGTGTTTTTATTGAGCCGAATTATCAATAAAATCATGATTTTGTTAACAGGTATGGATTTATGTGCTGTCGAGTTAATATATTTGAACAAGAGCACAGTAAACTTAAATCAGCTAATTTTCCAATGAGGTTCTGTTACTAAATGGAACTACACCATGATCTACTGAGGTTAGTACATATAGGGTCCCAGACATAGTACTAGACACCAAACATCTTTTTAACTTTGACTCATTTAGCAAAGAGGCTAAACACAACTCACCTACTCTCTTCCAGCAGACGCTTGTTTGTAGTGAGACCTCAGGCCAGTCCATTACAGACTACAGCGGGGTGCCGCAGCTCAAGGAAGAACATTTATGATCATTTCTTCATGGAAATACAATCAGACCGAGACGCTAAGACAGAAGAACTACCGCGTCTGTAAAATGATTAATATGATGATTATTACTTCAAGGAAATGATAAAGAAATGATCATAAATGTTCTTCCTTGAGCTGCGGCACCCCGCTGTAGTCCGTAATGGACTGGCCTGAGGCAAAGCTTTTTGGTGTACCAAAGGTATTTGGTGTCTAGTACTACGTCTGTGACCCTATATGTCCTGTTGATGAAGTTAGGTGCTGTTCTGAGCATTATTTGTGGCTATAGAGTGGCGTTTTGGTTGGGGGCGTGGTTCTCTGTATTTCTATCCTGCGGTCGTTACTAAAGTTGGTATAACTAGAAGTAAGCGGTCGGCAACATTCATCTCTGGAGGGGGGGTCTAACTCGGTGTTACAGTGGGTTTGACCATGACTTAAATTTGTCCTGGATTATCCCTTTAAAAGAATAAAATAAAAGTTTTTTTTGTTTGTTTTCTTCTAACAGAGGATAACCTCACCTTTTTCCATGTCAGCACAGGTGTGGGCACACCCACTGCCTCACAACTCAGGTACACCTGAGAGCCGCTCACGTTGTAGACCTCACCTGGAGGAGTGACGATGAGGGGAGCTGCAGACAGGAACACAGAGAGAGAGAGAGAGAGGGAGAGAGGGAGAGAGGGAAAGAGAGGGAGTTAAGGATCAGAACATCCAGAGATAATGAACATGGGTTTGGGGGGTCGGGGGGGTTCTGCATGAATGTGAAACAGGATGAAACAAGTTTCAGGAATCCATCAGAGACAGAATCCACAGTGACCTCAGTGGAATTCAGCTGGGTCTGAGCGTGCTCAGTGGGGTTTTCCATGCAGAAAGAATTCAGTGTTTTTAGGGGATGAAAGAGGATCATCGTCAGTCAGAGCGAGTTAGAGTCAGAGAGTCAGAGAGGAGCTGCCGGGCAGATTAATGAGTTCACACTGAACACACACTGAACACACACTGAACACACACACACAAACCCATTCATGCACACAGTCACGTATACTGCATACCTATACATCTAAACCTGTCAATTAGCAAATACGAGTCACACTGTTACTAAATATTCATGCAAAATAAAAATTTACATCCTTGCAAACATCAAAATGAACAGATGATTATTATTATTATTATTATTATTATTATAACAATAAAATCAACATTGTTACAATTATTATTAGTTTTATAGGATTTAAATATTGACAAAATACAAATAAATAATAAATATATAAAATGATAAGATAGATAACCACAGTATTATTATTATTATTATTATTATTATTATTATTATTATTATTATTATTATTATTACAGAAAAGCTCTGAACCGTTTCTGAGTTTAAGATGATAAATCTTTTTTTTACAGTTAAAGAGTTGTTCTGAGTTTTACCTGTTTGTCCGTGTCTCTGTCTGTGTGTCTCTGCCTGTGTCTCACCTGTACGTCTGTGTCTCACCTGAGGCGCAGCGTCCTTTGTTCTGGACGCTGATTGGCTCTTGTCCCTCGGTCTCGGCTCTCAGGTTGGCCTTCTTCAGCGCGCAGCCGTTCTTGTAGGTGACCCCGTCGGTTCCGCACACCTCGTAGTTGCTCTTACACACACACACTCCCAGTTTGCTCTTCTTGTCTTCTGCGCTCTTGACGCACTCCAGACCGGGACCGCAGCGGCGCGCGGCGGCGCGGCGCCCGCCGCACAGCTCTCCTTCCGCGGCGGCGCACACCACGCAGCAGCCGCAGGAGTCCGGCACCGTGCCCGCGGAGCAGCCCTCCGCCGGGAGAGAGGCGCACTGATCCAGGACGCATGGTCCACATCCCGGACCCGCCGAGACCCGGACCGAGAGGAGCGTCAGGACCGGAAGCAGGAAAATGAGAGTCTTCATGCTGATGGGGTCTCTGATGGGAAATAAAGTAGTCTGAAACCGGTCCTGGTCTGAGCTGGGTCCTGGTCTGGGCTGGGTCCTGGTCTGAGCTCAGTCCACAGGAGATAAGAGATGTTGAAGCTGTGGCCCCGCCCCCCTCAGCTGATTGGACTGCACTTTGGTTTGTTCATTTTGGCCTCACTTTTCTCGGTCCTTTTGGCTCAATTTGGAAACAGTCTGAACTCTAACTGACAAAAGTTCATCCGAACTCTGCTGAGGGTTCGGATAAAAGTAGGGGAGAGTGGGGTAAGATGATCCATGGTTCATGTTTGGGATCAGCTCATCAAGTCAGTCCTAGTTTGTCTCTAACTCGTGTCTCTGCAGATATTTCAGGATGTTGTTCATCCCTGCAAACCAACAGAATGAGTGTAAACAGAACTGTCATCTTTATAATACAGCAGGACAACAAAAAGGGGTCAACTTACCCCGGGTATGGAAGCTCATAGATACCACAATTGATGTATAAAACACATTTATCTAATGATCTTTTTTTGGTCTGAACACAATTCTAATCAAACTGATGACACCTGTTCAGTCTACAACAGCTCACCTGTTCCTCCATACTGACAGAGAAACCACCTCCTGACTCTGAACCCTTTTAGAAGGATCTTCACTCTCAGCACAAACCTCCTTTTTTACTGAACCTCATGATGAATGCAGGTCCGTTACATTCATGTAGAGCTGAGTCACCTGGTATCTCAGCTCTACACCATAGACTGTACTGTATATACTATTCTATATACAGTCTATGGTCTCTACACCATAGACTGTACTGTATATACTATTCTATATACAGTCCGTGGTCTCTACACCATCATCAGACTCGTCATCACTCTCAATGAGCAGCCCCACCTGTCCACTCAGCTGGGCTCATGGCTGGTGCAGCATCTTGATTCAGACTCAGAGGGACTAAAAAAAGTCAAAATACATTTAAAACAAAGAAGAGTCAATCATGACGATCACTCAGATCATATTCAGACAGGTGTGTCCGTCAAAAACTCTTCAAAATCATCCAATGAGAGCTCGTCCGGAGGGCTCAAGGTTTACAGAAAACTTTGACGGACTTTCTTAAAGTCTAAAAACTTCACAGGAAAGGTTTGAGTATGTTCACATATAAACCAAACTGAAGTATCATTTAAGTGGTTATTTAAGATCTAATAATGTTGTTTAAATATCTGATAATTGTTTCTTAAATGTCTGATAATGTTGTTTAAATATCTAATAATGTTGTTTTATTATCTGATAATGTTTAAATATCTGATAATGTTGTTTAAATATCTGATAATTGTTTCTTAAATGTCTGATAATGTTGTTTTATTTTCTAATAATGTTGTTTAAATATCTGATAATGTTCATTTATTATCTGATAATGTTGTTTAAATATCTAATAATGTTTTATTTTCTAATAATGTTGTTTAAATATCTGATAATGTTAATTTATTATCTGATAATGTTGTTTAAATATCTAATAATGTTGTTAAAATATCTGATAATGTTGTTTAAATGTCTGATAATGTTGTTTTATTTTCTAATAATGTTTAAATATCTAATAATGTTGTTTAAATATCTAATAATGTTGTTTTATTTTCTAATAATGTTTAAATATCTAATAATGTTGTTTAAATATCTAATAATGTTGTTTAAATATCTAATAATGTTTTTATTTTCTAATAATGTTTAAATATCTAATAATGTTGTTTTATTATCTGATAATGTTGTTTAAATATCTGATAATGTTAATTTATTATCTGATAATGTTGTTTAAATATCTAATAATGTTGTTAAAATATCTGATAATGTTGTTTAAATGTCTGATAATGTTGTTTTATTTTCTAATAATGTTTAAATATCTAATAATGTTGTTTAAATATCTAATAATGTTGTTTAAATATCTAATAATGTTGTTTTATTTTCTAATAATGTTTAAATATCTAATAATGTTGTTTTATTATCTGATAATGTTGTTTAAATATCTGATAATGTTAATTTATTATCTGATAATGTTGTTTAAATAATTGATGTTGTTTAAATGTCTGATAATGTCGTAAATGTTGTCCGATCTCAGTAAACTTGAGGAATGTCTTTGGCGGTCGGTGGGAAAATAAACAGGAAATACTTCCAGGCAGAGGTCACGTTTATTCTTCCTGTTTTTATTTTAGCTGTATTCACACAGAGCAGGAAATAACACACACTCACACACATGCACACACACACACCGTTTGTTTTGTTTGTGTATTTACAGCAGGAACACACTTTAATTACATCCAACATTATGATTTCATGTTCAAACAGACTCAGAGATACTTGTTTTTTATACTCTGTTGTACTCTCTGCTTGCAGTATTTGTTGTAGTCGTCACAGTACTTGCAGTATTTGTTGTAGTCGTCACAGTACTTGCAGTATTTGCTGCAGTGTTTATTTCCAGTACTTGTTGATGAAGGCAGACAGCAGGTCTCTGTACGGAGTTTCTGATCTTTGAGTTTTCAGTCTGAGGACTTTGTGGACCGTCGGAGATCGGAGGAGGAGGTTGTGACTGAAGCCGACCAGACTGGAGACGAACCAGTACAGCGCCATGGACTGGGGAGGGCAAAAAAGGGGAGGAGTTAAACTGGGGTCAGAGACTCAGAGAAAAGGAAAAACACATTAAATTCATATTTTAGGAGTTGATCTAATGAAATATTCAAGAATGCAGTTTTTGGTCTGTCATAAAAAAAAGAACGTTTTTGGTCATCCAGTCATCAGTCACCCGGGATTTTCACCGCATCCAGAACAGCTTACGATCCGGAACGGCGGCGAGTTTTGCCATCCGCCAGTTCCTACCGAATCCGTTTGTGAGGCGAATTTCGTGGCAGATTACAGACAGCGGTAATCGCAAGAACCCACAAGAACCCGCAGATTCACGTTCAATCATGCGATAACGAGTTGTCTCTATAAAGACAGACACATAGACATATAAGCAGTAGATTGTGTCCTTCCAGAGGAGGAAATCTACTTCTAGACTTCTAGAATCAGCATCTCCTCATCCATGGTGTCATCGGGTTAAAATGACGTCTAAAAACCTTTCACTTGTTCGTCTCCGCCCGTTTGCATGGTGTGAAATACGATCCTCCTAAAACACGGAGTGTTTTATTTTGAAAAGAAGCCGGATGTTTTATTTTGAAAAGAAGTCGGTGTAAATCGACACGTTAACTTGAATGGTTACGATCAGCTACGATCGGAGGATACGACCTTTTAGGAGACGATCAGGAGGAAGGTGGAAATATGGAGGTTACTCTCATTGACACCTGTAGGATTTAGGCTCCGCCTCCAAGGATGGGGGGGGGGGGGGGGGGTTGATCTGACCGTTTCAAACTAATTATAATATTCAGGTGTTATAGAACCTGGACCACTAAAGACCCGATCATCTGAGCCTCCAGTCTTGGTCCTTGAACTGGCCCTAGTTCAGGTGTGATCCAGGTCCAGGTGTGATCCAGGTCCAGGTGCGATCCAGGTCAGGTGTGATCCAGGTCCAGGTGTGATCATGGTTCAGGTGTGATCCAGTTCCAGGTGTGATCCAGGTTCAGGTGTGATCCAGGTTCAGGTGTGATCCAGGTTCAGGTGTGTCCTCTAAAGGAGCCCTTTGGCTGATAAACGTGTCTGAATGTGTTTAAATCTGATGAAGGAGTTCAGGAATGTCAGACACACCTGAACATGTTTAAGGTAAAAAAACTCACCTGAGGGACAGAAATCTGAACCTGAACCTGAACCATCCAGACCAGAACTGGGTCTAAACCTGGACCCTCAAGACTGGAACAGGGTCTAAACCTGGACCCTCTAAACTAAAACCAGATCTAAATCTGATCCTGCAGAGTCCCAAACCAGGTCACTGCATGTTAACCCTTTGGTTACTACAGACTGTATTTTCTGACTGTATATTAACTGACTGTATTTACTGACTGTTTATTTTAACTGTTGTGTTTGTATTCGTTGTGTCTAAGGTCGTATTTATCACATTTATTTACAGGCTGCCTTCACTGAAACACATCACTGACTGTTACTGTTGACTGACTGTATTTTCTAACTGTATTTACCGACTTGATTTGTTGACAGTGACACTGATTTGTTTTTCTGACTGCATTTACCGGCTGATTTAACTTTCTGTTTTTGCTTTTTGTACATTCTGACTTTATTTGTTGACTGTTTATTTACTGACTGTATTTCATGTCTCTGGTACTTTATCAATCGTTTGAATCTGTCGACCTTATTTACCGACTGTATTTACTGATTGCTTCAAGAAATTGTTCATGATAACTGTTTTTACTGACTGTATTTACTGACTCACCTATCAGCCTGTTTTTACTGACTGTTTAAATTGGCTTTATTTACAGATCCTCGATGTATTAGGGTTAACATGACAACTGTTTTTACCGACTGTTTTGTCGACGGTGTTATTTGTGACTGTTTTTTCTGACTGTTTTGTCGACTGTGTTCTTAGGCTGTTTTTACCGACTGTTGTCGACGGTGTTTTCGGACTGTTTTTTCGGACTGTTTTGTCGTCTGTGTTCTTAGGCTGTTTTTACCGACTGTTTTGTCGACAGTGTTTTCTGACTGTTTTTACTGACTGTTTTGTCGACGGTGTTTTCTGACTGTTTTTACTGACTGTTTTGTCGTCTGTGTTCTTGGGCTGTTTTTACCGACTGTTTTGTCGACGGGGTTTTCTGACTGTTTTTACCGACTGTTTTGTCGACGGTGTTTTCTGACTGTTTTTACTGACTGTTTTGTCGTCTGTGTTCTTAGGCTGTTTTTACCGACTGTTTTGTCGACGGTGTTTTCTGACTGTTTTTACCGACTGTTTTGTCGATGGTGTTTTCTGACTGTTTTTACTGACTGTTTTGTCGTCTGTGTTCTTAGGCTGTTTTTACCGACTGTTTTGTCGACGGTGTTTTCTGACTGTTTTTACCGACTGTTTTGTTGACAGTGTTTCCAGGCTGTTTTTACTGACTGTTTTGTTGACAGTGTTTCCAGGCTGTTTTTACCGACTGTTTTGTTGACGGTGTTTTCTGACTGTTTTTACTGACTGTTTTGTTGACGGTGTTTTCTGACTGTTTTTACTGACAGTTTTGTTGACGGTGTTTCCAGGCTGTTTTTACTGACTGTTTTGTCGACGGGGTATTCTGGCTGTTTTCTGACTGTTTTTAATGACAGTATTTGCTGACTGAAAGTACGAATTGTTTTGTCGAGCGTGTTTTCTGACTAGTTTTACCGACTGTTTCACTCACTGAGGGTACTGTTGCAGCGATGGGGATCATCAGGACGGAAATCGCTCGTATAAAATTCGTCATGATTTTCTGGAATCGACTCGGGTTGATCCTCTGGAGGGAAAACATCTGAAAAGACGAAAAGGAGGCGGGGTTAGGTGACATCATCAGCTCAGGTGACATCATCAGGTAACCATGGCGACTGACCTCTACGATCAGCAGGTTTATGAGTCCCAGAGAGACCGGGAGGATCCAGGTGGAGTCCGGTGTGGTGAGGTCGGGGAACCACAGAGCGCCCCCTGCTGCTAGACCGGAGTGCAGCGCTGCAGAGACCAGAGTCCGGTTAGAAAGACTCAAACCTGGTCCAGTTTTTGGGTAACCGGGTTTACAAAGAGCCAGGGTTTTGACTGTGTGCTGGCTTACCGGACTGATCCAGACTCAGGTTCCGGAGGGCCAGGGACAGACTGATCCACAGGGGGAGCTGGACCCAGACCAGCAGACTGGCCTTGAAGGGGTGACAGTTGTCCCGGATGTAGAGCTGAGAGACCAGCCGACGGAGGTTCTTCTGGAACTGGAACCTGGACCCGGAAACACGACAGGGGGTCTACAACAGGAACTCACAGACCCGGGTCTACAACAGGAACTCACAGACCCAGGTCTACAACAGGAACTCACAGACCCGAGACCTGGGTTTAAATGGAACCACATGTAGACTGGGACTGGAACTATTTGGAGGAAAGATGAGGGGGGGGCATGTTTGACCCAGCTGTGTGTGTGTGTGTGTGTGTGTGTTTGTCTATGTTGTGTTGTGTGTGTTTTCATCCTTGTTTTGTGTGTTTGTGATTATCTGTGTTGTGTGTGTGTGTGTGTCTTTGTCCCAGTTTTGTGTGTTTGTCTGTGTTGTGTGTGTGTCTTGTGTGTTTTTGTCTTTGTTCAGTGTGTTTTGTGGTTGTGTATTTTGGGTTTGTATGTGTGTTATGTGTCTGTTGTGTTGTGTGTGTGTGTGTCTGCGTTGTGTGTGTCTGTGTCTGTCTTGTGTGTCTGTGTTGTGTGTTGTGTTTGTCTATGTTGTGTTGTGTTTTTGTTTGTGTGTGTGTATTTTGTTGTTGTGTTTCTCTTTGTTTATCCGTGTTGTGTACGTGTGTTTTTTGTTGTGTGTGTTGTGTATGTTTGTGTTTGTCACTGTGTGTGTTTCCCAGTGTGTGTGTGTTCACCTGCTCTGTTTCTCCGTCCAGCCTCTCTCTCTCTGTATGTGTGTGTTGTGTGTCTGTGTGTTGTTTGTGTGTCTCTGTGTGTGTGTGTGTGTTTGTGTTGTGTTTCTCGGTGTGTGTTCACCTGCACTGTTTCTCCGTCCAGCCTCTCTCTCTCTGTATGTGTGTGTTGTGTGTCTGTGTGTTGTGTTCTTTGTGTCGTGTGTGTTGTGTGTCTGTGTTGTTTGTCTATGTTGTGTTGTGTTTTTGTTTGTGTCTGTGTTGTGTGTTGTGTTTGTCTATGTTGTGTTGTGTTCTTTGTGTTGTGTGTCTGTGTTGTTTGTCTATGTTGTGTTGTGTTTTTGTTTGTGTCTGTGTGTGTGTATTTTGTTGTTGTGTTTCTCTTTGTTTATCCGTGTTGTGTACGTGTGTTTTTTGTTGTGTGTGTTGTGTATGATTGTGTTTGTCACTGTGTGTGTTTCCCAGTGTGTGTGTGTTCACCTGCTCTGTTTCTCCGTCCAGCCTCTCTCTCTCTGTATGTGTGTGTTGTGTGTCTGTGTGTTGTTTGTGTGTCTGTTTGTGTGTCTCTCTGTGTGTGTTTGTGTTGTGTTTCTCGGTGTGTGTTCACCTGCACTGTTTCTCCGTCCAGCCTCTCTCTCTCGCTCGGATTGAAACTTCGTATCGGAGTCTTTTGGCGAGTTCGGAGATTTCCGCCTGCAGCGCCTCAACCTGGAAACACACCTGGAGGTTACCATGGTTACCGAGAATCAGAGCACAGCAGACTTAAGATCACAGCTTCAGTCAAACCCAGTCCGGGTATCTTACTGTCCTCACTCAGACAGGACCTCAGAGGAAATTTTGTTATCAGATTAAATATAATCCAGATTAACACCGACAAAATAAAGGAGGAGCAGACGGACAGGAGAGTGAACGCACAGACGAAGACGGTCCATCAACGACAGATCAGACTGAAACAACTCCAGATGATCGTCTCTAACAGACTCTTTGCTCTGAGGGTTTGTTCAAATGTGAATTTTTCAGCTGCAGTCCTGGTGGGACTCAGAGTGAGGAGCACCGATCCAAGAAGAACTAAGAAGATCTTCAGTGAGGACGGGTTGTTGTGGAACTGTGCTGCCCCCTGCTGGAGCTGACGTTTAATCACGTTCTCACTGAATTAAAGGTGGTGTAGTCAGGATCTGAGTTAGTTCCAGTTTTTAGGAGAAATCTTGAATGTAAACTCTACCCCTCCCAACCAGTTTTCCCCTCAGCTCCTCCTCTCCCCTCAAGCCCCGCCCACAAACAGACGCTCCTGCTCGCTCGTATCGTTCCAATTAAATTCAGATATAATGCAGATAAATCCTTCAGATCATTACAAATGGGGCCCAGTCAAGGTGAAAGTCAAAAGCATTGGTGCTACTGTAGATGCCAACAGACTACCAGCAAACACAATGTTTGCAGGACTTCTACAACGAGGATAAAGTGACATAGTCCAGGACCCGAGGGAGGACAGTTTAGCGATGGCGCTACAACACGCTACAGCAGGTCCGTTTGACAAGAAACACTTCTGTTACAGACACTTGTCTTACTTTGTTAAAGCGGTTTACCTGTCCAGCAGAAAGGTTACAGGGTCACCAAGATCCCCAAGCGTCCCCCATGGTTTATGTTGACCCGGCTTTTTAGCTCTTGTCCGGTCTACCTCCGTTTTAAGCGCCCGTTATTCCTCCAGAGTCTCCGGTATTTACTTTGTTTTCTTGCTTGTGTCGGCAGTCGTGGCCAAAGGAGGATTCAGACAATTTTCCGAACTTTCTGGTTGGTTTCTACTGTCCGATATTGTAGCACGCTAACTTTGTTTGGGCTCCTGAACGACACGGGGGAGCAGCGTCTGCCTCACAACCAATCAGGTTAGAGGAGGTGGAGAACGGCTTTGTTTACAGTCAGAAAGAGCGGACCGCTCAAAAATGTTCAAATGTTGACGACACAGACATAAGAGAACACAGAGATATCATATATTATCAAATAATCAATAACTAATAACTGAGCCCGTCTGAGAGGTTACTGTTGGTTACCTTGCCGATGATGACCAGCTGGTAGGCGGCGAACGGTAGAGTGATGAGTGATCTGACTGACAGCGTTGCCACGGTGATGCTCAACCACCAGGGCAGCCCGCTCCCCTCTTGCACGCTCACCAGGAAGTGTTCGCACAGGTGAACCGGAGCCGAGTCTGACAGGGCGCTGTACCAACCTGCCGAACTTTGACTTTCGCCCGCCGCACCTGAGAACCTCCTGACCCCTGACCCTGACGGGTTCCTGAGGAGTGACCTATGGGACCACAATGAGGGGAGTCCAGAAGGTGGAGGCAACTGTGGGTCGTTGAGAGTATTATACAGTCCTTTTCCAGAGAGCTGCAGGGGGCGGGCCTTCAGAAAGCAGGCCCGTAGGAGAGGGCGGGGCTTCAGGACAGTGGACCTTATAAGGCCCCCCACAATCACCATGGTAACCCGTTCTGTAACAGGAAGCACATGAAGGTGAAACAAACAGAGACACACACCTCCACAATAACTCAGAGGACATGTTTAAAATAAAGAAAAAATCACTGAGGGTAGCTTTAATCTCGAACCTCCACAACTGAGACAAGCGCTGATTGGACCTGTGAGGAGTCACGTGACCTGTACCGGATTGTTTAAGGGGAGCTTAATCCGCATATCGGTTAATAAGATTATTGAGCCGATCTTTGAATTCCTTCACCTTTGTCTCGTCTCTCGTGCAGCCTCAGGCAGAGAGGAGTCGCACAACTATGACGACACATTGTTTATGCGGTGCGTCGTGAAAATATGACGTGTCTGAAGAGTTTCCGAAAATAAAAATAAAGTCAAATAATCCTTAAAATAAAAAAAGACTTTTATTGATTAAAAAAGTAACAGTATGACTTAATGCGATTGAACAGCTGGTAGATTGATAATATTCAAAAGAGCAAGAAGAATCAGGTGACACTCAATACCGGAAAACAGCCGACTTTACTGTCAAAATAAAAGACATGGAAAGAAGAAAATGAATCATTCACTTTAAAAAAATATTGCTTTTTGTTATCAAATGAATAATCTGGACTCAAGTCTTTCATGATACGTATAGTTTTATTCAGGGTAAAAATTATATTCATTCAAGTAAACAGAGACATTATCAGCTGTCTTTGTCATCTTCTGGTCAACTTTGAGATACAAGAGCGTTTAACTGGCTTTTCAATTCCTTAAACCATTGTTATTTTTACCTCTGCGGCCTAATTTATGTTTAATTTTTTAAATTAGAATAAATTTAAAATGTATTTTGATGAAATTCTCACTCTAATGCTGACAGCTTCATTTTATTGTGACGGGTACAGCCGGATGTAGTGTAGTGGATAATCGCGTTACCGATAAGATCGGTCCCCCTCCCGCTCAGTCAGAACAAACATGGCGGAGTACAGCCAGGCGGGCCTCCTGGCGGCTCTGCTCCTCTTCACGGCGCTCACGGTCCGGGACGTTTATCTCGGCAGAACGAGCCCGCAGCGCGGACACCAGCAGGCCGACTTCCCCGGCTTCTCCCCGGACACTCTACCTGACACGGAGCCCGGGAAACCCGCCAAACCCTCCCTGTTTACCGGGCCTGTGCTCCGGTTCCAGTACTGGTGAGTTAGCTCTGAGGCTAACGGCTAGCGTCACGTGACCAAGTGACCACGTGATCTGAGCTCCTTTTACCTGCGAAACCCTCAATAGTTATGATTTAATAAGATGATTTTCTCTTTTTGTTCTTTAGTGTGAATGCAGAACACTTGAAATAGGTTTTAACAAGTCTCTGTAGTATTGTTTACTCAGTACTTTTTCTACTAATGTTGTAATGTTGTTATTTTTATGTCTTGAACTTAAACAAAGTAAAACCAAAGCACAGTTTAAAAGTAAATTAAAGCAGTTTGATTGAAAAATACTTTAAAAAGCGATTTTTGTTTTGCCACACTTATTATATTTTAAATGGGAATGATACACTTGAGAGATTGAAAGTATTTAAGGTATATTAAGTGTATATTTGTGTGTATATACGTGGACGTACATATAAGGTGTTTGTTTCAGTGTTAATGATTAATTACATTCATGTTAGACTTTCGAGCTTTAGTTACTTTTTGGTAACATCAGAAATTCTAAAGACATGTAAAGTGTAAAAGAATAGGAAGGAATGAGGGGCGGCACATATAAGATAAATAACTTCAACCTACTCCTCTTCAATCTCCAAAACAAAAGGGAATTTCTCGTCTAAAATTGTTCTGTATGTATATTTGATCAAATAAACAATCTCAATAATAATTCCCAGTCTTATTAAATCAGATTTATGTTTTGAAACAAATTTTTTTAAAATTTCTGATATAATCCTGCTCTTAATCCAAAGTCTGAGTGATATGTATTATTATTGTTGTTGTTGTTTACAGTTTTACTGATTTGAGAATCACTGGTGTTCTTTCAAATTTCTGTTATTGTTGCTCTTATTAAATAGAGATCCAGAAAATGTGATGATTCTTTAAACTTCTCCTGTCATTGTGAAAAATCAAACTCCGTATTTTCAGTGAGGAAACAGACGCTCCAGATTAAAAATAAACGAATCAAAAGGTTTTAAAATAAAATTATGTAAAAGAAACGAACAGATTAAAACTGATTTATAACTTTAATATTTTTACTTGTGTGATGGCTCCTCCTTTGTGTTTCAGTATCTCCTGAGGTTACAGCAGAGTGTTCCAGGAGTACTCCAGAGCCATCAGCCAGCTGTACCCGGACATCCGCATCGAGGGCGGGAACTACCCGCCAACCCCCTTCAACAGGTGAGCTCTGACATCACTTAATAACCTCCAATGGGCGGGCTCTGGCGTCACCTATATGTTGAATAAATCAGTCAAATTAAAGGTTAAATAGATACTTTAATACTAAATAACTAGTGTAACCATGGTAACCTGTCCACCTATGGTCCTCAGGTATCTGGGGAACTTCTTCTCGTACCTGAAGCTGCTCGCCATCCTCCTCATTGTCAGCGGTCAAAACCCCTTCCTCCTTCTCGGCCTAGACACTCCTCGAGCCTGGACCTGGAGCCAGGACAACAAGGTACCTGTCACTACGGCAACAGGTGTTAAAAAAGGTTTCCATGACAACGTGATTTGACTGCATGTATGTTTTTCAGATCTTCTCCTGTCTAATGGCGTTCTTCCTCTGCAACATGATGGAGACCCACTTCCTGTCTACAGGGGCCTTCGAGGTCACTTTGAACGGTGAGTTCTGATTGGTGTAAAGATAATACCGAAGACAATGCTGAGTGCTGATTGGTGGAAAAGTTAAGAGGGAGCAGTGAGAGGAGGGATGAAAGAATTATTATTATTATTATTATTATTATTATTTATTATTATTATTATTATTACTGTTATTGTTATTAATATTGTATAATTATTATTACCGTTATTGTTGTTATTATTGTTATTATTACTGTTATTGTTGTTATTATTATTATTATTACCGTTATTGTTGTTATTATTTTGTGTTTAAACGCTTTGGTAATATTGTAGTAACAGTCATGCCAATAAAGCTCACTGAAATGGAAACATAAAAGGGCATCTAGAAAGAAGTAAGAAGGAGGTGTAACGGTGTTTTTGGTTCCCCTCTCAGATGTTCCCATCTGGTCGAAGCTTCAATCAGGTTACGTTCCAAACATCCAGGAAATCTTCCAGATCCTCGACAGTCACCTGAAGATGAACCAGGTGGACCCCAGAACCTTCACCTCCTCATAGAGGAACACACAGGTAAACAAACAGACGATATGAAGAACAGACGTGTTTACATACAAACTCATGAAGATGTTTTTAATGAACATGTGTGTGCCAGCAACATGTTACAAACAGGTGAAAAGGTGTAATACTAACAGACATCTGGAGGAACTTCTCCAACCAATGAGGTGACTGTCCAACAGGTTAGTCACATGACTCTCTCTCTCTCCTCAGCAGTGCTGCGTTCAGGTGTCCCAGCTCAGTGGGATGTTCAGCCGCTGGCGTTCATGAAGGTCAGGCCTTAAAGCAGACTCTGCGGGGCCTGACCGGATATCCCCCCCGCCACGAAACGAGCGCTCCCTCTGCGCTGGATCACAGAGCCAGCACAACACTACCCATGATGCACCTGTCAGCTTTTCTCCCCCCTGTCTCTGCAGTTTACTTTGGTTTAATTTATTTAGTTTGACTTTGTTGAACAGAAACAGAAAAACTCTTCGGTACCTCGTTAACTTCAAACTATTTAGCTGTGGTTTGTCCAGGAAACGGAAACAAACCTGAAAGTTCTTCATACTGAGAAAAAAAAGGTTCTTTTTTAATAATGTCATTGTCGAGTTTGTAAAATGTCCCCAAAAAAATAAAGGTGGAAGTCAAGAACCGAATGTGAGACTTTTATTGTGAAAGCAGGAAACGAGCTGTGTGGGACCATAGACTGTAAATAGAACTGACGCTGTCTGTCTCCTCTCTCTGAGAACAGCGCCCTCTGGTGACGGGCTGCAGTATAGGTCATAAACCCCGCCTCCTTATGGAGCTGTGGACAAACTTTATAAATGAATGACACAGAATATAAATGTTTCTCCCCCCTGGTTGTGATGTTGACATGTAGTTACTGTCAGACTGGTTTGTGCTCAAGTCCTCTTTTTTCTGTACAGCTCCATTTTTAAAAGTTATTAGGGGGTTCATGTTTTCTATGATTGACACCTGATACAGCCAATGGGAGGACAGAGATTGAGTAGCTCACCCGGGGGATACACTGTTTGAGCCGAGCGTCATCACAGCGACTCTCCCACTGAATGTGAACAACGCTACTGCGCAGTGTTGGTTTCAGGAAGAGGAGAAAAAAATGCAGAATTACTGAGAACTTTTCGGCTTCAAATCCGTAAACTGGCGGAAGGCGGAATCAGGTTGTGCAGAGTAAATACAGTCTAAGTGTGTGATTTAAAAAAAGAAAAAAAGGAGTTAAACATGAGAATAAATCAGGATTTGTGTTTTTTATTTTCCTCTTACTGCAAAATATCAATTTTAGATGTTTTTATTTATAATTCAATATTTAATGAAAGTGGAAATGTTTTAAAATCAAACTGATTTTCAACCTTTTCAGAAATAAATTCAAAAATATCATTTTTACATTTACTGCTGGTTTTTGTCGATTTTATTTTTGTGATTTTAATTTTTTTTAAAAAGCACAATTCCAGAATTTATGACAGATGCAAATAAGCTGATCGACTAACAGTTTAGATAATCAGAAAATCAGATTGTTAATCATGAACACACACCAGTTTAATAATGATGTTAGTGTGTTAATCTTATCACTCATTTATAGTTGACACCTGTACAGGTAACCTGAAGGTTCAGTCTGATCCAGCCGATGAATCCAGAGACACAAAAACACACACAGAGTGACCGCACAACTCCTACAACACACAAAACAGACAAAAAAAACAGGCGTTCAGTTTCCACCTTCTCTTGATGTTCAATTTTAAACGTTTTCTCTCATTTGTTTACCTGAAACAGCTGATCTTAGACTCCGACCGAGTCAAAATCAGCCTCACATGAGACTCTTACGTTCTGATTTTAATGCCTAATTCTGCTGTGAAGGAATAAACCAGACAGCCCTGTTCTAATGAGGAACCACACACCTTCAGACTCAGGTGAGAGTTGACCTGCTTACAGTTCCTGCAGAGGCGTTCAGAGTCTCTGAGTTTGGAACAGGAGCTGCAGGATTCATCACAACAAACTGCAGAAACATGAACGATAAGATGAGTTACTGAGCTCACCTGAAGGACACCTGGACTCAGGTGATTGTGTCAGGGTGCTTTAAGACGCTCACCTGTCCTTGGAAGGAAGGGGGCGGAGTCAAACACCTTCTGAAGAATCAACTTCAAATCTTCACAAGAGCAGGTTTGAGGCTCACCTGTTACACAGAGACAGGTACAGACAGGTGATGCGCAGAAAGGAGACAGGAGACAAGTAGGGACAGGTGAGGTCTAGAGGAGACAGATAATGTTCATATGATGGACAGGAATTCACAGGTCATGTGTAGGCAGGGACAGGTGAGGACAGGTGAGGACAGGTGAGGACTATTGGTGGACATGCGGAGACAGAATTAGTCTTGTTTTATTTTGCTGTGTCTGTACACGATCACTCTTGTTCACCTATGAGCTGCTGCAGGTAAGCGTCTGCTTTGTTGCCATGGTAACAGGGCTGCTCAGGTTTGTGGTCCAGCTCACAGTGAAAGGTGTTCACTTCCTGGTTCTGTTGAGTGTGAGGAGAAAAGTTACAAAGCAGCGTCTCTGAAGGTCTCTACAGGTGAGCAGAGTTTCAGGTGTGATTTAAAGACAACAAGATCATTCAGGATCTGAGCTGCTGATCGCTGATTGGCTGATTTTGGTCACATGGAAGTATCTCAGCACCTGAAACTCAAAGATAAGAACAGGTGAAGAAGATTCAAGGTCAAGTTTGATGTGGAGCTGTCTTACCTGATGTCCAGGTGTGCTCCTCCACAGACTCAGACTGGGGTACAGAGAGGAGCTCTTCCCCAGCTGAGGAGTCGTGTTTGTGGGTAACCTGAGCTCACTGTCCCCCTCCATCCTCTGAGTTAAACTCTGAGTGAAACCCTCCGAGCTCAGTGAAGAAAAGGTCTTCAAGTCTGCGGCTGAGACGAGTTCAGCTTCAAACGGAGGAGCACTGGGACACCTGAGGAGAAGATGAGAGGAAACCAGACTGACGACACGATGAGGAGAAAGATAAAGACTGTTTCATTCATGAATTATCAGTAATGATGGATAAAAGTGAAGATGAGGATCAAAACAAACACAGACTAATTAAACATCATCAGCATCATAACTATCATATCATCAGCATGACCTTTATCACTGTTTATGTTCAACTTTATAATATAAAGCATTATCATCTTCACCGTCATCCTGATAATATGATCTTTATCAACATTATTATCATCCGAACTATTATCATCATCATCATCATCATCATCATCATCACCTTCACCATTATCATGCTTATATGTTCTTGATTATCACCTTCACCATCATCTTCATCTTTGTTATCGTCATAATTTTCAGCAAAATCTTTATCATCATCATCTTCACTATAACCATTATTATCTCCATCACTGTCATCATCTCCATCATCTTCACCATCACAGTTTCCATCATCTTCATTCTCACAGTATATCCTGATTCTTTTCTCCAGATAATCATCGGTCTCACCTCTCACAGACACACGGACTCAGCAGACAGTACCTCCACAGGTCAGAGTCCAAACTCAGGTGCTGTGAATCTTCCTCCTTCTCCTCCTCCTCCTCCTCCTCGCTCTTGTCTCCCCCACAGAGAAGGGTGGAGCTCACAGGTCTGAAGATGACTGTATCGGACATCCGTATGCCAACAGAACTCACAGTCTCCACCTTTTCATCCCCTTCCTCGCCTCCATCACTCCACCCGTCTTGTTCTTCCTCTGCTGGTGTCTCCCCCTGTCTCCCCTCAGCTCCCTCCTCCTCCCCCTCCTGCCTCACCTGGGTGGAACATGTCAGGTGGGGGTGGGGATCACTCTGTCTGAGGTTTTTGCTTCTCTGCAGAGCTTCCTCCACCCAGAGTCGGGACAAACTTGAGGAGAAGTTGGAGGAAGGAGAGGAGGATCTCCAGAGTCTCCCCCTCAGCAAGGGGGAGCAAGGGAGAGAGCAGGGGAGGCTCCTCCCCCCTGGATGAGGAGAGGAGGGGAAGGACTCTGTCCCCTTGAAGAAAGGCTGTGCAGGACGTCCACAGCTGAAAGAATGAAAATGAAAAAACTTCTTAAATATAAACCAGAGAAATGTTTGAAAAGGTCAACAGGTCACAGGTGAGACATGAGAGGTCACAGGTGAGACATGACAGGTCACAGGTACAGGTGAGACATGACAGGTCACAGGTGAGACATGACAGGTCACAGGTCACAGGTGAGACATGACAGGTCACAGGTACAGGTGAGACATGACAGGTAACAGGTACAGGTGAGACATGACAGGTCACAGGTACAGGTGAGACATGAGAGGTAACAGGTACAGGTGAGACATGACAGGTAACAGGTACAGGTGAGACATGACAGGTCACAGGTAAGACATGAGAGGTCACAGGTGAGACATGACAGGTAACAGGTACAGGTGAGACATGACAGGTACAGGTGAGACATGACAGGTAACAGGTACAGGTGAGACATGATAGGTCACAGGTGAGACATGACAGGTCACAGGTGAGACATGACAGGTCACAGGTGAGACATGACAGGTAACAGGTGAGACATGAGAGGTCACAGGTGAGACATGACAGGTCACAGGTACAGGTGAGACATGACAGGTCACAGGTGAGACATGACAGGTCACAGGTAACAGGTGAGACATGACAGGTCATTGGTACAGGTGAGACATGACAGGTCACAGGTACAGGTGAGACATGACAGGTCACAGGTACAGGTGAGACATGACAGGTCACAGGTCACAGGTGAGACATGACAGGTCACAGGTACAGGTGAAAGTAGCAGGTAAGAGTATCAGATGACTAATGACACTTGACAGGCGCAGTAACAGGAGACAGGTGGAAGCACAGGTAAAAGGTGATAAGTGACAGTGGGCATGCTCAGTTACACGTGACAGTAACAGGTATCATAGATCCTTTCAGGTGAGAGATGATCGGTTACAGGTGTGGCTAACACTGTAAGAGTGAAATAACAGGTGACAGGTGCTTTTGTGGAATATTTAGACGACCGCTGACAGGTATCTCATCGTTAAAAGATGTTGAAACATCATTACCTGAGGTCCAACAGAGGAGCAGACAGGCCCTGAGAGGCGGGGCTTAGTATCTCCATGACGACAGAGTCATCATAAAAGGTTTCACGTGTTGACGGAGGGGTTGGAGGCGGAACCCCAGACGGGTTTTCTACTTCCTGTTTGAATGGAAAGAAAATTGCAGAAATGAAAAAATGGTGTTCTCATGTTTTAAATGTTTAACAGTCGTGATTGATTTTAAATTTCATTTTAAAAGCTGAAGATCAAACTGAAATTAATGATAATCGATAAACCATTCAAAGGGATATTCCGGCGTAAAATTAATTCAGGGTCAAACCCACCGTAACACCGAGTTAGACCCCCCCTCCAGAGATGAATGTTGTCGACCGCTTGCTTCTCTAGTTATACCAACTTTAGTAACGACCGCAGGATAGCAATACAGAGAGCCACGCCCTCAACCAAAACGCCACTCTATAGTCACAAATAATGCTCAGAACAGCACCTAACTTCATCAACAGGACATATAGGGTCTCAGACATAGTACTAGACACCAAACATCTTTTTAACTTTGACTCATTTCTTTAACAAAGAGACTAAACACAACTCACCTACTCTCTTCCAGCAGACGCTTGTTTGTAGCGAGACCTCAGGCCAGTCCATTATAGACTACAGCGGGGTGCCACAGCTCAAGGAAGAACATTTATGATCATTTCTTCATGGAAATACAATCAGACCAAGACGCTAAGACAGAAGAACTACTGCGTCTGTAGAATGATTAATATGGTGATTATTACTTCAAGGAAATGATGAAGAAATGATCATAAATGTTCTTCCTTGAGCTGCGGCACCCCGCTGTAGACAACAGGGCGCTGTTTCAGCTGCGAAACATCACATGGCCAAAAGTAAGTGGACGCCCTGACCTCAGGACCAAAACAGTCCAGATAGATTGATGTGGACTCTTTGTGGTTTTGTGGTCTCTTGGTGGTCAACAGTCTAAATTTTGTCTCATGTTTGTCTCACATGGACTCATGCAGGTTTAAAAGGCCCATGTCGGCTCATGTTACCGTCTCACATGGACTCTTTTTGATGGTTTCATGTGAGCTCCTGTTGATCCTCAGGTCCCAGATTCTGGTTTCGGGTTTCTTTTGATACTTAAAGAGTCTTACATTAAAGGTGCCTGAGGACAGGTACAGGAGCCGATAAAGGACACGAAGCATTGTTTTAGTAACTGAAGAAACCAGCACCAGGACTCCAGTGAAACCAGTTCAGTTCAGTGGGATCAGGACTCTGTCAGACAGGTGTTCTCTGTTCACCTGCAGGTCTCAGCTGTTCGACTGTCTCACTGCATGTCTGTGAGGATGATGACGATAATGATGATAATGAAACAGACTGATTCGTCATAAATCTTAATTAATGTCTGATTTAAATTATATGAGTCCACCTAAAGAGGTCCAGACCAGAACAACCAGACCACTTTGAATCAAAGTCAGAGACGGTCTGAAACTCACAGAATCAAAAAAACAAAAAACAATAAATAAATAAAATCAGAAACACTGAAAAAAATAACAAAAAAAAATATTTTCTTCCATTTAATAAATTATATTTTTATACTTGATTTTATTATAATCAATAATAATGTTTGATGTTTTTATAATCATATGTGACAATAATTTTTTAATATCTTTTCAGCATTGGTGATACTACTTCAATTACTATTACAAATAATGTATTTTTTTAATTACTTTCTTAATAATTATTCTTTTAAAATGTAAATTTTCTTCATTATTTACTCAGTTATTAACATCATTATCTCCAGTCACTGACTGAGCAGTTTTTCAGTGTAAATGTTTTCTCTCCTCTTCTTATGAGCTGATAAATGACAGAGCGATGAGTTTTTATAAACAGTTAATAAAGATGATCATTATGTTTTTAACATTTATTTACATTGTTGATTTAATTTGTGTATTCATAAAAATCATTATTGTAAATTTCAACAACATTTGAACTCTTGAAAATAACTTTTCTTTTTTAACTTTAAAATCTGTTTAATTCTTTTGATTTTAAAACCACCATATATAAATTTAAATCATATACTTCAATATTATATATATGTTAATCTTTTTTACCTTGTTTGGTTTCTTGAACCACCTCCTGATTTTATTCATCTCTGCTGAAATCTCTTCTCTCGCTGGTCTCTGTCACTTTCTGACTTCACCTGTGCAGGTAAACAGGAAGACGGGTAAACAGGAGGCGTTCTTCTGTCTGATCCTCCTCTGATTTCACTCTGCTTCAAAATACACACTGTGTATGTGTGTGTGTGTGTGTGTGTGTGTGTGTGTGTGTGTGTGTGTGTGTGTGTGTGTGTGTGTGTGTATGTGTGTTCATGTGTTTGTACTGAGTGAGATTTTATGTATCATATTATTTGTGTAAAAAAAAAAAGTGTTAAACTTATATCTAAAAGTTTTGAATCTCACAAACAAAAAGTTAAAATGTGAGTTTGAAACCACATGTTTTGGAGTTTATAATCAAATTCCTCATCTAATTACTAATAATGATGGAATAATAGTTACATTAATTATGATAATACATAGATAATTATCATCAATCTTATATTTTCTCTTCTTTTTAAGTTTATTTAACCCTTTTCTTTTCTTTTCTTTTGTTTTTCATTTCTATACTTTTCACTTTCATTTGATGCCATTTTTTAATTTTCTTTTTAAGTTTTATTTATTTATTTTTTAAATTTCTTCATTTTTTTTATTTCTTTATTTTTTTGTTATAGCCTATAGGAAACTGTTTTGATTTTTGAAACCTTCAAAGATGGTGATAGTTTAAAATCTTTGGCTTTATGAATGTGAAATGTAGCTGATACATTTGAGAGGTTGGTAATAGCACATAGCTTTTGTCTAGAGCAGTTCACGGATGACCTCAGGCCAGTTCATTACGGACTACAGCGGGGTGCCGCAGCTCAAGGAAGAACATTTATGATCATTTCTTCATGGAAATACAATCAGACCGAGACGCTAAGACAGAAGAACTACTGCGTCTGTAAAATGATTAATATGGTGATTATTACTTCAAGGAAATGATAAAGAAATTATCATAAATGTTCTTCCTTGAGCTGCGTCACCCCGCTGTAGTCTGTGATGGATTGGCCTTAGGTCTATATGTCCTGTTGATGAAGTTAGGTGCTGTTCTGAGCATTATTTGTGGCTATAGAGTGGTGTTTTGGTTGAGGTTTGTTTATGGCTCCTCAGACTGCTGTGTATTGCTATCCTGCGGTCGTTACTAAAGTTGGTATAACTAGAGAAGCAAGCGGTCTGCAACATTCATCTCTGGAGGGGGGTCTAACTCGGTGTTATGGTGGGTTTGACCCTGAATTAATTATACGCCGGATTATCACTTTTATACTCATAAATATCAGCATTATATAACATCTATACTCATTCCTCATATATGAACTCTCCTGTTATTCCTCCTCCTTCCTCTGTTAGGCGTCAGTATTCTCATTTATCTGCCGCACTGTCAGCAGGGGGCAGCAAACACTATGAACCCCGGTATCCAGTTTCCGCTCCGGAAGAAGAAGAAGAATGTTTTTTTTGAAAGCCTGTGTTAGCATTAGCATCAGCTGTTTGGTGAAACAATTGTTGTAGTTTGTCTCAGTTTGTTGGTGTTTCTTGTTTTTTTATATTTGGAGGAGAAAAACACCCGCTGCCCTGTACGAACGGCTAACAGCTGAACAGCCCTGAGGGTGAGTAAAGGCGGTTATCGTGGATTTTGTAGCAGTTATTTAAACACGGAGTCCAAACAAACGACACTATCATAACCTGAAAATATACACTCTAGAATGTTCTGTAAGAGTTAAAACTAAGAGATGTTTGAGGGTTTATACAGACAGAAACAGAACAACAGTCAGCGGCTGATAATCTCCAGTTAACACGGTCACCATTTCAACCAGAACACCTGTTAGCTAACAAGCTAACCGTTCATTCAGACAGACAGCTAACATGAAAACCTGGTCAACATCAGGATTTATAAAGAGAGACACCACATCTGCATTTATTTAGTCTGACTAGGACTACATGGAAAACCCAAGAGGACCTCAGGATCTGGTTTTTACTGTGTTTTCAGGTTCTAGTCTCATAAAACCACTGATTAAAGATAGGCTAATAGGTAAAATAAAGAGTCCTGAGAGTCCCACTGAGGGCTGATGTTGACAGATGTGGACTGATGTAGGGCCCGACCGATATGGATTTTTTGGGGGCCGATACCGATTATAAGAGAAGAAAAAAATCCGATTATCGATTAATCGGCCGATTTTGTAATTTTTCCATAAAGTTATAAAAACTGCTCTTCACGCCGACAGGAAGACCGACTGTTAAACTCGGACCAGAAAAGCGTTTTTCAGGCTCGCCGATAAATCGGTCGGGCCCTTTATGGACTGATGTGGTCTGATGTGGTCTGGTTCGCTCTGTTTTTTTCCGGGGATTCTTCTAAAACAGAAGCTGGATTTCCTGGAACACCAGGACCTGGATGAATGATTCATGGACCTTCACTCTGGTTTTCTCTCTGTGTCTCTGCAGGTCTTCAGTGTCTCTGATATGAGCAGCTCTGTAAGTGTTCAGACTCTAATCCTTGTTTCTGATCTGTAGACTCTGATAGGCTGTGATAGATTTAAAGATAGGGCAGAGTGGGGTAAGATGATCCATGTTTCATATTTGGGATCAGTCCATCAAGTCAATCCTAGTTTTGTCTCTAACTCGTGTATCTGCAGATATTTCAGGATGTCGTTCATCCCTCTAAACCAACATAATGAATGTAAAAAGAACTGTAATCTTCATAATATAGTATGGTCAACCTACCCCATACATGGGGTAGGTTGACCATAAGAGCGGGGTAAGTTGAGCCGTATCCCTACTACCTCCTCCCCCTACATTCTCCCCTACATTCTGTAGATTTTAGTTGAAGAAATTAAATGTCAATACAGAGGCTTTTTTTTAGATCAGGTTAAATGGATTGAAAAGTCAAAATAGTTTCATTTCTGACGACTTAGAGAAGCTTCTTTACGTTAGAAAAGAGCAGGTCCTCGCTCCAGAGTCTGCCCTGTCACACCACCATGTTTTCTATATAATCCAAATCTTCATTTCAGTGAAGAATTAGATAAACATGACTCACTGAAACCATTACTCGTTGGTTTATTCATCACTGATTATCGATTATTAATGTTTTAATATTCACTGGTTCACCTCATCACCCTCTTTAGATGTATAGACATGCCTCTGCCAACCTGTGCAGGTAGCTGAAGCCCCGCCCATTGCTGCGATGTCATGACTGTGTTTTTGTGCTCAGGCTCAGAGGAAGAGGAGGACCACAGGAAGTCCCCTGGTGTCTGGACCCAGCACCAAGACCAGCAGAGGAGCGAACGCCAGGAGGGCGACCAACACTAACAGAGCTGTTAACGCGAGCAGAGCAGCCGTCAGGTCGGGTAGCAGTTTGGCTAACAGGGCGGCTAATATTAGCAGAACATCTGGAGATGACCCCGTCCCCCCCACAGAGACCATTGACGTGATGGACAACACTGAAGACGGTGAGTACAGGAGGATCAACGCTCTGGGATCGATGATCAGGTCTGATCAGATCGGTTAAACTCTGTGTCTTTATTCAGGAGTGGAGGAGGTGGTGGATCTGACCTGTGAGGGATCAGAGGGGACTGTGGTGGACCTGACCCACAGTGATTCAGTACTGGTACCTATGGGTCTTCAAATACTTCTACACAAACTACACACAAAACTACACACTTACAGTATTAGTGTTTTTGTGACTGAACTCCTTCTTTTTCTCTCTCCTTCTTCTCTCACTCTCTCTCTCCGACCAGCTGATGGATGAAGGTAAACTTTTCTGTCTTCACTTTGAGTTTTTAAAAATCTTCGCACAGTTTTATTAAAGGACGGGGTCTCCTCAATCAGGTCCTCAGAGCAGGAGAGTCACCACGGCGGAGAGTTACGTGGTCAGCAGTGATGAAGAGGAGGACACGCCTCCTGTCTTTAAAGCCGCCGTAACATCCTCTCTACACAACAGTGCCTCCAGGTGAGGTTCTGGAGTCTGACAGTCTAATGTTGTCCCTGATAGAGGATTTCAGCTGCTCCACAGTCCAGGGTGGATGGACGTAGATGTTCCTCCTAAACCTGGAGATATTGGATTTCTTCTTCTTCGTTGAAAGGACAACTGGACTTACTTGAGACGAGAGTGTTAGATTTAGATCCATCAGACCTCAGGACAGTTCAGTGATATTAAGCCCATGTGGTGACTCCAACTACAGAGTCCTGTTACTCTTGTAGATATAGTTCAGCATTACTGGAGCCTTCACAGATGACATGGACTCTGATGATCCCCAGACCATCAGGGATGCTGGATTTGGACTGGTAGGATCCAGAGTCCAGGATTTCCAAAATGAAAATTAGACGTTGATCATACTGAGAGACTCTGCCTCTCTAAATGTCCGTCTCTCCCCCCAATTTCCACTGCATTCGGATCAGCGGCGAATTTTGCCGTCCTTTGGTGAGGCAAATTTCGTAGTGAATTTCGGAGAGCAGGAACCACAACGACTCACAAGAACCCGCAGATTCACGTTCAATCACACGATAACAAGTTGTCTCTATAAAGACAGACACATAGATATATAAGCAGTAGATTGTGTCCTTCCAGAGGAGGAAATCTACTTCTAGATTTTCATGGTGTGAAATACGATCCTCCTGAAACACAGAGTGTTTTATTTTGAAAAGAAGCCGGATGTTTTATTTTGCGTCTGGAGGAGGATACAACCTTTTAGTAGACGATCAGGATGAAGGTGGAAGTTGTAGGTTAGACTCAGTCATGTGACTAACCTGTTGGACATTCACCTCATTAGTTGGAGACGTTCCTCCAGATGTTTTTATAAAATTTAAAACTTTTGACCTGTTTGGTTTTTCCTCTAAGAACTACTTCGAAACATGAAGCTGACATCAAATCGAAAATGAGCAGAACTTTTTCAGGAATAATAAAACCTTCCAGTTTTAACATGTTTTTGTGTTTCATTTTCATTTTCAATCTAGATTCTGATGTTTTCAAAGAGTCAGATGATAGTTGATGAGACCGTTAAATGTAGACCAGGTAATAGACTGATCCCTACTTCATGTCTTCTGGGTGTTTCAGGTCAACTCCAGGAACTATCAGCTGTCCTGTTTGTCTGGATGCGTACTCTGAGGTCAGACTCAAACACACCTGTAACACACCTGTTATATAGCTCTGCCCTGACACACTGCATTCTGATTGGCTGCTGTTTCCTTACAGATCGTAGAGAGCGGCCGATTGGTTGTTTCCACTAAGTGCGGTCACGTGTTCTGCAGTCAGTGTCTCAGAGACGCTCTCTCTTCGTCACACACCTGTCCCACCTGCAGGAAGAGACTGACACACCGCCAGTACCACCCACTCTACATCTGACATCATCGTGACGTCACCATACACTGCTGCTGGAACCAAGCTTTTTAAAGGCATATTGATAAAGTATTGACGAGTCATTAGTCGGTGATTGATGATTGGTCAGAAGGGATGGATGTATATGATCGCTTCATTTCTGGGTTTGTTTCTGTTCGTCTCTGTGATCTTGATTTTCTTTGAGTGTGAAAAATAGAAATTAAAAATCTGTTCAACTTTGAAAAAAGTTTTTTTGTTGTATTTTTAGAAAATTAAAAGTTCATCTCTTAAACAGCAGTTGGGTCTGATGGTGTGATTTTCACTGAGAGGAGCTCAAACTGACCCGGTCTGAGAGGTTCTCAGTCCGGTTCTCAGTCCGGTTCTCCTCAGCTGCTGCGTTCCTCTTGGAGGCGGCGTTCGTGTCGATCCAGCCTCTCTGACCTGAAAACGGTTTGTTTGTGTTCATCCTGTGACTCTGACTCACCCTCCATTTGGTCACAGGACTGATGACTCATAGTCACATGACACAGTCTCTGCTGCTGATTGGCTGAGCCTCGGGATCAGGTCACTCTTTAAAAACTTCTAGAAGAAAAATGAGTTCATGAAAGTAGAAAAAACAAATCAGTGATGGTTTAAAGGTGGGAATAAAATCAGATTAACCTCAGAGTGATTCATGTTTAATACTTTATATGAATGTTATGTGTAAATGTGTTATATTAGAGAAGCAATTATGATTCAGAGAAGTCATGTTAAAGGTTATCAGTCAACATGACAAGTTTGAAATGTAATGTCGAGGTTCTGAAAGAAATAAATTGAAATAAAAGGGAATAAAGTATTTGAGAAGGAAAGTCTGTTAAGAGTCGATCGTGTGACACAAAAAGAGTTACGTCACAAGAATGAAGTTATGGAAACGTTTTTACTGTGCAAAAACAAGTGATTTATTTGAATATATTAAAATAAAAGATATGTCAACCAATCTTTATTTACACAGCACCAATGGAGTGACTACGCTGACCTGAATTTAAGTCACTGAGTGAAGGAGTGAGGTGTTTCTGAGGCGCTTCTAGAACAATCCAATATTCAGTCCAAGGTTGTTGTTGAGTTATATTTTGTTATTTATTGATTCAATGAAAAACAAACAAAAAAAAGACAAATATGTTTAAGGTAAGACGATGGTGATGTTCGTGATGAGGGTGAGAGTGGTGTCGGAGATTAGCAGTAAAAACCGTGAGCTCTTCCTGTTCCCCAGATCACTACTTCACCTGAGTCCCTTTTGTGATGGTTGCATGAGAAACAAAACAAAACCCCAAAAATAATAGAGATAAAATGGATCATACAACCAATTCACAACAGAAAGGCTGGTCTAGACCAAAGACCCAATGTAGAGACAGGATCAGACCAAGACCACTTCCTCTAAAATCAGACCGACTTCAACCACAGGAGTGAAAAATCACTTTACAACATTTAGAGAGTTACAGTGGAGAGGAAGAACTTCCTCTAACAGGCAGAAACCTCGAGCAGAACCAGACTGAAGTTAGACGGTCATCTGCTGAGACTGAGAGAGAGAGAGAGCAGACAGGTCCATGTCAGCAGGACGTCTGCAGCAGTGATCCAGATGAGCCTACAGGATGATGGAGCTCAGTGACATGATGATTCAGAGTTGTAGTGACTGCTTCCCTTCAACAAAAAGGCCGCTAAGGTTTAAGTTCGCTTGCATCTGTGACTCGTTCAGTTATCTGTCCAGTTTGAGTTTTCAAAAAGTGACTTATTTTTCCAAAAAAGAAAAGAAAACACACCGATCCAGGTCCAAAACTTTTGCCTTTGAATGAAAAAGTGATTTGATGAAATGAGGTTAAAACAGGATGAGTGAAACGGTCAACGGAAAATGATCAGAGTTTACCAAAACCATTGTCTGACTTCACTCTTTAATAAAACTTTAACTACGAACTTCATCAGAGGGAAGTTTGAGTCCACTGCTAAAGGTAGAGAGGGAGTCATTACAAATAAAAACTCATTACATAGACATAAACATATAAATAAACGTTATTATTACATGAATACAAGAATAAATGTGTGTGTAAAAAACTAAAGTCGTAATATTTCATGAATATTAAAAAGGTTATAAAGTCTCATGTGAAGTTGTGATGTTAAGAGTAAAAACATGTTAAAGTTTTAGTGCTGCAAGAATAAAATCATATTGTTTTAAGAATTAGGTCATTTACTGTTTTAGAATTAAGTCACAATTTTAGTCAATAATCAGATTATTGTTGTGAACTAGGTCACCAGGATGAAGAATCCTTTAGAAAAACAACTTAATTCTTCTAATTTTATAAACTTATTTTTTTTTAAATTTGGGTCAATAATCTGATCAGTTTCTTATCAATATTATGGATTTATAAATATTCTCTGTGCAGCGTGCAGACCTTAAAACCTCTCATTAATATCCTGTTTTAAAAGCTTTTAAACTAATTTAGATTCATCAGTTTTGACCTTTAGTGTCTGTTGTGTTTTTGTAAACAGATTGTTGACATGTTGTTTAATTAATTTAATTAACAGGTCAAATTTAATCATTAAATGGTTGAACCTGGTGAAATACCAGCTAATAAAGTCATGTGACCGTAAAAGAGGATTCAAAATATGAAAATAAAGTTTATTATTCCTCCATCATGATGACACAGCTGGATTTGGAGCTTTAGACGAACTTTATTCCGGTTTTACCTGATAGTCATGTGACTCGGAGGAAAAATCCCCTCATTGGAAAGCGCTGACTCACCTGGGCGGGACATCGTCAGCGGACCAATGAGAGACCGCGCCGGTAACAGCCTCTGTAGACGGCGGTGACGTGAACCGCGGAAGTAAACATAAAGAGGCTGAAGATTTGGAGCTGCGTCACAAAGTTCGGAGTTTTCTGTCCGGAGTTCGGTGCGCTGTGTTCGGCTTAGAGATCTGCAGAGACCCGCTGTTAGGAACAACATGTCGGTGACGGTGAAGGCTTACCTGTTAGGGAAGGACGAGGCGGTGAAGGAGGTCCGCAGGTTCACGGTGGACCAGGAGGTGAGCAGCAGCTTCGAATACCTGAGCAAGAAAACCGAAGGTGTGTTCACCTGTCTGAGGAGCGGCGCCTTCAACATGTACTACAGAGGTAAGACATGATCAACCATCAACAACAACAACAGGGGGATACAGTAAAAATCAATACAATTAATAACAGGGGAGATACAGTAATCAGCAATATAATCAATAATATGACTTCTGAAGATCTACAGGGGAAATATAAGAGGAAATAATCATCAATATAATCAATAACATTTTGTCATAGAGGCTTTAATAAAGTCATAATCAATAAAATACTTTGATTTAACATGTTTAAGTGAAGTGAGCTGTTTAAAAAACTGATTCTGGGTCTGATAATGAGGTCCACTGTTATAACCACACATCTATAACACAAACCAACTCTTTAAAGAATCAATATGATCAATACAGGTATTAATATAATCACTACTGTGTTAATATAAGCTTTAATATAAAGCAGTTTGGTTTTATAAATAAAGCAAATACTTAAGAGAAGAACTCACCATGTTAGTAAACAGAAGATGGACAGATTGTTTTTATGCACTCACTCACTCACTCACTCACTCACTCACTCACTCACTCACTCACCTGAAACATGAGCATGCTCAGTTCAGACCCTGTTCTTCGGTCAGACAGACTCTAACACCTGTATTTGTTCAGCTCAGTAAACACAGTTTTGCTCCTCCGACTGTCTGACCAATCATGTTTTGACTCCTGATCATGTGACAGCTGCTGCTTCATAACAAAGTCATGTGGTTTTTTTCTTTCCTCTTCTTTTTGATTTTGGACTTTCCTACATTCCTGCTCCTTTCTTCACTCTGTAAAAACATTTTTTTAAAATTCTGATCTTTATTAGAGTTTCTTGTTGAGCTGACTGCACAGGTATCACACAGGAGTTTTACATGGAGCTGCACAGATGGAAATACACGTCTGTGTGTTACAAACATATCACACAGTGACATAATCAGTGTTAAATGAGAAGACTCAGAGGTTTTGTGAGACGGTGTTGGTAACTGATCAGCAGTTATCTCACTGCTGTTTAGATTACTGATTATTACTTAGATGACTGTATCCTTTTACATTAGGCAGCCAACCGTGGAGCCAAAGCTGTGAACCGTGCAGCTTTCAACTTTATAAAAAACACTGAAATTCAAAGTGTTGCTTTTTTATGTCATCCAAAATCAAATAAAGGTGTCAGCAACAAAAAAGAGGATTTTAAAATGTAATCCTTCCTCACAGGAGCTCCAAAGTTTCTACGTAGACATTATACGTGAACATCAGGCACAGCTGAGAAACTTTAGTGAACGGTTTTTCTAAAAAGTGTTTTAATAAAGTCTTAACGAACACGTCACAGCTGATTGGTCTAAAATCTCTGACACGCTCTGTAACAACAAACAAAAGACGCCCTGCCTGTTTATTAACAGTAAAAACATGTGATCACATGATGATGATGATGAAGATTGTGATGACGAAGATGGCTCTGTGTTTCAGATGAAGATGGAGACCTGGTGGCGTTTTCCTCTGATGATGAACTGATGATGGGTTTGGCCTGTATGAAGGACGCCACCTTCCGCCTCTTCCTCAAAGGTACAAATGAACGAGCTCACCTGGTCCATAGACACTCATGTGTTCATTCAATGGAGGCTTTTATTCTGTTTGTTTGATTTGTGTTAATAAAGTTTTGTTGGTTTGGTTACAGAGAAGAAGGAGCACCGCCGGGACTTCCCTCTTCATGCTTTCCCTCCTTTTGCCTTCGGCCACCCTCCCCCTCCTCCTCCACCCGGGGCGCCTCATGCTCCGCCCCCTCACATGACCCCGCCCCCTGCCCTGCACCCTAATGTCACCTGTGACGGCTGCGAGGGCCCCGTGGTCGGGACTCGCTTCAAGTGTACCGTGTGTCCCAACTACGACCTGTGCTCCACCTGCCAGTCTCGAGGGACGCACACTGAGCATGCTCTGCTGCCCATCTGGCACCCCCTGCAGGTGAGAGGCGTCTAATACAACTTCTATGTCCCCTCTACCCGCCACCATGACTTAGACCACGATTTAACTAACACCACCACCAGAACCAAAACGACCACTTTGGCCGATCACTGAACATCTTACTCAGGATGTCCTGATACGATACTGATATCAGCCAAAAAACAAATATCGGGTTATATCAGCTTAAAATCGCCGACATCAGCACTCCGATCGAAGTAGTTCAGTCCAGATTCCACTCCGGCAACTCGAGCTAGCAGGGCCCAACTGTCCTTTCCAAAAGAGTCATACCTCCAACTTCCACCTTCATCCTGAACGTCTACTAAAAGCTCGTATCCTCCGATCATAGCTCGACTGTAGGGGGTTTTCACTTCAGATTTCGCCCTGCTCCCTGACTGTCAGGTGCTTGGAATCCTGTTCTCTATATGCCCCCTATTATGACTGTCAGGTGTCATTAGCCATGCTTTTTGATTGCCAGGAAACTAAGCCCTTTTCTTCGTCTGTCAGGTGTTTTTAGCGCTGCTCTTTGTCTGTCAGGTGTTTTTAGCCCTGCTCTTCGTCTGTCAGGTGTTTTTAGCCCTTCTCTTCGTCTGTCAGGTGTTTTTAGCCCTGCTCTTCGTCTGTCAGGTGTTTTTAGCCCTTCTCTTCGTCTGTCAGGTGTTTTTAGCCCTGCTCTTCGTCTGTCAGGTGTCATTAGCCCTGCTCTTCGTCTGTCAGGTGTCATTAGCCCTGCTCTTTGTCTGTCAGGTGTTTTTAGCCCTGCTCTTCGTCTGTCAGGTGTTTTTAGCGCTGCTCTTTGTCTGTCAGGTGTTTATCGCCCTGCTCTCTGACTGTCAGGTTGTTTGTTTTCTTTCAGCAATGGTTTCCTCGAGGACGCTGGATGAAGAAGATGAGACACTGCATGTGGAACCAAAACATGAACATGAACCAACCTCAGAACCAGGATCAGGATCAGGACCAAGAGCAGCCTGGATCCTCCAGACCTGCTGCTGACGGCAGCGCCCCCTCTGGTAGGTCTAAAGATCTGAACAGCTAAGAGGTGATTAATGAATCGTCAGTTTAACGAACAAAGACCGTCTTAAAGGGACAGTTCAGTTTTTTTTAATGTGGTAGTAGGAGGATCTCGTCTGTCCTCGTTGATATGACCTTTGACCTATTTTATGACACCATCACTGACCTCTGACCTCTGTCTGCAGCCTCCCAGGCTAGTGTGGATTTCCTGAAGAACATTGGCGAAGGTGTGGCGGCCATGTTGAGCCCTCTTGGTGAGTGATAATGCTGTTAACCCTAGATCAGAGCCTCTCTCTGATTGGCTGTTAGGAGTGTTTCCAACAACTATTCTAATCTTAAACCAATCAGACGACAGGAAACAGGAAGTACTGACCATACCTGGCTTCTTTAACATGACTTTATATGATGCCTATAATCAGGAAGTGATGTCATCTATGTGCCAGGTATTGATGTGGACATTGATGTGGAACACGAAGGCCAAAGGACCAAAGTGACTCCGCCCACTGAAGGCGGAGGGGTGGAGACTGATGTGGAGATGAATGAAGCCAGCGGGGGAGGGGCCAGCAGCGAGGGCGGAGCCAGCAGCGAGGGCGGGGCCAGCAGCGAGGTTGAGGCTGCCCAGGAAGGTGCAGCCAGCAAGAAGGGCGGGGACCATGATGAAGGCGGAGCCAGTAATGGGTCAAAGGTCAGTTTTTTCATCAGCAGAGGTGCGTCAGGGATTTTAGCGCTGGTTTGAAGTAAACTGATGTTTAAATTTACCTGCACAGGTGAGCAGAGACTCTGATGAAGAGTGGACTCACCTGAGCCCCAGAGAGGTCGACCCATCTACTGGAGAACTGCAGTCCCTCCAGGACCAGGACCCGGGGCCGCCGTCTGGACAGGAGGGTCCCACCGGTTTGAGGGAGGCGGCTCTGTACCCTCACCTGCCTCAAGGTGAGACCACCCCCTGACATTTAAATTTTCCCTTGAATGTTTTAAAGGTTTGTGTTTCAGCGAACGACTAAAACCGCTCATGATTGAGTTTACGCACGGGTCAGCGTTCATGTAGACCTCGTTCTGTCAGCTGGTTTAACCTTTGACCTTTAGATCAGCTGATCATTGGTTCTGGATGTCTGTATGTGCCGATAAAACGTCATGAAAACGTACCGACTTACAAGCACCACTCCAAGATGGCGGTGGTCATTAAGCATCTAGGCATATATATATCTATGTGTTTATCTCTGTGAATGAGCTTCCTGTTGACCTGTAATAACCTTCGCCTTTGTTGACCTTTGACCCCCCCCAGAGGCCGACCCTCGCCTGGTGGAGTCCCTCGCTCTCATGCTGTCGATGGGTTTCACCGATGAGGGCGGATGGTTGACTCGCCTCCTTCAGGCCAAAAACTTCGACATCGGCTCTGCGCTCGACGCCATCCAGTACGCCAAACAGCCCCGCCCACCGCAGCCATGATGACGTCGTGATGATGTCACCTCTGATCACATTATACTTACAAATATGATTTGTACCGCAGAGGTTCCTGTAATCTATAAACCTATCTTCAGATTACTGTTATCAATAATCACAACTTCACTCTCTGTCTTTATTATCAGAACTTCATGATCAGTCTTATTGATCGGTTTCTTATTGATCTGTTTCTGTTTCGTCATCATTTATTTGTTTATCTGAGCAATAAAAACTTCAGCAAACTGACCAGAGTGTGGACTGATCAATTCACCTGTTCATAGAACCAATAAGACCCTTAAACAGATCAATAACTTAGTCCAGGTTTATTTTCATTAAAATAAACATTTAGGATGAAAAAACAAACAGTTTATATAAAAACAACAAACACTGTAAAACTTTCACAGCTACAGATCAATAAATCCACACCTGCGCTGATCACCTGATCGATCAATAGTTCAGGTCTATAAGTCATCAAAGTTAAACTCCTCCCCGCTCTCAAACATGGAGGATGGACGCAGGGGGCGGGGTCTGGACAGGGGCGGGGTCTGAGTGATTACATCATTACATGTAAAAGTGGAAGAATCCCTCACCTGTTGACTCCGCCCATCAATCAAAGGCTCCTCCCCCTCCTCCACCTGAGAGCCAGAACTGAGGAAACAAGCCCACCTGGAGACTGGACCAGAACTCACACCAGGGGGCTTCAGAACAGGGTTAGTGAAAGAACTGGACCTGTTGGGACCGGTTTTGTCCAGACCTCTTGTTCTGGATTGGTTCAGACTGGTGGTTCTAGTTTGGTTCAGACTGGTGGTTCTGGTTTGGTTCAGACTGGTGGTTCTGGTTTGGTTCAGACTGGTGGTTCTAGTTTGGTTCAGACTGGTGGTTCTGGATTGGTTCAGACTGGTGGTTCTAGTTTGGTTCAGACTGGTGATTCTGGTTTGGTTCTGACTGGTGGTTCTGGTTTGGTTCAGACTGGTGGTTCTGGTTTGGTTCAGACTGGATTGGTTCAGACTGGTTTGGTTCAGACTGGTGGTTCTGGTTTGGTTCAGACTGGTGGTTCTAGTCTGGTCCAGACTGGTGGTTCTGGTTTGGTTCAGACTGGATTGGTTCAGACTGGTTTGGTTCAGACTGGTGGTTCTGGTTTGGTTCAGACTGGTGGTTCTAGTCTGGTTTAGACTGGTGGTTCTGGTTTGGTTCAGACTGGTGGTTCTGGTTGGCTGTGGAGGTTTCATCAAACCCGGTCGGTGCTGGAAGAGTCGAGGTTTAGAGGTTAAACTGGCTGTTTAAAAAGGGGGCGGAGCTATTTACTGCAGGTTTCTTTGTACGTCAACAGAAATTTAAAGTGACAGCTGTTTATTGATCACCTGACCTCCTGTCTGAGCTGTTAGCCTAGCCTAGCACTAAACAGAGAGCAGGAGTGAAGTGAACAGGAGTGTACTGAATGAAAAGAGTGATGTCATCCTGTTACCTGTTCAGGTGTGTAGCTGTCTCTCCCTTCATCTCTTTTCCTCTTCCTGAAAAACAAATGTAAATGTTCTTTATTCATACAGCCCTTTACAACATTTCTTTCAGTGAACTTAAGTGCTTTACAATACAAAGAAAATTAAAAATGAATAAATAAAAACAATAAATAGCAATTTAAAAAAAGGATAAAATACAATAAAAAAAATGTCACCACGCTACTGGGTATTAAAATCCAGCATAAATAATTAGTTTTCAATCAAGATTTAAAAAGGTCCAGGTCTGAAATAAGTCTCATTTCAGTGGGGAGTTTATTCCAGAGTCTGGGACCAGCGACTGAAACATCTCAGTTACCCCAGTGTTTGTGTTTTGACCTGGACACCTCCAAAAGAAGTTGGTTTGACGACCTCAGAGCTCTACCTAATAGCTCAGTTATATAGATGGAGGCGAGGCCGTTAAGAGCTTTAAAAACAAACATTAAAAGTTTAAAATCAATCCTAAAAGAGACGGGAAGAGTGATGAAGGGAGCTGAGGACACGAGTGATGAGCTCACGTCTGTTAGTGTTGGTTAAAGACAAGTTGAAGGAAACGAAGAGATGATTGGGAGATGCCGACATAAAGTGAATTACAGTATTCTAATCTTGAACTGATTAGAGCGTGGATGGTTATCTCAAGGTCGTGACGGCTTAGAAACATTTTGACGTAGTTGGAAGAAACTCGTCCTGAAAACACCGTAAACTAAAGGAAACATTTAAACCTCGATGTTATGATTCAGTAAAGGGAAGGTGACTGTCTAATCGATCAATACATCGTTCTCTATAGTTTGGGTCATCTGGCTGTTGTACGTTTGTGACTGATTGTGTGTCTGACGAGGTTTTACAGTTTAGTGTCAAACACACACTTCTGTTGGTTTCAAACGTTTACCCGAGTCTGAGCCTCACCTGTTTGTCTCACCTGTACGACAGGATCGCTTGATAAAACACTCTGCTGTCATCTCTGTTCATACCTGTCAGTCATATGGTTGCCATAGTAATGCTTCCTCTCCATCAAAACATTCTCCTCATCCTCATCGTCAGGCTCCGCCTCCTTAGGTGTGTCCAGGTATTTGCTCCAGCGGCTCACCTGCGGCTGAGTCACCTGTAGAGGAAAATAAGACTATCAATAAAAATGAACGACAGTCGGAGGTAGAGAGGGCGTGTCAGTGTAGATCACTCAGAGTGGGAGGAGCTTCATCATGTTTATGAGATTACCAAACCAAACCTGCTCACCTACCAAATGTCAGTGTGTGTGTGTATGTGTGTGTGGTCACCTGTTGCTCCTCCTCAGACTCCCTCTCCTCCTCCTCCTCCTCTTCCTCCGCCTGCTCCCTGTAAACAGCCGTGAGAACATCAGCTGACAGGATGATTGACAGGTGAACATACCTGGTACATAGTTGCAGGGTGAGTTGTAGATCAGGTTGGTTACCATAGTGACCAGGTTTTGTGCTCCTGCTCCTCTATCATGGCTCCTCTCATGGCGTTCAGTTTCTGAACATGACGTCTGCAGTCCGCCCCAGAACCTCGTCCAAACTCCTGCCAACCAATCAGAGCTCAGTAAACTTTCTGACCAATGGGAGCTCAGTAAACATTATAGTCTCAGTAGATGACTGTTTAATACCCGGTTCTGCTTCTGGGTGTTACTGAAGACCCAGACCGAAGAGCATCTATAAATATCATCTGTTATGAACTGAGGTTACATGACTGAAGACTGATTGTTACCCTCAGTGTTGTAACCATGACTGCTGTAACTCCACCTCCAATCATGTGACTAGACGTGTATTTAGTAAGTTTTCAGATTCAAAGCTGTCATAGTTAGAGAAATTTAAATAGGACTTGAAACTAGGGCTGGACGATAAAATGGTAACGATATCGAAAATTAATTTCTTAATATAGATAGTAAACATGGTCAATATGCTTTTTAATAGTCGTCATTCTGCCATTATTGGTAGACTATAAAAAGGGGAGTTGCTCTGGGACGGCGCTGAACCAACCATGTGCTGAATAAGGGAAACGATAACATGACCACATCACTCCTATTCTGCCGTCCCTCCATCGGCTTCCCGTTCATTTTAGAATTCATTTTAAAATCTTTTTTTGTTTTTGTTTTTAAATCTTTAAACGGATCAGCACCACACTACATCTATGACCTTGTGATATTTTCCTTGAGATCTGCTCATCAGCTTCAACTCCTCATCCCCAAAACTCGTTAAAAAACCTGTGGTGACCGAACTTTCTCAGCTGATGAATCGAGATTAAAACATCCCGACTCTTTCTACTTTTAAATCACGTCTTAAAACTCATTTTTATTCCTTTTCGCTCAGCATGAGAGTTGTGTGATCTCTGTCCTTTTATCACTTTTATCTCCTTCTGACCTTCTGCAGAGTCTGTTTCTCTCCACACAGTTTACAGGTCCATTTGTTCACCTTCTTCACCTGTAAAACACACACACACACAGATTATAATCCAGGTTAATCCTGAGATTAACAGAGACCAGGTTAATCTAAACAGGTTTAATTAGGAGCTCCTAGAGTCCTAAAATCTACTTCACCTGGACTGAACATATCTGTATTAAAGTATCTGAGTATCTAGACTCTTTAAAGCTCAGATCCAGATCAGTGAAACCTTCTTTATTCTGTTAAAAAGTGATAAAATAAACTCTTCTTTGTTTCACCTGAAGCTAACCTGCTAACTACAGCTCTGTGTTAGCCTTTAGCTCGTCTGTTAGCCTGTAATAAACTCTTACCTGTTGAACCTGGAAGCTCTGACAGGAAAAACACCTGACGACGTGAAACTCCTGACCCATAACGGACGGGTTCGAGGTTCCGAAGTTCCCGGGTCTGTTTGAACTGCGGGAAAACCTCTTCTTCTTCTTCTTTTAGGCGGTTGGTAAACCAGCTGACAGGTGCGTTACCGCCACCTGCTGATCTGGAGTAAAACAACAGGTAAGAGGTCAGTGTTTTATCAAAGCACACCGCCTCCCCCTGCAGGCCGGAGGGGAACTGCACCCAAAGAAACAAGAAATGTTTATAGGCGCTGAAGGTTCAGACTGGTCCCACTCTGGGACCCACATTTACTCATATTCCTCAAGTCGTGACCCACTTTTATAAAATTCAAACTAAACAAATTTATTTCTTATTAAAAACATTTAAAGACATAAATACACCGTTTTTATTGAGTAAAGTGCATTTCAGAGCACATAGACTGAAGACGACAACTACTTAAGTTACATATACAGAAAATATCAAAAATCAAATTGTACAAAATGGAAACCAGTAAAATTAAAATTTGACATATTTGGATCTCTGCATTCAGAGCATATTCAGAAGAACCTGAGGAGGACAAAAGTGAATAAATATCAAATTAAACATAATAAAGACCATAAAAAACATGTAATTTTTACTGCATTAAGGCCACATTAATAAGAAACCGAGGAGGACCATGACATAATGCGTGCCTTTCAATATAAGCTAGTTTTTGAAATAAAAGACATGTCAAACATCACATTCGCATTAAATACTTACTTTTTTGACCAGCTGTTCACGACCCATCCAGATCGTGTCCACGACCTACTTTTGGGTCGGGACCCACCAGTTGAGAACCACTGGTTTAGACCATAGAAATATATGTATGGAATATAACCAAGTAGGTGGTCTAGTGTACAGGAACATCTGTGCAGAATATGGACTGGAAACCCCAAGGTCAAAATGGGAAGAACCTCCCAAGGTGATGGAGAATGACCGAGCCAAGATCCTGTGGGACTACAGACCGACAAAATGGTGATGGCCAACCAACCACACACTGTGATCATACACAAACAGCAGAGGAAAGCCATTGTGGTAGACGTCGCCATCTCAAGCAATACCAACATCAGACAGAAGGAACACGAGAAACTAGAGAAGTAACCAGGGCTCAAAGAGGAGACAGAGAAACCTGGGAAGGTGAAGGCAACAGTGGTGCCTGTGGTCATCTTGGGGGGGACTCGGGGCAGTAACCCCCACACTGGAGAAGAAGGGGCTCCAACAGATCCCTGAGGAAACATCAGAAACATCTCAGTCCAGAAGAGTGTAGTCCTAGGAACAGCAAAGATACGAGGATACCTCACGATCCCAGGCCTCTGGGAGAGGACCCGAGCTTGAAGAGACACAATACCTTCCAGAGTGGACGAGAGAAGAGTTTTATATCTATCTATCTATCTATCTATCTATCTATCTATCTATCTATCTATCTATATATATATATTTATATATTGAGAACTGTATTAAACTAAACATTACCTTCAGGTGATAAAAGGTACAGAATTAAATGACCTCATAAATCCACCAGAATCTTCAGAGACAGCAGATCTGGACTGTCCTGATGTCTGTCTGTGTTTGGACATTTAAAATTCACATTCATTCATAAAAATATCAAATAAAGACATAAATAAATACTTTAAAGTTCGGTCTCAGTTTCGCTAATTTCTTTTCAAAGGTTTTAAAACTTGTGGCACATGTGTCTAATCATAAATCTCTCATTTATTGTCGTTATTTTTAAGTATAAACTCAAATTTAAACCCTTTTTTATTATATTAAATCCGTTTCAATCTCAGCTTTTTCATCAGCCTCATTTTGACCAATCACCTCACACTTCCCCTGACACCCCGGCCAATCACAGCTGTCCACGAGGTGCAGCTCAAGGGGGGCGGGCACTGTCCACTTCGGCCGAGACTCTCCTTCCACCAATCAGCGCTTGACAGTTGACAGGAAACGTCAAACATTCGCTCGTAGCGGCCAATCAGCGTCAGCGGAAGGCGGACTCTTGATTAATTACCCCACGTGACCCTCCTCAGTAGTTCCCAGGCGGTCACAGCGGCGAGCCGGAGGTGAGTAAAGAGAGGATAAATGTCTGATTTTACCCCCAAACAGAGCGGGGGTGTCCTTTTAATGAGATATTTAACTTTAATTACACTGTCTGTGCTCTTTCATCTGTGTAAATGTTTGATTGAAGCGGTTAAATGAAGCGGAGTGTCTCCATTAGACTGACGCGCTAACTGAAGCTAATTAACCACAGGTGAACTCAGACTCTTTACCGACATTTAATCTGATATTAAGACACGAAAACACTCAAATATATGAACTTTTTATGGTTTTTACACTGAAATAATCTGTGTTTAGGAGGTTAAAGGTTCAGGCTCCTACTAATGCATGTGTTTCATAAGCAGCTAAGCTAAGCTAACTGAACCCACGGTGTGTGTGTGTGTGTGTGTGTGTGTGTGTGTGTGTGTGTGTGTGTGTGTCGGGGACGAGCTGTTCCAGTGAAGAAGACAGTCTGGAGTAAATTAGGAATAAACTAAAGATTTTAAAGAGAGTATCCAGAGAAAGTGTTTTATAGAGTCATTTCTGTAGGAGTGATCGGTCTTTATCGGGACACGATCGGGATTATAATCGGGATTATATTCAAACTTTATTTAATAACATTTACAGGATAAAATCTGTAAATTTTCAACGAGATGATGTGAGATACTTCATTCAGTCTTACTGCTTAATAATTCTTCTTTAAAAACGAGTAAAAAATCCTTGATAATCTCCATAATTTCCAGGTGATTCTTCATTTTCCTCTCAGTTTAAGGAACTATAAACCCTTTAGGAACAACAAACTTTAACATTTACAACAGCTTAATGATCCATCCTTTAATAAAGTTACAGTTACTGTTTACAGAGATTAGGCCTGGGCGATTTGACCAAAAAAAAAAGATTATATTTTTTCGTATCGTTCGATCTCGATTATTATCACAATTTTTTTTTAAACTGTCAGTTTTAAATCATCTGTACTCAAAACTAAAGAAACGAGAGATTAGTTCAACATTTTATTAACATACAAAGGAAATAACGCAAATTGAACAAGATTCACTTAGAAAAATATAAAAACATTTTAACTCAAAAGTACAACAAATGTAGATAAATACTAAATAATGCAGTGAACTAGTGAGTGTTTCTGCAGGTATAAAAGACCCAAAATAAACGAATCACTCTTCAGAGGTAATGACGACGCCTTAAAATGTAAACATTAGATGATACAATTGATCGCTGCTTTGTTCTGGTGGCTGCACCGCTAGTTGTAGCTAAACTGCTAATGCTTCTTGTCCCGTCAGCAGTGACAGGCTGTACAGACTCCGCCCACTTTTTCACGCTTTCTGCATAATCCCTTCTTCGAATGATTAAACAGATCTGTTGTGTTGACGGTTTTTGAGGCACCAATCGCCGACATACTTTACACATCGTCAATTTGGAGATATCCGAACCACCGCTACACAACCAACGATCAATAACTTTTCTTCTCAACAATTACATCTTCGGAGGATGACTCCAACGTTCAGTCATTTTGTTTAATTCTACAGTAACTTAAAGACGTGAGCAGGAAAAGCTCAACTCTGATTGGCTGTTGTGACGCACATTGCCGATATGTTTGATTGTTGATACCATGTTGTTGTTGTGGAAGTTTTTGCAGTTTACAAAATATAACAATTCAGTAATAACAGGGTTCGACAGTACGACCGTTTCACTCAGCAACAAATGTTTTTTTCCTGTAAATACGGCGGTGAAGTGAGTTTTAGGTTGGATATATTTTCCTGTAAATACGGCAATGAAGTTAGTTTTAGGTTGGATATATTTTCCTGTAAATACGGCGGTGAAGTTAGTTTCAGGTTGGATATATTTTCCTGTAAATACGGCGGTGAAGTTAGTTTCAGGTTGGATATATTTTCCTGTAAATACGGCGGTGAAGTTAGTTTCCGGTTGGATATATTTTCCTGTAAATACGGCGGTGAAGTTAGTTTCAGGTTGAATATATTTTCCTGTAAAAACGCAGTGAAGTTAGTTTCAGGTTGGATATATTTTCCTGTAAATACGCGGTGAAGTTAGTTTCAGGTTGGATATATTTTCCTGTAAATACGGCGGTGAAGTTAGTTTTAGGTTGGATATATTTTCCTGTAAATACGGTGGTGAAGTTAGTTTCAGGTTGGATATATTTTCCTGTAAATACGGCGGTGAAGTTAGTTTCAGGTTGGATATATTTTCCTGTAAATACGGCGGTGAAGTTAGTTTTAGGTTGGATATATTTTCCTGTAAATACGGCGGTGAAGTTAGTTTTAGGTTGGATATATTTTCCTGTAAATACGGCGGTGAAGTTAGTTTCAGGTTGGATATCTGACGGACATTCTCTGAGGATCTACCGGTGTCTTCTCACTCTCCATAACCGGGAATAACAACAGCAGCGCGGTTAAATCTACTCGACACCCTCACTGTCAACGTCGGTGTTGAATAAGGGACCGTCAATAAATTACCGGTTGATGTTCTTAGAAAAGGCTGTTTTCCTTCAATAGCTTCACTGTCATGTGACCAAAAGACCTCAAATTGATTTCTAATAATAGCACTAAGGTCGATCAATAAGACAAACATTATTGATCAGTTTTCATTGATCCTCTAAAGTTCTTTGTGCTCCTTACTTTTTCATTTGAGGAGAACATGTGAACAAAGTTATGGATAAACCCTGTGTAATGAAAGCTGTTTGTCATGTATATAATGTCTGAAACACGTGGACTTTCAGGCCAGAAATCTGTGAATAAATTCAGGAAAAGAGAGAAAAATCCAAACTACTCTGTTGTTCGTTTCAGTCACAGCAGGTGAAGCTCCTCAGTAACTGTTAGACTTGATCTGCGGTCATTTAATCGGTCACCATTAAAGGGATGTTGACCTTGTTTGACTGCAGCGACGTTGACGATCGTGTCCCTGTCATGCCTGCAGGTGTGATTTGTTCGCGAGGTCAAATATGAGCCGATGAAATGCAGTTAATCAGGTCGATTAATCGATCTAGTTTATCATGATTCCATCTGTATTTACTAAATCAGATCTTCTTTCTTCTTCTCAATCTTGTTTTCTTACTTGATGACTAACCGGATGTCCCCCGTGGGGATCAATAAAGTCTTATCTTCTCTTATCAGATCTTATAAAACAGGACAAACTGTCATAAATGATCAATGTCGTCTTTTTCAGACACACACACTCAGAAATTCACTCACTGCCGTATTTCTCGGCTTTGTTGCGTGACTGAGGGAGAGGCAGCTGCTGACTAACGTGAAGTTTTGTCTTTCTCCTCCTTACATCACCCGTGTTGTTCACACACAGCTGATATGATAAACTGCACATCAACTATATTTATAAACTGAAAAATGTAAGTTTAACGTTGAAGGAGATGATATTTCCACCCTCTCTCTCCGCCTGATGAAGGTCAGAGGACTGAAAACATTTTGTCTTCTTGAAATCATTTGTTTAAATAACAGAAAATAACCTTCACAGGTCCCCCCACCCTCAAATATATTCTTTTTACTCCATCACACAGCTTTACGTCAGCAGACTGGTTTGAGAAGATGGAAAAAAATCTAAAGTCTTGGCAGAAATTCAGAGGTTAACATCCTGACTGCACCAAAATTTAACTCTGATCTCTGAGCCTCCAGAGAGTCAAAACCCTCAAATACCGACGGATGAAGCGGTCTGTGGTAAATTTAGAGGGTCCAGTTCGTGTTTCTGCTGCTTTTAGGGACGTTTGTAAGATGTTTCTAATCTTGCTGCTTCTGTAAAGTCAGATCCAGGTTTGGAGGTTAAAGAGGAGCTTTAGGAGTTTGATTTACTGGTTTCGCCAGTTCAGCAGCCTGACCAGTCAAACATGCTGGTTTCTGTTCGGGTGCAGGGCGTTGTATCAGACCGCCGCCCGCCCGCCTCTGATTGGAGGCTGTGAGGAGGACTCAGCTTCAGATTCCTGTCAGGTTTCTGGAAGCTTCCAGCTGAGCGGCAGAGTGAGGAGAACGTAAACACGAGGTGTCAGGTGGAGGATTCCTCACCTGTTTGCTGCTCCTGAAAAATCCCGATCCTGCACGCCTCGAACATCCTGACCTACATCTGCAGACCGCCATCTTTGTCTGAATGAACTCCAGTCACATGACCGCGAAAAAAAACATGGAGTCACATATAAAGAAAATCTCTTCAAACAAACACGAGTCAGTTCTGTCAAACAGTGATTAAAGTATTAGAAATGATCAAACCGAGCGGCAGAGATGAGTGACAGATTCATTCATTCATTCATTCATTCAGTGTTTATATTCCTCTCTCTTTAAACAGGAAGTGACCTCCTTTCTGTTGATTTCAGTTTAAATAGTAACCCGCCCGTCCCGTCTGTTGGCTGCTGGGGGGTTAACTGGTGCCGGCTGGTAAAGGCTCATTCCGCTGTTTAACGGAGTAAAGTCGCTCAGACACGATCAGAGACGCTGAGAAGAGTTTTAATTTTATTCATTGTTTTATATATTTACTGTAAAATGACTCAAAATTCTCTGTTATGATTCATGAAAATGAGTCAAACTGACATGTCTGTCTCTTTACTGATACATGGTAAATATTAAGGGCGTCGTCTCATATTTTAGTTATGATTAAATTCTGTTCAGTTATAGTTTTTGTCCCTCAAACACCAGACATGACTGTTTTTATACACTTTGTTTAAAGTCTTTATTATTACCGAGGTTAAGTAATTATTAAAAACTCAGAGTTTTAGCACTTTGTGTGATAAGAGCAGCAATAAAACAGAATGGAGGTTCATCTGTTTACTTTATTTAGTGGGTGCTGATAAAATATACCTTTTTTTTAAAAGAAATCCTGTACGCTCCGATGATCGTGATAATCGATTGATAATTGAATCGTAGCCCCTGAATGGTGATCGAATTGTCAGGTGTCTACCCCTAGTTGAAGCACACGTCCTCTATTTACCTGGAAATCATCACTTTTTAAATTTACTGATATAAACCGCTTTATTATCATCATCAGAACAGAGTTTACACCAATCGTCGGTCACTGACTGCTTTAGATCTGATAAACGGGGCTATGCGGTGGTCAGGTTACAGTGAGAGCGCCCTCTCATGGCTTTTTAAGGTCATTATTGATAAAGATATTTAATATCAGCTGGTACGGATGATTTTGTAAATATATATTATTAGCTCTCTGTACCTCTGTCCCTAAAGCAGGAGCTGTAAGCGGTGATTTAATGGACACTAATTCAGTAATTGAAGGGACAGGTGTCTCTGTTTGTCGCCTGTGTTGTTCTTTATAATTCATCCGCTTTAAAAAGATTTCCTTTGTTTTTCTTTTTTAACTGAAACGCTAATGCCAGTGCTATCATAGTAAAAGTGTGTATAGAGAATATAAATCAGCTGTTAAACCAGAGGAACAGACTAAAGATGGATCAGCTGTGACAGCCTTTACTCGGTGGTGGTTTTTATCGGACCGTCGATCAGAGCAGCAGCAGATGTCCTCGGGCTGAACGGACTCTAATATCAGATTAAGTCTCTGACTTGAGCTCCAGGCCTGCAGTGCCGCTCCTGTCAGTCTGTGTGGATCAACAGAACCTTCAGCTGGTTTTGTGTCTCGTCTGTAAGAGACTCTGCCGGTTTATCGCCCGATCAGAGCGTCTCCAAAACCTCATTACAGTTTCAGGATATAAGACAGACGCAGGGATGGTCTGTGTCTGCGCCGTGGAGCTCCTTTGTTGTATGAGGAGAAGTTTATTTTGATTAAATCTGACAGAAACTGACCTGCAGCGTGTGGATTCATCCGCTGCTGAAAATAGTCCCCAACAAATGTAATATTTCCTCCTGATTGGTTAAAGTGAGCAGCTGATTAGGGCGCAATTTCAGACTCGAAACGTTTTTTCGCCGCTAGAAAAATGAATTAAGAGAAGCAATATTCAGGAAATAAAAGAGTTTTTTTTTTTTGCTTTTGTAATTAACTAGATTATAAAAATTGCCGTGGACTCATTAACTTTTAAATTTTAACTTTTTAGTTTTTCCTTTTTCTGTAACATTGAAAATCTTTCCTCTCAGTCCTTCAGATAATCGTGCGGGCGCTGGGCAGACGGCTTTGATGCTAAGCTAACGGCTCGTTGTGGTGGTGGTCACACCCGTCATCATTAGCCTGAATTGAACGCTGTTAGCCAGGCATGCTAATCCCGCGGCAGGTTAATCTGATTAGTCTGACAGTCTGCTGAGGAGTGCAGTGAGTTTATGCGCTCAGAACAAAAGGCTGCAGGGATTATTACTCCGTCTTTGTTAGAAGAATATTTACCTCCTGTGACAAGTTTGATCAGTCAGTTTCCTCGAATTGATCGATTATCAGATAGAGAGTGAAGTGAATAAATAACAGTGATGCTAAGGTTGCATGTGGCTGACATGCTTCCAAATTAAGCAACAGAGTGAACAAGTGATCCGTCTATTAATTATTTTTATTGTAAATGTTATTGTTGTTTTTATAAAGTAATAATGGTAATAATAATAACAATAATAGTGATAACAATGATAATAATAATAGTTATTATTGTTACAATTGTTGTTATAATGATAATAATTATTATTGTTATAATTATTGTTGTTATTACTGCTTTAAAAAAAATTTCAGTTGTTTTTTAATTAGACGATGTTATTGTTGTTGTAACCATAATAATAATAATGATAAGATAATAATAAAAACTTTAATAATAATAATAATCAATAATAATAATAATAATTAATAATAATTAATTTTAATAATAATACATTTTTTGTTTGTTTTTTAATCAGACAAAACAAAAACAGTTTTGAGGTGATTATAAATATTAATATTACAGCTAAGAAACGTCATTTTATTGTTTTCATGTGTTAAAAAGTTAAAAAGAATAAAATCATTAAATTTATTTGATCATAGTTTTGGTTAATATTGACAGAATAAAGTTTTAATGGTGGGAAACAGATCAGGGTTCATCCTCGTTTGGTTAAAATTACAGGTCAGAGTTTTTTATTTATTTATGTCTGTTCTGTGAGAAAACTCAACGTGTGATAATTATTATTATAATAATAATTATTATTATTATAATAAGAGTTTTTAAATAAATAGACGTTCAAACAGATAAAGAGTGAATACACAAACTGAGCATGTGCAGACTGGATCTGTTCTGTTTACCTGCAAACAATATAAATCAGAGTGTGTGCGTGCGTGCGTGCATGCGTGTGTGTGTGTGTTGTGCTGCGCTGCAGTAATCCCTCGGGGGGGTGATCTCATTAAGGTTTTGTGTTCTGTGGGTGTTGGTTGGTCTTCATGGTGATGGATGGATGCCACGGCAACGAGTGTGTGTGTGTGTGTGTGTGTATATCATTAGCATGTTTTTGTGTGTGTGTGTGTGTGTATATCATTAGCATGTTTTTGTGTGTGTGTATCTCAAACACAGTAGGATGTTTATGACTGTTTTTATGAAGCTGTTTATAGAAAAGTCTTCAGGGAAAATTGGACTGATCATCATCATCATCATCGTCACACCGACACCACTCTCTCTCTCTGAGTGTCTTCAGGATAAAAAAAACAACTTAACACTGAAAAAACTTAAAAAACTGGAACATTTAGTGGTTTTTATTTGTGACAGTCATCCACAGACTCGTTTTGTGAGATCAGCTGCTGTAACAAACACCTCTCCCCTCCCCCCCTCTCAGCAGACTATGGATCAGCGGGTCGGGTTGTTCATTCTTCTGGCAGCAGGCCTCCTCTGCCTCACTTTGGCCCCAGTGTCTCGGGCTGAGGACCTGGTTGAGGACGGTCTGGGTGACGACATGGACGTGGAGGACGAGGACCTGGATCTGGGTTTGGCCGGAGCTGAGGACGAGGATGAGGACCTGGAGGGGGACGTTCAAGACGAAGCTCCGTCTGCTCCTAAAACTCCTCCTGTACCGAAGGTGAGACCGCGAACAGACGAGTGTAAATGTCTGATAAAAACACGGTGAGGGTGAGTTTGGTCGAAGAGGAACGAAGAAACATGCCGACAGTTCAAACTGAAGACCGGCGTGTTTGTTTGTAGGTCCGCTGAACACTTAAGTCATTTTAACTTAAAAACTGACCTTTGTGGGAGCCAATCAGAGAGGAGACGGTTTCAGTCAGTACGTTTACACGACTCTCGAGAGAATTATCGCCTTATTCCGATTAAGGCCGGACAGCTGAAGGTCATGTAAACACCTTAGTCCGACTATAATCAGAGTCTGAGAACTCCGAACTCTGAGGGACGACGCTTAAAAGACATTTAAGGGTTAAAATGATCAGAAATAAAACAGATTTTTATGGTTTTCAGATGATTTTAAACCAACATTGTCCAACAGGTTAGTCACATGACTCTGGAGCGGGAATCTCCTCATGAGGACAACTGGACTTAGTTGAGTCCAGTTGTCCTTTCAACGAAGAATTAGAAATCATTCAGTCCGTTTCCATGACACTAAACCGAATTATCGCCTTATTCCGATTAAGACCAGACAACTGAAGGTCATGTAAACACTTTAGTCCGACTATAATCACAGTTTAAGAACTTCCAGATAATGAGATTGGAATCTGATTTTCTCTTCCATGTAACCAGCGTAGTCGGAGTATGAAGCCACGCCCCCGTAACCCCGTAACAAACTCCCAGAGTAGAGGAGTAGCGTTGGTCTCCTCTTTAGAAAAAGTAGCGCGTCCATCATGTCGGACAAAAACAACGCTGTACGATGCTCCATCTTCTTGTTTCTCCAAAATGCCCAGCAGCAGTTGTAGACACTTCTGACGTCTGACACCGACCTGCTGTTGTTGTTGACGGTTGTCTGAAAAGACCCATATCGCCCCCTAGTGTTGGGGAGGAGGACACGTTCACGTCGATAATTCAGTTTTCTCAGCTGCATGTAAACGAGGACGAGGAGAGAAGTCTGATTCAGACGAATTATGAGTTTAGTTCGATGAAACTGTGACTGTAAACCGAGTGTCTCTACTGTTCCAGTTTGAGCGAGCAGAGATGTAAAGTTTTTCACTGAAAATCTATTTATTTAGAGTCTATAAACGATCTAAGCGGCTCTTCTTTATTATTTTTTTTTGTCCTAATTGGTCAAAATACTTTCATGAGAGTAACTCAGACTCAGAAGTGTCCCTCGCTGAAACACCTGTAAAGGTGTCTGAATGTCCACCTGGAGGTGTTGGTGACTCATTAACCGTCAGCTCCGGCTCACTGACCTGCTGAACTCCTGAGTCACAGTTCATTAATGAAGCCCGTGTAAAAACCTCCAGAGATGAATCTGTGTTAAAGATGCCGTCAATAAAACCACGACGGTGACCTCGTCTCTTCTTCGTGTCCAGGTGACCTACAAAGCTCCAGAGCCGATGGGGGAACATTTCATCGCCGAGTCTTTCGACAGGGGGACTCTTGATGGGTGAGCACACCTCCGTCTGTGTTTGTGTGAGTAAATGGATCAGCTGTTGGCGCTCCATCGTTAAACCCACTCCTCTGTCTTTGTGTTAGCTGGGTGATGTCCAGCGCCAAGAAGGAGGGCGCCGACGAGGACATCGCCAAGTATGACGGTGGGTGAACGTCCTCAGAGTCTCTGTGGGTTTCTGTTGGACCTTCAGTCCAGCTGGTTCTGAGCTCATGTCTGTTTGGTCAAACAGGTAAATGGGCCGTGGAGGAGATGAAGGACAGTAAGCTGCCCGGAGATAAAGGTCTGGTCCTGAAGTCTCGAGCCAAACATCACGCCATCTCTGCCCAGCTGCTGCGACCTTTCACCTTTAGCTCCAAGCCGCTCATCATCCAGTAAGAACAGCGTCTGTCTCATTTCTTCTCCCCGTTTTCCTGACGGCTCGTTCACCTGTGTTTTCTTCGTCTCTTCAGGTACGAGGTGAACTTCCAGTCAGGTATCGACTGCGGCGGCGCCTACGTGAAGCTGCTGACTCAGACTCCTGATCTGGACCTGGTAGGTTTGACCCGTTACCCACGAAACCAGAACTCGAGTGTTTGCATTGATCAGTAAGACCTCCATCAGGTTACCTCAGGTCACATCCAGAATGATCTTTCTGTGGAGGTCACCCACACACCTGTGGACGGATCACAACAGCAGAAACTATCAGAGTCCAGAACCAGGTCTGCTGGGTTCACTAACAGTTGTGGGTTTCAGTACTCGATATATGAAGACTTAAGATAAATCATCACGTTTTATGGAATCGGCGATTGACGACTTAAAATCCGAAATAAATCTTCAGCCATGAAATAAGTTCACGTTTGTTTTGATCAGGGTCTTTTTATTTAGTTTTACAAATTTAGTTTACAATTGAACAAAAGTCCAACAGAACATCCACCCCCACAAATACAGACTTACAGAATTCACAGAGTGACATCCATCGTTCAGAATACTGAATTCACATGTAATAATAATAATAATAATAATAATAATAATAATAATAATGATGATGACGATGGTGACTGAGGACAACAGCAGAGGTTTATAGGACTGTATTGTCTGCCTCCATATCCAATCACAGTTTATTTATAAAACAAAATAAAAAGAGCCGGACAATTAACACAAACAATAAAACAAAGACACAGGAACACGTTAAAAACAGGAGGACAGAGATGGTTCAGTGAAAACAGGATTAAAAGGACGAGTTCTCAGGAGTTAAAGTGAGTTTTCAAGTTTGATTTAAAAACAGGCAGTGAGGGGGACAGACGGACATGAAGAGGAAGAGCGTTCAGAGTTTAGGCGCAGCAACGGAAAAGCCTGGTCACCCCTGAACTTTAACCTTGACCCACGAACAGTCAGAAGGTCAGAGGATCTGAGAGTCCGAGATGAAATATAGGGTTTTAAAATCAATCCTAAAACACACAGGAAGCCAGTGAAGAGAGGCTGAAATCGGGGAAATGTGGTCATATTTACGGCGGCCAGATAAAACACGATAAAGAGGGCTACAATTATCAAGACGAGTTTGAGTGACACCAAAATAAAGAGCACTACAATAATCAAGACGAGTTTTGATAAAAGCATGTATAACCAAAAAAGACTTGACTTTGTTTAAAAGACGAAGATGATAAAAAACTGACTTTATCTGTAGATCCATTTTCAAACCTCCGTCCATCATAACCTCCAGATTTTTGACCGAGTCTTTAAAAAAGGACTCAAAGGTGGACAGATCTGCTCTGGGGTCCAAAGACGATCACTTCAGTCTTACTCTCGTTTAATTTTAGAAAGTTGAGAGCCATCAGGTTTTAATGTCCCTCAGACTGTCCAAAGGTGGGCGCAAGGCATTTGAAGCTCCTAGTTTCAACAAACATCAAGAAAAGCTGCCAAAAAGATTTCTGAGTAGACCCTCTGATTTTGTATCTAATCTTCTCCAACCTGATATGGTCCATGATTTCTCTAACTTCATGTCTGTATGTTGGAGGTGTTGATATCAGTCTCCTAACTAGCAGAGAGCAGAAAACACTGTTTTTCTTTCCCACATCTCAAGATGGAGTCTGTCTGGGCTTCACCAAACACCACGATGAATGTAAACGGTGCAGAGATCTTAGAAAAGGTCTCAGAGACGGGCTGCCAGAAACTGCAAAGCTTTGACATGTCCAGAACTCGTGTAAGAGAGCGGCTGGATCTCACCTGCATCTGTTACAAATCAGGTCTATATCAGCATTAATCTAAGAGTCTAACTTTAGACCAGCGCAGACGGAGGACAACTTTAAACTGAATGACAGCATGTCGGAGACAAACGGACGACGAACAAATTCGCTGAATTATTTTGTGCCGAGTTTCGTCTGTGATTTTCTCGTTTAAATCTGTTTCCCGTTTATTTCTGAGGAGGTCTAAAGGCGTCGAGTTCTGAGAAGACAGCGTTTCCTGTGTTGTGATACCGTTCCTCTTCTGGACCACATATCAAGGCTCTGAATCTGTGTGTGTGTGTGTGTGTGTGTGTGTGTGTGTCCTCAGGATCAGCTGGTGGATAAAACCCCGTACACCATCATGTTCGGACCTGACAAGTGTGGAGAGGATTACAAACTTCACTTCATCTTCAGGCACAAAAACCCCAAAACAGGCGAGTTTGAGGAGAAACACGCCAAGAAACCCGACGCCGACCTGAGGACCTACTTCACCGACAAGAAGACCCACCTGTACACCCTCGGTAAGACGCGCGCACACACACACACACACACTGGGTCACAGTCCAGCCGTGTAACTCTGCTCTCTGTCGCCCCCCAGTGGTGAACCCTGATAACAGCTTTGAGGTGCTGGTGGATCAGACCGTGGTGAACAGCGGCAGCCTCCTCACAGACATGACCCCCCCTGTGAACCCTCCCGCTGAGATCGAGGACCCCGAAGACCAGAAACCTGAGGACTGGGATGAGAGACCAAAGATCCAGGACCCCGCCGCCACCAAGCCCGAGGACTGGTCAGTACTCAGAGAGGAAGGAGAGCGGGTTCGACTTTGATGATTAAGGTGGATTAGGACCAGAACAACAATGAAGGGAGGAACTTTTAGAGGCGCTGACAAAGTCTGGGGTCTGGACTTTAGGGATGAATGGATTCAGAGTTAATGAGATTAAAGAGTCAGTCAGTAATTTTACTGTCGGAGAACAAAACGTCTGACGTGATTTTAAAAACCTAGATCGAAGTTTCTTGTGTGTGTCCCCCCCGTGTCTGTCTTCAGGGACGAGGACGCCCCCGCTCAGATCCCAGATGAAGACGCCGTGAAACCAGACGGCTGGCTGGACGATGAGCCCGAGTACATCGGCGACCCCGACGCCGTCAAACCTGAAGACTGGTGAGTTTGACCCGCCCACCTCTGTGACATCAGAGCCTGAAGACCCGGGTTCATGAAAGTCCAGATCCTCTGACCGTGTGTTCTTACTGTCTGTCAGGGACGAGGACATGGACGGCGAGTGGGAGGCCCCTCAGATCCCGAACCCCGCCTGTGAGTCCGCCCCCGGCTGCGGCGCCTGGAAACGACCAATGATTGACAACCCCAATTACAAGGGGAAGTGGAAGCCCCCCATGATCGACAACCCCAACTACCAGGTACGCTGTAGACCCCCGATCTAAGAAAACCCGAGTCAGAGAAGAACCGCCGTTTGAGGGTCCTGAACTGTTTGTGTTTCCAGGGCGTGTGGAAACCCAGGAAGATCCCCAACCCGGCGTTCTTCGAGGACCTGCAGCCCTTCAAGATGACCCCGTTCAGCGCCATCGGTCTGGAGCTCTGGTCCATGACCTCCGACATCTTCTTCGACAACTTCTTCATCACAGACGACAGAAACACGGCCGAGCGCTGGGCCACGGACGGCTGGGGTCTGAAGAAGGCAGCAGAGGGCGCCGCTGAGGTGAGTGTGTTTCTGTGTTTGAGGTCCCGCCTCCTTCATGTATCTGAAGGTGTTGTGTAGTTTGTGTGTGTGTGTTTGTGAACACTGTGTTTGTTGTGCGTTTGTGTTGTTGCAGCCTGGTCTGGCCACACAGATGCTGAACGCTGCAGAGGAGCGTCCGTGGCTCTGGGTCGTCTACGTCCTCACTGTGGCTCTGCCGCTCGTCCTCATCATCGTCTTCTGCTGCACTGGAAAGGTAACACACACGCACACACACACACACACACACACACACAAATGAATGAATGAATGAATGAAACTTTTTATTCAACCAGAAAAAAACTCATTGAGGTTAAAAATGTCATTTGTAAGAGTTTTCTGACCAAGACAGGCAGCAGTACTTTTACAAAGTTACAGACATAAACAATTACAGACACTTACAGACATAACAACCAGCTAAGAGCAGAACATTTTTAGCCTGCTTACAGCCTGCTCCATCTTTACCTTTAATCTACATTTATAAAGATTTAAAGAGACTCAGTTTTTCTTGTAGCAGATTCCAGTTTCTGCAGGAGCAGCAGATCGAAAACTTCTTCAGTCCGTTTCAAGATGAACTTTCACAGATAATAGGCCTGAACGATATATCGTTTGACTATCGTCATCGCGATGTACGTGTGTGCGATAGTCACATCGCAGAGCCTGCGATATTGGAGGTGAATGAACTCATTTAATTTCAAGGGTAACCGACTGAGATACACTCCATGTGACTCTGCATGTGCTGTGCAGCGATCCACCAATCGCCTTCGTCCTTAACTCAGTTGCCAATCAGACTCACTTCTCAGCTGCCAATCAGACTACCCTGCCAGCTGTCAATCAAAATCAGGGAGGAGAAAACCCACCCCTGCACATGTTCTGCACATGGAGGGAGACGTGTGTCCTCTGAGAATTACTTTCGGAACTTTACTCATGACTATTAAGCCCAACAAATAAGAACTGTATGGGTTTTAAATTGTACATTTCCGTGGACCACTCTACTATAAGCGGTGCGCGTTTTGCGAGGTGCATGCAATTCTCGGAGGACATGCGTTTCTCGGCACAACACCGCTAACAACAACACCAACGATCGCAAAATGAACAACGAACAAGCGAAAACCACCGAAAATGAAGATTTGTTGCCAAAAAGAAAAGGAAAGTCAGTTATCTGGAATTATTTCGGTTTAAAGAAGGATGATGTCGACCAAAACACGTCTTCTGTGTTCATCTGTTTCCACAATAACGTCCCAGCACAATAAAAGCTAAAAAATATCTCTGAGACAGACAGAAGCCATTCTACTAACATTCACAAAAAGAGGTAAGATCAGAGCAGATTAACTGTCCTCAAGATTTCAGCAGTGCAGCATAACATTAAGTGCTATTCAGGTCATCTGGTGAAAATACTGTATTTTTAATATCGCAATATATATCGCAGGGTTGAAAAAATCGCAATGTTAGTTTTTTCCAATATCGTGCAGCCTTAACAGATAACAAAAGTAGATTTAGTGTCTGAGTTGCCGGTCGAAGGCTGTATCTTCCAGAACTTTTAACATGAAAACAGTTACACAGGTTTGGTGGAAGCAGGCCGAGTAAAGCCTTATAAATCAGGATGTTCCAATGTTTCAGTCCACGCATGGTTGGAGAGGGCCACCCAACTCGTTCAGACAGAGTACAACGATGAGTTAAAGATTTGAGGTTTGTTATGAACCGTAGAGCTCCGTGACAAACAGTTTTCAAAGATTTAAGGCTTTGAGAAGATGCATGAATGTATAAAACATCTTCATAATCAATCAGAGGCGTGAAAGTAGCAGCAACAAGAAAAACAAGACTGATGTCTGAAGTCAAAGCCCAGCCGCAACCTAAACTTCTTTACAAGCTGCTCAATATGACGGAGAGTCATCGATCATGGACTTCAGATATTTATTAGAAGGTACAGACTCAGTCACATCACCCTGGGCTGGAACAACAGACGGCAGGATCTGTGAGCTCCGTTTTAAGCTTGTGAACATCATCAGTTTTCCTTCAGGTCCCTCAGGTTGAACAATGTTAAAGACGTCCTGCAGCAGACAAAGGGCTTGATTCTGGGTGAGAGACATAAATAACAGTATCGTCTGCATGTGAATGAAAATTAGCATCTGGAACATGATAACAGACGATACTGTATACTGATACTGACACCTGCAGACTAAAAGCAGCGAGAGTCCTGATTGGAGGAAGGATCCTGGAGTCTGCAGCGTCCCCGCTCCTGACATCTCAGTCTGTGTGTGTTTGTGTTTTTGTGCGTGTGTGTGCGACGGTCCACAGAAGTCTGCAGCTTCAGCTCAGGGTCAGCTGACTCTCACCAACTTGCAGGAAGACTTAAAAGACGCCGGACGCCCTAAAGGCCGCTCATCGTCCTCCTCGGTGACTGACGCTGCTGCTGCTGCTGCTGTTAGAGTAGCTCGGTGTTTGTGTGTCTGTGCTGCTCCTGTGGTGCTGTAGTGTAGACAGACGTCTGTTCGGTCTTCTCGTGGGTTTGTGAAACTTTAGACAGAAACGTCTCCGGTGTGTTTTTAGTTTTAAGAGATCTAAAACTGCTCGTCTGAAACTCGACAAAATAAAGAGACGAACTTTAAACCGTCAGAAAGACACCAAAGATTTTAGTTTCATCTTTGAGTGGATCTGAGTGTTGAACTGTTGTCCCGTTTTTATTCTGCAGAAGAAGAGCCCAGAGACGCCGGCAGCAGAGTACAAGAAGACGGACGAACCTCAGCCGGACGTGAAGGAGGAAGAGGAAGAGGAGGAAGAAGAGAAGCAGCAGCAGGAGGAGGAAGAAGAGGAGGCCGAAGAGGCAGAGAAGAGCAGTCCAGGTTGGTCTCATGTCCAGACTCTGAGACCAGGGTCCGACTCACCAAGTGTGCTTACAGAGTTTTTTCTATAAACCGCAGTTCTTCAGGTTCATTTGACTTTGTTTGTTTTCCAGCTGCAGAAGAGAAAAGTGACGGAGAGGAAAGTCCTGCAGAGAAAGAGGACGAGGACGCAGAGAAGGAGGAAGAGAAGGAGGCATCAGCTGATGACGTAAGGGCGCAAGTTTACGTTTTTCACTTTCACTCAGGAGGGTCAATACGGACGCCGTTAGAAGGTTTTTTTGTTTGATTTCGCAGCTGTTTTTTTTTTCACTCCTGCGATTTAAATATCACATTTGTATATTTCTCATAAATAAATGTCTAATTCATGTATTTCTAATCTGTATTTGTCACATTCATATATTTCTGAAACGTACATTTCTCATTCTTATATTTGACATTCATTCATCACTCATACATATATTTCTAATTTATTTATTTCTCATTTATATATTTTTCATACCTCTATTTCTCATATTTATACGTCCCAATTATATATTTCTCATTTGTTTATTTCTTATAAGCACATGTCACTCATACATATATTTCTCATATATTTATTTTACATTCATAGATTTTTCATTGGTATATTACTCATTTGTATATTTCTAATATGTATATTTCACATTCATGTATTTCTAATACTTATGTTTCTCATACATATATTTCACATTCATTCTTCACTCATACATATATTTCTCATTTATTTCTCATTTACATTCTCATATATTTCTCATTCATATATATTTGCAATACAAATATTTCTTATTTAAATAGTTTTCATTTATATTTTTCTAATTTACATATTTCTCATGTGTATATTTCTCATACATTAATTTCTCATATGTGTATTTCTCATTTGTATATTTATCATGTGTTTATTTCTCATTTATGTGTTTCTCATTCATATACTTCTCAAACGTACATTTCTCATACATATATTTCACATTCATTCTTCACTCACATATATTTCTAATTTATTTCTCATTTACATTCTCATATATTTCTCATTCATATATATTTATACGTATTTTGCACATACTAATATTTTTTATTTAAATATTTGTCATTTATATTTTTCTCATTCATATATTTCTGATGTGTTTATTTCTCACGCCTGTCCAGTAACCTAACCTGTCCTGTTTTCTGCTCTCCTGTAGAAGTCGGAGGACGACGTTCTGCGGAGATCTCCCAGGAACAGGAAGGTCAGAAGGGACTGATATCTCTGACCCCACAGCCCTGAACTCCCCCCTCCTCCCTCCCTCCCCTTTCCTCTAGATTCCTCTCCTCCTCTCCTTCCCTTCTCTCCTCCTCTCCTCCGAGGCGATGAAGCCTGAATGGAACCTGTTTGAAGCAGTGAAGCCTGCAGGAACCCGATCGAGACCTCCGATATGGAAGCTTGATGATGACGAAGATGAAGATGATGATGATGATGATTCCAGTGGGAACAGGACTGAGTTAGTGAGATTTACTAAAAGGATTTTTGTTTCTGAAAGAGATTAACTAAAACTTCCTGCATCATTCCTTAACAACACCTGAGCAGACTCAAACCTGCGAGATCCACGTGTCTGACGCATCGCTCCACGCCTGACGCCATCCTGAGCTAGCTTCGCCCGACAACAACAGCCCGCTAACCCGCCCGCCGCAGGATCACGAGCCTCCTGACTAAAAACGCTGCAGAGACCATCAGGTCTGCAGAGTGTCGCTTCATCGCCTGTTTAAACCTGAGGAGCTGAAAACAAACAGGGACGCCGAGGTCAGACTACCACGTCTTTGTGTAACCAATGGAGACTGGTGCACCAACAGTGATGTCACGCTTTTGATTAGATTTGATCTTTAAAGAAATTAGAGAAAATAAAACATTTAATCTTCATAATTTAACATAAAAAAAAACACGATACAACCAAGATGGAGCAGTCCTCTCTCTCCCTTCAATATCATTCAATGTCCAATTAGACCATCAATATCAAAAACAAGGGGGCGGGGCTTAATGAGCCTCGGCAGCGTCGTCAGCAGGGGGAGCTCTAAGTGTTTAGATGATGTTGTCTTCTTGTTGGGATTATCATCGTGCAAATATTGTGTCTGACCTCCGCATAAAAAAAAAAACTCGCTGCAAAATTCTGCCTACTAACAGCCTGCTGGTCATGTGACGACGAAGGTTACGCAAACGGTCAAATCTGCGGGGCGTAGAAACAAGCTTGTGAGCAAGTCGAGCAATTTCTCAGTTTAATGGAAGTCTTATAATTATTCTCATAAAAGTGATAAAAACGAACCTTTAAAGTCTAATAAATCAGGGAGCCGTCTTCCTACTTCGGTAATCACCTGTCCTTCTGTCGGCACGAGTCTGCGAAAGCATCAGCTGACCGACAAGCCCGCCCACATGGAGACAAACTGTCCAACAGGAGCTTTTCGGAGCGTCATCGAAAAAGTGTTTGCAACTGTATAAAGATGGACTTGTGTCTCCACCTCCTCTAGCTGTTCAAAAGTGAAGCTAAAATAACTCGATTCATCGTCTCAGCCCCTCAGGTGGGTCCAGTTCCTCCTCTGCCCTGATTATCTGGTGCACACAGCTCTGCAGGAGCCTCATTGGTCAACAGAGCTGTCAATCATGGTCAAGTCAGTCCAGAAAATGAACACTTGGAGATAATTCGGCCTGATAAGAGCCGACGCTAACGACTGAACCCAGATTTGAGAAAGCTTCATGACACCTGGATTTTACAGTTTGACCCATGTCCCATCTGTTAACATGGAGGAGGCGGGGCTTATGGCTCTTCAGCCAGTCAGCAGGGGAAGTTCAAAGTGTTCTGACTTTAAGGAGCTGCCATGTCGTCGATCTTCCAACATCCCGATATTATTCGTAATAGTCGTTTTGTGTTTGTTATTATCCGATCAGCTGTTTAATTAGAGTCATTAACGTTTTTTTCTAACACGCCCACACGTTTTAACGTACTGATTAAAGACGAGCGAATCCGCAGACTAACAGACGTGTGTTTTTACTCTTTTCATGACTTTACTGATGACCCATCGTTCATCCTGAAACACTCCGGATGAGTTTTCTCGCTTTTTCACGTCGTGTTTTTTTTTTTCTGTCGTTTCTGCGCTGAGCCGTTCGCGTCACGATCGAGACGCTGGGACGAGTGTTTCTACGAAGGTGTGTTTTCTTGTCCGGGTGGTTGCAGTGAAGGTCAGAGGTCAGATGATTGTGACCTTCAGCAGCAGCAGATGATCTTCAGGTCGTTAAATTCGCCGTCACATTCGTCTGGGTTTAAACTCGAGCAGGTGGACAGACACCCAGTCCTTCTTTCATCGACCCCATTTGAAAAGAAAAAGGCACTACGGGACAACTCAGGCGCTTAACCTCACAGCTGTCCACCTGCCGCACCTCCACCTATCAGACGCCTGACTCCACATCAGATCAGCCCCCATGTTTAAAGAGATGGCACTTGAGCGTCTACATTCAGTCTTTTTCTTTAATTCGCCTCCATAACACCAAATTATCTCCACTCAAGTCCATTAATCTGAGCTTCACCTCAGGGTCTCCAACAGCAGGTGGAGTTTTTTTTAGGTCTTCAGGAGGTTTAAAGGATGAAGTCGAGTTTCTCAAAAAAACACCCTCACAGTTCAGACGTTTTGATATTAACATCCTGCAGTTCTAAATTCTGGTTATTTCTGCTGATGGTTAAGATATAAAGTTCAGAAATATCGGAGAGAGACGTGCATTCCCACTTGTAACCAGAGGTGTCGCCAGAATCAAGTATCAGTCGTATATTTGTTAAGCCTGACTTTTTGCATCTGCTGCTGCTGCAGGTTAAAACAGTCGACTGTCAAACTTCTGATCTGAAACTTCACATCAGTGTTGTTGACTCTCTGACCTCCCCTTCAGCGCCACCATCTGGACAAAATGTGCAGTTTGACTTCTGCTGAGAGTCTCCGAAGGATTGAATGATCATTTGAAAATCACACATGAGAAATAAAGATTTTTTTTCCTCGACGTGAACTCTTCGGGTGAGAAGCTCTGGGCTGTTAACCTCTTCCTGCGAGGAGTCGGGGCGCTGTTTTGGAGAGATGACCTGAGCGGTCTGAAATAAAAGTTTGTTTCTGACTCTGAAAACTTCACGGTTGTTTCTGTTCTGGGATCGTGAGCTTCTGACACTCATTTTGTTTGTTGGTACTTCAGGTGACTGATGATAAGTGAGCTCTGCTGTGATTGGCTCCTGGGTTTTATTCGGGTGGGCGGGGACTAAGCATGACGTCAGAAGTTAGTGTCTGGTTGTGGGTGTGTTCAGATTCTGGGCCTCCCTGCTTTCATGTCAGGCGACCTTTAACCTTTGATCCCCCCTCTCGTAGACCGAAGTTTCGCCGCGCTCTGCTGCTTCGACCTCATTTTTCTCTTTTGGATCTGATTTTGTTCTGAAGCAGCAGCAGCGCGATATTCCCATGGAGGATGTTTCAGCCGCCTCTTCACGGTCTCCCTCTTCTTCTTCTTTTTTTTATTCTTAGTCTCTCGATCTTTCGTCGTCTCTGCTCGTGCGTCGGGTTGAAGCTGCCTAGCTAAGCTAACAGACCGTAGACTGAACACTGTACCTGCTGGTGAAACTTTACATGACTCTGTAACTCTGTACTTTTGATTTTTGTTGGACTCTGTATTTGAACTAAACTAACGGTTGGCCCAGCCTGTTTCTGATGTACACACTCTGTAGGGAGGTGGACCTGCTCACACACACAGACACACACACACACACACACACTTTGAATAGAAAAACTGTGACGATGGAGCCTCCTGTGTGCGTGTGTGTGTGTGTGCAGGCGTGTGTGTTTGCAGACGTGCAGTCGACTTTGTTTTGATGAATAAAAAGGCCAAATGGAAACAGAACAGTTGTTTTTCTCTCATTTCAGCTCATATGTAAATAAAACTCAAACATTTGACTTTTTTGACTGATTGAAGTTTATTTTGAACATATAAAAAAAAGTAAAGAATTCAACAAAATATGACAAAAAGTTATTCAAGTTCAAAAAGGAGTGGGAAGAAGTCGACTTACCTAGTTCCGCCCCTTCTCCTACACTAACGGTTCAAATATATACCGTAATATTATCTAATATTAAACATCATAGTAATAATAGCAATAAAAATAATCACCCAAGTAAACAGAAATAATCCAGAAAACTGAGAAATGTGGAGATAAGCATCACGTTTGTTTTTTAACTGTATTTTTATGAATACTTTTAGTTTTTCAAAATACTTGTAAAGAGTGAAATAAAGGAAAAGAACAGGAAACATAAACATACAGATATTTACTGTTACACAGGAGGAGAAGAATCATAGTAACAGTGAGTTCATCTCAAGAGGAAGGTCCAGGGTTTAGAGATATTCAGTCATTTTTGTTCCATTTGTCCTTCATATCAATACAGGACTGAAACATCCTCGCCTTCGTGCCCAACAATACAGAGAGAGCTTATCAAATAGGACAGTAGGGGGCGCTGTACTCAAGCAGAAAAGAAAATAAAGGAAAAAAAAGAAACAGAGCATTATCAGTTGTCATTAACTGCCTCCTGATGTGATAAAATCACATTTAATCAGGATGGGTTTTCCATTTCCTCCACAGTCTGGTGAATTTGTCCGTTCACAGGTTCAGGTTTCTCCATGTCGTGTATTTCTTTCAGAATTTCAGTCCACTCCTCTTTAGTCTGGGTCTCTTTTGACAGCCATCTTCTTGAAAGAGCTTTTTTACTGGCCACCAACATTATTTTTAATCAAGTATTTATCAGCAGTATTGATTGTGGAGGAGATATTATCGAGATAAAAAAGTCATTTTTAATCTCAAAGCCGACCACTGAATTAATTTTCTTCACTCCAACCTACCAGTAGGAACGTAGAATCGGACAGTTTCACAAGACGTGGGAATGATCCACCTGAGCGTTTCCACACTCTCTCCAACATTTTCCAGAACTCGTCTGTCCTTTCTGAGGTCCTTTAATTTTGGGAGTGATAGAAAAATCTGATTATGTTCTTCCAAGGTTTTAAAATACTGACTCGGCTGCATGTCCACAGATCAGCTGGAACAGGACCACTGACATGAGAAGTGAGTTGATATTGGGGGTAACAGAGGACCCTCTTGAATGTCTATAATTAGTAAATGCAATATAACAGAGCCGTGTCTGCTTCACTGGAAATTACAAGACAAACGCCAAAGAATCTGCATTTCCAAGGGGACGTGTCAGAAAAATAAAACTGCATCTGACAGAGAGTGTGGTCCTCATTTTCTTCTACATCTTTTACTTACAGGGAGTCAGCAGCTTTCAACAGCAACAGCGTCCTCTGACTGAGGAGTTCAGATTTTTACACATGTGGCATGACATTACGACAGTATCCAGTATGGTCCAGGTTGCAGCTGTGGTCTGTACTGGGAGAACAAAGACAGTTTAGTTCATCATCAGGTTCCTCCTTATCAGTTCAATGTCACACTGTTGGAAAAACAACCTGTGAGTGAAATTACAGCTTTCATCGAGCTGCATGGTTTCAGCGGAAGAGTATCCGTCCCAACTCCAAGGCCAAACTTCTCCTTTCCCATGCTCATTAAAAAGACACAGATGTAGGGGAGAGCGGGGTAAGATGATCCATGTTTCATATTTCAGATCACTCCATCAAGTCAATCCTAGTTTTGTCTCTAACTCGTGTATCTGCAGATATTTCAGGATGTTGTTCATCCCTGCAAACCAACAGAATGAGTGTAAACAGAACTGTCATCTTCAGAAGAGAGCAGGACAAAGAAAAGTGGTCTGCACCTCCGAGTCCGAGGTCATGGTCCTCAGTCGGAGAAAGGTAGATCACCTTCTCCAGGTTGGAGGGGCGGTCCTGCCTCAAGTGGAAGAGTTCAAGTATCTCAGGATCTTGTTCATGAGTGAAGGTAGGATGGAGCGGGGGATCATCAGGTGGATCAGAGCGGCGTCAGCAGTGATGCAGACGTTTAACCGATCAGTCGTGATGAAGAAAGAGCTGAGCCGTAAGGAGAGACTCTGGATTTACCGGTCGATCTCCGTGCCGATCCTCACCTATGGTCATGAACTTTGGGTAATGACCGAAAGAACAAGATCGCAGATACAAGCGGCTGAAATGGGTTTCCTCCTCAGGGTGTCCGGGCTCAGCCTTAGAGATAGGGGAAGGAGCTCGGACACTCGGGAGGCGCTCAGAGGAGAACCGCTGCTCCTCCACGTCCAGAGGAGTCAGCTGAGGTGGCGCGGACTTCTGGACGCCTCCCGTTAGAGGTGTTCCAGACATGTCCCACCGGGAGGAGACCTCGTGGCCGGCCCAGGACCAGGTGGTGGGATTATATCTCTCGCCTGGCCTGGGAGCGCCTGGGAATCCCCCTGGAGGAGCTGGTGGAAGTGGCCGGGGTGAGGGCAGTCTGGGCTTCCCTCCTGAAGCTGCTGCCCCCGCGACCCGGACCCGGATGGTGCGGAAGAAAACGACGATGACAACTATAGTTTATCTTTTTGTTATACAGAAAAACAAAATATTGACTCATTTTTTTGTTTTTCATTTACTAGATTGAATGGAATAATTGAATGGACGGATAACACACAGACCCTCAACTTACCCTTTGGCTCAACTTACCCCAGTCTCCCCTACTGATCTGGTGCTAGTAAGGTAATTTGGTCTTATAAAATGTAGTCTTATTGAAACAGAAAAAAAATATATGACCACAAAACAGTCTGTGTTTTAAAACTTGTATGAATAACGTGGAAAAAGAACTTAAATTTTTTTTTTTTCAGTTTTACCCGAACTTGATTTTATTTCCCGTCAGTAATGAGCTCATTTTGTTGGAACATATCTCATCTTTAACTCAACCATCGACCAAAACTTTAAAATTTAAAAAAACTACAACTGCTCCGATAGAAACTCACCCGGAAGTGGGCGGGACTCCGGTGCTACTTCATTGATTCTCGCTGTCAATCATCGTCGGACGCCTTGTTCCCCGCCCCCGCGACAAGTAACACATTAAATCAACAATTTAATCGTTTAATATAGAAAATCGTGTTGTGTTGGTGTCTCGTTTTGTTTTAAATTACTTTTTACTCCGGCTCTCTGGCTCGTATTTACTCTTAAATACTCTGTCGTTCCTAAATCCTCGCTCTCGGTTGGTTGTTTGTGCTGTCAATCACCGAAGAGGCGGGAGCAGGGACATTCCTCTTGTCGCTGGTGGAAAAAAGAGAAAGTTTCCAAGATGGCGGCGTAGACCTGCCTGTCCGCTGGAAAACAATAGAAACAGAGGGACAGAGTTAGCCTGTTCGAACCGACACCGACCCGTTATTCCTATTCACTTCCCGGCTCGGGCTCGACCAGGGTTGAATTATCCGCAGCAGCGTCCCCCCGGGGAGGAGGTTATTTTAAAGCGTAAAAATGTTTTATTTAAATGTTTGTAGGCTGCTCCTCCTAAGCTAGCTAGCCAAACAGAGAGTTAGCAGCAGCAGCTAACGGAGGATCAGCTGTTAGACAGACAGATGCTGTAGAAGAACGGACAGCAAGACTTCCACAGTAAGTATATTTTAAACACAATCACGCTTTTATCGGGTACTAAGATACGGGTATTGATTGACGTGTGTGGGTTTGAAAATTTCGACGAAATTATATCTTTACAAGCGGAGTAATTCCTGCCAAGTTTGAATGTCGCTGAAGTTAGTGTCATGTTCGTAGTCTTCCATTCGGCTCAAAAACCCTCTTCTAGACTTGTCAGATACGGACTAGGTTATTAAAAACACACACTTTTTTTCTTAAAAACACATTTTAAACATTTATTTATTAATGTAAATAGAAAAGAAATGATCGATATCCATGTTTCACACATTAATAAACATCCTGATCCAAAACACCAACACTTAGACTCTTTATGTTTGGATTTAATTGATCCAGAATTGATTTATGGACGTTTAAGCATCGTTAATGTGAATACATACTCATTTTGTGAGTATTTAAAGTTTGGCAGCTTAACTAGTTTTGTCACTTTTGGACCACATTAAATCAGATCCTGATCCAACACCACGGTCCCCAGACTTCTCAGATCTGGATTAAATTATTCCAGAAAGGCTCAAGACAGTTTGAGATATAGTTTAATGTTTGTAAGAGCTTTTTATACTTGTGAAAATTAAATTGGAGACGATTTCACCCCGTTTTCTACATGTACTAATACCACACTAACTTCAGCGCCGTCAAGTTTGTGAAGAAGCTAAGCTTGTTAGCTCCGAGCTAACTACAAATACTTGAGCAAAATAAAAGTTTCAGCCAAGTTGGAGACTTTATTATGATGTTTTCGCTGATTAAATTTAAAAATCGATTTCTGCGAGGCATCGAAATGAGAAACAGAGTGGATAGATTTTGAGAAAAAGCCGATTTAAAGGCTTGTGTGATAGTTTTTTGGGGGATTTTCGACGCTCCAACTTTGATTCAGAGTGGAGGAATGTGCTAACCTAACTTCGCTCAGTTTGGGCAGTTTGAGGGTGAAAAAGTCCCTTTTTCATTGATTCCTATTGTTAATTAGTGTAAAAAACGGTGAAGGGTTTGTCTGTAAAGTAGCAGGCGTGGGTTTGTTGTCATAGAAGAGGATAAATGGTCTGTTTGTGTGTGTGATTTTGGGGTTAAACTCGGGCGGAATGTGGCTCTATTAAGAAGACTCCTCTGTTTTATTACACAGCTACTTAAACGAGCTGCTGTATGACATAGAAAATAAGGCTGATAGTAGAAGAAGCCTCTGGGGTTAAAGTGTGTAAGATGCACCCAAAAACCTTCATTTTCCTCTCCGGCAGTGAGTGAAGGCCATTAGCAAGACAAAGGTCGCCTGCATGGAGCCAGCACAGGAGTCTTTGTAAAGGGCGAGGGGGGGTGTATAGACGCCCAGAGTGAAAAAGAGCCTAATTCAGCGTTTTATGGACGCAACCTGAGCCGGGAGTTTACTACAAGTCTTTATTGATGATGGCGGATTTTGTTACACCGCGACACAGCGCGGTGATGGAGAGGCTCCGCCGGAGGATCGAGCTCTTCCGGCAGCATCACAACAGCTGCGAGAGCCGCTACGAGAACGCGACGCTGGAACGACTGGAGCTGGAGAGGCAGCAGACCTTCGCCCTGCACCAACGCTGTCTGCAGGCCAAAGCCAAGCGGTCCAACAAGCACCGGCAGCCCCAGACCAGCGGAGACCAGGCCGGGCAAAGAGCACCGGGCAGCGGCGGAGGAGGAGGAGGAGGAGGAGGAGGAGGCAGCGCGGAGCACGGAGATGGAGGAGGAGGAGGAGGAGGGACGGCGGCGGAGCAGAGCAGGAACAGCACCCTGATAGCGGTGAGTGAGAGCGGGACACACACGGTTCAGAGGCACGCTGGTACATCCACACATGAATACAAGCCGGAGAAAGCAGGCTGAGAGTGATGAACAGAAACTACAAACTTACATCCAGGGAACAAAAGTCTATTACTACCACATATAACTTAAAGGGATATTCCGGTGTAAAATTGATTTAGGGTCAAACCCACCGTAACACCGAGTTAGACACCCCCTCCAGAGATGAATGGTGCCGACCGCTTCCTTCTCTAGTTATACCAACTTTAATACGACCGCAGGATAGCAATACACAGAGACACGCGCTCAACCAAAACGCCACTCTATAGTCACAAATAATGCTCAGAACAGCACCTAACTTCATCAACAGTATATATATGGTCACAGACATAGTACTAGACACCAAACATCTTTTTAACTTTGACTCATTTCTTTAGCAAAGAGACTAAACACAACTCACCTACTCTCTTCCAGCAGACACTTGTTTGTAGAGAGACCTCAGGCCAGTCCATTACAGACTACAGCGGGGTGCCGCAGCTCGAGGAAGAACATTTATGATCGTTTCTTTATCATTTCCTTGAAGTAATAATCACCATATTGATCATTTTACAGACGCGGTAGTTCTTCTGCCTTAGCGTCTCGGTCTGATTGTATTTCCATGAAGAAATGATCATAAATGTTCTTCCTTGAGCTGCGGCACCCCGCTGTAGTCCGTAATGGACTGGCCTGAGGTCTATATGTCCTGTTGATGAAGTTAGGTGCTGTTCTGAGCATTATTTGTGGCTATAGAGTGGCGTTTTGGTTGGGGGCGTGGCTCTCTGTATTTCTATCCTGCGGTCGTTACTAAAGTTGGTATAACTAGAGAAGCAAGCGGTCGACAACATTCATCTCTGGAGGGGGGGTCTAACTCGGTGTTACGGGGGGTTTGACCCTAAATAAGTTTTACGCCGGAATATCCCTTTAATAGTCACATTTACATGTATGACTGCAGTATAGTTTTCTCTCCCTGCACAATATTAAACATGGACATGACACTTGTAGTGACTATGCTGAGCTGAATTTTAGTAACTGTCTGGGTGCAGGATTGAGGTGTTTTTGACGCGCTTCTAGAACAATCCAATGTCCAGTCCAAGGTTGTTGTTAAATTATATTTTTGCCATTTATTGACCAAATGAAAACAAACAAAAAAAGACAGATATGTCCAACTTATGATGATGTTTGTGATGAGATTAGCAGTAAAAACTGTTTGCATTCCAAATCACTGTTTCACCTGTGTCGCTCTTGTAGCGTTTACCTGCCCGTTCACCTGAAGTGCCTCTTGTGGTGATTGTGCGAGCAAGAAAACAAAACACAAAAAATAATATAGATAAAATGACTTGGACAACACTTATACGCTCAGGCTCATGTTAAACATATGCATGACTGCTAAAGAGTGAAGAGTGTAAAGAACCTGTTTATTTCATGTATTCAGTAGTTAACAGATCAGTTAATTTACACAAAGAAGAGATGAACTTTTTGATGCTCTGTACATGCAGGTAGATTAAAAAAATACCTGGTCAAACGTATTTAATTATTCAAAATAATAACATGAGTTTTTATGTGACACAGACATTTGTTATGGTGTCTGCCATCAAGATAAAACAACATATTATGTTGAATTCAAAGTGTAAGAGAGGCGGTTAGAGCAAAAGTTGAAGTCAGTTGCTGTTATTAATCAATTATTAATAATCAAAGCTTGAACAAAACTCACATAAGGTCACTATAGTTTCCAGCTGTGAGTGGTGGGGTTCCAGTTTGTGTCTGTGTACATCAGTGTGTGTCAGCCTGCACTCATGTACCTCCAACGAGCAGACCGCAGAGGAACAGGAGAGAGAAAATACAGTTTACTGTTTTTGGTGTTTGGTTGGTGTTGATTCTGCTCCATGTATGTCGTGTTTTTAGAGGATTAACATAACGATGTTCCTCAGTGTAATAACAGAGGGCTTCATGACTGTGATGGTGCAGACCTTTGTACAGAAACATGAGTGTTAGGACGTGTCAATCAAACTAAACTTGATTATAAAATCAGTCATTACCAACCACAGCTGAACGTATGAACCCTCACTGTCCACAACTGTTCTTTATTCCTGTTTTAATGAAGTTCACAGCAGCTTCTTCATGGTAGACATGAGGAGGACCTCTGTTTGGGACAATACAGCAGGTGCATGTTAAAGAGTTATGACAGGACTGTGAGATGACACCACTATAGTGTAAGGATGTAACTCACTGATAACAGAGATATGATGGGTCTCATTAAGTATTTGTTCAATAATAATCATCATGATAATAATCGTAGTAGTCATGGTTACTGGTGACTGATAGATTTATAGATCTCTTCAGTTTTTTCTGGATCTTCTTCTGCAGCTTATCTTGATCCCAGTCACCCACACAGGACCTCCAGATGAACATCATGTTCACACTTCTGTGTGGGTCTGAGCTGCTCAGTCGTATCTTTATTGTGTATCCTGAAGTGATACACACTGACACAGTGACCCACAATCTGACAGGGTGTAGAGTCATATCTAAACATTTGACACACACACACACACACACACACACACCTGTTCAGTCAGCCGCCTGTTTTGTCACATGATTCAAACAAACTGTGTGTGTTTGTAATCAGAGGTGATTGATCGCCCACTCTGCACTCCTCTGTGTGTGAGTGTGTGTTCTTTTTTAAGGAGTGTGTGTGTGTGTCCTCTGTGATTGGCAGACACAGGAAGTGTTGTGTTGTGTTGTGTTGTGGCTGTCTGGTCATGTGACCTCTGTGTTTCTTCGCTCTCTGGTTGTGGTCGCTTTGATAGACAGACCGGTTTGAGGTCCACCTAATCCTGCTGGAGAAACCAAACCAGATCTGGACCTTGGACTCTGACCTTTGACCTCTTTTGGTTCAGTTTGAAGCAGTGTTTTTGTTAGAGATGATCTGATTTAACACCTGCAGTCAGAATTAACTGTTTTATTCACTTTTTAACCTCGACAGTCTGATCAAAAATCAATGAATCGATTTAAGAGCGTAAATCTAACTTAGTTTTTTCTGCTGAGAGGTCTAAAACTTGATCTGATCCCAGTCTACCCACTTTAGAGCCACAGCTTTTGTCCATGAGGTCCATTATTTAACCACGAAGCCAAACTGGCGCTCTGGTGCAGAAGTGCGAAGTCTAGATGTCTTTCATGTTAAATGAGGAGTTGAAACGCTCTCAGGAATCCCTGTCCTCTGCTGTCTGGAGTTTATAAGAACACAGACTGAGAGTTTAGTGATCCGGACTGAAAATGATCATGTCTGAACAGTTTCAGGTGATTGATTGTTTGTCAGGAAGTAGATTTTTATTTTCTTTGTAAAGTTTGTTCAGCGGGTCGTTGCTCCTCCTCTCTGCTGTTCGAGGACTGTGATCGAAACAACCAGAAGGTTTGATTTAAAGCAGAAAATAAACTGAAAGGTCAAAATTATAAATTGGAATAATAATCTGGTTCATAAAATCTGATTGTTTCTGAACTTTACAACATTTTAATTTTTATGTAACACATTACAGAAAGGAGGAATGACAGGATCGGTTATTTCCATGATCCTGAAGTTGTTTTAAAAATCGATGAAATGAGAATATCCGGTGAAGACGCCTCCAGAGTCTCTGCTGTTACCGTCGTCGGCACACACCCCCTCCTCCCTACACAGACAGGTGGATCAGAACATGTTGACTGATCATGCTCACCTGTAAATCTACAGGAAACACCTGTCAGCTGTTCAGGGTCGTGTTTGAGCAGCTGCTTCCTCACATGAATTCTTCGGTTAGAATAAATGAGGAGAGATTTCCCTGAAGTGGATCTCATACTGAGTCCACGATCCGGACACCCAGGACACCCAGGGTTCAGCGTGTGTCCCATAAGACTGAGCAGCACAGGTGTGTGTGTGTGTGTGTGTGTGTGTGTGTGTGTGTGTGTCTGTTAGCAGAGACTCAACCAGAGGAGAGGGTTGTTTTAGGGTCCAAAGTCCACTGGATAGACTTGATAGTATCCCAGCAGGTGAGAGACTGTCGGTTGTGTTTATGAGGGTTACTCTGAAGCTCCAGACACCAGAGAGGCTGAATGTCCACAGCAGAAGTTTACACTCCTGATGGAGGAGTGGAAAAAAAACCCACGCCCTGTTAGTCCTCTGAAACTGAAAGTGTTGTATCTGTAAAACACCTGGAATCCCCAAACTCCTCCACCTTTATCTCTCTGTGGGCAAACATCAAAATCTTCATGACTCTGAACATCTGCTGAGAGGAGACTCAGAGACTGAGAGGAGAGGCGAAGATCTGAAACCCCAGAAAAGAGTCGAGGAAACAACACCGACCTGTTAGAGGACCTTCAGAGTTTGACCTCACTTAAAAAAATTCACGCCCAAAGTTTCTGTCCTCGTCTGACTTTAGTCCAAATGATGTGAATTTTCTTTTATTAGCTGAGTTTCACTTCATCATGATCCATCGTTTAAAGTCCCACTATTTCACATTTCCAAACAGTTTCCAAAGATCCACGTTAAAGTTCTTCTTCAAGTGTCTCAGTAAGACTCGGTCTGAATGTTTGTGTCGTGAAGTTTCAGTCGGTATTAAAAAGGTCAAACCAACAAAGACCGAACTTCTCCTGAAGATCCAAACCTGTAAGAAGGTCCTGGAGTTTATCTGAGGAAGGATGTTCAGCAGTCCTGAAGGAGGACTGTGGGGTCACCCCGGAGGTCTTAGGGGTCCCTGCACGGACTCACATGAGCTCTGAGGTGGTGCTGTTATCTTAGGTGTTTTTAACTCTGTCTGAGGTGACTTTGGGAGTTTTCCTGATTCCTACTTAGACTCTTAGACTACTTAGACTAAGGAAGTTTCTCATGTTCTCTGCTTTTATCAGTTTGATCATTTTATCCAGAAACATCAAGAAGTTTTGGTTGGAGAGTGTCTTAATGGATCAGTGATCAGCTGTCGACAGTGTGACCGTTTAAATCACATTCGCAACTAAAAATAGAAATGGTAAAATGTATTAAGGGTCACGTGCTCATAAAAAAAACCAACAAATGTTTTTGTTCTCTAAATACGGCGGTGAAGTTAGTTTCAGGTTGGATATATTTTCCTGTAAATACGGCGGTGAAGTTAGTTTTAGGTTGGATATATTTTCCTGTAAATACGGCGGTGAAGTTAGTTTTAGGTTGGATATATTTTCCTGTAAATACGGCGTTGAAGTTAGTTTCAGGTTGGATATATTTTCCTGTAAATACGGCAGTGAAGTTAGTTTTAGGTTGGATATATTTTCCTGTAAATACGGCGGTGAAGTTAGTTTCAGGTTGGATATATTTTCCTGTAAATACGGCGGTGAAGTTAGTTTTAGGTTGGATATATATTTTCCTGTAAATACGGCGGTGAAGTTAGTTTTAGGTTGGATATATTTTCCTGTAAATACGGCGGTGAAGTTAGTTTTAGGTTGGATATATTTTCCTGTAAATACGGCGGTGAAGTTAGTTTTAGGTTGGATATATTTTCCTGTAAATACGGCGGTGAAGTTAGTTTCAGGTTGGATATATTTTCCTGTAAATACGGCGGTGAAGTTAGTTTCAGGTTGGATATATTTTCCTGTAAATACGGCAGTGAAGTTAGTTTTAGGTTGGATATATTTTCCTGTAAATACGGCGGTGAAGTTAGTTTCAGGTTGGATATATTTTCCTGTAAATACGGCGGTGAAGTTAGTTTTAGGTTGGATATATTTTCCTGTAAATACAGCGGTGAAGTTAGTTTCAGGTTGGATATCTGACGGACATTCTCTGAGGATCTACCGTTGTGTCTTCTCACTCTCCATAACCGGGAATAACAACAGCAGCGCGGTTAAATCTACTCGACACCCTCACTGTCAACGTCGGTGTTGAATAAGGGACCGTCAATAAATTACCGGTTGATGTTCTCAGAAAAGGCTGTTTTCCTTCAGTGGCTTCACTGTCATGTGACCAAAAGACCTAAAATTGATTTCTAATAATAGTACTAAGGTCGATCAATAAGACATACATTATTGATCAGTTTTCATTGATCCTCTAAAGTTCTTTGTGCTCCTTACTTTTTTAACTCAGGAGAACATGTGAACAAAGTTAGAGTCGAACCCTGAGATGGACGCAGATGTTGCTCCTAAACCTGGAGATCTTTTTAAAAACCTGAGGGTGCAGCATCTATGATTTCCAGTTCTGTGTTGAAAGGATACTAACGTCGATCAATAAGACAAACATTATTGATCAATTTTCATTGTTCCCCTAAAGTTCCTTGTGTGCTCCTTAGTGTCAAACCCTGGTCAGTGATTGGAGGAAAAGCGCTGAATCTCAGTGATCCCACTATCAGCGAGTTTCTGGAGTCTGTGAAACGGACCCACAAACACAGAGAGGAGTCCTGAGAGGTGACTCAGTCTGAGCAGAAACCCCCCACCGCCCCCTCACAGCTGACTCATCACTCTGACTCTGCGTGCGTGTGTGTGTGTGTGTGTGTGCTCAGTATTAACACTGTCAGGAAACGCCTCGCTCCAACTCCACACCTTGTTGACTGAAAGAGACGTGAAGGAGGCGGGGCTTTTACCCTCATACAGAGCAGTGATTGGCTTGTTCAGCAGTGATGTCATTGAAGACATAGATATGAATCCTAAATCCTACAGAGCAGGTCACACATAGACAAAAAACAACCTAGACTCACCAATCAAGTGATCCTGATTCATCTGTGAGTGTGGAGCTTCGTTCTCAACAGGCTCTAAAAGTTCCTCCAAATAACCAAAAACATAACTGATGAAGAAACATCAAACTTGGTGTAAACTCCGAGAGCGGCGGTTCCTGCAGAAACCTCGCGTTCGAACAGAGATAAGCCGGCGTAAAAAAGGCGAGATGTTTAGGATTTTTGTGGCGGAGGGAGAGCTGAAAGTTTGAGGATGAGTCAGTGTGGAGATATTCAGAAAGCTTTATTTATCAGAGTGAAATGTGAAACATGCAGACTAAGTAGTTTTAGCCAAAACAAAGAGGCTCAGTGTGTGGATAAGAGAGAGTCTTCAGCCTGCAGAGAAATGTTCAGTATTTTTCTGTTTTTCAAAGACTCGCAGACAAAGACGTCCTCTGAGATGATCAAATCTAAACTGTCCTCTTAAACGGTGACAGAGGAGAGACGGTTACTTCATCCACTGGAGAGAGAAAAAGATCTTTATATGAAACGCTGATTCACGGTTAAAACACCAAAGTCACTGAAGAGTGGGACAACATTTTACCTTCACACTCCAGGACCTGGTCTGCTGGGTTCACTGAGGTCTACAGAGAGTTTGGAATCCAGAACCTGTTTTTTGATTTTTAGAAAATCAGATTTAAAACGTGCATTTTTCATCTTCTACAACAGAACCGATTTTAGTTTGGACTTTTAGTTTGTTGTTTTTCTGGTTCAAACTTTGAATAGTTCAGAAACCGTCAAATTCTGCTCTTAGATTACAGATCTCAGATTCTCATGAAGTGGACAAGAAAAGACGTGGAGTTTTCCTGTGACTACTGTGTTGTTGGTTGTTGTGTTGGTTGTTGTATTTGCTGTTGGATAAACTCGTCTCGCTGCCTCAGAGTGAGTCTGGATTACACAGACTGACCTGAACTTTAGATAACTTTAGTTTCTGTGATTTTTCTTGAACCTTTTTTTAACTCGGCAGCAGCTGAAGTTTTTAGTGAACACAGGACTGCACTTCTTAAAGCTGACTCTGACCTTTGACCTCTGACCCGTGAAGTCCCCGCTGAGAGGTCAGACGTCGTTGTAAGTCAGAAACTCTCCGTTAGTTTATTAACCTGAGGGACTCTCATATCCATAATGTCTCTGATGTCTACGGAGTTTTTGGCTTTTTCAGCTCTTACAGGACCTCCTCACTACTCTGTTGACCCCCCCAACAAGTCCTGTATCCATGGTAACGGGGAAGGGGGCAGGGTCAGACCAGTATTTCAGGTTTGAGGAGCTGAATGAGTCACTGGAGTTTCCTTTCGCTCGGGGCAGAGACTCTCTCTCTCTCTCTCCCCCTCAGTTCTCAGTTCTCCAGCAGTGATTTATCGATCTGATCGAACTGATCGGTCTTCAGATTGATCAACCAATCAAATAATCACTCAGACAGCTTTTCATCTAAACTAGGTCAGGCTGAGTCTGAGGCAGAAGTCCTCCTGGAGTCCAGCAGACCACTCAGAGAAGGAGAGCTGCTTCAGGACGTCCCAGTCGGTTCTTTCTTCTGGTCGTGATGAGAGCTGACCCGGATCAGAACTTCAGAATCACACAATAATAAAAAGAACAGAAGAAGAAGAAGAGCAGGAGCTCCTACCGTCTGTTTACAGAGAGGGTCTGTCCTGTCAGTAACGTCCTCACAATAACCCCCCCACCCTGTCAGCGACAAAAACTGGAACCTTTCAAAGACTTCAGATGTTTTCATGATCGTTGAGAGGACAAAGAGACACAGACTTCGATAACTTCATCTAAAGATGTTCAGAGTTTCAGAGGTCGTAGAGCTGTGGGGCTTTTATTTTGACAGTTTCCTTAGATTAGATCAGATTAGATTTTCCTTTATTCATCCATCAGTGGGGAAATTAAGTTGTTAACAGCAGCAAAGAACTAAAAAGAGCAGTGCAAGGGAGGAACAGTACTAAAGACAAGTTTAAGAAAAATATAAACGAGAAAAAAAGAGATCAGTGCCAACAAAAAAACAGGTATGGCTGTGGTGATGATGATGATGATATTGCACATGTTTAATATATAATTCAGGTTGTAGTTTTGTTGGTGGTTTTGGTCTGGTTGTAGAGTCTGATAGCAGCGAGGAGGAAGGACCTGCGATGCCTCTCTGTGATGCATCACAGGTGACGGCACCAGTCGCTGAAGGAGCTTTCTGAGGCTCTTACAGACTCGTGAAGAGGGTGGGAGACATTGTCCAGGTTTGATGACAGCTTTGCCACCATCCTCCTGTCACCCACTGCCTCCACGGGGTGGAGACTGCAGCCCAGGACAGAGCCGACTTTTATTACCAGCCTGTCCAGTCTCTTCTTCTTCTCCGCTGCTGTAAAAGATGGCTGACGCCGCCGCAGAGTCATAAAGGGTCCTGAGGAGTCCTTCCCTCTGTCTGTGCAGCAGGTGGACTCTGCTTTGGCCTTTCTTCTAAAGCGCCTGAGGGTTATCAGTCCAGTCCAGGTTCTTCTTTTTTTCCCAGCGGCGTTGATTGAAAGTCTCTTAGTTTCCTGTTTTGTCTAAACTTGTTTCAGTTTGAGATGAAGTATCTGCTGTTAGGGTTCGACTGTAAAAGTATCTATCCTTCAGAGCCCTGCTGCTGCTGGTTTTTATCCTCACTCTGTTTCTCGGTGGGTGGGCAGCAGAAAGCACCACGACTGGACCCGTTCTGTGAAACTCTAACTCATACAGACTCTTGAACGTCTCACACTGATCCCAGAAAAAACTCCGTAATGACCCTTTAACAGCTTGTTTTAAAGTCTGAGGAGCCTGATCCCTCCTCAGCAGAGCTCTTGTTCAGACAGTTATCAGGACTACAGCTGGTCAAACAGAAAGAGCTGAATCACCAGCAGGTACTGAAGCTCTCCGCTCGGCTTCACGCCCTCAGAACAGAGTCCAGGAATCACCCGGAGCAGCTCCACTCTCACTGTCAGGGGAAAATGAGGCTTCAGACTGAAATCCGAAAAACGTTTGATCAAACCAGCGTGAGAAACAACAGCAAAAAGAACAGATATCAAAGTCGAGATTTGGTCTGGATCTGAGGTGGTTTTTGGGTCATATATCTCTGTAGTTCTGTGAAAGCTTGTGCAGTGAATAAGGAGGTCTGCAGAACGGGACCAGGTCACAGACGAGTGAACTGAACCGGTTCAACATCAGCAGATGCAAAGTGTGAGACGGTTCAGCTGCTCTTCAGAAAATCACAATGTTTGTCTCAAAGTCTGATCGTAGTGATGATGATTACCTTCCTTAGACACTCAGGTGTGTTTTTCATCAGGTATGACTGCATAAATATTCATGAAAACGTTGTTAATACGGCGTGTCTTCAGACGTCCCCTCAGCTGCTCCAGATCGATCAGAGGAACTTCTTCACGTTGCTCCCTCTTCTCAGGCTTTAACAGTTCAACTTCTCCATGTCCTCAAATCCAACATCTCAGTGCAGGTTGGTTGCACAACTCCTGGCCAACCTCTCGGTCCAAATACTTGGACTCTGCCGTTTTGGCAGCAGTCGCACTAATCAGGAAATTCTCCACATATTTGGGTGAAGACGTCATGTTTCTGCTCTCTGTGACGCCACTCTGCTCAGGAGGCTGAAGTTCTGCGCTCTGCTCCTCTCAGGAGTTCTCCTCTGTGTTTTAAGACATGAACAAATATATGAATAAACTTTTAGGTTTAAATCCACAGACAGATGATGATTCAGCATTTCTCTAAAGTTCATGAACTTTAATATAAAGTTTGTTTTCTCTTAAAGGTTCAGAGCCGAGGCAGAAAATGGGAACAGTTTGATAGTTTAATGACAGGATACTGAGATTTTAAGGGGATTTAGTTCCTCTGACTGAAAACTGTCTTCATTCTTCTGTCCTCATGGTTCCTCTTTCTTCTGTCCTCATGATTCCTCTTTCTTCTGTCCTCATGATTCTTCATTCTTCTGTCCTCCTTATTCCTTATGGTTCCTCATTCTTCTGTCCTCATGATTCCTCTTTCTTCTGTCCTTATAATTCTTCATTCTTCTGTCCTCATGGTTCCTCATTCTTCTGTCCTCATGGTTCCTTATGGTTCCTTATTCTTCTGTCCTCATGGTTCCTCATTCTTCTGTCCTCATGGTTCCTTATGGTTCCTCATTCTTCTGTCCTCATGATTCCTCTTTCTTCTGTCCTTATAATTCTTCATTCTTCTGTCCTCATGGTTCCTCTTTCTTCTGTCCTCATGGTTCCTTATGGTTCCTCATTCTTCTGTCCTCATGGTTTCTAATTCTTCTGTCCTCATGGTTCCTCATTCTTCTGTCCTCATGGTTTCTAATTCTTCTGTCCTCATGGTTCCTCATTCTTCCGTCCTCATGGTTCCTCATTCTTCTGTCCTCATGGTTCCTCATTCTTCTGTCCTCATGGTTCCTCATTCTTCTGTCCTCATGGTCCCTCATGGTTCCTCATTCTTCTGTCCTCATGGTTCCTCATTCTTCTGTCCTCATGGTTCCTCATTCTTCTGTCCTCATGGTTCCTCATTCTTCTGTCCTCATGGACCCTCATTCTTCTGTCCTCATGGACCCTCATTCTTCACCTCATTTTTGTGGAGAATCATGTTGATGAGGCTCAACAGTCTCTTGGAGTCTTCCTGACTGTTTTTTCTCCTCTTTGTTATTTCGTTTTTTTTCTCCTATAAGATTTTAAATTACCAAACTCATCTGAGATCATCTGGACCACCAAAGTTTGGACTCAGAGATGTGTGCAGAGTTTGTCAGTCCTGCAGAGAGACAAACACACAGAATGTGAAGTTCTGCTGGTTCCTGATCATGATTGAAGTTCTCCATCAGACATGTCTAAGAATTGAAATAAAGCTTCAGATCATTTAGAGATGTTGATGAATTTGGAGATGTTGGAGTGAGACCTCTGTGTTGACTCTGACCCTGCAGCTGTAGTTTCAGTTCTAAGAGGCCGAGCTGACTCTACTGATGAGGATCATCCCTGCAAAACACCAGAGGACCTTCTTGATTCTGCTCTTAGATGTTGTGATACTTACCCTCGAAGGAGCCGGGTCTGCCTGAGTGAGAGGGTTAGGGTTCGGAAAGACTGTTTGAGTAAATCTGAACACAAACACGGACTCTTTTAGTCCAGGATCAGGTTTTTAAATCAGAGAGTTTTCAGTATGAAGGTGGAGAAAACGGAGACAAACATGACTGAGGTCCACAGATCAGACCCATCAGGAGCCCCAACAGTCAGATGTGAAGATACCAAAAACACACACAGCTGTTTTACGGGTATGAAACAGTGGAGGTCAAAGGTCAGAGCCTGTTGAATAAGCTGTTTCTGTTCACCATCAGGAGTGTAAACAGCCGAGTGAGTCTCACCTGGACTCACCTGTCCGGTCCTCCTCCTCCTCCTCCTCTTCCTCTGGTGTTGGATAAGCTCTGAGCAGAGCGTGTGAGGATCAGCTGATGTTCTGGATGTTCCGCTCAGTTCCGGCTCAGGCTCCTGGTTCTGCCTGCAGAGTGGACAGATGTGATCTGCTGACTGCTCTGAGGAAGCTCTTTGTTATCGCTGTTATGTAAGCCCAGCCTGCAGCTGATTCTATTAACAGACCGCTGCTGTCTGCAGCAGCTACAGCGCCCCCTGCAGGCAGAAATCTGCTCTGGGAGACACTGAAATAGAAATGCTGTCATGTTTGGACAGCTGAGTTTGTTACTCAGCAGCAGCGGATAACCTCGATTTGAAGAAGCAGATTTCTAAATGAGGACGCCGTCGAACACACTCAGAGTAATTTAGGCGTTCAGTTACAGACCGGAGTGAATCAGAGACAAGCGAAAACACGAGTTTTATCTCAACGAGATCTTGGCTCTGAGGAATGTTTGTGTTTATGAAGAAGAGTTTGAATGAATGAGTGAAAATCTGTCTCTTCATAAATCGATCATCAATCAATCAGTCTTTTTCATACAAAACCGATGTAGCACAAAGTTCTTTACAAAGCAGAGGAATAAAAGAAACAAAGAAAACCCAAACCTACCCTGAACCAACCCCTCATTCCCACATCTGAACAGAAACAGAATTAAAACACATGAACTTAAAAAGGGTTTGATTTTATATAAACAGGAATGTGGCGCTGAGAAAACGCCATTTTCAAACTCAAGATAAAGAAACACTTGTAGTTTAAAAACTAAAAACAAAGTAACTGAATGAAATTTAAGAAATAATCAATAAAATGAAATAAAAACAGTAAAAGAAACTAAAGTAAGAGCTCAATAAAAGAGGATCCTGTCATTAAAACTAGAAAGAGATAAATGATAAAACACTTAAAATTAATGATATAAAATTTAGTTAAAAGACTAAAAAGGTTTTCAGTTTGGTTTTAAAATCATTAGTTTTCAGTCCTCAGGTCTTCAGGTCAGCTGTTCCACAGACGGGACCGTAGTAATGAAAAGGTTCCTCACCGTATGTTTTAGTTTTAACTTTAATAATGTTCACAGAGAACTTCCTGAAGACCTGAGGACTCGACCTGACTCATAAGATAAATAAGAAGGACCGAAGACATGAAGAGCTTTAAAAACCAATAAAACAAACTTAAAATCGATTCTAAAAGAGACGAGGAGCCGACGCAGAGACGTTAAAATCGCTGTAATGTGATCTCTCTTTTTTAAATGATAAAATGTCTTCTTGGTGAAATCTCGTATGTGAGGTTCAAAGCTCAGTTCTGAATCAAATAACTTGTTGTTTTGAGTTTGCTGACCTGTAAAAAGTTCTGCCATCCATGATTTAACGTCTAAGATGCAGTTAAAAAGGGGCGTCGAGTGGTTCTGTGTCATCAGGAGACACGGCGACATAAAGCTGTGTGTCGTCAGCGTAGCCGTACCTCCTGATGACATTTTCTAAAGGAAACATATAAAGATTAAAAAGTAACCTTGAGGAACACCATACTTCATGTCGATTGATTTCACCCTTTGTCGTGTTTTTACTGACTCTCTGTGTTTGTTTGTTTGTCTCGTTCAGCTGCAGGAGACGGTCAAGAGGAAGTTGGAGAGCGCCGGTTCTCCACTGGGCAGAGATCAGGTCAACGGTTTCAGCGACGGCTTCCCTCCCAACAAGAAGGTGTGTCTGGACAACGGCACCGCCAACGGATCCCCGCTGGACTCTAAGCTGGGGATCAGCGACGCGCTGAACTCAAACGGGACTCACGGACCGCCAGGGGAGACGACAGACGGCGGACGGGACACGGGCGCAGACATCCATCGGAAGGAGATGAAGCAGGAGCCGGACGACATCCTGCCCATCATGCCTCCATCGGGAGGAGGAAACAACTCGCTGTTCCCCGACCTGAACCTGAACGAGCAGGAGTGGACGGAGCTGATGGAGGAGCTGAACTGTTCGGTGGCCTACGAGGACATCCAGGACATCCTCAACGACGGCTTCGAGGACCGCAAGGACCCCCTGGAGCTGGCTCCTACTCCGGGCAGTGCTGGGGGGTCGGTGGGAGGAGGAGGAGCTGGGGGAACAGCAGGTGGAGGGGGAGGACAGTCGTCTCAGGGTCTGCTCCCCCCTGATCTGGTCAGCGTGAAGACCGAGTTCTCCCCCGCCTCTGTGGCCTTCGAGCAGGACTCTCGCACCGGCTCCCCCCACGTGAGGTCCACCTCCTCTGGGCCTCCTCCCCTCCCCACCAGCTCTCCTGTCGCCTCCTCCTCAGCCTCCTCCCCCGCTCTGCCCCCGTCCCAGCCGGCCCCTCCGCCCAGGCAGCTCCAGCCGCCCCCTAACCACCTCCTCCCCCCCGGACCCCCTGTGCCCAAAGACCTGTCCCCGGCCCAGCAGCTCCAGCAGCTGGCCGCCCAGCAGCAGAGAGCGCAGCACCTCCACGGACAGATGCAGCACAAACAGGGGCCACAACCGGGGGCCAAGTTCCACAACCAGGGGCCCCATGCCCACCCCCAAGCTTGGCCCCAAATGGCCAACACCTCTCAGAGCCCACTAGGGGGCGTGTTTGGTATGGACAAACCCACAAGCCCCTCTTTGTACCCCCAGGACTTCAACCCTAACACCCAGAAGCAGCTCCTGATGCCCACCCAGCCCAACAAAGGCTCTCCTAAAGGGGGGGCCGGCAGCTACATGCAGGGGCCCGCCGGGCACCCCAACATGCTGGGTCACCCCACGCCGGGGCCGCCTCTCAGTCACCCGCCTGCACCGGGGGCTCAGGCCCCCGCAAACATGCCGAACTACAACAACACCAAACCTCTGTCACACTTTGAGGCGGGGCCCGGACCCCCGCGGCCCCCAAACAACCAGAGCCAGAACAAGGCGGCCCTGCTGACCATGCTGAGACAACAGCAGCAGCAGATGAAGCAGAAGAACAGCATCAACTTCCGCCAACACATGCCACACACACAGGTGAGAGACGCACACACACACACACACACACACACACACACACACACACACACACACACACACACACACACACACAGGTGAGAGACACACACACACACACACACAAACACACACACACAGGTGAGAGACACGCACACACACACACACACACACAGATATTGTTTAAAAATGAGGATGCACTAGGACTGGGCGGTTATATGATCGTGATCGATGATCGTGATAAGTTTCAGTTTGATCGCGTTGATCAGCTGTGAGAATATTTACTCGATCAACATGGCGGAAATGTGCGTGACGACAGCCAATCAGAGTCGAGCTTTTTTCTGCTCACTTCTGTAAGTTGTTGGAGAAGTAAACAGAATGACCGAACATGGGGATGAGGGCAGCGAAGTAGATGTCAGCCGTGACTTTGAGTCATCCTCCGGAGACGTTATTGTTCAGAAGTTATTGAACGTCGGTTGTGTGTTGGTGGTTCGGGTTTCTCAAAAGTGACGTCGAGTAATTAAGCCGATAAACCGGCAACACAACAGATCTGTTTAATCATTTGAAGAAGTTCTTCCCGAGTGATTATGAGGAAGACATGAAAATGTGGGCGGAGTCTGTACAGCCTGTCACTGCTGACGGCACGGGTAGCATTAGCAGTTTAGCCAAAACCAAAGCAGCGCTCAATCGTATCATCTACGTTTACATCATCTGATGTTTACAGTTTAAGGCGTCTTCATCATCTCTGAGGAGGTGATTTATTTATCTTGGGTCAAAAACACTCGGGACTATATTTTCTATATTTATCTATATTTGTTGTTCTGTTGAGTTAAAATGTTTTTTATATTTTTCTAAGTGAATCTTATTCTTTATTTGTTTTGTATGTTCATAAAATGTTAAACTAATCCTTAAATTCTTCAGTTTTTAGTACAGATGCTTTAAAACTGGCTGTTTAAAAAAAAAAAAAACATGATAATAACTGAGATCAGACGATATGACAAAATATATCGTGATCATTTTTTTTGCCAAATCGCCCAGGCCTAGGACGCAGCATCTATGATTTCCAGTTCTGTGTTGAGAGGACAAAAGGCGAAACGTCTCAAGTCCGTTTGTCGTTTCCAAAAGAGGGTCAGATTTTGATTCCTCAGACCTCAGGACAGTTCAGTGATATTAAGCTCATGTGGTGACTCCAACTACAGAGTCCTGATGCTCCTGAACCCTTTTACCCGTTTGTTCGTCTCTCTTGATGCCATCTTGTTGCTAAACTAGTTTCAATCAGATATTGATATTGATACCAATCAGGCTCGTCTTGTGAAATCAGGGTTGTCAGATATTTTGGATTTGAGATGAAATTATTTAAAATAGTTGATGTGAACTTAAATTCAGATACAGGAGTCGTTTAATTCATCGATGAAAGTGAAACTCTTCTTAAACAGTCGGTGTTCCTCTGACGGTCCTTCATGCTAACATCACAGCGCTGCTACGACGACAACAACAACAACAACTGTACAAACTGATCAGAGTGTTCCTGCTCTGCTTTCATAACCAGGCCGGCAGCACATTCCTGGACTGAACACACACACACACACACAGTCACACAAACACACACTACGACACACAAAGGGCTTCATTTCCCTAATCTGAGTCCAGGAGAGCAGCTCTGCGGTTTCTCCTCGCTCTTCAGGACTTTTGAAACTTCACGTTAGCGTTAAAGCTCGGACTCTGCAGCTCATCTTTGTCAGTGAGAGCGGCCTCTAATAAACAGACCCGAACCCGGCTCCACACTCCCACACAGCTGTGGTGGACTGATGGAGGCCGGACCGTCTGAACAATGAGAGTCTGTTGCAGTGAACGGTCTCCTGCTGGCTGACTCATTTTGGACACAGACACTTTACAAAACTCTGAAAGAAGAGCTCTTCAGTTTTCATCATTTTTCTGCTCCGGCTACACAGACCGGGCCGATCAGGGAGGAACGCCATCTCCAGCCCGTTACACACGCTCAGACGGAAGGTTCTGGAAAATTTCAGGACGTGTTTCAGAGTTGTTGTTATTCACACACGTCCCTCAGAGTGTGAAGTTTTCAGTGTCGGAGGTCTGAAGAAGGACACTGAGGTCGATTTAACTGAACCGAACAGACCAGGTTCATAGAAATAAAGTTTATTTTGTGAATTAATTGAGTTTAAATAGGTGTTCGTTCTGCAACCCAATACAGTCTGACAGGAAGGAGGAATACGAGAACACCTCCACGATCATGCAGCTGAAGTATGAAGCAGGTTTATCAGGTCTACTAAGATCTCAGAATATAAACCACATCACCTCTCTCATCTTCACTTTACTGCTCATTACTCCTCTATAGGGCTGGGCGATATGTGAAAAAGTTTATCAGGATATATTTATTTCCTATCAGCTGATATCGATCAATATCAGGATATAAAAATCTAACAGTGTTTATTGGTCTCATGTCTTCTCCAACACAATAATCTCCTGCATCTGTATCTGAATGTAACCTTTTGCGTTGCGCGTGCTCTGCGGCGTGGCGCTGCTTCAGGTGGTGAAAAAGATTTGAGGTATTCCCCGACTTTGTGAGAACATGTACTCGACATAATTTACAGTCCACATTACTCTGCTTCATGTCCGACCTCCAAAAACCAAAATACCTCCACACCACCGACGTTTTCCTAACGCCAGTGTTGTGGTTGACATTGATGTGGTCATCTGTTGAGCCTTCATGGTCATTTCTGTGTCGGCTTCACCTGTTAAAGTGCTATGGTTGGGTGGAGCTGCTGTCTGCTACGACGCTGCAGTTGGTTGATACTTGGTTCTAATTCAGAACATGATTGGTTCAGACCCGGAGAAACTCCCCTTTTCATTGGCTGTTCGTGTAGTCGACCAAAACATGCTGACTATCTAAAATATATTAATATTGAGGGAAATTAATTTTCAATATTTATCGTTTTATCGCCCAGCCCTGCTCCTCCCTGAAAAATGACCTGGAGGCTGGACAGAGTAGGACGAGTGTGAATAAGGTTTTGGGTTTTGATGTACAGCTGCAGGTGAAGGGTTAAAAAATGTCTCAGAGGAATGTCTGGGGACACCTGAAAAGAGCAGAAACAATGACAACACCTGAGACACGCTCGACTGTACTGTTGTATTAAAGGTAAAATTAGGAATACCGTATTTTTCATGATAAGGCGCATTTACAATCCTTTAATGTGCGCCTTCTGTATGAATTCTGGTTGTGCTGACTGACCTCGAACCGTTTTTTACACAGCGCTCAAAAATCTGAAATGTTTTATCACGACTTCAGTAATGGTTTGTCGGAGCGCTGCAGCTGCTGTAGCCTCTCGGAGTTACTGAATGAGTTAAATAAATTTGACTAATCTGACTGTTTTGTTTGGATTAATGCGCTTTATAATCCGGTGCGCCTTATGTATGAAAATAGACGCGTTCATTGATGGTGCGCCTTATGATCAGTTGCGCCTTATAGTGCGAAAAAAATACGTAACTTGATCTGATCAACCTGACCTCAGTTTGAAAAGATAACAGTTTTAAAAGCTCATTATCAGTGTTGATAATTGATCATTTCTGCAGATATTCGTGACCAAAACCGTGATAAAGTTTGAGTATGTGATTTCAGCTGTATGGAGGTCATTTTAAGGGGTTTAAATTGGCCCAAAGACTCGGTTCTGATCCAGTCTGAAAAGGCGTTACTGTGATCTTTGAGGATGTCTGACTTTTAAACCAGCCGACCGTCACATAGAGAGTCACAGGTGAATTCTTAACATTAAAAAACAAAGGTGTGTTCGTCTGGGCTGAAGTCTGTTAAAAATGTCCCTGAAACTGCTGGTGTTTGATGGATCTGTTCAGTCCTGGAGGTTGTAGTTATAAGTCAGAGTCCTTCCTGTGGGCGGGGCTAAAGTAAAGGCGCTGGAATAAAAGCGAAAGGTCACATGAGTTTGTCAGATGAGAGTATTTTCCACGTACAAACAGAGTCTGTGTCCTCGTCTCCAGTCCCTGTAATCATCAGGAATCCACCGTGTCTGTGCTGCATGGGTTCACACTGTGAATGTCAAACTGGCCCAGAGCCAGAGCCGGACTGGTTTAGGTCCAACAGGTGCAGATGAAGACCAGTACAGAGCGGTCGATCGGACGGACGGTCGGTCGGTTGGTTGGAGTGTGTGTGAAGTGGAGGTGAAGTCGGGCTGCAGCGGGGAGGCCTTTTGTTCAGCTGCTCAGACCGGCCGGGGCCCCACACTCCTGCATCCGTGTGTGTGTGTGTGTGTGTGTGTGAGAGAAGCAGCTGGTTGCTCAGGCTCACTCAGGGGGGTGAAGCGAGGCAGTGACAAAGCAGCCTTTCATATTCTCTCTCTCTCTCTCTCTCTCTCTCTCTCTCTGTATTTAAATATAGCTGCTCCTGCTCTGCTGTATTTTTCCTCTGAGCAGACGGACGCTCTGTTCCTGTTCCCTTTATCAACAGAAACACCAACGACAAAACATCCACAAACTCCTCTTTTGGTCCTGTCGGGCTTCCATACTTCACTGTCAGATAAGGTGGAAAGTTACCGAGTCAGTGGACTTCACTGCGGCGTCATGAGAGCGCTCTCCGTCTGAGCGCAGGACTCTGAGCTGTGGGGTTTAGATGGTAACAGCGTGAAGCTTTAAAACGAGGTTAATTTAATGAAAGTGCAGAAAACAGCATCGATAACATTTTCAGTAAAGAGACCACATGACAGGGCTTTATAGAAACTATTTTTAATCAGTAACTAAAACCTTATTCAAACTTATAATAAATTCAGAACAGAGAAAAATCGACTTCTTATAAAAGTTTAAACCGCCGTCCGAACTGAGGAATTCTACGACAGAGTATTAGGGCCACATTAAAAAAAATTCAAAGAGTTAGAGATTAAAGTCATTAATATAAGAGAATAAAAGTTGTGATAAAGTAATTAAATATGAGAAATAACTTAAAAAATCATTATTTAAGAGAATAAAGTTGTAATAAAGTAATTACTTAAGAGAGTAAAGTCTGAATAAAGTCCTTCTATTCTAATAGCAGTAGCTCAGGTAGAGCGGTTGTCCAATAACTGGAAGGTTGGCGGTTCGATTCCCTCCTATCCTGAGTCTGTCCATCGTGTCCTTGGGTAAGACACTTAACCCACCTTGCTCCCAGTGTGTGTCCTCCACTGGTGAGTGTTGTGTGGTGGTGGTCGGAGAGGCCGTAGGCGCAAAATGGCAGCCACGTTTCCGTCAGTCTGCCCCAGGACAGCGGTGACTACTAAGGTAGTTTACCACCACCAAAGTGTGACTGTGTGAATGAATGAATGAATGAATGAATGATGTATCCAATGTAAAACGCTTTGAGGGTCTCTGATAAAGCGCTATATGAAATCTGATGCATTTTTATTATTATTATAACCTGTTGCCTAAGATGACAGCTGTTGAAATTAGAGCCATGGAGCATTTCGTAAAAAAGTACTTCAGTTTATGTTTCTCAAATAAGGAGATACTTCATCTTTTCGCACATCAGCACCACATTATCATAAGTATAGTAGTAGTTCATTACAACTTTAGTCTCATAAGTAATTACTTTTTTACAGCTTTATTCTTATAAATTAATGACTTTAATCCTGACTTTAATTTGGCCCTGATACTCAACTCGACTTTATTTGTAAATCACTTTAAAACAACCACAGCTGAGCAAAGTGCTGAACATAAACAGACAAAACAAATAAAAGCAGAATTAAAAAATAAGATATAGTTTCAATGTTTTTAAAAACTAATTTAAAAACAATAGAAACAAATAACTGAAATGACTAAAAGACCCTCATGCAGGGTTGAAAGACAATGAATAAAAATGAGTTTTAAGACGAGTTTTAAAAACGGACAGTGTGGGGGGGCTCGTCTGATTTGGAGGGGTCGCTCGTTCCATGATTTTGGGGCCGTAACAGAAAAAGATCGATCCCCTCTGAGCTGATCAGCTGACCTGAGGCACCGAGCGAGCGAGCGAGCAGGGGTGTAGAGGCTCAGAGAGGTAAGATGGAGTCGGACCATTTAAAGATTTAAAAACAAAAGAATCTTAAAATGAAACCAAAATGAACGGGTAACCAGTGGAGGTCAGGATGGAGGAATATGTACTCCAGTTAATGTAATACTCTGCCATGATTCCCATTTTAATCCTCAGTTCACTAAAAAAAAGTTCCTGAATCTCAAATCTGTGAAATTATGAATAAAAACCAAAACCTTCATGAGTCTGTCTGCCTCCCCAGGACCAGAACACGTACCCTGCTCCTCCACACGGCCCGGGCCCGGCCAACCCCATGACCTCTGCCCCCGGGAACAACGCCATGACCGCCCAGCAGGGGGCGAACGCCATGGCGGGTAACCACGGTAACGCCGCGTACATGAACAGCCAGGCGGCGGTGGCGGCGGCGCTGAAACAGCAGCAACATCAGCAGCAGATCCTGGAGCAGCAGAAGCAGCAGTACATGCAGAGGCAGCAGCTGATGGCTGAACAGGTAACAGGACGACAGGGAGAGACGAGGTCCACCTGATTCAGAGTCAAACCATGAAGAGCATCTATATTCATACTCTGTCATCTGTACTGATATTAAAACCAGAGAACATGAACCTGCAGTCGATCTGAGAGGAAGTGAAGCTCAGAACATGTTTTATTTTGACCAGCAGAGGGAGCTGTTTATCCAGGAACTACAGCGTCCAAAGTTTAAAACGTTCTGGACTGTAGTTCTGACCTCTGTCTGCATCATCGAACCTCTTTGAGTGTTTTTATCGTTTCTGTTTTGGTTTAAAAGTGATTTAAAATCCTTGTTTTAAAAGCTTTTTGACAGTTTTAGAGTCCAGACTGAGTCCTGTGTTTGTCCCTGCAGGAGAAGCAGCGTCAGCAGGACCAGCAGCTGCAGAGACACCTGACCCGACCTCCCCCGCAGTACCAGGACCAGCCGGGACAGCCGGCCAATCAGAACCCTTTCCCACAGCCGCCAGTCAACCAGTTTACAGGTAAGACAAGAGGAAGTCCCGCTCACCTGTGTGATCGGAGACCTTCTTCAGGTTATTTCACTGAGTTAGTTTAAAATCTTAAATCTGACGCTCAGACTGAAGCTCGACACGGTTTTAATCCTCAGATCAGTTTATTAATAAGATTTATATTTAAATAAAAGTTTTTAAAAAGTTTTAAAAACCTGAAGGAGACGTTTTAACTTCCTCTGACCTGAACAAACACAGAACGACTTTTAACAGGTTAGAGAGCGGAGTAAGAATTCACTGAGAGGAGTAAAGTTACAGGAGGAACAGAGGGACGACTGTACACACACACGCACACACACGCACGCACACACACACACACGCACACACACACACAGCCTGGAGGAAGTAGTTTCTGCTGGATCACCTGATCTCTGTGGGAAAACCTGATGCAGCAAACCTTCATTTAAAAACCAGCAGATCGATCTGAAGCTCTGATTCATGTCCGGACCGTGGGGGGGGGGGGTCTAGTCTCAGAATAATCTGTTATAATCCAAGATGAGGTTCTGGTGGTCTGAGCGCTCCGTATTCTCGGGCTCAGTCCTCCGTTCAGGTCCTTCATAAATGAGGTAAACGTCTGAACCGGCAGATTTCAGAGGACAAAAAATCAACCCTGAAACAGACGGCGGTGATAAAACTCTAAAAGTGTGGTGATACACTCTCGCCCTCCGGTCCTCATCAGAACTCTGTGTCTGTAAGTTCTTCCTGAAGAGGCCGGAGAGCAGGACGTTACTATGATCTAACAGAAGGAGATAAAAGCGTAAAAATAAATCCTGATTCAGATCTGCTGAACCTGCTGGTCTGGTCGATCACAGACGACGTTTGTTTGTCTGCGTGTAAACGACTCCGACCGCTGATTTGAAAGGGAAATAAAGAACGCAGACGCACAGACTCTGTCTGTCTGTTTGTTTGTCCGTCTGTCACTCGGCGCTGAGCGTCGGCGAAGCGTCCGCACATGTCCGTCCTTTATCAGTGTGAGGTCAGAGGAGACATCCTGACCTCCCCTGTAATTGAATCCTTGTCACCTGATTGGACGTTAGTTCATGACCTCTCACTTTCTCTCTTCCCAGCTTCCTCTCAGCCAATGGGCAGTGTCGGTTCCATGGGAGGCCCCGCCCCTGGATCTCAGCGCATGTTTCCTCAGAACCAAGGCATGATGGGTATGAACATGGGTCAGGGCGGTGGGCCGGCGGGTGGTGTAGCTCCGCCCCCCGCTGCGAGTCAGGCTGACATCAGTCTGTCATCATGTGGAGGTGGAGGGGGCGGGGCCGGCGTGGATGTCCAGCTCTACAACAGCATGAACCTTCACCCCAACCACCCGTCTCACCCGTCTCACCCGTCTCACCCGTCTCACCCCCCCCAGCAGCCCGGTCTCCAGCGTCAGACTCTGGGCGCCATGAGCGCCCCCTACAGACAGAGCCTGCTGGCCCAGCAGCAGCATCTGAAGGCTCAGCCCAACGCCGCCATGCTGAAGCAGCAGCAGCTGGCCGCCGCCGCTGCCGCTGCCCGCATGCCGGGCCCCATGCAGAACAGCATCGGGGCCAGCCTCCCCGCCTCCATGGCAGGCGGCATGCAGGGGCCTCAGGGCGCCACCTGGCAGCAGCAGATGACCAACCAGACGCCTTCCAACAACGCCGGCCTGCCCCCCAACGCCTTCAACAACGCCCCCAACGCCTTCCACATGCAGCAGCAGCGCATCCCCAAGATGGCGCCCAACGCCGCACCCTTTGGTGCAAACCCTGGCGGGCGTCCCATGGGGGGCCTGAACCCCGGACAACAGATGATGCAGACGAACATGGCCGCCGCCCAGCAGAGGGCGCCGCCCAACCCTCAGAGCCTGGGCCAGCCAATGGCCAATCAGCAGCAGACTCAACAGCAGGCCAATCAGGGCCAGGCGGTGCTGCCCGACCTGGCGGCGTTCGGACAGCCACAGGGCAACGGTCGCCAGGGACTGCAGTGTAACCAAGGTTACCAGGTGAGCAGGACTGCCAACCAGCAGCAGCAGCAGGTGTCGTTCGGTTACAACGCGGCGTCGGGAAGCTTCGCCGGCGAGAGCGAGCTGGTCGACTCGCTGCTGAAGAGTCAGAGCACGCAGGAGTGGATGGCCGACCTTGACGAGCTGCTCGCCAGCCACCATTAACCCGACACACCTGAGAACCGCCTCTGTCCGCCCCTGTCCCCAGGACGCCACTGAGACTGGAGGCGGAGTCTCTGAGGACTCTGTGATGTCACAGGTGTGATATCACGTGGTCAGATGACGCTCTGATCCGTAGGTCCAGACAGGAAGTGTTTGTTAGCGTTAGCCGCACAGCTGAAGGTCTCCGAGTTCTGCTCTGATCCGTAGAGGAGGCGGTTCTGACCCGAATCCAGATCAGGTGTTAGACCGTTCAGACCTGGTTCTGGTCTGAGGAGGTCCAGAGTCTCAGAGCTGAGGGTCTCTCCTGATCCTGATCCGAGGTTCTGGTCTCTGCTCCTCCTCAGACTGATTATTGATTATTGATTTACTGAACAGAGACTGAGTCCGACTTAGACTACTGAACCACTGGACCTGCTCCACAGCGCCCCCTGCAGACCCTCAGCTTCAGCCAATCACAGCTCTTCAAAACGCTGACTCCGCCCCCTCTTAAAACCATCTGAATGTTTTTTAAACACGACAGCGTGACGCGATTTTAAAGGAGCATTCTGCTGTTTTTACAAGTTTGACCACGAAAAATAACAAATTAAAGTTAAAGGGATATTCCAGCGTAAAATCAATTTAGGGTCAAACTCACCGTAACACCGAGTTAGACCCCCCCTCCAGAGATGAATGTTGTCGACCGCTTCCTTCTCTAGTTATACCAACTTTAGTAACGACTGCAGGATAGAAATACAGAGAGACACGCCCTCAACCAAAACGCCACTCTATAGTGAGACCTCAGGCCAGTCCATTACAGACTACAGCGGGGTGCCACAGCTCAAGGAAGAACATTTATGATCATTTCTTCACGGAAATACAATCAGACCGAGACGCTAAGACAGAAGAACTACCGCGTCTGTAAAATGATCAATATGGTGATTATTACTTCAAGGAAATGATAAAGAAATGATCATAAATGTTCTTCCTTGACTCTGTAGTTGGACTCACCGCATCATGGGCTTAATATCACTCGTCCTTTAACTGTCCTGAGGTCTGATGGATCTAAATCTAACTCTCTTTTGGAAAGGACAACTGGACTTAATCGAGACGCTTCACCTAAGACTGTGTAGAGAACTCTGCACAGTCCAGTTGTCTGATTTTGGAGTTTTCTGTAATGAGGTTCAAAGTAGACGTGAGGACAGGCTGCTTTACATACACACACACACACACACACACACACACACACACACACACACACACACACACACAAACACAGTTATTTACATGTTTACAGCAGCAGCAGGAGGGGGCGTGGTTTAGGGAAATCAGCTGTTGGGATCATTTCCAGATAACAGACCGATCAGCTGATTCTCTCTCTGTAGTCGCCCCCCGTCAGACTGAAGGATCTCAGATCCACCTCCAGGTTCTAGTGGGTCACAGGAACCCGTCCTCAGTGACAGAACCAGCTGTAAAAACATGAGAATGCTCCTTTAAAATCGGACCGTTCAGAGGGTCGTGTGAAGAAATCTACAGCAGATTAAAGTGTTTTGTTCTTCTGTAGACCTTCTGGTTCTGGTTCTGTCAGACCCAGATCCTCTGAACTTTGACCAGAACCACATCAGCAGGTCAGAGAAAATCTTTGTTCTCTTTGTTTCTGAGTTCTGATAGTTTCGGGTTCTGGGTCCTGGTCTCCTTTCTCCTCCATGTTTGAAAAGTTCTGTGTGTGAAACGGTCCGATCGTCAAAGTTGAACTCTTTCAGAACCTTTTCCTCCTCCGCTCAGCCGGCGCTGAAATCTCAAAGTCATCCAGACTCGACCTGTCGATTCATTTCAACAACAAAAGTCACTGAAGTTCGTGTTTGTGTGGAAACGCTGCGTTCAAGTGTTTCAGGAAAAGAGACGATCCTCACCGCCGTCTCTTAAAGCCGCTCAGGCGCCGATCAATCGCTGCGTTCAAAGACAAAGAAAAGCATCAGTATGTGAGTTTTCAGACATCAGCCGCTGAAGGTTTCTCCTCCGTGAGGTCAAACGTCTCATGGAAGAGGTTTGAGACGTTGAAGCTGCGTTAAAAGAATCTTTACGGGGTTTAAAAAACATCATTTTTACGTCTTTTTAAAACTTTCTGAACGGATCTGAAATTTTCCACAGAAGTTCTGAGTTTTCCCGACTTTTAGAAAAGTTCTTGAACGCAGCGTTTCTGCTCCTCACACGTTTCCAGAGAAATAAAAAACCTTAAAAACTTAAATCCACGGTTTTAATTCAGCGGCGGTCAGCGTTCGGTTCTCTGAGGGACTTTTCCAGACCCGGTCTCCTGGTGTCTGATCCCGGTTCTGAAGGCGGTTCTGTGACCCGGGCGGGACTGTGAGCCTGCTCTCTATCTACTGTACTGTTCATAGCGTCTGCAGAAACGTGGTGTGTGTTTTTATTTGTGAAAAAAGAAAAAAAAAGCTCGGGGCTGGTTTGGTGTTTGGATCTGCCGCTCTCCTGTCGACCTTTGACCCTCGGCTGGGCTCAGCAGGTTTTCTGGGTTTCTGTCTCGTGAAGGGGCTCGCTGTAAATGTCTATAAATATATTTTTTGTATGTAAGCCTTTCCTAATGATCTGGAGAAGATAGATGTTATTTTTATATATTGCAGCGGAGTTTTTGTAAGTATTTTATACTTTTGATATGGTTCTCTGTAAAACAAGAGTATTATGTAAATATAGTTCTTTAGAAACACCTCCACCTCTCTGTGTGTTTTTGTTTGTGTGTTTAAGTGAAGAAGAAAAAAAACATCATCCACCTTCTTAAAGACGCTGTTTTAGAGTCTAAAACGGGTTTTAGATTAAAAATCTAAATCTGAGAAAAATGTGTTTTTTTATATCAGTCACAGTTTAACGATGTTTGATAATTAGGAGTTATTAAAAAACAAAGTAGTCAGAGATCGGATGAGAAGAAGGACTTCTCCTCATCGTCGTTTTCTTCCGCTTCATCCGGGTCCGGGTCGTGGGGGCAGCAGCTTCAGGGAAGTCTGTAAATCTGGACTCTGATAGTCTTCACTGAATCAGGTTCACCCCCAATCTCCACCGCATCCTGAGCGTCTATGAAAAGGCCGAATCCACCAATCGAAGGTAAACAAACAGGTCAAAACACTCTTTTGGAAAAGACAACTGGACTTACAGGGAAGGGAGGGAAGTCCAGACGGCCCTCACCCCGGACACTTCCACCAGCTCCTCCTCCGGGGGGGATTCCCAGGTGCTCCCAGGCCAGGCGAGAGATATAATCCCTCCACCTGGTCCTGGGCCGGCCACGAGGTCTCCTGAGACCTCCTGAGCACCTGAGAGAGGAAAATAAAAAAAGGTAGTTTTGGTCAAAGTGTCCTGAGAGCGACTCTTTGACCCAAACTAGAATCAGAATCAGAATCCGAACGCTCTTTACTGTCATTTTACAACCAGATTGGAGAGCTTCTCCATTTTTAGTGCAATAGATTAAAAAAAAGAAAACAGAGACTGAATAAAAAGTACAAAAACACAAAAAAGTAAAATAATAATGGGTACAGACTATATACAGGAGAAAATCCTCTGGTGCAGCGAAGACAGTGATGAAAATGAACAGACTAGATTATATTATAGATTATATTATAGATTATATTATAAAATTATAGACAAGATTTTAAAGAAAAAACCTCTGAGTTCAGTTTTCTTCAGCACGTCACAAACACGGTAAAGGTAGGTGGTGTTTATTTATTTATTTTTTAACCACTTTAAGAATCTAATCCGAGTCGACCCGTTCTGACCCGAGAGAGAGACGGTGCTGATGCTTTTCTCTTCTGTCGTTTAGATCAGAGGTTCACCAAGACCCCCAAACAGCATCAGCCTTTGTCCGGGGACCCCCTATGCAAACCTACTGACAATATAGAAATTATATTTTATAATAAGGCTGAGAAATAAATATATTTTTAATTTTCTTTTTTTTTCTCGTGTTCCCTCCAACTTTTTGCGCCCCCCCCCACACACTTTGAAAACCAGTGGTTTAGATGATAGTAACGTCCTGCTCTCTGACCTCTTCAAGAAGAACTTACAAACACTTTAATTATTACAGAATTCAGCTGTAAGAGTTCTGACGGCGAGAGCGTAGAACGCCAGTTTTAGAGTTTTACCATCGCCGTTAAATCAAAAAAGTTAAATCAGAAATGGTCCTCGGTTGTGGATCAGTCTGTCGGAGAGTCTCAGGGCCGCAGAGACTGTCGATGTTTTTAAGACTCTATTTAATCAAAGCTCTTCATGTTTATTTTATGTATTTTTATTAAATTTTATTTCTCAACTCACTGATCTTATTTCTTCTCTCACTTATTCGATTATTTTTTCTGTTTTTAGTCTTTTTCTAAATTCCCTCCCATCAGGTTTTTACTTCTTTGACCTTAAAAGCTCTCACTGATCAGTTCGTTTTATCTTCTTATTCTCAGTCCTTCAGGTTTTTATTCTTTTAACTTTTATTATCTCCAGCTTTGACCAAATTACGCTCTTTCCTTACACGATGTCTCTTAAACGCTCGTTCTGTCTGTGAGCCTGTGAGGATCTTTAGAAAGTGTCGTATAAATAAAGTTCATTTGAAAACTCTGAGACCACAGGACTCCGCCCCCTGCAGGTGTGCTCCCTGTGTGTTACCTGTCTATATATACCTGTGTGTGTCTGTCTGTGTTCTCTCTATGTTTCCTGATTGTGTCACGGCGCTCAGGTGTGTTCTGCTCTCACCTGTGGAGCGGCAGAGATGTTAGAGGAGGCGGTCATCCTGGCCGCTGTGACCGTGCTCGGTGTCCTGGAGCAAGGTGAGTGAGGCATGCTGGGAAAAAAGAGGAGCGTGGAAAAATGAGATTTAATGAGAGAGACAAAAAAAGTCTCATTTGAACTTTTGTTGTTTTTGTTATTTCAGCTCTTCTCTTAAAAGCTGTTAAATGATCCACTGAGCATTTACTACAAACACTAAAACTTCTGTGTGTGTGTGTGTGCGTGTGTGTGTGTGTGTGTGTGTGTGTGTGTGTGTGTGTGTTTGCATGTACAGCCTATTTCTCTCTACAGGTGATTTACGCCAGGAGGAAGTACTCGGTGTCTCCACCCGCCACCGTTGGTCCACCAGAGTTTGAGCGAGTTTTCAGAGCTCAGTGAGTCTAAAGTTCCTCTAAAGCTGCAGAAAAAAAACATCTAAAAGTTTTTATTTATTGGAGCTGAAACTAAAGAAAAGTGAAAACCATGAAGTCTTAGAGATTGAGTTATTAATGTAAGAGTAAATTTAGATTTTTAAAGTTTTAATTTGACCTAAATAAAGTCGTCAGAGAGACACAGGCGCAGGGTTACAGAGATAATGTCATGAACTTTAATATTTAAGTCTTTAAAAACACTTAAGTCCTAATTCATTTTAAGGAGTGGTCTCATCTTTATCAGAGCGACTTCATATTTAAAGACAGGGAAGTGACTTTTTGTTTTCAGAGTAAAGCCTTTAATTTAAAATCTTGGTTCGATCCACATTTTCCCACAGTCCTTAAGTTGTAACCCATTTTTTATAAAAGTCAAAACAAGAAAATTTATTTCTGATTAAAAAAAAACCTTCAAAGAGGGGTTTATAGTTGTCAAATCTTTGACATAAATACACCGTTTTTGTTGAGTAAAGTGCATTTCAGAGCAAATCAACTGAGGACGACAACAACTGAAGTTTCGTGTACAGAAAATATCAAATTGTACAAAAATAGAGACCAGGAAAATAAAAAAATTGACTTATTGGAATCTCTGCATTCAGAGCATATTTGGAAGAACCTGAGGAGGACAAAAGTGAATAAATATCAAATTAAACATAATAAAGACCATAAAAGAAAACATGTAATTTTACTGCAGTCAGGACACATTAATGAGAAACCGAGGAGAACCAGGACAGAACGTGTGACTTTCAATATAAACTATTTTTCAAAATAAAAGACAAACATCAGGTATGAATTAAATGTTTACTTTTTTGACCATCTGTTCGCGACCCACTTTTGGGTCAGGACCCACCAGTTGAAAACCACTGATTCCAAAGAACAAAGTTATTATAAAAAAAGTCTGAATTGAAGAGAAAGAAGAGTTCACAGTGACAAAATCCCCACTGAGCATTTTTTGGTCTAATAGACGTCTAAATGTCGCCGAGACGACCGGTCTAAAATCAGGCTACCAAAGTTTTCTAGACGTCTAAATTTAGACCAAGTTTAGACCAAATCTAAATCTGGGCTGTATCTATACTACATGGTATATTGTTTAACAGCTATCATATTTATTTTGGTTAAGAACTTGGAGATCAGTTATAAACTCACAGTTGCTTTTTTAAATAAATAGTTATGGAATAATCGGTTAAAGTGCGACGTCTTAATTCTGTCTAAAAACATACAGAATCTAGACGGTTGAATTTAGGTCTAAAAAAACTAGATGTCTAATAGGCGTTTATTGGTCAGTTGGTTTTTTAAGAGAATCAAGTTTTCATGAGGGGGACGGTCATCACTTCAATAAAATAAATCTGTAGTTTTTAGGGGATAAAGTTCGTCTTTAACAGGAAAAAAAGTTTATATTTGATTCAAATAAAGTTTCAGCAGGTTTCAAAAAGATGATTTAATGAAGAATAAAGACGTCAAGTTAAGTTTTTAAACTATTTTCTGGTTAATTTACAACTTTATTTCTTTTCTATTCTATCTCTGTCTTCTGTCCTCTGTAAGAAGAGAAAACAGATAAAAATCCGGTCACTGAATCAAAGTTTTGTCTCTGTGTTTGTTTGTTCAGAGCGAACTGTTCGGAGTATTTCCCGATCTTCGTCACCGTTCTCTGGACGTCTGGACTCTTCTTCAGCCAAGGTGATCTCACAGGACCTCTCACCGTCGCTTTGAGAAGATTTCAGCTCTAATTTCCCCGTTTTTCTCGTGTTTCTGTCGTAGGCGTGTCCTCGCTCTGCGGTCTCATCTACTTATACGGACGCTTCAGGTACTTCCATGGATACGCCGAGTCAGCTCAGGGACGGTACGACGATCCGACTTCTTAAATGACGACAAATCGTATTTTTCAAAAAGTCTCATTTACGTCATTCTTGATGCCAGATTTAAAAAAAAAAAAAAGAGATATACAAGGAGGAGACTCAACGGCAACGTTAATAACTGCAGGTAAAATTTACCTGGAAAACGACGCCTGCAGAAGTTTCTCTAAGCCCTGAAATTTGTCTGCAGGTTTTCTTAAAATCCAGCATGAGTTTGATGTATTTACTCCATGATCAGATGTTGCTTTCATGGAAATGCACCATTTTACTCCATTTACCTTTAGATATACATTGATGTTAACAGACCATGATAAATATATGTCAGCTTAAGATAATAAGGGCTTAGTTTTAGGGTCGAAAACATTTCAAGAGTCACAACTTCAGTGTGTTTTGTCTTCGGAGAGTCTGCAGACAAAAATCCTAATAAATCTCAACTGTGTTCAAACTACCGCAGAAATGGCTAAAAAGAAGCAACTGAGTAAAGAAACAAAAGTTCAGATTTGTACACTGAGGAAAGAAGGATACACAGAAAGAGAAAAACGCCTAAAGGTGTTTAACAAAGGAGTCGACTACACTCTGAAGAGACGAGAGGAACCTGGAAGTTCTGATGATAGAAAAAGACGAAAGAGAGTTACTACAAAAGCAGAGGATAAACATAGCATTGACACCAGGAAGAGAGACCGGAGAAAGACAGAAACACAAATAAGGGAGGAAATCAACATGACAAGGTCCAAACCCATATCTCTGAGAACTGTGACGTTTGAGAAAGGCTGGTCTGAAGGGTTGTGTATCTGCAAAAAAACACGACTTCATCCACAGAACAAGAAAAAGAGATTTGAGTGGGTAAAAGCTCAAAAAAACTGGACTGATGATGATAGAAACAAGTTTGAACAGTTTGGTTCCAAACTCAGAGTCTATGTCTGCAGACAAACTGGTGAACGTCTGAAAGCTCCATGTGTTACACCCACAATTCAGCATGGAGGTGGTAGTTCATGGTATGGGGATGTTTATCAGGTGATAGAGTAGGAGATTAGTTTGAAGTAAAGGGTATCATGAAGAAGGGACAGTACCACTCCATCCTCCAGCACCATGCTGCTCCATCTGGACTCAGACTTGTGGTTCATAAGTTTGTTTTGCAGTAAGACGATGACCCTAAGCTCTCTGCCGAGCTCTGTCAGGGTTACCGAGACAAAAGAGAAGAGGAAGGTGTTCTTCAAAAGATGGTTTGGACCCCTCAGTCTCCAGTTGAACTTGTGTGGATGAATCGGATCGATCGGTCAGAGAAACTCGTCCCACGAATCAGCGTCTCTTTTTAATGAACTTAAGAAAGCTTGAATGTAATCCCTGGAACAGACCTTAGAAAACTTGGTGAACGAATGCCTGGTATATGCCGAGCTGTTGTTAAAGCCAGAGGAGGTTACTTTAAAGAAAGTCTAAACAACAAAAACTCAAATACCTCATAATTATAGTCAGAATGTCTTCTGATAAGTTAATCTTTACACAATAGTCATGTTTATTGTGTTGAAAATTATATTTATGAAACTATGATCTTTTTTTGGACAAATCTGAACTTCTTCCAAACTTTTGGCCTGTAGTGTATGATTTCTAGTTCTTTGTTGAAAGGACAACTGGACTTGGTTGAGACGTTTCGCCTAAGTCCAGTTGTCCTTTCCATGCGGTGATTCCCACTCCAGAGTCCTGTCTGTTTTTAAATACCCTGAAGATCAGTATGGTTCAGTCCTGGTTTTGTTCTTGTCCAGACCCTCTGAGTGATAATAACCTCCATGATTTTGTCGTCCTCGACGTGTCCGTCTGCAGGTTGGCTCCTCTCTACCTGAGCGCTCGGGTTCTCTGGGTTCTCATCGGCCTGTCGTCTCTCGGGGTCTTCCTCGCCTTCTGCAGAGTTTACCTGAACCTGGACCTGCTGTACGGGCTCGGCTCTGCCCTCGGTCTGGACTGGAAGGAGAAGATTTGTGAATAAACCTGATTGGTCGAAGGTTGAACTCAGTAAATTAAATAATTCCTGATTTTTGTGTGTGATCTTAGATGATAATAAATATGTTGACGTTGAGCAGATTTTAAGTGTATTTTTGTTTTTTGCTTATCTAACAAACTGATAATAACTTCGTACCTGGTATTTTTAGTTTTAATTTTTTTATTCTTTTCTTTTCTTTGTTTGTCCAGAGCGTCTAACTTGACATTTTAAATATATTTAGATAATATAATTCAACATTTATACACTTTATTTGATTTGAACTTTCTCTTAAACACACTAATTCACAACATTGAAAGAAAGCTGCACCTACAGGTTTTAACCACCAGGTGGCAGCACTCTATTAGAAAGTTGGTGACATTTAATTTACACAAAAACGAACTGAAATTAAACTGTTTTTAGAGCAGCTCCGATGTAAAGACATGAAATAAAAACTCAGAGATGGACAGAATAAATTATAGATAAGAGCTAAAAACAATAAATATGAAACAGATAAGTATTGATCAGTATTAGCAGAAGTGATTTACTGATCAGTGTTTAAAGGAAGTGAAAAAATTAAACGATCATGTTTTAATAAAAAGATAAACTTCATTTAGAATTAAGATTTTGTTTCTTCGATCAGCTGATGTTTGTAAATATCTCAGCAGGTGTAACACCCTCCACCTGTGTGTGTGTGTGTGTGTGTGTGTGTGTGTGTGTGTGTGTGTGTGTGTGTGTGTAATCTCCGAGTGTGTAAACATGATCAGATTAAGAGTTCCTCACACTTTAACTTTCAATCGCCTTCTCTGAACCGGCCAATCAGCGTTAAGCTCTTAATTGGATCAGGTGAGCTGGAGCTTCAGGTGAGAACAGAAGAGGTTATCAGGGTTCAGGTCCATTAGATCACTTCCTGTCAATCCGTGGACTGACAGGAAGTGATCTGACCACAGTCACCTGCTGAAAAAGTCTGAATTAATAAAGTTTTGTTGAATTTTCTAATTTTTTTAACCCTCATTTACTTTAAGATAAACAGAAATCCACGTCTTAAAGAAGTACGTAGTGATATTTGTACCTTAGTATTGATTTCTGATCGTCTGAATTCAACAGTTTAAAGAAATAAAATGACATAAATCTGAAAAAGTCTGAAAAACGTTTTACTCTGAGCCGTGAGGAAACATCCGCCGTGACCATAAATACAGACAGCTGCAGGAAGTTTGTGGTCGTAATGTCCACTCTGCCTTCACAGGTGTGTGTGTGTGTGTGTGTTTTGGGGTTTGGTCTGACAGTGTGATGTCATGACGTCTCCATATTTTCACGCCACGATGTCACACGCCACAGAAACAGAAAAGAGAAGCAGCTGTTGGAAAGTTCGATGAAAGTTATTTTGATGCCGAAAACAACAACTGCTGTGAGTTCAGGCTATAAATACACACAAATACACATACCACACATCAACTGACCCGTGTGTGTGTGTGTGTGTGTGTGTGTGTGTGTGTGTGTGTTATGAGCCGTGTCAGATTGTAGATAAGTCGCCTACATTCAGCTCGGTTGTTCAGAGGTCAGAGGGGTTTGTTCTCACAGTCTGAGCCAGGCGCTTCTGGATTTATGAAGAAATATAAACATAAATAAATACTCAAAAATAACCCGATATTTTCTACGTCTGCGGTGGTGAATCAGCAAACATGAACTCGTCACAAACACCTTCTTACATGAAGAAAAGACAGAAACTCAAAGAAAATAGAGTCAAGAAAAAAAGGAACAAAGACTTTAAACAGAAATACAGATTTTTACCACACTAAAACTAATTCTGGGTAAACAGGAAGTGTGGCGTCTGTCCGACTGTGTGTCACTGTGTGTATTCAGTGTGTTTTGTGTATTTTGTGTGACAGACTGTAAAAGTTGATTTTCTCTTCCAGTAAAACAAAGTCAATTATTTCACGAGCTGATGGGGAGGGTGGGGGTGCCTCCACACATCCTGCTGATTAACTGTGTGTGTGTGTGTGTGTGTGTGTGTGTTTGTCTTTGTATTTTTGTAAAGACCAAACCTTAAAGCAGAACTCTTTTAAGGCGGGCCGCCACACTCTCTACTCTTTAAACATAGACCGGATTATCCAGACGACTTCCATCGTTTGACTTATTGTCATTTATACTAAGGTTTTAAATAATTTGTACATATTTAATTTCAGTTTTTATCAACATTTTAACTCCCGCTCTTATCGAGTCAGGGTTGTTTGACTTCTGTCCCATCTGTTAACATGGAAGAGGTTGGTTTCATGATCCTACATTGCAGCCAGTCAGTAGGGGGCGCTCTTAATCTTTCAGCTTTAGAGACAGTCCAGACTTATCGGATACTTTTTGGTTTAAAATTTGTGGTCCTCACAAAGTACTTAGACGATATGGTCCTCAAAAAGCACTAAAAACATGTTCTTGTTGTGTGTTTGTGTGTGTATATGATTTGTTTATGAGTCCTTCTGAGGACCTCTACGGGCAGTCTTTCTTCGGGGACGTTATTGCCTGTGAGGACATAGTGACCAAAAAACTACTTGGACAAGTTTCTTTGTCCATCATGGATGTTAAAGGGATAATCCGGCGTAAAATTAATTTAGGGTCAAACCCACCGTAACACTGAGTTAGACCCCCCTCCAGAGATGAATGTTGCCGACCGCTTGCTTCTCTAGTTATACCAACTTTAGTAACGACCACAGGATAGCAATACACAGCGGTCTGAGGAGCCATAAACAAACTTCAACCAAAACGCCACTCTATAGCCACAAATAATGCCAGTCCATCACGGACTACAGCGGGGTGCCGCAGCTCAAGGAAGAACATTTATGATCATTACTTCATGGAAATACAATCAGACCGAGACGCTAAGACAGAAGAACTACCGCGTCTGTAAAATGATCAATATGGTGATTATTACTTCAAGGAAATGATGAAGAAATGATCATAAATGTTCTTCCTTGACTCTGTAGTTGGAATCACAGCATGATGGGCTTAACATCACCTGTCCGTGAACTGTCCTGAGGTCTGATGGATCAAAATCTAACTCTCTTTTGGAAAGGACAACTGGACTGGACTTACTTGAGACGTTGTCCTTTCAACGAAGAACTGGAAATCATAGATGCTTTGACTCATTTCTTTAGCAAAGAGACTAAACACAACTCACCTACTCTCTTCCAGCAGCCGTTTGTTTGTAGCGAGACCTCAGGCCAATCCATTATGGACTACAGCGGAGTTTCGCAGCTCAAGGAAGAACATTTATGATCATTTCTCTATCATTTCCTTGAAGTAATAATCACCTTATTTATCATTTTGCACTGCGGACACGGTAGTTCTTCTGCCTTAGCATCTCAATTGTTGTGTTGACATCTATGTTCAAAACAGCCATCGGTTCTCTATAGTTCGGCCGTATCTAAGCGGTAATCTGTGAAATGAGTCTGAGTTATACTTCTATTGCGTCTTTCCTCAACCTGGATAATTACATACATCAACCATTCTGTCCTCCTTTGCCTCTTTACCTTCCTGCTGTCTCCTCACTCTTCAAGAGATAAAGAATCACGTTTGACGTCACGTGAAATCTCGCGTTTGTTTACGTGAGTTTCCCCTGCAAATACGTAACGTTAAAAATGTTCATCTGCGCTCATTTCCCGGCCAGCACTCGATAATAACAGTTATAAACTAAAATACAAGATACACAAGAACTCTAAATTTATTTCCATGAAGTAACGATCATAAATGTTCTTCCTTGAGCTGCGTCACCCCGCTGTAGTCCATGATGGACTGACCTGAGGTCTCTCTACAAACAAGCGTCTGCTGGAAGAGAGTAGGTGAGTTGTGTTTAGTCTCTTTGCTAAAGAAATGAGTCAAAGTTAAAATGATGTTTGGTGTCTAGTACTATGTCTGTGACCCTATATGTACTAACCTCAGTAGAACATGGTGAAGTTCTGTTCAGTAACAGAACCTCATTGGAAAATTAGCTGATTTAACTTTACTGTGCTCTTGTTCAAATATATTAACTCGACAGCACATAAATCCATACCTGTTAACAAAATCATGATTTTATTGATAATTCGGCTCAATAAAAACACCTTTACCTTTTCATTTTACTACAGTAGAAGTTTATTGGCCCAGCTTATAGACTACAGAGGTGAAGAAAGGCCCCCTCTTAAGTTTGTTTTCTTAGGAGTTGGAACTTCTCTGAATATAGTACTATGTCTGTGACCCTATATGTCCTGTTGATGAAGTTAGGTGCTGTTCTGAGCATTATTTGTGGCTATAGAGTGGCGTTTTGGTTGAACACGTGGCTCTCTGTGTATTGCTATCTTGCGGTCGTTACTAAAGTTGGTTGGGATATATCCCTTTAATGAATATCCCTTTAATAAAAGTTTGGAGGGTAAATTTACTCGTCTTTATCAAAGATATGTTAGCGTGTGTGTTCTTGTTTCTCCTCTTCCTCTTTCCGTTGAATTAACACTCAGTCAGAAAGTCCTCAGAAGAACATAAAAACCACAAACCTCAAACACACGGTTCAGACCTCACCAGTGCTGCACATCCTGTCTGAGTGTGTGTGTGTGTGTTTATGAGTTTAGCTTTGGCTCATATTAACGTCTATAAAACTGAAACAGGAGGAGAAAAACCGACTATATTCATTTCCAGTTCACATCAGTAGAGATTAAACTGAAAACACATGAACACACACACACAGATACACACACACACACACACACACACACATTTACTCAATCTCACAATCATGACCTCAGCCTTTAAAAATGTGATGATGTCACAGATTTCAGTCTGTTAAAGCAGAAACACCTTAAAGTTCACCTGAAGGTCAACACTCAGGACTGTGAAAACAGCTGTGAGTGAAATTATTAAAGTGAAACTCTGATCTCCAAAAAGTGTATAAAATGTTCATATATCAGAGTTTAAAGGTTTTAAAGGTTAAATTTGATCAAATATGGTGTAAAGACCAAAGATCAGGTGTTGGAAAGGAGTTTTATGTTCCTGTTAAATCCGCAGCGACAGACAGATGACTGACAAATCATCAAATTCTGTTATTTTCATAATTTTATCGCCGACAGCCTCCAAACTTTTATGGAAAAGAAGGAAACTCGAGTCTGAATGTTCGTCGCCTGCTTCACGTATTTAAAGGTGTTGTAGTCAGGATCTGAGTTAGTTCCAGTTTTTAGGAGAAATCTTGAATGTAACTCTACCCCTCCAATCCAGTTTTCCCCTCAGCTCCTCCTCCCCTCCTTCAAGCCCCGCCCACAAACAGACGCTCCTGCTCGCTCGCATCGTTCCGATTAAATTCAGATATAATGCAGATAAATACTTCAGATCATTACAAATGGGGCCCAGTCAAGGTGAAAGTCAAAAGCATTGGTGCTACTGTAGATGCCAACAGACTACCAGCAAACACAATGTTTGCAGGACTTCTACAACGAGGATAAAGTGACATAGTCCAGGACCCGAGGGAGGACAGTTTAGCGATGGCGCTACAACACGCTACAGCAGGTCCGTTTGACAAGAAACACTTCTGTTACAGACACTTGTCTTACTTTGTTAAAGCGGTTTACCTGTCCAGCAGAAAGGTTACAGGGTCACCAAGATCCCCAAGCGTCCCCCATGGTTTATGTTGACCCGGCTTTTTAGCTCTTGTCCGGTCTACCTCGGATTTAAGCGCCCGTTATTCCTCCAGAGTCTCCGGTATTTACTTTGTTTTCTTGCTTGTGTCGGCAGTCGTGGCCAAAGGAGGATTCGGACAATTTTCCGAACTTTCTGATTGGTTTCTACTGTCCGATATTGTAGCACGCTAACTTTGTTTGGGCTCCTGAACGACACGGGGGAGCAGCGTCTGCCTCACAACCAATCAGGTTAGAGGAGGTGGAGAACGGCTTTGTTTACAGTCAGAAAGAGTGGACCGCTCAAAAATGTTCAAATGTTGACGACACAGACATAAGAGAACACAGAGATATCGATATATTACCAAATGTCATCAATAACTAATAACTATTGACTGATATTAGAAGATTTTTGTATAAAAACCACAAAATAAAAAGATGCGTCTTTAACGAAATAAAACTAAATTCAATGTTTAAATTGGAACTGTGCAGCTAAATTTACATTAAACCATTATTAAAGTTGTATTAATGAAGAATATAAACTCTGGGACCCATTATTTTTTTAAGTCACTCTACAGCTTGTGATGCTAGCTACATAAACTTTTTGTTAAATCTACTAAATGATACGGTGGCCGAGCATTTAATTTTAGTTTTAGTTTTTTATTTATTTAATTATTTTTTACATTCTTTTTTATTTGCAGCGGGCTTTGGTTTCTTTTTTGCATTATTAACTTCTGTTGTTGCTCTTTTTTTTTATTTCTTTTTTTCTTTCTTTTTTATTTGCAGCAGTGGCGGTTCTTGGCCACCGTAGCGTTGAACAAATTATTAAAAAGAAAAGAAACTTTAAAGTGTTGTAGTTTCCGATGCGTTTGTGAAGGCATCACTGATACGCCCCGCCCCCTGTAGCAGGCGGTCTCTGCGGTGCGTTCAGGGACTTTTCCTTCAGTTAGTTTGAAAGTTGTCAACAGAGGAGGAGGAAGGAGGAGAAAAGGAGCAGATATCAGAGGAGGACCGGAGAGTTCGAGCGGCTTCACACCGACACTGAGCTCCGAGGAGGAGGGATGGGCTGCAGCCACAGTAAGGTGAGACCACCGGGGTCCGAACCGTCGGAAACAAAGGGTCTGTGGGTAAAGTTCCGCTGTTCGTGTCGGTGTGTGTTTGTGTGTGTGTCGGTGGGGGTTCATTAGCAGGCGGCCGGTGATTCTGCTGCTTCTGCACGGCGACCCTGGAAAACGTGCAGGGAATGATCTCCAGGTGTTCGTGAGTTAATGAGCAGAAAAACCCTCAAAAATCCACTTTTATTCATGAATTATGGAGAAAACTCGGAGACGGTTTGGCGCCTGAATTTGAAAAACGGTGAAAAACTGACGGATGAGAGTTTTTTGGGTTTTTTTTGTGAACATCTGTTTCTCATCTCATCGAGTCTGAATCTCCGAGTTTTTTCTCACGGAGCTCAGAGACACTGAACTAAACAGTTCCTCCTAATAAATGACATTTAAGGCCTTCATATGACCGCTTTAATCCTCTATTTATAATCTCACCACAACTTAAAGTACAAATACGTAATATAGTGAAGTGGATATTTGGTGTTTCATCAGTTACAGAAACATTTAAAAGTCTAAATTTACTTTCAGACAGTTTAAACTGTGATAATGTGAAGTTACTCACAACCACAGTGTTGATTTATTTATGAACATGACCTTTTTAGTAACATAAATCTAAAAGTGAGATTTGTTTTCCTGTTTTTGAAGATAATGAAACTGATTTACTGAACAAAAAAATCACAGATTTCCTCATCTTTCCTGACACTTGAACGCACCGCCTGACTGTTTTCATCTCTTTTATTATTCCTGTTATAACCCAGTTAAGATATAAAAAGTGTTTTAATGAGTTTACAGCATATTTATGGTGTTTAGAGCATTAAGATAGAAGAATATGACTTCAGGCTGTTTGAGTCTGGCTGTGATAAAATAACACACACTGATTTATTAATGATGGAGACAGCTTTTTATTCATTTAGAAAAATGTTATATATCTTGAGTCTCACCCATGGCCAAGGCTGGACTGGACACGATGATCTTTATCTAAACAGGTTTACAAAAAATAAGAAGTATTTGAGTTTATAAAAGTATAAAAGTGATAATATACAAAAGGGAAACCTAAATGTCTGCATATATATCTATCTAACCAAAACCTCAGTAATTTAGACTTTATTTAGTTCATAACGGGGTTAAACAAAGTCGAATATTTTAGTGTTGGAAAGTCAAATATCTGAACTTGCGTCGGCTGTCGTATCACAGTTAAAGATGTTTTTTTCTGGTTAAATTTTGCTAATTCTCTGTCATGTTTTGCGCTCCATGCTCCCTCCGTCCCTCTGCTTCACTTACACGCGCCTCTTTTCTCGCTGTTTCTCTGCTTTGCTGCAGATGTTTTCCTGAAATCTTGGTCCACGGTCTGTGTGGAGGCAGAAACCCTGATGATGAATCTGATAAACTGTGCAGACTGTAAACGACTCTAAACTTTAACAGTCTTTCCTGTTTATGATCTGATGTGTTGGTCTGTGAAAGACTGAACTCCGTCATTGAAAGTCGTTTAAATCCTTTTTAAAGTCCCGGGCTGTCTCTGATAGTGCTGAGAGACACGTATGAATTCCACTTCCTGAAGATATTTGTACGTTAAAACTTCATATTAGTGTAGTTTTAATTCAAAGTTTACAGCCTCAGTGGTTTTCGTACCGTCGGGTTTAATGTCAGCTCCTCTGTCCCACTGAGGGTGAACTTGGACAGCTGTTGTCTCTCACGGTTATTGATAGAAAATGACGGAGCGGCCGAGGCTCCATGTGGGTCACTGGTTTCCAAACGGAGCAGAGACTCTGTGTGTGTGTGTGTGTGTGTGTGTGTGTGTGTGTGTGTGTGTGTGTGTGTGTGTGTGGTTAGAGTTTGATATCATTTCATCATGATATTCTTAATTCATTATTTCACATGAAGTTACTGAATTTAGAGAAACCGTTTATTTGGATCATTTGCATGTTTGAATCCTTCTGTCTGTGTGAAGGTGAGGCGTTGGTGTCATGTGACGTAGCAGGAGAGGAGGAATCGGCAATTTACGTTAAGACTTAAAAGCTCTCACCTGTCCGTAATTCATGTCAAAGAAGGTGGAAATGAAGGAGTGACTTTATTATTTTGATGTTGACACGAGGATCTCCTGGATCAGTCTGAGGTTCTTTCTGCAGCACAGATGTCCTGGTGAGTCTCATCTGTTGATCTGTTTAGGGCTGCCGTAGTTTGTTCGCCTGCAGACACTCTTGCAGGAGCTGCTGTTATGTAAGGTGTGTGTGTGTGTGTGTGTGTGCGTGTGTGTGTGGTAAATCTTTGATTAGCTGAGAATAGAGCAGATTTAGAGGCTCAGAGGCTGAGCTGCTGCTGCTGCAGGAGATCAGTGACACCAACAGAGATTCACAGCTGAGGTTTAAATAAAGATTTGATTCAATCAGAGCCTGAATGAAGGAGACTCACCTGGACTCACCTGGACTCACCTGCTGCTGCAGCTGTGGGGGGGCAGAAGAAGAAAAGACCGACTGCTCTGGTTAGGGTTGGGCGATAAAACGATATATATTAAAAATTAATTTCCCTCAATATCGATATAAAACATGATCAATATCCTTTTCAATAGTCGTCATTCTGACATGTTTTGGTCGACTATACGAACAGCCAATGAGAAGGGGAGTTTCTCCGGGTCTGAACCAATCATGTTCTGAATTAGAACCAAGTATCAACCAACTGCAGCAAAGTCGTAGCAGACAGCAGCTCCACCCAACCATAGCACTTTAACAGGTGAAGCCGACAGCACTGTTGGTGAGAAACAAAGAAAATGAGTGCTACCCCCGACAGAAATGACCATGAAGGCTCAACAGATGACCACATCAATGTCAACCACAACACTGGCGTTAGGAAAACGTCGGTGGTGTGGAGGTATTTTGGTTTTTGGAGGTCGGACATGAAGCAGAGTAATGTGGACTGTAAATTATGTCGAGTACATGTTCTCACAAAGTCGGGGAATACCTCAAATCTTTTTCACCACCTGAAGCAGCGCCACGCCGCAGAGCACGCGCAACGCAAAAGGTTACAAACCCCGAGAGGAGCGAGGAGCCGAAACAGACGACCATTCAGTCGGCTTTCTCTAGAACAACGCCTTACGACAAAACGCCAAAGAGACACAAAGACCTCACAGATGCAGGAGATTATTGTGTTGGAAAAGACATGAGACCAATAAACACTGTTAGATTTTTATATCCTGATATTGATCGATATCAGCTGATATGAAATAAATATATCCTGATAAACTTTCTCTCGTATCGCCCAGCCCTACCCTGATGATTGTTGTTTTTAAAGCTCAGAGTTCTGGATCAGATAAACCCGTCCAGCACCTGTGCAGCAGGTTCTCCACACCTGAAGAAACCATCGAGTTGTTTTTGCTCCTCCAGCTGTCTCAGAGCCAACAGATGGTCTGCAGGTCTCTGAGGTCATAGTTTTCCGTGGACCTGAACCTCCGTTGTAAACCTGGACCCGGTGTGTGTCGGCGGTTTGTTTAAGAGATAAAACCTCCAGAAAAAACAGAGCGTGTTTTGATTATAGGAGCTGGTTCGACTCAAAGACTCAAATATTTGACTGAAGTTCTGCTGCTGGAGATCCTGGTCCTCAGTCCGACCCTCAAACAGACCTAGGATCTGTTTAAACCGTTCTTCTGTAAAACTACCTCTTTTTTTCTTCTGCTCTTCACCGAGAAAGGAACTCAAACACACAAATGTACATTAAAGTCCTGGTCGATGATCTTCAGTTTATAAAACTGAGCCGTTGAGGCAGATTTGATGTTCAATGTTTTTGTAGCCCTGCAGCTGATAGGGTGAACAGATTTTTTCCGATCTTTTTTCACTTTGTGGAGATCGCACTATAGGACCATGGTCGCCATAGAAACGAGGTTCATAATAACGACCAATCTCTACAATCGTCAACCATGACTTTAAATATGAGAGTGAAGTCTCCTCCCTGTCTGATCTGTTTCATCTATGTCTACGTTCGTGTGTCTCTGTGGAGTTTCTGAAAACTCGAACCCTCACAGACTCAGCCGACCCGTTTGGAGGATTATCAGGGTCTTAAAATTGTTGGCGAGCAGTTCTGGATGTGGATCAGCTCCTAAAACCCGAGACTGATCCCTGCTGTGAGGACCAGGTCTGAAATGAAAACACAGATCCGCTTCAGTCACATGACCTGAATCTGAATCTGTGATGTCATGTGATGACCTCTAACATGGTCTCTCCACAATCAGGACCTTTGACCCCCCAGTTGAGACAAATCAGCGACAGGAAGTCGTTTTTTTTCCATCTCTAAAGGTCCGAGTCCTCCTCCATCACATGACCTCCTCCATAGATCACCTGACCTCCTCTTAAGATCACGTGATCTCCTCCTTATCTTTGAGGACTGTAGAGCAGCTTCTGTCAGCCAATCAGGAGCGAGACCTTTCCCTACAGCGGCGTTAGAGACACAACAGGAAGTGTGATAAACCACGTGAGGTCAAACGACCTCCTGCTGTCATGTGACCGGGCCGCCATGTTGAACTGACATTCAGGACTGGAGGATCTGAGCCGTTCATGACGGGGTCCTGAGGCACGAGGCGTTCACAGGGATTTTTGTTTTAATCGTCAGGGTTTATCTTCGTCTCCATGGAAACGGGGGAAACACAACAGAGCAGCCGATGTACAGAGAGGAGACGTGAGAACGGGCCCGAGGACAGAGACTGCAGAGAGTAGAGTCACAGAGTCCTGGATCAGACCTGGAGTCCAGACCTCCTCCAGTCCTCTGATAACCGATCAACTTATTGATTATTAATCAGCCAAACAGTCAAACAGCTTTGTCTCATCAGGGTTTGACTCTAACTTTGTTCACAAGGAGCACAATTTTAGGGGACACAATGAAAACTGATCAATAATGTTTGTCTTATTGATCGACCTTAGTACTATTATTAGAAATCAATTTTAGGTCTTTTGGTCACATGACAGTGAAGCTATTGAAGGAAAACAGCCTTTTCTGAGAACATCAACCGGTAATTTATTGACGGTCCCTTATTCAACACCGACGTTGACAGTGAGGGTGTCGAGTAGATTTAACCGCGCTGCTGTTGTTATTCCCGGTTATGGAGAGAGAGAAGACACCGGTAGATCCTCAGAGAATGTCCGTCAGATATCCAACCTGAAACTAACTTCACCGCTGTATTTACAGGAAAATATATCCAACCTGAAACTAACTTCACCGCCGTATTTACAGGAAAATATATCCAACCTGAAACTAACTTCACCGCCGTATTTAAAGGAAAATATATCCAACCTGAAACTAACTTCACCGCCGTATTTACAGGAAAATATATCCAACCTGAAACTAACTTCACCGCCGTATTTACAGGAAAATATATCCAACCTGAAACTAACTTCACCGCCGTATTTACAGGAAAATATATCCAACCTGAAACTAACTTCACCGCCGTATTTACAGGAAAATATATCCAACCTGAAACTAACTTCACCGCCGTATTTACAGGAAAATATATCCAACCTAAAACTAACTTCACCGCTGTATTTACAGGAAAATATATCCAACCTGAAACTAACTTCACCGCCGTATTTACAGGAAAATATATCCAACCTAAAACTAACTTCACCGCCGTATTTACAGGAAAATATATCCAACCTGAAACTAACTTCACCGCCGTATTTACAGGAAAATATATCCAACCTGAAACTAACTTCACCGCCGTATTTAGAGGAAAATATATCCAACCTAAAACTAACTTCACCGCGTATTTACAGGAAAATATATTCAACCTGAAACTAACTTCACCGCCGTATTTACAGGGAAATATATCCAACCTAAAACCGTCTCTCAGATCCTGTCTGAGTACAGAGACTCGGGTTTGTGGTTTTACAGAGACCGGGTCACTCATGTGCATCCAGAGTTACCCTGAGGGAGACTCTGGGAAACTCATGAATGTAGATCTTTAAATCTGAGCGTGTCCTGAATCATGTGGATGGTAAAAAAACACACACACACACACACACACACCTGGGCTGGTTACCTGGGTGTTGTCTGTGTTTGGGGATCAGTGATACTTCTAAACGTGTTTACAGCTTTACTCACAAAGTCTCTGCTCTTCCCAAAAACACAAAAAAATGTGTGAAACACTAAATAATCATAAACTAAATCTGAACTTCTCTCAGATTAACGCTGACCCAAGTGTCATTAAAGGTAGCGGGATACTCATGTTTATTTACCTGGACGGACCACCCAGGTTTAGTCTTTGTGGGGAAACTTTTGGATTTTGATATTTTAGCGTCTCGATCTCAGCGTCTCTGCGATGATTTCACGTGTTAGAGATCCGTCTGTGATCAGGATCAGGTTGTTCCAGGTGATCAGCTGTGATCAGCTGTTCGGTGTTTACTGTCAGACTCTTGAAGACTCAGTTTTTGTGTCTGTTTTTGAGTTTCTTTAAACTCTTTAAATTGTCTCTTTAAGACTCAGACTCGTCCACCGAAACTGAAGCCACAGACGTTCTCACGAACACGATGATCACCACCTCGGCGTGTTTCTCTTGAAGGTCTGTGTTTTCATGACTCTGAAGTGTGGAACCTCGCTCTTGTTCGGTCTGCAGACTCTGGACTTGTTGAGGTTTTCTCTGCAGCTGAAGGAGGAAAACGTCTGAATCCTCCGTCTGCAGGTCAAAGCTGAGACTTCTGACACTGAGGAGGGAAACGGCGAGTGTTTGAGCGGCTGCTCACTTTAACCTCTGCAGGAGATTCTTCACGACCACGTGTAGAAAATGTTCCTGCAGCAGCGACGGCTCTCTCTCTTGTGTTTTTAAACGAAGGATAAAAATACGATCTGAGCTCAGAGAGTGTACACGCCGTCATTAAAGTCCCTTTGATTTAGTTTTCTTCTGGCTTTCTGGGAGGAGGAAACAGTCATTACAGAAACATGTTCGTCTGCTGCAGAACAGCAGACGGTAAAAACAGCTGCAGCCTGGATCAGCTGATTCAGTCCAACGTGAGAAGAGCTGAAATGAGGGTTCAGGGACACGGACCGCTCTGAACTTCTCTGTAGGAGTCAGTCCAGTTTTAAAGACATGATGAGGGTATTAGGGGGCGTCAACATCTACACATGTGAACAGATACACGTTAATAAATCATCACTGTTGAGAAAAACCAAAAGCTGTTTACACGTCTTTGTTTTCTCCTCCTCCTCGATCATTTTTCACCAACATATATATTTATAATGTTTCCTGAAATCTTCAGATCACAACATTAAATAACTAAAGTGTTCCCATCAGTGAAGTTATCTGCATACATAATAGATGAATGAGGCACAATGTTACTTTGATTAATTAAAATAAACAGCCAGTGTCATGTTACTTCAAGTTGACTCGGGGACGCGATGGCGGCGGTCAGCAAGCGGAGCGCTGTGTGACAGTTTTTTAAACAAACCGCCAGAGGAAATCAAGTGGAGTGTCGATTATGTCGCGGAAGTTTACAACAACAGAGCAGGATCCACGTGAAACTACCTGTGATGGAAACACCCGAACAAGATGGAGGGAGAGACTGCTGCTGACATCGGTGCTATCGCTATGACCACGATAGGGCCCGACTGATATGGATTATTTGGGAGGAATAAAATCCGATTACCGATTAATCAGCCGATTTTTTAATGTTTTTATGAAGTCTTAAAATTTTGTTAATTTCAGTAATATATCAACATATTTATTCAGCCTTTTTAATGAATGGCTGCTTTTAAGCCTTTCAAACACGTCTCAGTAACATTAACGTCAGTAAAATTCCACGTAATTATCATGAATCAAACTCGGAACAGAAAAGCGTTTTAAACTTTGTCTCCTCCGTCTTCACTCCCGTTCCTCATTTCCGGTCCGGTCTCCTCTGGAGACATGCAGCTGCCTCAGAAAGAGAAGTCGCTCGATCATTAATGTGTTCTGTTGTTTATTCTACCGTTACTGACACGGCTAACAGTGTAGCTAACAGGCTAATAGCAGGTGGCTAACTCTAACGTTAGCTTGCGTGTTACATGGTGCTTCAGCGTTAACTCGGCGTTGAGGCGGACCGCTCTCCTCTGTGCGTCCCTGAGCTGCTGCTTCAGATCCGTCACTCTGCTGTGCTGTGAGGTAGTTAGTGGATGAAGACTGGCATGAGGTCGCTGTAGCGCCATCTACAGGATAAGTCGGGGAACTTTTCAAATGGCAGAACATTTTCGAAGTGAAATCTTATTCTCCGCATTTTATTTCTGAAAATATCGGCAACAATCGGCGAGTTTTGGCCGATTACTGATTAGTCTCAAACAGGCTAAAATTAGCCGATTTGATCAGCTCGCCGATAAATCGGTCGGGCCCTAATACACGATTATACATCCAACAAGGCCCGGAGTGAACCTATCAGCATCTTAACATCTGAAACGGTGGCTCCTCCACATGCAGCCTGAGTCGACGGTTGAGGATGACGATTTTTTTCAGCTGATGAAATATCGGAAGCGAGGCGATGAGCGACAGTTAGCTCACGGATATTAAAGGACGATTTCTCGTCTGTCGAAATGATGATTGATAAGAGACAGTCGGCCTTGAAATGTGAACTGCAGTTTCTCTGTTTTATGTTGTCTATAATTTAGTTCATGTTTGGAGTGGGTTTATAAGAAGACGTTTCTGTCTGATAAAAACTGGAACAGCTTTGATTTACTGAGATCAGGAGGAGTTTGAACGGAGGCAGAACCTTCTCGTGGTTACAGAGCGCAACTGCGATAGACAGAGATCTCCGACGTGTGACCGGGTACACGAAGGTCCGAAGCGCCGTTTACACGTGTAGAAAAACTGTAAACATTGACGCCCTAAGAGGTTCTCAGGAGAAAAGTGTCTCTCTCTGTTTTCGGTAAAATACTCTGAAGTTTCAGTTTCAGGTTCGAGTGTTTTATCGGTCAAACTGAAGAACTTCTGATCTGCCTCATTGATCGATCAGACTTCAATAACAGGAAATGAGTCCTGCTGGGATTTTGCAGACTCACAGGTCAAAGGTCACCTCAGTCCGCAGCTCTGTGTGAATCCGCTGAGTCAGCTCATGGACACTGAGGCTCTGTGTGAGGAAGTTCTGAGTGTCGTCATCCTTCCTGTTGAAGGTTCTGGTTTCCTGGTTCTGACTCTGAGCGACAAAAACCGTCAAGAAGGTCTGAACAACAAGAACCACGTGGACCCGGATTTGAGGACCTGGTCTGCAGCTCCGGCTGACACCCAGACCCACTCAGTAAACCTGGAGAATTTGGGTTCAAACCCTCGCACACGTGAAACTCAGCGGCTAATCAGGAGGTGATTTATTCAGCGTTAATCTCCGACAGTCAGACAGGAAGTCCTTATAAGGAAACAGCTAAAAAACAAAGACTCTGAGTAAATCTGTGGAACAACAACAGGAGGATCTGAACAAGGACTGAGCCGGTTCAGGTGGACCCGGGTTCAGCGCTCAGACCGACTCCATCTGTCGAGTTTAGGAACCTCAGACGCCACAAAAGGAAACAGGAAGTGCTCTGTAGATCACTATCAGACTTCAGTTCGCTGTGATTGTGCAGGAAGTTTAAAGTTTTTATGTTTCTGAATATTATAGATCTAAAATCACTCAGATTCACTCTCATGTAGATTTTCTCTCTGACAGATGAGCGTCTCTAAAACCCCGACGTGGTTTTTTTTGGGTTTTCACGCTGATTTCTAACTTCTCTGTTTGACACAATGAAACTCTTCAGACTCTGTCACCCTGTTTGAAACTCTGTGGCCCCTCCCCCTCAGATTTGAACCAGCCAATCGGGTGCTTCCTCTCCTCAGCAGAAACTGACCCCCCCCCTCAGTTGGGTGCAGTCAGGTTTTTCTGGACTGTGAAGTTCTGCTTCACAAACCGAGGGGAGCGTCTGCTCTGATTTATGAGAGTTTGAACAGTGAGGGGCCCACCGCCGCCGCCGCCGCTGCCGCCTGCAGAGACACATGCTGCCACTGCTGCACCTCCTCCACCTCCTCCTCCCCCTCCTCCTCCTGAACACAGTGAAGTGTTTAAAGCTGGTGTATTTATCGTCTCTCAGCTCAGGGTTTGGATAAAGTCGAGCTAAAAGTGTTTATACAGGGAGGGTGTGTGTGTGTGTGTGTGTGTGTGTGTGTGTGTGTGTGTGATTCAGTGTTTTAGGGTGTGAGTGCTTGAGCAATGTGAGAGTGTGTGAGGCAGCACAGTGTGTGTGTGTGTGTGTGCGTGTGTGTTTCTGATCGTCACTTTCAGAAAAAGAATAAAAGTTTTTTTTTTTTTTTCTTCTGAACTTTAAATATTTATGAAATCTGAAAATCAAAACACGCCGAGGATTGTGGGTAAAGTTCGTAACGCTTCGTGGACGTCTCTGAATTTGGAGCGGTACAGAAAATGCATTTAAATTCTGATTGGAGGATACAACAAAGGGGGTGGGACTAGATACTCTGAAGCTAAAAGTCACATTAATTATAAATAAATAAATAATAATAATAAATAAATAATAAATCAATCATAAATTAATAATGAAAAGCAAACAATAATAATAATAATCAATAATAACAACAACAATAATAATAAATGTAATATAAAAATATGAATCAGCAGGTTTTCAGTCTCTCTGAGGTTCACACTCCTTTCTGTCTACCCTCTGTTGTGGGTCCTGACACACAGCTCTAGTCTTGTTTACAGGTCTATCTCAGGTCTTCCTCCTTCTGGTCTGTATTTGACAGGAGAGTACAGGGACCTGAACTCTTTAGTCCTGGACCTGAGATGGTGAAAAGCTCCTCCCAGTTCTTGACCTTCAGAAAGAGAAGAAACTGGCTGAACTGGTTTCACTGGGAAGTTAAACTCTAGATCTTGGTGGATTGGACCAGGATTTTGGACCTGAGTCACATATATAGACGTTTGTTGTAGAGGTGAGCTCTTCTGTTTGTATTCACGTCTGCTCTTGGTCAGAAACGGCGTCATTTGCGCTGATGCGTCTTTTCTGGCGGCGTGAACGCCCGTCCGTCCGCTGGTCTGGAGTCAGAGTTTGGGCTGAAGTTATGTAAGAGAGGAAGGAAAGAAAGAAAGGAGGGAAAGTTCCAGCGTCAGTCATGTGGAGACTAATGAGAGACTCAGACTCCATCGGCGGCTTTCATAACAGCCTCCCTGTTCCAGTTTATCAGCCAGACCTGATCCAGGACTCTGCCGCTGCTGCCAGGACGCCTGTTTCATGTCCCAGACAGACTTCAGAGGAGAACTGTTAGTGTTGGAGATAGTCAGGTCTGCAGCTCTGAGCTCACTGCACTAATGTTAGCTGATCTCAGATCTATGAAACCAGACACTCGACTCTGATGAACACATGAATGTTTCAATCTTCTCAGAATGACGACGTCTGTAAACGAAGAATCAGAGCGAGAGAACAGATCCACTCATACTAGAGCCAATCTGATCAGGATGGATCTATTTAAAACAGATATCTGGACCTCCACAGGTCAGCTGATCACAGATACAGCCTCTGATTGGTGGATAAACCCAAACAAAGATGGCAGCCTCTGAGGGTAAAGTCAGCTGATAACAGAAATAATGACCTTGACCTTTTTAGACAGTCTCTGGAAACAGACTCAGACCCAACGAAAACCTCAGTTTGACCCTCTAAAGTTAAAAAACTGTGAAACTAGTGTTTGGCGGTTTGACGGTAAAAACCGTGTGACGGTATAAAAGTGTAGAAATGTTGCTCTACCGTTTATACCGGAGAGAGAGAGAAAGTATAGTTGTCTGCGCTCGCGAACAGGAAAGCCGGAGCGCATCCGTTTGGGTGCGTTTTCATATATTCACCAGTGTGCCGTGCGGAGTTTGTTCGCTCCGTTTGATTGGTCAGGTTTGGGTACGTTCCCTATAATCACCAGCGTGTCCACAGACTGCTTGGTTTAGACAAAGAAGAAGAAACAGCTTCACTGTTGGTGGTCAAGGTGGACGTGGAGATCAGTGGCAGTACCGAGCCAACGGAGGGCAGCCCGACCCACCAAACACGAGGAAGAGGAGGAGGAACGTGTTCTGAAAAAGGGCGCGAGTCACGACATCGGTTGTCTGGAGATTCTTCTGATTTCAGATAAAAAAAAAAAACTATACAAAGAGTGTCGAGGAGGTGAAAACATCAACGACCTCTTCCACCACCTAAAGATCCCCAAAGGTACAACATATGATCAAAAATCACCAGACTGGTCCGACATTTAGTTCGTGTTTGTGTAAAAATCTGAGTTTAGAAATAAAAGGAAAATGAACAAATGAGACAGTTTGGTTATTTTTAAGACATTAAAGAATTTACAGGAGGAAATTACTGTGATATTTTCTGTTACCATGATATCAGATTTAGTTCAAACCGCCCAACACTCGGTGAAACGGTTTCCTCTGAAACGTCCCGATGTAAACACACGTCGTCTTTCTCTTCAGGGTGGGACAGAAACACTCAGACGTACGGAGAGCGGTCGGTCTCACAGACTGAGTGGATTTTAAAGTGGAACTGTCAGAGGGTCTGAAGTCCAAACTCGGAGTATCGGACAGTTTTTCATGTTCATTAAAAACAAACCCGTCCCAGAGGATCCTGCTGAAACAGGTCCTGGTCTCCGTTTGCAGAAACAGACTCAGGTTTAAGTTAGCTCAGGTCTCATGATAACCCGACTGTCCTCCTCACCTTAAAGACCGTGTCGATGATCTCATCCTGACTTTGGGTTCAGGTCTCCGCTCTGACTAAACTCTTCTTCTCTTCTCTCTTTTTTGGTTTCCAGAAGAAAAGCAAAAGCAAGAAGGGAGGGAAGAACCAGAAGGACCAGAACCACCAAGATGAAGGAGGTGAGTGTTGCTCAGGGGTCTCAGGTGGTCCTGGTTCCTGTCCTGGTACTATGACACACTTCAGGGGAGCTGCTTGATTTTAGCAAAACCAGGATCAGGATCATGAACTTTAATGGAAATACTCATGAGACTAAACATCAGATTTCAGTCGTACGAAAGTTTTTATACTTCGTCACAAAAAACAAAGATTTTTACTTTTATCACAGACTAAAGATCGAAACACTCACTCCTCCTCCTGCTCCTCCTCCTGCTCCTCCTCGTTCCTCCTCTACTCCAGGAGATCAGACCATCAGATTTCACTTGGTCCCTAAATTGCTGGATCGGGCTAATCCCGGTGTTTAGAGGTGGTACAATCTGAATTTAAGCGAAGATGATCCAAATATCCAGAACTTTAGAAGTTTCAGTCGGTCGACAGAGAAGACTCCTCCGACTCCTCCGACTCCTCAGACTCCTCCGACTCCTCCGACTCCTCAGACTCCTCAGACTCCTCCGACTCCTCAGACTCCTCAGACTCCTCAGACTCCTCAGACTCCTCCGACTCCCGTGGAAAACTCAGTAAAAAGGTGATAATTGTTGGTTTCAGCTCTGAAACTCGAACAGTTATAAAATCCTGTCCTCCTGTTGCCGTGGAGACGGCTGTAAACAGACCGAACACAGGTAACACAGGTGTGTGTTTTCAGAGTGAAACAGCTGCTGAGGAGGCGTGAGTCAGCGCTGACCGTCGGGCGCTGACCTCTTCCCGTTCGCCGTCTCCTCCCGTTTACGATCAAACGTCTGATGACAAACAGGAAGTCCTAAAACGGTGGTCATCTGTCTGTGACGTCAGCGCAGAAACACTCAGAATGAAAACAGGGACCTGGTCTGGATCTGCTGGTTTACTGAGGAGGACCTGGTTTAATGAAATAACTCAGTCTGAGTGTGAAAGTCTCTTTGTGTCTCTGCTGTTGGTTAAATATGATTAAAAACCGATCGATGGACCTCGCTGCAGCTCGCACTTTTAACAAATCAATCCGTCAGAGCGACCCAGATACTCTCCACAACAACACCGAGCGGTCAGGACTGAAAACAACAATAACTAAAATAATTATAATGATTATAATAATAATAATAATAATACAGGAAATGATAGAGAGGTGAAAGTGACTGACTGGAGAAGGAAACGTGTGCAGAGGTTAAAAAACTGTTTCATCCTGAAGAACCGAGTTTTAATATCAGAGACTTTATTCTTTTTAACAGACCGTCAGTGAAAACGTCCAAACTGAGAGATTAAAGTTAAAATCATGAGAAAGTTTTTCATGATGTTAAAAATTAAAATGAAGAAAACTAAAGTCAAAAAAACAAACTCCAGACTCCCCTCCGCCACCCTCCTCTCCTCCGCTCATTTCTCCTTCTCCTCCTCTCTGCTTTCTCCTCCTCTCTCCTCTTTTTGCTCTTCGGCATGTGTCTGCTGAGTGGGCGTGTCCTTTAGCATCTCTCTGATTGGTTGATACGACTTGCTGTTCAGTTGTGATCCTGTAAAAACAGCTGAAGATTGAAGCTCCATGATCCTTGTAGCTCAAACCCTGCGGAGGTTTCTTGTGGACCTCCTCCTCCTCCTGCTCCTCCTCCTCCTCCTCTGTTTCTGTCTGAACATCAGCGTCTCCTTTAATCGACCTCACACAGCCTCCGGTCTCCCTGAATCACACAGAAACCTCTCTGATGATGATTTATGTCGTCTGTAATTTTCCACTCTCAGTTTCTGAACGATCACAGAGCTCCGATCTTTGAGAGTTATCGTCAAAAGACGAATAAAAAACTAAAGCTGCTCTTTGTTTAAAAATCAATTCAACATGCAGACGGGCTGAGACCTGTTCCTGCAGGACGACCAATCAGAGAGCAGAGACTGAGGAGACCGACCAATCAGAGAGCAGGAGGTCCGACACTCAGGCGTAGTAAAACTGTTTATTATCAGGACCGTTTTAATATTTCTGATGGTCATGTGATCGACGTGGTCTTTGTGTTTTTGTTATTCAGAGTCTTTCTTCTTTATTTATTTATTTACTCCAGCTGAGGAAATTTCAGTTTGACAAAATCATGTCACATTAGAACATTGAAGAAACCTCTTATATGACCGAACCCCCTCACTCAAAGTCTAACTGTTCTAATAATCGATCACTGAGTAACATTCACTCCACAAAACAAAGCAAAACAATAACAAAACAAAAACAACAAAACCAAGAGAACAGAGTTTCAAATGGACTCATCAGTCACTGAGCTATACTGTAGTCGTACCATGAAGTAAACAAAACAAACATCATTAATATAAATAAAAAACAGCTTTTCAAACGGACTTTTCTACAAGAATCATCGTTTACTTTTGTCATAATTTCTAACTGTATTTTCCTTTAACGTTTTCTTGGCTTGTTAAATTTTTGTTCAGGTCTTCAGTTCATGACTTTGACAGTTTCAGAGTTTCACTCCCACCACAGAGAAACACGTCTGCTTCAGAGTTTTAAATCTGAACGTTTCAGAGCGGAAACATTCAGAGTTTCTCTAAAAATACTTTTAATTATAACAAAAGTTCTTTTTCCAGATTTACAGTTAAAATAGTTTTTATGAGTAACTCAGTTAAGATGTTTATGATGAAGTCGTAAAGGTGTGTGTGTGTGTACCTGTCGATGATGTCATTATCAGGTTGATTGACAGTCAGAAACTCGTCCTGCGAGTTAATCTGCAGACCTCTCAGCAGGTTTATTTTCACTCCCTCTCTCTCTTTTTAAAGTTTAGTTTTTGTTTTTCTTAAAATTTGACAAAACGTCACCCAAAGCCAAAAGGCCCCTTAAATTATATTATTATCTCAAAGTTTTTTAGTTCATTTTCAAGGAGGAAAAGGAAAAATAATAAAGAGTAGGACGTAAAATGAGGGACATTTTATAATCTGAGATACAAAGTGCTTCACGAAAAAGCTAAAAAACACAAAAGTAAAGATTAAAATTAAACTGTTATGTGTTAAAAGACCTTGAAACTATTTTAAAGGTTTTCAAAAAGCTGAAATGAAAATTTAAAAGTCTATCAATTCAGTAAATTGTTGATTTCTCGAGGATAATTAGATACTGAGACAAATGTATATTTTATTAATTCAACAGTTTTTATATGTTCTGTCACTAATCTGAATAATCTTTGGTAAATGACTCCTGGATCAGCTGGAGTAACGACTTTAAAATCAGACTTAAGCAGCAAAACTTCACGACTCTTTTCTTTAAATGTAACGATTTATTCTCAAATATGACGACTTCACTTTCAAAACAACTTTATTCTTTCTTAAAATAGCGACTTTATTTTGATCATCTTCATATTTTTTACTAAACGAGGCTCGAAGTCTCCGTCTGAACACCTGATCCTAAAAAAAACGACTTTCAAAGTCAACAGAGCTCGGACTGGGACAGCATGTTACACTCTTCGTCCACAGGGGGCGCCAAACCCTCTCAAACTGTGAAACCTCACAAACGATTTTTAAAAGATGTAAGATAAAAGTTTTTGCGTCGGTGTTGACGATGTTTTCTTCTGTCCGTCTGCAGGTAAAGGTACGTCTGCAGGTGAGCAGGACGTCTGTTTGGAGAAGCAGCTGGAGCGCTTTGAGTGGCAGATGAGGATTTTAAAGGAAGTGCTCTCAGCCAATGGGAACTCCGAGAGGGCGGAGCTACTGAAGGATCATGCAGACGTGGAGGTGTGCACCCTGGTCCTGAACATCCTGGATAAGGTGAGAAAAAAAGATCAGAACTGGTTCATGATGAGTTCGCCTCCAGGTCCTGGTCTGCTGAGTCCTCCAGGTCCTGGTCTGCTGAGTCCTCCAGATCCTGGTCCACTGAGTCTCCTTCTTCAGCCTGATGTAAATTTAGAAGAAGCTGCTCTGCTCTCACTCAGGAGTGTAATTTAATCAGCAGAGAGATCTGCTCCACATTCATTCAGCAGTTATTCATAGACACTTTTGATTCAGCTGACCGGACTCTCCAGGTCACCTGACCACCCCCCCTTCAGGACTTGGATCGACTCAGCAGCTGCTCTGAACCTCCGTCCTGACTCTGACCCACAGAAACACCTCAGTGTCTGCTCACATCCTCCTCTGACTCCTGTTTTTTATCATCATCATCATCATAAAATTTTTCACTTCAGTCACAGTTTTCTGATCATGTTTATCGATCACTCTCAGATCTACGATGTTTTAAAGTTTGTTTTCTGATCGTGTTTATCGATCACTCTCAGATCTACGATGTTTTAAAGGTTGTTTTCTGATCGTGTTTATCGATCACTCTCAGATCTACGATGTTTTAAAGTTTGTTTTCTGATCATGTTTATCGATCACTCTCAGATCTACGATGTTTTAAAGTTTGTTTTCTGATCATGTTTATCGATCACTCTCAGATCTACGATGTTTTAAAGTTTGTTTTCTGATCATGTTTATCGATCACTCTCAGATCTACGATGTTTTTAAATCCTGAACTCTTACAGGTGAAAACGGAGACGACGGCGGATCTCAACGTCTCACATGAGCAGAAAAGTAAATCAGCGACTGAGCGACACGAGAGAAACGTGGAGGGTAAAAAAACGACACAGACATGTTTTCAGTCAGAAAATAAAGGATGTTTTAATGACTTTAAAAAACTTTAAATGGTTAAAAAAAACCCGACAGTGTTTGAAACTCTGACATAAAGGTTGAGACCTGATCAGATGTGATCGTCTGCAGCTCCTTTTAGAGCCGAGAGTGAAACCTGAAACCTTCATGTGAGCGTCTGTGTTTGTAATTATCTGATTATTTAAAGAGCAGATTTAAAAACCTGAGAACAGCCGACTGAACCGGACGAACAGGAACAGAAAACAGCAGACGGTGCATCACTCCTCATTTTTAAATATGGGGATCTTTAGGACGGCGTTGTCATGACGATGTGGATTTTTCAGGGTCAGGGCGAGGAGCCCGTTTGGACCTGATGTCCTTCTGTTTGGGTCGACTGTCAATCTGTCTCCCCCGTTTGACCTTTTTATGAAGGGAGGAGTCAGAGGTATAAATATAAATCAATATAAATTATACAATATGATAATATAAATCAATATAAATATATTATATAATAATATAAATAAATATGAATATATATATTAAATAATAATAAATAATAAAATAATATAAATCAATATATATAATATGATATAGATAATATATTATGATAATATAAAACAATATAAATATATAAAATAAATAAATAAAAATAATATAATATAATAATATAAATGAATAATATAATATAATATAATAATATCAATAAATAAACATAATATTATAATATCAATAAATGTAAATAATATGATAATATCATTAAATATAAATAATTAAGTATAATAATATAAATAAAGATAAATATTATATATAACAATATAAATAAACATTAATGATAGAATATAATAATATAAATAAATATAAATTATATACACTCACCGGCCACTTTATTAGGTACACCATGCTAGTAACCGGTTGGACCCCCTTTTGCCTTCAGAACCGCCTCAATTCTTCGTGGCATAGATTCAACAAGGTGCTGGAAGCATTCCTCAGAGAGCTTGGTCCATATTGACATGATGGCATCACACAGTTGCCGCAGATTTGTCGGCTGCACATCCATGATGCGAATCTCCTGTTCCACCACATCCCAAAGATGCTCTATTGGATTGAGATCTGGTGACTGTGGAGGCCATTTGAGTACAGTGAACTCATTGTCATGTTCAAGAAACCAGTCTGAGATGATTCCAGCTTTATGACATGGCGCATTATCCTGCTGAAAGTAGCCATCAGAAGTTGGGTACATTGTGGTCATAAAGGGATGGACATGGTCAGCAACAATACTCAGGTAGGCTGTGGCGTTGCAACAATGCTCAATTGGTACCAAGGGGCCAAAAGAGTGCCAAGAAAATATTCCCCACACCATGACACCACCACCACCAGCCTGAACCGTTGATACAAGGCAGGATGGATCCATGCTTTCATGTTGTTGACGCCAAATTCTGACCTTACCATCCGAATGTCGCAGCAGAAATCGAGACTCATCAGACCAGGCAACGTTTTTCCAATCTTCTATTGTCCAATTTCGATGAGCTTGTGCAAATTGTAGCCTCAGTTTCCTGTTCTTAGCTGAAAGGAGTGGCACCCGGTGTGGTCTTCTGCTGCTGTAGCCCATCTGCCTCAAAGTTCGACGTACTGTGCATTCAGAGATGCTCTTCTGCCTACCTTGGTTGTAACGGGTGGTTATTTGAGTCACTGTTGCCTTTCTATCAGCTCGAACCAGTCTGGCCATTCTCCTCTGACCTCTGGCATCAACAAGGCATTTCCGCCCACAGAACTGCCGCTCACTGGATATTTTTTCTTTTTCGGACCATTCTCTGTAAACCCTAGAGATGGTTGTGCGTGAAAATCCCAGTAGATCAGCAGTTTCTGAAATACTCAGACCAGCCCTTCTGGCACCAACAACCATGCCACGTTCAAAGTCACTCAAATCACCTTTCTTCCCCATACTGATGCTCGGTTTGAACTGCAGGAGATTGTCTTGACCATGTCTACATGCCTAAATGCACTAAGTTGCCGCCATGTAATTGGCTGATTAGAAATTAAGCGTTAACGAGCAGTTGGACAGGTGTACCTAATAAAGTGGCCGGTGAGTGTATATTATAGTATAAATAAATATTAATGATAAAATATTATAATATAAATGATATTTATAATAATATGTATAATTCATATGAATAAATGTAAATAATATAAAATAATAATATAAATAAATCCAGATAAAACTGAGGGGAAGAGCTCGATTCTGAGGAAACTGTCAGCAGCGAATTTAGGAAAAAGTCCCAAAAATTAAAGTTTGAACTTTAAAAGTGTAAAGAGACTTAAGATCGTACTTAAGTCTGACAGTCCGTGTTTGTTTACGTTGAGTCCGAATCTGCAGAGATGAGGTCAAAGTTTAAATCTGAGGATTTTCTGTCGCCTCTTTGTCACGTCTGATAGGAGGTGAAGAGTCAGGCGGAGAAAAGACGCGAAACGAAGACGCCATTTGGGGTAAAATGTAAAAGGATTTGACAGACTAAGACTATGAATCATGGGTAATAATCAGTAGAAACAGAAAACATTAACTGTAGATGGTCGGCTCTCTTTCACCTTTTTTCTTCTTCCTCACATTTTCATTTCCTGCAGCTTCAAAATAAAACAATCAAACTTAAAATCAGAAAACGAGCGTCCGTGTTCACGATGATGACCTCTGACCTCTGTTTCTGAACCTCTGCAGAGCTGCAGAAGAAACACCAACGAGAACAAAGTGAACTGACGGAGAAGTTTCAGGCGGCGGAGAACGACCTGAAGGTAAAACGCTGACTCAGCACGCTCCGACAAGCGTCTCCTCTGTTTCGCTCTCTGAGCACGTGTTTGTGACATGGAGCGTAAATCTAAAGTGTGGCGCTGTGACCGCAGGCCGAGGTGAGGACGCTGACGGCGGATCTGCAGGTTTACGACCAGCTGAAGAGGAGAGTCGAAGAATCCACGTTCAAGAAGGACCTGCGGAGGAACGTCCAGGTGAGAGAGTTTCAGATCAGACGATCAATATCCAAAGATAAAAGTTCAGATCTAAAGGCTTTCTGCGTCCTCCAGGCTCATGGCAGCCCAGGTGCATTCTGGGAGTCGGAGCAGGAGTCTCTGGTGTTCGTCATCGAGATGAAGAGTCAGCGAGTTCAGGAGCAGAGCAGGAAGCTGCAGCAGATGGAGGACCTGGTGGGTTTAGAGGAGGAGATGATCGGAGAGAAGGAGCCAGTCTGTGTCTCCTCCTCCTCTTCTTCTCCTTTTTTACCTCCTTCTGTTCCTCCTCCTCTTCTTCCTCCTCTTCTTCTCCTTTTTTACCTCCTTCTGTTCCTCTCCCTCTTCATCCTACTCTTTTCTCCTTTTTTACCTCCTCCTCTTCTTCTCCTTTTTTACCTCCTTCTCCTTCCTCCTTCTGTTCCTCCTCTTCTTCTTCTTTTCTACCTCCTTCTTCCTTTCTCCTCCTCCGCTTCTCCTTTTTTACCTCCTTCTCCTCCTCTTCCTCTTCTTCTCCTTTTTGACCTCCTTCCTCCTCTTCTTCCTCCTCTTCTTCTCCTTTTTTACCTCCTTCTCCTGTTCCTCCTCCTGCTCCTCCCCCTTTTCATCCTACTCTTTTCTCCTTTTTTCCTTCCTCCTCCTCTTCTTCCTCCTCTTCCACCTTTTTTCCCTCCTTCTTTCTCCTCCTCCTGTTCCTCCTCCTCTTCTTCTCCTTTTTTACCTCCTTCTCCTTCTCCTCCTGTTCTTCTTCTATTTTTTTACCTTCTTCTTTCTCCTCCTCCTGTTCCTCTTCCCTCTTCTTCTCCTTTTTCACCTCCTCCTCTTCTCCTTTTTTACCTCCTTTTACCTCCTCCTCTCTTTAGGTGGAGAAGAACTTGGCGTTGGAGGATCAGATCGTCCACGTCCTTCAGCAGAACGAGGATTTGAACGTTCGGATAGAAAACTATCAGACTCTCATTCAGTAAGTGTTTCATTCTGACCATAGGTGATAATGCAGCTCTGTGGCGCCCCCTGCTGGTCTATTTCCAGACCTTCTCAGTCACCTCTATCACATGACAAACACTCCCATCCAATCATCGTCTCATTTTTGGCGTGTAACCTCCGGACTTCTTGACTTTGGCGTTGTTGTTTTCTCTGTGACCTCCAGGCAGTTATCCAAGGAGCAGCAGGACCTGAAGGTGGCGCTGGAGAGGCAGGCCGTCATGACCCAGAATCTTTCTCAGGAAAAGGAGCAGCTGATGTTCAAACTCAGACACAGAGACTCGTGTCCGACCATCCACCTGCCCGCCATGATGCAGGAAATCGCTCCCAGATGATCACATGACCCCTGTGCGGCTCACTGTAGATAGAGACTCTGCGGCCCCCTTTTTATTCTGACCGTAAACCTGAACCGGGCCGCCGAACACCTCTGGGTTCAGGTCTCAGGGCTCCTATCTGGATCTGGTCCTCATCACTGCGAACACTGACCACTTTGACTGTTAGACCCTCAGGCGGACCCTGGAGGAGGAGGAGCTCTGAAAGTCCTGGTTCTGGACTCGAAGCTGCACTCTGTGTTTTCACTGAAATATGACGGTGTTCGGGTCTGGACTCACCGACCCGCTGTCAGACCGTTAGGCTTTTATTTTGAAGGGGAGGATCTCTGTACTGACAGAAAACTGAGCGGCTGTTTTTCTGCGGTTTGACCCTTTAAAACGACGCTTTTATTTTGGTAGAGGAATCAGAAAAGCGGCTGAGATCGACGGATCGATGGACCGCTGATCGGGATCGATAACTTTCAGGCTGATGAGGATTCAGACGGACGAATCTGAACTTTGACCTGACGCTGCGCCGATTTTACGAACAACAGACGTTCGACGGTATCATTAGTGTTTCCTGAACCTCAGACTCTGAAACTTCAGATTTAGTTTCTCCATGATGGAGGGTTAGAGCCATCGTTACTGTCGGCCCACAGGAACGATGGAAAAGTTTAGATTTTCAAAATAAAATAGTAAACTTACAGAATCGAGCCATGAGAGAAAAAACGCCTCCATTTAAAAGACTTAAGTCCTAAAAACAGACGAGTTTTAAATCTATGAGAATAAATCTGAATGTTAATGACAATAAGGAACAAATTAATAATAAAGGTTGAAATGTAGAGACAGAACTAACGAGAAAAAAGTCTTTAACTTCTGGAACAATGTTCTTAAAAAAGTCATTACCTCACTCCAGAGGAATGATGATAAATAATCTCGTTAAGTCGTTTATTTCCTGAACTATGTTGTTGTTAAATTCAGTCCAAAAATCACGAAAATAAGTTCATAAACAGCTGAAAATAAAGTTTTTACTCCCAGAATAATTTTGTTTAATTAACCTCAATAATAAAGTCATTACCCAACGTCTTTATTCCCATAAATTACTGACCTTCGTTACATTTTTTAATGACTTTTTTATGATTTGTTTCTTTAAAGATTCTGTCCTGATAAATTTGTGACTTTTTCCAGAAAAATCCACTTTTTTTAAAACGCTGCTCTGATCCTCCGTACTTTTTTTTCTGACCAACAGTCCAAGTACAAATCAGATCTGAGACGCCAAGATGGAGGTTAAATGACATTTTGATGACGTTTGGGTGGAAAAACACGTTAACTCAGTTTTACACAAAAGTGCCTGAAGAGGGGGCGGCGAGCGTTTCCCCTTGTTTCCACAAAAACCATCAGAAGCAGCCCAGATAGACTTAAAAAGTTCTGGATCGGGTTTTTCTTTGACGACTTTTTCACAAATAATTTGATGTTTGAGTTGGTAAAAAAAAAACGTAAAAGTTACCCGATTTCTTACAGCGAAACCAAGAGTCTCCCAATCACATCAAATCTTCCCTGAAAAGTTTTTTTTTTTGTGTAATTTTTTAGTTTAAATATCCAAAAATCTTGTTACCATGACGCCCAGTTAGAAACTTCCAGTATGAAAATGCCACAGCCGAACAAAGCCGAAAAAAGCCGAACTGTCGCGCTCCCCCCTGTGGATGTGGTCTCTGTGAACCTGGTGCCAAACGTGTCCTGATCCGTGGACTCTGCGTTTATCCCCGTCGTTGTTTTTTCACGTTGAAAAGTTTGTCGCTGCTGTCGAGGAGAGACGCTAACAATAAAAGTCGCTCTGTTTTCACAAGAATTTTAGTCCCAGAATCACAAATTTTTCTTTCCAGTTTGAATTTTTTAGTTTCTTGACCAAAACTTTGAGCAAATGTCGGCATCGCTATTAGCCTCCTGAGATTGATGCTAACATAGCATACACGAGACGCTGACTGTGAGCTCGTTAATGAAACTGGTGTCGTTAAGTAACAGATGCTGAACTGTGGAAATGTGTTATAGCGCTGTTAGCATGCTAGCATACAGTTTAGTGTAAAGGTTTAAAATCGTAATCATCGTGTAAAACGGCTGTCAGAGTACTCAGCGACTCAGCAAATTTCAGTCTGTGCTGAGTCAGCGGATAACGATAAGCTATCTTTGCGGTGGCTCGACTCTTGGTGGCTAAATCGCTGAGAAATTGAGCCCCTGACTTAGCTTGCTACTTGGTTGCTAGCTAACATTGTGTTGACGCAACCAATCCAAAATAGCAGTAAGACCTAGCTAGGCTATAACCAGTTAGCGAGGCAGAGTACAAAATAACAAGCCTACAGTTTAGCTGTAAAGAAAACTGCTTCGAGTTTCTGTATCGTGTTTGTGGCGACAGAGTAAAGTCAACATACGCTAGCTAACACGGTTAGCTTGGTTTCCTGCTATTAGCTATATAATCAGACAAGATGCTATTTGTTGCGTTACTGTACAGTAAATAGTGAGCTAACTTATTACAAGCTAGCAGCTAACCTACTTACGTAAATGACCCTGAAGTATCATAAACGGTTGTTTTATGACGCTGTGAACTGTTAGCCGTTGTTTGGGAAGCTAGGTCGCTACATGATTATTAGCGGGTGAAAAACTTGGGCTAGCAAAGGAAAAGACTTAAAGAGGAACACCGCCAGTCCCCTAACCAGAACATAGCTAGCTCAAACTTACCGACGTTTCAGTTACCAAGTCGGAAAAAGGTGAAAGTTATTTTAGCGCCTGCCTTATATTACAACAAGGCAAACGCCAAAATAACTTTCGTAGATGTAGCCATCTTGTTTCCGCCTCCGATTTTGCTTTTTCAGACTTGGTAACTGAAACGCTGGGAACTCTGGTGTGATGTCATTTTCAGTTCCGATTTCCGACTTCTGCGGTAAATCGAACGCGGCATAGGAGGCTAATTACACAGTAAGTTTGGTGAGTGAGCTAACGCAATCAAGCTAGCAGGTTAACAGCAACTTAAAGTAGCTGTGCGAAGTGCCAGATAAAAGCTAGCATGTAGCTGGTTAGCTTAATCATGACACCCAAGCTTCCCTGCATTGGTAAATGCTAAATTGGACAAGCTATTTAGCTAACTGACTCAGGACAGCGTTTTGGTGGCTTAAAAAACGTACGTAGCCTAATGTCGCTGTTGTGTTAGCTACAATAACTTATTAGCGATAGGTGAAAACAGCTCCTAGAGTTAGCGGGGATGCTAACAGACAATCCGTTAAAAAAAATAGCTCCTGTCTGTTTGAATAAAGGTTTCAAAGATTTTTGTGTTTATTCTTCAGTTTAGCAGGATCAAATTAACGCTAACATGACGGCTTCTGACGGTTAGCTCTAAAACGTTAGCGTGGCTGAAACGGTTAGCCGCCAATCAAATGCCCGCCCTCATCAGGACCTCCAGGACCGGGTCAGTGTGGAGTCGCTCAGAGAAAACCGCTGATTCTGCCTTTAATAAACTCGCTCTTTAGATTTCTGATGGTTTAAATGTGAACGCCGACGCCGCGGTGGTTATCCTCCGGGTGTTTTTATAAATGTGACTTTAGTTTTTGACGTGTCCCCCTTTGAATTGCCAAAAAAAAACAAACCGTGTCAGTATTTTGACACCTTCCTCTTTACGCACGAGCACTTTGATCGTATTTTACCGAGTTTGTATCAGAGAGATTTTTCCTTTAGTTTTGAATTTTCGTTTCTTCTTTCCTGTAAAAACATCTTTAAGTTTCTTCTTTTCTTTGATTTAAATCCAGATTTTTTCTCCTTTTTTTGTTTTTGGCTCGACTTAATAAAAAGCTTCAAATCAGTCTGATCACTGTGAGTTTGATTTCATATTGATTATCACTCTGAGCTAACGAGGTTCTAACGGTGACGTGTTTCAGTCCAGAGTTTCATTTGTTTTTGTCTGAACTTCATTGAGATTTTTCAGGTTAATTTTATAAAACGGTGCATCTATAAAGAGTTTTATAGATGAACTGTTTTATAAATTTATCATCAACAGGCCAAATGAATCTCTGCAGTGAACTTTTCAGGTTAATTTGTTCCTCTTGAAAAAAAGAAAAATCCGATCTCATCACATTTTCATTTCTCAGCTGATGAGTGTGTTTTATTCTGGAAAGTCTCGGTCATTTTTATTATTGTTTTGGCGGTGTTAAAGAGTTTTTAACTCTCAGTTTTAAAGATATCTCGATCAGTTTCTGGAGGCTCCTTCTGTCGGTCACTGCAGTAAACCTGTTTGACCACGAGAGGGCAGCAGAGGACAGGTTAAGTCCTAGTCCTGCACATGAGGCCCTGCAGGGTTCAGACCTGCAGACGGATCAGTTTCTGAGACGTTAGTGTCACCAACTTCCTCTTAAAGCTCCTCTCAGTGAACTTTGACCTCTGGAGATGTTTTCATTCTGCTCAGTACGGGCTGATGGGTTCTGATCTGACGGTCCACAGATAATATTCATTTATTTACATGGATCCTTGTTAGCTACTACCTCTGTAGCAGCTCCTCTTCCTGGAATCCACAAGACGACAGTAAACATTCATATTAAAACAATTAAACAAGATGTTAAAATCAGAACTAAAACAAGAATTATAATGACGTTACATTCCTTTTTCTTTATAAACATGTTTACTTGTTGACCTTGTAATAACAGAAGGAAGAGTCTTCCATATTTTCATCCCTCTGAACACGACAGAACGCTGTCCAGAGTTAGTGTTGGTGAGAGGAAGTGTGAAATAATTATTTAATGTTGAAATTATGATCATTATGACTGAACAGCGATTTAATAAACAGAATATTTGGACTTTTATTCACTAAGAAGAAGGAAATCAGAGACACAGTCATCCTCTCGTTCCTCCTTCCTGGATGTTCGTTCTTCTATCACAGTTCAGCGCTCGTCTTGCTGCTCTGTTCTGGACTAAATTGTAATTTTTCTAAATCTGTACTTGATGCTCTTGACCGCTCAGCTGGACAGACGTCCAAGTGAGAGAGGACGAATGTTTGTTTAACTCTGGAGAAACAGTCCTGAGGTGGAAATTTAGCACATCTGTTTATTCCTGCCAGACTTCTCCTCCTCACAACATGACAGGTCCGGTCTTTGTCCGAACAGATACAAACACCAGAACCGAGACTAAAACCAGTGGAGTCTGTGATCCACCTTTAGGGGGCGCTGCAGTCCATCATTGACCCTCTGGAGCCTCTTTACTCAGAGTCAGGAGGTTAGAAGTCAGTCTGGGGACTCTCAGGATCGTTCAGAGACGTTAATAAGAAAACAGCTGCTGTGAGATCGTGGTTCTTACAGAGTCAGACGTGCTCAAAGACCGTTCATATTTAGGATTCAACTTTGAAAAAGTCCTGAACTTTTCAGGGACAGCTGCTGGAGAGTGTTTTTAACGGTTTAACATCCTGAAAGAGAATCCAGAGAGCACTTTTAAAAAACATCGAATGCATAAAAAGAGAATCCAGAGGTCTGTTTTTACTTTTTAAAAAGGTGTTTTTACTGTAAATGAATCAAAAAGATGAACCTTTATCATTTTAAAATAAATATGCAGTGGAAACAGTTTTATATCTGTCAGAGGAACAACACAAAGGAGGTTCATCTTCAGAACAGGAGCACAGATGTTCATGACAGGGTTTCTACACAGTCTGAATTTCCAGACTTTTCCGTACCGACTTTTAGGAATTATTTTTGTAAATACCTACTATTCTGTTTAAGAGCTGTGGTAATAGTCTGGACTCATAGATACTTTATTTACCACACTTTTTTAAGACCTGGAAGTTGATCAAACTCCTTCCATCCTTGTGTAGGAGCCCTGATGTTCGACCATAATCACAGAGCTGCTGTAGGTGTTTCCTGCTCCATCGTACTGGAAACCTCACACGGTCCGTACAACACTCCTGGTTGGTTTTTGCAGAGTAAATTCAGGTCATTTCCACATTTCTGCAGCCAGCTGCCCCCTGCTGCTCCGTGCAGAAAGCATGTTGGCTCCAGAAAAGCTTGATTTTGTTGTGTGTGATAACAGATAGAGGAGGGCAGATCACATCTGTCCTACACGCCAAAATCTGGTGAAAGCACGCCAATTTTTCCTGCAAGTGAGGCTCTGGACCGAAATAGAAATGAAGAAGCTGGGGGAGGGTGGGGGTGTTTTCTCTGTTTCAGCGACATTCAGATCAGGTGTGGAAACGTCTTCTGTTGTGGTTTTAAAACAATTTTTAAATCATCAGCTTGATCCTGTTTGTTTTCTGTGGAGAGACTCTCTTTGTTTTCACACCGTGCTTTTATTTTGAAATTCTGTCCAGGACGACTGTTAAAGGGATATTCTGACGTAAAATTAACTGAGAGTCAAACCCACCGTAACACCGAGTTAGACCCCCCCTCCAGAGATGAATGTTGTCGACCGCTTCCTTCTCTAGTTATACCAACTTTAGTAACGACCACAGGATAGAAATACAGAGAGCCACGCCCCCAACCAAAACGCCACTCTATAGCCACAGATAATGCTCAGAACAGCACCTAACTTCATCAACAGGACATATAGGGTCACAGACATAGTACTAGACACCAAACATCTTTTTAACTTTGACTCATTTCTTTAGCAAAGAGACTAAACACAACTCACCTACTCTCTTCCAGCAGACGCTTGTTTGTAGTGAGACCTCAGGCCAGTCCATTACGGACTACAGCGGGGTGCCGCAGCTCAAGGAAGAACATTTATGATCATTTCTTTATCGTTTCCTTGAAGTAATAATCACCATATTAATCATTTTACAGACGCGGTAGTTCTTCTGTCTTAGTGTCTCGGTCTGATTGTATTTCCATGAAGAAATGATCATAAATGTTCTTCCTTGAGCTGTGAAACCCCGTGATGAACATCCGTAATGGACTGGCCTGAGGTCTCACTACAAACAAGCGTCTGCTGGAAGAGAGTAGGTGAGTTATGTTTAGTCTCTTTGCTGAAGAAATGAGTGTTTGACCCTAAATTAATTTAATGCTGGAATATCTGTTGGAAAAAAAGTCATCATGAACCACGATGGCTGCAGAGGAGCTGGATCTGGTCTTCTGTGATCTCTCTGTCTCTCTCTCTCTCTCCTCTCTCTCTCTCCCTCTCTCTCTCTCTCTCTCTCTCTCTCTCTCTCTCTCTCTCTCTCTCTCTCTCTCTCTCTCTCTCTCTCTCTCTCTGTCTCTCTCTCTTCTTTTGCATCCTCTCAGATCTCATCTTGCTGCTCAGCTGAAGTCTGGGTCCAAATACAACAAGTATGGATCAGTTATGTGCCGAACAGAACTGAACCGAACTGTCGGACTGAGGAAATGCAGCTTTTACATATAATTATGAAGAAATTTCTGGATGTTTTTAGACGTTTGAAGAAGTTTGAGAAATTCGCTCTGAGAGTGTGTGTGTGTGTGTGTGTGTGTGTGTGTGTGTGTGTGTGTGTGTGTGTGTGTGTGTGTGTGTGTGTGTGTGACCCTGACTCTTTAGCTATTGAGACTAGAAAGGCCTGACACCCTTGACCTGCAGTCTAAGAGCTTTGTGTGCGTGTGTGTGTGTGTGTGTGTGTGTGTGTGTGTGTGTGTGTGTGTGTGTGTGTGTGTGTGTGTGTGTGTGTGTGTGTGTGTGTGTGTTAAAAGTGTGAGCGGATGTTCGGAGATCAGTGTGTTAGCGGCTGTTTGACAGGATGAGACAATACCTGAAAGCTGCAGGTCAGCTCCTGCTGTGTGTGTGTGTGTGCGTGTGTGTGTGTGTGTGTGTGTGTGTGTGTGTGTGTGTTAGCCACGGGTCAAAAGCTCCGCTGTCATGTCACAGAGTTCCCATGACACCTCACAGCCACCTGGAAACACCTGAAGCAGAGAGAAGAGGAGGGAAGGACGGACACGCCTCTCCTTCAGAGAGTCTCTGATTTTTCCTCCAAACTAACGGAGAACGAAACGGAGAAAACGAGAACGAACTTTGGACATCTGGACCAAGAACAAGTCCAAGTCTGTTTCCGCTCAACTAAGTCCAGTTTTCCTTTTATAAGAACGTAAGATTTTGATTCATCAGACCTCAGGACAGTTCAAGGACAAGTGATATTAAAGGAAAACGTCTCAACTAAGTCCAGTTGTCCTTTCCATGCTGTGGTTCCCACTCCAGAGTTCTGTCTGTTTTTAATACCCTGAAGATCAGGACCATCCAGTCCTGGTTTTGGTTCTTGTCCCCCTTTAGTCCGGAGTTTTCTCTGAAACTGTTGAACTGTTCGCTCACGCGGTCTCTCACAGAGTCCTGAACCTCTCAGAGACTTCGCCTCTCTGACGGTCCGTCTTAGCCCCGGTCATGTGACTAAACTGTTGGACATTCACCTCATTACCCCCAATTTTCACCACATTCGGAACAGTGTCGATTTTCACCATCCGCCAATTCCTCCCTAATCCGTTTGTGAGGCGAATTTCGTGGCGGATTACGAACAGCAGGAATCGCGAGAACTCACAAGAACCTGCAGATTCACGTTCAATCTCACGATAACGAGTTGTCTCTCTAAAGACAGACACATAGACATATAAGCAGTAGATTGTGTCCTTCCAGAGGAGGAAATCTACTTCTAGACTTCTAGAATCAGCATCTCCTCATCCATGGTGTCATCGGGGTGAAATGACGTCTAAAATCCTTTCACTTGCTCGTCTCCGCCCGAACAAGCAAAAGGTTGTGTTTTATTTTGAAAAGAAGTTGGATGTTTTATTTTGTGTCTGTGCCCGACTTCCTTTCCAGCACGGGTTAATCTGTGCTGAATTTATCCGCCATGCTCCGGCGTCCAGAAAAAATAGAACTCTTGTGATCAGCTGAGGAGTCCGGCGATCCTCAGAGGAACGGAAAGAAGTCGGTGTAAATTGACACGTTAACTTGAATGGTTACGATCAGCTACGATCGGAGGATACGACCTTTTAGGAGACGATCAGGATGAAGGTGGAGATCGGGGGTTAGATGAAGATGTTGCTCCACATGTTTGTCCATCAGAACTTTTGAGATGGTCTCCATCAGCAGAGGTGACGCTCTGGGTGAATTTAGACATTTTTATCAGAGTAATAATCGTCCAGAGGAAGCTGTGATATAAAAGATCATTTGAACATAGAATGACACTCTCACTGCCTGTAGGGGGCGCTGGAGTTCAGGGTTAACTTGAGTTTAGTTTTGTTGATCTGATGTTTGATGTTGTTTAGTTTCATCCTCAGACTGACGTCTCCTCGCCTCTTTTACCTGTTGAAAAGTTTACGACCTGAAAACTTGAAACCCTGCGTCTCCACGCTCGCTCCAGTTTCTGCTTCGAGTCTTTGTGGAGCTGAAACCTCAAAAAAAAAAAAAAAAAAGAAGAGGGGATCAGAGCCAGACCGCGTCCATGTTTGACCTTCCCGCAGCTGCTCCTCGTCGCCCAATTAAATCTGAACCTTTGTGAAAAACAAAAAGAGACGCTGTGAGGTGGTGACATGCACCGGCTGCACCCTCCGTATCATAACTGTGGCTGTTTAGCCGCGATGCTAACACGCCACTTTCCCTCCTTTACATTTTTAAGTGTCCTTTTCTTGTGCGGCCTAAAGAGGCGAGATTACGGCGAGAAATCTGCAGTTATTTCCTGTTAATATCGTCTGCTTGTTGGGCTCTAATGAGAGGAGTCTCGCCGTCACTTTAAGAGGGCTTAGCAGCGGTTAGCTGGCCGCGGGCCGCGGGACAACAATCGCACTTTAACTCACAATCACTCACACCGCTTAATTCCTCCTTTCAGAGCGCCCACCAAACGCCAGAGGCACAATTAATCGACGCTAATGGCCGCCTTCAATCAAAGCCGAGCCGCGTCCAAATCTGCTGTAAGAACTATTAATTAACAGGTGGAGGAGGGGGGGCAGGATGGGGAGGAGGAAGGGGCGCCGCGGTTCACACGGGCCTCCGCAGGGCAGCTCATTCAGGGAGGAGGCAGGGGGGCTTTGTGGAGACTCGGGGGCCACAATTAGAGGCTCCTGAATGAGCTGCCGTTTGTCCTCCAGGTCCAAAAGCTGCTCAGGGAGGGTTCGAGTCCCGGGGAGGAGGAACGAGGTCCGACCGACGGGGCAGGGAGGCCGAGAGGTGACGGAGACACGAGTCCGAGAGGGACAAAAAAGACGAGTTAAACGATTTCCTGTGAAGAGAAACCGAAGGGCGACGTCACCGAGACGACGGCTGATCATCACATCAAACTCAAAATCAAGTTTTTCTACAAACACCAGAAAACTCGACAAGAAAGAGAGAAAATCTCTGAGCTGTTTTCACCGCCGTGGACTGAAACCACGACTCAAACTCAGAGTCACGTGGTCGACAGTCTTCAGGAGATCCAGTCTCTGCTGCTCTTCTGTTGTTTTTATTTTCTCTGCTCTTCTGTTGTTTTTCTTTTCTCTGCTCTTCTGTTGTTTTTCTTTTCTCTGCTCTTCTGTTGTTTTTATTTTCTCTGCTCTTGGATCAGGTCATTATGAATCTGTTTGTGTAGAAAAATAATAATAATATTTATAATTGTTAACTCTTTGAGTCAGTCTGGTTCTTCGGCCTGTCCTCTCTTCCTGGTTCAGTTTTCTGCTCCTGAATGCTTCATCTGTTTTTTTTTCCAACAGCGGCTGAAGTTTCTTGAACACAGCTGAGCAGACGTCACTTCAATAAAACTTTACTTCTGATCTTAATTGATCAGGTTGGAACATTAACGCTCTCTCTTATTCTCTCACTCTCACTTTGTTCTTTTTTATCTCTTTAATCTTCTTTAAACGCTTTTATCTGACGTTGTTTTTTAATCTCAGTCTTTTGTTTTTATCTCTTTTATATGTTTCAATAATCTCTTTGATTTTATTCTTTTAATCTCTTTTAGAGGATTTTATCTCTTATAAATGTTAAGATCCTTTTCTATTGAAGTTTAATCTCTTTTTTATTCCATCTTAATCCCTTTAATCTGATTTTGTTTTTTACTCTCTTTTAATTCTTTTGTTTTTTATCTCTTTTTCTTGTTCTGTTGTTTTTATCTCTTTTTACTGTTTTTCTCTCTATTTTATAACTCTGTTCCTTATTTTTGGTATGATTGATCCTGGTGACTGTTATCGGGTTTTTATGATATTTATGTTTTTTGTTTATTTTCTTCTTTTAGTTCATAATTATTTTTAGCCTATTTTTGCAGTTTTTAAAAGCACAGGTGAGAACGTTACAAACCGTGTTGAGGCTTTAAAATAAATATAAAAGAGTTTTTAATGCAAAATAGTAGAATTTAAATCAGTTAAAATCATTATCATTAAACTGCTAAAATTCAAGGATGGATTCAAAACAAATAAACGAGATAAAAGTGAAATAAAACCGTTAAAAAGTCATAAAAGCTTTTAAAATAAAAGGAATCATTTAAGTTTAAATTAAAGTGAAATAGTCAGAGATTTTCATCATCAGCAGGTGTTTTAAAACCAACGGGAGCAGGACGAGTCTCACCGTGAAAAACACCAGATAACAGAGGGAGTTTCCTGTGACCTTTGACCTCCAGGGGTCAGATCTCTTGTTCTGTGTCAATTGACCTGTCGCTCAGAGTCTCTCTCTCTCTCTCTCTCTCTCTCTCTCTCTCTCTCTCAGGTGATGTTAAAGGTGCGTTCAGGCCTCGGCGCCTTTAAACGTTTATTTTATTTCTTTACTCCTATTTTCTGTCAGATCAGCTGAAACTTTAAAATTCTTCCAGATTCTGATCCTGATAAATCCGGTTCTGGTTCAGCTGGTTTGGGTTCAGCTGGTTCTGCCCAGTGTTTGAATCCTCCATGAGGCGTTCAGGGTCACTCAGGAATCACACTCAGACCTGCAGCTTTTTATAAATCAAATCAAAGTTTGGGTTGAAATAAAAGGATGTTTTTGACTGAAATGAAGGTTTTTGCTCAATAATTATTTTATTTTATTAATTTTTTAATATTACGCAAATGCAAAAGGAAATATTTTATTTAATAAAATGGAGAAATAATTTACAAACACGTAACATTTTACCAAAGACGCAAAAACAAAGACAGAAAAATAAAAAACAAAACATAACAAAAAAACAAAACAAACAACAATAACAACAAAAAAACACATAAACAATAAAACGAAACCAAAGCTTTAATGTTTTCACATGTTGAAATAAAGTTTTATTAAAGGTGAGAATATTTAACAAAAATATTTAATAAAATAATAAAATATATGATCCTGCTGTAAATCACAATTATTCCCTTTTTTAACTCACTTGAAAAAAAAAAAAAATTAAAAAAACCTTCAATTAAATACATGAGATGTAAAAAAAATTAATCAAAACATAAAATCACAAAATTATTTTACTTTGAAAAAAATTTTCTGTTTCATGTTTCATTTAGATTTTATATGATTGTTTTCACCCATTGAAATATATTTTGAAATGTTTGATTTTGTGTTTCGGGACATTTTAAAAAATACTTTGGATGATATTTTTATGATTTTTTTATGATATTGTTAAATATTTTCGTAATAAACATTTTGTTTGATGTTTTTTGTTCAGAAAATTGTCGTTTGAGGTCATGAAATATTTGTGTAGTTGACCTTCAGGGCCACCGTAGTTTGGTAGTCCAGTTAATCGGCCTGACTTCCACCTGTCACACCTGCACAGGTGAGACAGACCTGTCCTCTGACGGCCTGATTGGACAGTTTTAAAGAAGAGGAGCTTTAACCCTCAATAATCAGAGCAGCTGATTGGTCAGGACTAATGTAGGTCACACACCTTAACAATGACGTCATCTTTCCCATAACCTCACCTGTGTCATCATCCTCATCATCATCATCTTCATCCTCATGAATCATGAAGGAGACTTCATCTTCATCCTCCTCATCACTGTCACTCATCATCACTTTGATCCTTCCTCCTCCTCCTCCTCCTCCCAATCAACAAAATGGCTGTTTGAAAGGTCGCCTCTGCGCATGCTCAGCGCACCTCTGTCAGAGAGGGCAGGGCAGGTATCTCCCTCCGCAGCCCGCTGACTGACACACACTCCGGCTCCGCTTCAGATGCAGCATGAGGCGGCAGGAAGACCGACGACACACCGACTGATCCGAGCCCGCAGCCCACCCTACAGCGCTCCAAACCCGGCTGCTGCTGCTCCGAGGACCCCCGCTGCGCCGGACCCCCGGACACCCTGAGGAGGGAGACTTTACCGAACCTGCAGGCGGCTGCAGAGGCGCGAGGAGCAGGCTGAGACGCCGCCCCGCACACAGGTGAGAGGGGGGAAACTTCAGCCTCCTCCAGGTGCAGAGACCCGGACCCGAGCGCGGCTTTACGCACACTTGTGGAGAGTTATGGATCTGTGGGGGCCCCTGGGAGTCTGAGCCCCCCTGAAGGAGGACGAGGACTAAGAGGACGCCGATTTGTTCCGATCTTCTTCTTCTTCATCATCTTCCTCACAGCTCCAGGTTCTTACAATGTTCCAGCACAGCAACAACAAGAAATGCTTCACCATCGAGTCTCTGGTGGGGAAGGAGGCGGTCAGCCACGGCGGCGGCTCCGGGGACGAGCCCATCCGGCCCACGGCGCTCCGCTTCCCGGAGTCCCTGCATCCCGCGGCTGCAGCAGCCGCCGCAGCCGCCGGGGTCTTCGGGCCGTGCTTCCAGGGGAGCAGCGGCAGGACTCTGTACTCCGCCGGGCCGGACATGGTGCTCCAAGAGCCCGGGACACACGCGCAGAGCCCCGGAGGAGCGCTGCCGCTGCACCCGCTGCAGATCCCCCCGCAGAGCTTCTTCAGCCCGCAGCACCGGGAGGCGCTCAGCTTCTACCCGTGGGTGCTGCGGGGACGGTACCTGGGACACCGCTTCCAAGGTGAGGAGGGGGGAGCAAGGAGGGACGGAGGGGAGGGAGGGTGTGTTTTTTATTTTTTAACGAAATGACAAAATTCTGAGATAGTTTTCTGGGAAGTTTGGCGCTCAGCTCGGTTCGGTTTTCTCTGTTTTCTGGTTCAGATTTTTATTTTGATCATTTTAGTTTCATGCTGCAGACTCCGGGTGAGTTTGTGATTCCTCAGGGATGAAGAAAAGAGACATTTACAGCAGAAACACACAGATAGATACTGAACTCTCCTCTTTATTTTGCTGCTCTGGTTGATCGTTTTTTGCTCGGAGGGCCTAAAGATGAGAGAAAATCGATTAAACAGCTGATAGTTCACGGAAAACTGTTCGATAATCAATGAAAGTGAAATTTTCAGCTCTGTAGAGAGAAAATGATGAATATTCAGAGTTAAAATCTGCAGTTTGAGTCTGAATTTATTGGTTCATTTTGCAGAATATTTTCGCTGAGGAAGATTTTTTACCCTCTTTGCTGAATCTTTTCTGTCAGATTTATGAATTTATCACAAACACTTTGATTTTATTCTTTTAACTCTTTATTTAAAAACAGCAGCACAGGTTCTTCTTCTTTAACTCCTTTATTCTTTTTTTCTGGATCGTTTTTTTCTCTTTTTATCCGGATTCATTAAAACTTTTTCACCACCACCACCATAGAGTCATTATACAAACTAAATGATTAAAAATCTTCTCAGGATTTTTAATAATTTCTCTTTTATTATTTAAGTCAGTTTAGAATTTCTCCAGCAGCTCCGGTGACCTCTGACCTTTATCAATAATAATCATAATCAATAACTATCTCTAGTTTTCCCACCAGGCCTGCTGCAGTGAAGCTCAGCTGTGTTTGCAAGTAAATAATCATGTTAGAGTCATAAATCTGCCCTCTTTCAACTGGACTTTTATTTTCTTGAACGGTTTCTGCTGAGTCATGATTTTAATGATCGGTTTTTATATTAATCGGTTAATATTGATCTCAAACCGATCATCGTCTCTGTTCAGACTTTTTCTCTTCACTGAGGAGGAAACAGAAACTCGGATTATTGTGAATTTAAACCTTTTTACAGTTTCAGAGTTTTTCTGGATTTAACTCTCAGTAAATTTTCCCTCCGAGTTTAATCGAGTCTGATGAAGATGAAGATGAAGATGAATCGGAAAAGACTCGGTTATAAAAGTCAGACTTATTTAAAAAGAGGAGAGTTCAAGTTCAGCTGAAAGTTTGAGTCACTTTACTGGAAAAAAAGGACAAAAAAAACTTTATTTTCAATCCTCAGACAGCAGCGAGTTTCAGCCTTAATTTAACATCAAAGTTTACCGGATGTGTTAAAATCGTAAAATAACTAAATAATTAATTTAAACAAATTAAAAACTAAAAAGGAAAAACCTGGTAAAGTTGTGAAATCCACGTGACGATCCCACAGAAGGAAAAGTGACTCAGACAGAAAAGCAGCTGAACGTTTTTTCTTCCTGTTCATCCGGATTCATGAGAAAGTTTTAATTTTAATTTGGCGCCAACAAACTTCTCCAGCCTCACGCGCTCAGATGAAGACGATTAATCGTTGATATCCGGTCTTAATGTAATTATTTTTACCGTAAAGTCATTCCGATATTTCATTTGAGTCGATCATCTCTGTAGATTTATGACTCTAAAGGAAATAAACCTGAAAACGAGCAGAAACAGAAACAATAAAAACAGCAGAAAAGAAATCAATAGAACTAAAGTTTGATAAAGACGAATTCAGACACGAGCTTTTATTTATGTAGCTGTCCGAAAATGAGTGAGAAGACAGGAAAATATAACAGTGAACAACAAAACCCCAAAATAAGGTGAACTCTGTATTCATAAAAACATATAAAAATAACCTGCTGTGAATAAACTCGAACCCTCCTTCTTTCATTAATGAGAATATATTTAATCCTGTTTAATCTGCTCCAATTAAAATCAATTAACATGAGATTAAAAACTGGATTAATGATGTTTCCATAAATAGAGGATCATATTTCAGAACACAAATGACCCCATGCAGTAATAATCAGAATAAATGTGAAAATGTATAAAAATATCAAAATAAAGGCGGAAAAACTAAAAGGTGATTTAGAGGAAACCTTTAAGACTTTACGCCTCAATTAAAATATATAAATGGGGAACAAAAACAGAAGAAATATATTAGATTAAAAAGTTGAACTCGCTGAAAAAAGAGTTTTAATTAATCAGAGAGGAGGCGAGTCTTCCAACTGATTTAATTTAATGTTTTATTTTCTTCAACTTTAACGTCAGATCAGCTGAAATATTAGAAAAAACCTTCACTCAGAGTCTGTGGGAATTAAATATCTGACTGAAATGTTCGTTTTATTTCTTCAGTTTTATTTTATTTCTCCGACAGCTTCACTTATTTTTTAAAAAAGACGTAAAAATTGAATCAAATCAGAATTTTTTCAAACATTTTGACTCCAAATTCAGGAGCGACTGAGGAGTTAAAGGAGCTGTTAAACACTCAGAATATTATAAAGAAACTCTCTAATATTTACGTTTATAAAAATATAAAATCCTTCATGTTTGTCAGATTAATAACCTCCAATAATTTAAACAATCAGTGGATCAATAAAAGAGAATCGATCAGAATGATTTTCCACCTTCAACAGTAAAAAACTGTTTTTTCATGAACAAATTTACTCTTTTATGACAGAAATTAACTTTATTAACTTTATTTTGAAAGTCTCGCTCATAGGTTAAAAACTTATTAATGACCTTTGACCTCTGCTGGAGCACACCTGTCTGAGTAAATGAAGCAGGTTCAATTCTGACAAACTTTATTGACACAGGATGACGCAGCGGTCAGTCGTCAGGAACATCAGCTGTGCTGCAGTGAGATATTAACGATTATTACTGTTAATAAGTGACTTCCTTTATGATCTCTTTATTTATAAAAGACATTGAAAAACGTCTGGAAAAGCCGTGAAGGTCGGTTATAAAGAAAACCTTCAGATTTTAATAAAAACAAACACGTCGTCCTTTTTAATAATTTCAGTTTAGATCAAATATCGGCCGAGTTTGAAACATGGAAATGATGTTTTTAAGATCTTTTAAAACTTAACACTTTCCTCTGAAGTATCTGCTCAAACTTTTGTTACAATTTTTAAAATATCTAAAAAAAAAAGTAAAAAAAAAAAACGACAAAATGAACAAGAATGAACCAAATAGAATAAAACAGAAAATAATTTAAATAAAATAAAAGAAGCTTAAAAACGTCTTTGATTATTAATATTGAATAAGATCACCATCATGATGTTCTGAATCAACAGTCAAAGAGCTGTTTTAAAAGCACTTAAGCCCACTCCATCAGCAGATAAAAAACACTTAAGTCTCTGTTTAAATAAGAAGAACATGTTTCTAAACCTGCGGCCGTGGACCCTGAGGGGGCCGCGGGGTTTCTGTCAGAGGGTCCCAGCAGCAGGACTCTGTTGGAGGCCTGTAGATACCTGTCAGTGCTTCACACACACACACACACACACACACACACACACACACACACACACACACACACACACACACACACACAGCTCTTCACCTGTCAGATTAAAGGCTCGTGGGTCTTTGGGGTCTTTTGTGCGGCGGCTGTAAAAACACTCGTCTCCGTGTGAAAGTCGTTTTTTTGTGAATTTGAAGTTGAAAAGATTTGAAACTGCTCCGGGATCAGTGAGAACGTTTGATGTTTTTGTTGTGGGAGAATCTACGGAGCGCAGCAGGAGACAAAAACAGGAGGGACTGTTACCTTCAGATCAATTCTGTTGAACGAAGAAGTCGAGAGTGTTTTTATACGACACAAACTGCCCTGAGGGGAAATTTACCGTTAAGGAAGCGTACTGTCTCATATCATCACATATAACACTCTATCATTTTATACCATAAATACACATGAGACTGCTCAGTGTTTTATGAAAGTATATCACATCTGATGGAGTTGTATCGTCTCACACAGTAACATACTGTAGTCATTAAGACTTTCATACTCTATTACTGTAACTTACTGTGTTTTACCAAAATATGATAAACATCATACATCATATCAGGTCACACCCTGGGTTAATATATTATATCATATTATATTATATTATATTATATTATATTATATTATATTATATTATATTATATTATATCATATTATATTATATTATATTATATTATATTATAACATAAAATGAAGGTATATCGTTTAATCTCACGGTGTATGATATTAACCATAGCTTGGTGTCTCATTTAACTAATACTGCATTTACATACAGCATCATGTTATATTCAGTCAAATAGTTTATTTATTGCACAGAATATACGATATTGTTTAACATTTTACTGTATCTGATATTTGCATTGGACATTTTTTAACTGAGATAATTACAGAGAATTAAAATAAATTAAAAGACAGATTTACAGCCGAGGAGAACAGCACTAAAACGACAACAAAGCAAAAACAAAACTACAGTAAAAAAACAACAAAAATAACAACACTAAAATAACACATAACAAAAATAAAACTGTAGTAAAACAAAAATAAAACAAAAATAAAATAAAACTGCAGTTAAAGACGGGGAAACTGCAGAAAGTTTCTTTTTTCAGTCAGAACTTTTTGCAGCTAAACATTTTCTTCATAAATCAGTTTTTTGTCAAAATTCCAGTCAGATGAATTTTTATTGTCTGTGAGTTAAAAATGTTCAGTTTGACACCAGAGAAGAAGAAAATCAGGAGTTTTTCTTAAAGGTCAGAATCAGAGTTTTCATGTTTAATTTAACAGTAAGTTACCGTTTTAATGTAAATCTTCACTCATCTACAGCCGTGTTAGTGTGTTTATATCAAACAGAGGGACTATTAAGGGACTATTTCCTGCGGCGGATTAACACTCATCTGTTGATCTGTAGTAGGAAATAACTGTGTGGAGAGTGTACGAAGTGCAGAAGTGCAGCATGAATGGTAGAGCTGAGTTACCTGTCTCTCTCTCTCACACACACACACACACACACACACACACACACACACACACACACACACACACACACACACTCTCAGACACATTTTTATTCATTACCTGGAAGCCGCTGACAGCCTCCATCAGATCAGTGTCTCCTGTTTGTGGGCCTCCTTTTGTTCCTCTCCTCTCCTCTGAGAGTGTTGTGATAGTTGGAGCTCCTCTGAAGGAGGAGGAGGTGAAGAGGAGGTGAAGAGGAGTCACTCACTCTTCACACAGGTTACTCCTCTGTTTTAATTTAAGTGTCGTTTAGTTTTTACTCACTTTTTAAAACCGAAGCAGTCGTTCGATCGCTCGCTCTCCAACACCGTCAGACTTTAAAGCGTCCTCCTTTTTAACAGAAGTACGGTGGCCCTGAAGGTCAACTGCACAAACATTTCATGACCACTAAAAATCAATTCATGTCACACAAATTCATTTTATTAAAGGCTGACACAAACGCTGCAGGAGCAAAAATATTTTATTAAACAGAAAAAAATATTTTTAAAACACGTTTGCATTTTTCTAATTTACCATTTATTTATCGGGTTGTGTTTGAGTTAGAGGTGCGTAAAAAGTTTTTGTGTTAAGAAATATTTTTTCATGTCTTGAATTTTTTTTTAATTTCATGAATTTTTGAAAAATTTTCTTTCACATTGAAGTTTTTTTTTTATTATTTTTTTTAGCTCTGCCTGAAAAGTTTTTTGTGTTTGTTGAAACATTTTTTACACTTTAAAATATTTGTTGCACAGGGATTATTATTTTTTTTGCATTTCCTGAAATAAATGTAGATGTTTTATTATCATTATAAGAAGATGAACAAAAATTTAATGAAAAGTTTTTGTTTCTGTAAAATATTTTTACATTTAAAAAAATGCTTCAGCGTTTGGAGAAAAACCTTTTTAAACTGATTTTTTTTAATGACTGTTTTGTGAATTATTTTTGGCGTTTGTGTAGTTGACCTCGTGGGCCACCGTAGCTCAGGGCTCCTCTCTCTGAGGTTGTGTTCCCTGCAGCAGCTGTGCGTTAATTCAGACTTTAACTTCGTTTTAATGAAATAAACTCAAACAAAGACCCGACCTCAGAGTCAGTAAACGGGTCATTGTGGTCTTCACGCTCTGAGGTCAGTCTGGACTTCCTCAGATCCGGTCCAGTCTCACCTCTGGTCCCCGTTCTCTGGGATCGGAGGTTTTGTGAGTCGCTGATTTCTTCTGTATTTTGTTTCCGTTTCCTGATGAAGTGACTCGAACGCTGCTCACAGGACTGTGAGGGTTTCTCTCTCGCACACGCTGACAGGTCTGGACTTGTTTTCAGTGCCAGGGGAGCCTGATGTACCATCTGCCCCTCTCCTCCTCCTCCTTTCCTCCTTTCCTTCCATCCTTCTCTCCTCTCTCACTCCCTCCTCTGTGACAGACCGTATCAGTAAATCCTCTCCAGGGTCAGGGTTTTAAACGCGTCATGGGTCCTCCAGTCACGGTTCAGGACAGGTAGAACTGTCTCCGCCCTCTCTTACCTGTGGTGTCCCTCAAGACTCTGTTCTGGGCCCGGTTGTATTCTCTCCGGGTCATCGGGGTCGTGGTTGTCCAGTCCTTCGATAACTCGATGTGTGTTTTAAGATCAGCTGTTTCCGGACGGTTCCTGCTCTCTGTCGTGTTTCTGAGTGTGACGGAGGATCTTCTCTCGTTACTCTGCGTCTCTGCGTCGTGATTACCTGCTCCTAGTTTGTCCGCCGTGGCGTTTAAAGGGTTAAAACGCTCTGAGTAACAGTCATTAGACTCTGACACACGCCGTCTGCAGACAGGAGGTCAAATATGAGGGTCAGGGGACGGGGAAGGGGGAGGTCGCCGCGGCGGTCTTTTTAAGTTTCACATTCACCTGCAGAAGAAGTCAGGTGTTCAACCAGGTAACATCGTGTTAGGAGTTCAGAATTCATGTTTGTATGAAATCAGATTATCTGCAGCGTGAACAAGGATCTCAGGTGTACAGTACACATAATAATAATAATAATAATAATAATAATAATAATAATAATAATAATAACTTTATTTTTACAGCACTTTTAAAAACAGAAGTTTACAAAGTTCTTTGACAAACAGTCGTAAAGCTCAGAGCATCAGGACATGGAAAGAAAGACGAATAAAAACAAAAGCTCTGAATTGAAGAACAATTTCATTTGTCATAAAAACCAAGAAAATACAAGAACCCTACAACATAAAATGAGACCATGAGGACCAGAATAAAAACATAAAAAAACACAAAAAAAAAGAAATGTAATAAAAAACTCAACTTTATTTCTGTAACACTTCACAAACAACAAGTTCTTCACAACAACACAGAGAAAAAACAAATGAACAAACAGACGAAGAAGAAGAAGAAGAGCAGACTGAGTGACGGTTATAATAATAATGATAGCTATAAAAATATTGTTTTCAATCCCATCACAATCATCATCATTTATATTACAGTAACAATTAATAACAATAATCATAATAACAGTAGCAGCAGCAATAATAAAAGGGGGCAGGAAACAGGAAACAGGAAACAGGATAGTAAATATAAAAAAACGACATTAATAATGATAATAAAATAATAATGATGGTAATATTAATGATAAAATGGAATAACAAAAATGAGCATTAATAAAACTATAAACTAAATTAGAGGCCTAAAAGGTAAAATAGGAAAAATTATAAGTAAAACAAAAACTAAAAGGACAGGAAGTCGAAATGAGATAAAAGAGATAAAAAGATAAAAGATAAAAGATAAAAGAGATAAAAAGATAAAATATAAAAGATAAAAGACATCATCACGGAAAATCAAGTCTGTAAAAGTTTGATGGACAAAGATCGATCAGCTTTAGTTTAGAGTCTCGACTTTTGAACGACCAGGAGGACTTCAGCAGAGGATCTGAGGCTCATTAGGAAGTAAAAACTCTGAAGTATCGATTAAAAGTAATCGATAAAATCTTAAAATCAAAGTGAAGGGAGGCTAAAACTGGAGCGATGTGACGCCGTCGACTAAAACCAGTTAAAAGATAAAAGCTGCTGCGTTCTGAACGAGTCTGAGGAGGGAGAGAGATTTCTTCTTTAGACCAGAGAGGAGAGAGGTACAGAAGTCCAACACTGACAAAATGAAAACAGGTGGAGGATTGTAGGTTTCATGTGTTCACCTGTTCATGTGTTCACCTGTTCGTCTGTCTGAGTCTCTGAAGACGTTAAATTTGTTCTTTTAGGAGAAAAACTGTTTCTGTAAATAACGAGGAAAAGTTCGAACGTCTTTTAAAGTTCGTAAACTTCGCTGTAAGTTTTCAGACTCTTCACCGTCTCATATTTTTATTGATTGACTCTTTCGCTCTCATCTCCATCAGGAACATCAAACCTCCGCGCCCGTCTCTGACCTCTGACCTCTGTTAAACCCTCTGCTGTCGTCACGTCAGAGAAGCGTTACCCAACAGAAACAAACCGTCATATTTGCAATCCGAGCTCCTCTGAGACGTTTGCCAAACCTCCATCAGTCACGGCTCGGGTTCGAGTTTGCATATGAATATATCTTTGAATCTGCGCTAACGTTGAATAAAAGGCGTGAGCGTGGCGAGCTGTCTGCACGCCATCATTGTCGAAGCCGACAATAAGCCGCCTCTTTTGCGTGCGTGCGGCTGCTGCTGGGCGCTCCGAACTCGAGCATGAATTTGTTTTTATGTAAAATCTTCATAAAAAGATCGACGTTGGGAATGAAGCAGATGTTGGATGTGGGTTTGAAAAGCGAGGAAACAAAGAAAAAGGCGTTTTAGCGACGCTCTCGCTCCGATCGACCGCACGCCGACACGCCTGACAAACAAATGAGCTTCGGTTTTTGATTTCACAGCTGAACTTTTCCTGCAGCTCATCTTTCACCGCCGCAGAAACCGAACGCTCTCCTCGGTTTGGCCGTTAGCTTTGGTCGTGAAGTTTTTCATGTCTGATATCTGCGCCCTGAAAATCCAACTTCGATTATTTCGTCTTTCCTGGTTCCTTTAAAAAAGTCGCTTGATGCAGAGGATGGTCCGGTATATTTGTGTGACACGCCGCTGCTGTTCCAAAGAAACACGCGTTCACTTTGTGACGTGTATCGTAGCGAACAAAGAACTTAAAGTGCGGTCAACAAAAATGACGGTGACCTTTGCTCACCTCTCTACGCCAGAGCAGGTGAGACCGCTCCTTAGATAACCTACCGCCTTTCAAACACAGTGACCACGTGACCTGAAACCATGGCAACCGGACAAAAGTACGTGAACACAGGTTAACCGATCAGCAAAGTGACATGACGGCTCCGACATCGATAAACGCGGTTTCCTCTGAATCGAGTCTCCGACAAAATCAGGTCGAGAAAAGAAACAGAGAAAATGTTTGAATCTGTGAACCGACAGCAAAAGTGTTTTTCTCACAGTGTCAACAGGCCGAGCAGACGCCTCAATCACTCCGATAAATACAGGATAAAAACCGTGTAACGTGTTCTGGTGTTGGTGGGACGGAGCGTCGGTCTTGTTCTGGTTCTGGACTCTGCAGAGACTCTTAGTCTACGTTCAGACTGCAGGTCTGATGTTTTAACCATCTGTGACTCAGATCTGATTTTGTCATCGAAGTGTGAACAGGCGGGGAAAGAACACATTAGATGATCGTTGTTGTAAAGTGAACGACCGCACAAAAAGATCGGATTGAACAAAAAATCGGAATTGTGGATCAGAACCTGCAGAGTGAACGTCGACTAAGAGGACTCTGTTTTCTTTTTGACGGCGTTGAGTTTTAGTTAAAGGTCCAAATGTGAATTATTTGTCCTGGATTCTGACGTTCACAGTCTTAGTTTTCGGTCGCAGGTTGTGTTGAGTTGTGGTTTCCTGAATAACAGAAATAAATGAACAATAAATGTATGAATATGACAGGATTGAAGTGTGACTGTGAGCTAAACACACATCACACACACACGTGAAAAACAACAACTTCAGGCTGATTATTATGAGACACTTTTTCTGATTTCTCATGTTATGAAATGTTCTGATCTGTTTTATTATAAAATAATGTAAATTATGTTCAGAGCAAAATCAAAACTGCTCCTGACTGAACACAGAGGTTCTTTTTAATCCAGGACAGTCCGTATAATCTCAGAGCTGTTTGTTAATTTACTGAACTAAAAAGGAGATGTGTCTCTGTTAGTGGAGTTAAATTCAGAAATGACGCCGACATAAATCTAAAAACATGTCAGTCTTTGTTGGTTTTTAAGAAAATAGTTTGTAAAGATATTTGTGAAGTTTATAAGTTTGATTAATTCTCTGTTGTTTTGGTTTCTTTGCTTTTCTGGAGGTCGGTAGATTAAAAAGTCGACTTTTATAAACGTTCTGTTTCTGCCTTTTCAGTCGATATTCAACATGATTCTTCATTTAGTGATTTAGTGTGAAATGTCAGAATTGTGTAGAATATTTGGTGTTGTCATGACTGAGTAAACGACAACTATGAGGTCAAATAACACTAAAGGCCACACGGGGGCGCTACAGGCCGCACCATCACCATGGAAAACAAAAGCGACTTTAATAAACTGTAAATATTGTCGGCTGTAAAACCCATCGATGGTGTGTCACGTTCAGTCCGAGCAGAATCGTATGTTGAGCACATATATGATGGAAACACACGTCTGACTCACCTGTGAAAACATAATTCACCTAAAAACAGTCCGTGTGCGTTTTAATGTGACCTCACAGAGCGAACACGCCGCGTAAGTAACCGCCGCTGACCTCTTCTAAATTTAAAGACGTTCAAATGTCAGTTTTTTCATGAAGTTACTGCTTATTTTTTGTCGACAAAATGACCGTTTATAAATCAGGATAGTCTCTATACAACTCCAATAACAATGTGGCAGCACCCACAGTGCCCCCCACAGGAGCAGGGCGTCATTACAGCGGATGAAATCGATTCCAGGATTGTCTGAATCATTAAAATATTTTTTAATGTCTTAATGAATCAGTATTTCAGTCCGCCTTTGTGATCAGGATCCTTTGACCAATCAGAGTCAAGTATCAGACACAGTCAGGTCATAACTAAGAGAGCCGGGCTGTAAATTTGGAGGATAATTAAAGCTCCTGTGATTTTTAACAAATATGGAGATAAAACAACATCCTGTTTCCTCGCTGACACCCTCCTCCTCCTCCTCTCAACAGTTACAGACGTTAAAAATCACATGAAGATGGTCAGTGATGTCACTCTGTGTTAATAAAGGGATCAATACGTCTGATTCATAAACGTCCAAAAACTCCCTACTGGAGCTTTAATCATGTTTGTTTTGACTCTTAAACACGCCTCGTCTCAGAGCGCCGTTCTTATAACCGTCAGCTCCGAGTTCACACGCCTGCCTGTAAACTGTCGTGTTTTTTTGATGATGTCATTCTGGTGACGCGGCGGCAGAGAGTCGCTGAGTCAGGCTTTAGTCTGCGGTCTGAGTTCAGATCCAAAAACACACACAGACACGCACACAACATGTGTTTGATGAGATTAAGCAGACATCCCAGAGCAAATACGCACGCACACACACACACACACACACACACACACACACACACACACACACACACACACACACACACACACACACACACACACACACACACGTCTAAGTAAACAAACTGTCTTTGCTGTAACCCTGTTTTTCTATCTCTGTGAGGACCAGTTTGACTAAAAGCTTTTAGATGATTTTAAAATAATTCAGTTATTGTTTTTAAATAAGATCAAAAGTTTTAAGTTTTTTAAATTTCTGTCTGTTTCTTTTTTTTTTTTTTTTTACAGCGGTATAATCTGCGTTTGTTCGTGGTTAATTTGACTTTTATGTTCTCAGTTTGTGTTTTTAAATAAGATCAAAAGTTTTAAGTTTTTTTTATTATTTCTGTCTTTTACGTGTTTTTTTTTTTTTACAGCGGTATAATCTGCGTTTGTTCGTGGTTATTTTGACTTTTATGTTCTCAGTTTGTGTTTTTTTTTTTAATCTGTTTGAAATCCAGTAAAACTTAAAATATAAATTGAAATGGACTTTAAAGACCCACAGTTTATTTTTCTGTATCAGGCTGTGAACTCGTTTATTTCTGCTGTAAAGGTCGACATGATAACATGGGGCTCTATGGGGACTGACTCGTTTTAGGAGACAGCCTCTAGTGGACACCAGAGGAACTGCAGTTTTTGCACACTTTCCTCATTTTTCCCACTGAAAATTGCTCGTTAGAGTCACTCGCTCATAAGTCATGATACAGCTGTTATCTTGTTTACCGTAATGTCAGGATTAGGAGCACAGAACCAGATAAAAATGTGATTTCGTGATTTTCCGATCCTCACAGCGTCTCTTTTCCGATCCCCGTACGTAACCCCTGCTGATCTGTCGGGTTTCTCTCCTCAGGTGAGGACAGCAGTCCAGAGAACCTCCTCCTCCACGGCCCGTTCTCCAGGAAACCCAAACGGATCCGGACGGCGTTCTCGCCCTCGCAGCTGCTGCGTCTGGAGCGAGCCTTCGAGAAAAACCACTACGTGGTCGGCGCCGAGAGGAAGCAGCTGGCGAGCGGTTTGTGTCTGACTGAGACGCAGGTAAGCATCGTGTGTCAGGGAGCGAGGCATCATGGGAAAACTGAGCAAAGCCGTTTTGTGTTTTATAACGTTTAGTGGCGTTGACTCCTCTCTCGCTGCAGCTGCTCCTTCTTCGTTCTTCTTCTCTGTTTACTGACCGACTTTAAAATCCTCGTATCTGAACATTTTAGTTAAACTACAGAGAGTCGAACCCCAAACCTCAGCCTCCTTCTCCTCCTTCTCCTCCTTCTCCTCGGTGTATCTCAGGATAAACTCCTCTCTGATCTGTCATCAGGCTGCGTCTCGGGTCGCTGGCGTTGATCCGCCTCAGAGGAATGATGGAGGCGTGGGGGTTGTGGGTTAGTCAGCTCCTCGCCGCTCCCTCCGTCTTTTCTTCCTCGCAGTGATTGACGGAGTTTGTCATCAGGTTTCCACAGAGATACGAGCGAGCCTGACGCTGCTGATTCGTGAATCATCCCTGACGCAGACAGACAGGGAGGAATCCACCAATCAGGGATCAGCTGTCTCTGATGTCACGTGATCAGGTCATTTTATAAAATCCAGAGAAACAGACTCAAACTCGAGTCCACGACGAAGGAAACACTTCAGGGTCAAAAATAAACAAGGACGAAAAGAGCACAGACTGCTATGACCACAGGGGGGCGCCAACATCGACAAAGTTCCTCACTGCAGCTTTAATCTGGATAAACTCACGACATGTCCCTTTATGGATGGATGAATAAATAAATGAATGAACAAAGATGGATGTTTTTAAAAAGTAATAAAAGTCTGTTTTTAAGTTTTTTAATCATTATTTTTTTAACTCTTTGGGGGCCTTAAAAAAAAAGTTACATTAAGGTCCTCAGAGGGACATTTTCGTCCCTCTAAAGACCTTAACGTAACTTTAAAAAAAAGACAATTCATAAAAAATAACAATGCATCAAATTTAGTATTGTTATTTTTTTTGACATATTACAGACCTTGATAAAAAAAAAACGGAGAAGTTCCTGCCCAACATCTATTATTATAATAATTTAACAGTGACGTCATGTAATCAAACGGACATTTAAAGGGTTAAAACTCTGAAAATGAATAAATATTTGATAGAAATGATCAGGAATGAAGTTGATTAACAGATATAAGCCAAAAAAAAAAAGTTGAAAAAATATGAATGTATCATATTTTAGAGCAGATTTAAGAGATGGACGTGTTTTTATCACACAGTGAATATGGACCTGATATAATGATGGTTGATCACGTTTTAAAATTTGGAAAGAAAAAAAAAACCCTGAAAAAAAAATCATCTCATTTGCATTAAAACAGCCAAAATGATCAACAAACGAAAGTAAAAAGTCGACAAAAATGGACAAAAATGTCCCCGGAAGGTTAAAGCTCCTGTGAGGAACTTCTTGTTTTGTGTCAACTTTGGCGCCCCCCTTGGGACAGTTTTCTCAGACAGAAGAAACTCCTTTTTTTTCCCCCGAACGTCTTCAGATAAAATCAGATTATTTAAAGCTCAGTCAGTGACTCTGAGCAGGTCGGTTTTCGTCCCTCAGCCTCCTCGGAGATGTTGATGACGGTGACAGATCATCAGTGTCTGGTGTCATAATTACACCGCGGCCCGTCACGCAGAGACGCTGTGATATTAAAGTGTCTCCTGAGGCCGTTGGCAGCTCTGAGCGCTCTCCGCCTCAGAGTCGATCCGGATCTTTGATTTATTGTCGTTTCGCTCTGACAGATTGAGCAACATGATCTCTTAGTCAGCTGGCTTTGTTCGACTCCTGCAGACAGGCGGACGTGTTTCAACAGTCCTGCATGTCACAGTCATGTTTTACCAGCAAACACACGTTAAATCATCGCGCAGCTCTCACACATTTACGATCATTACTGTCAGAAACAGAAGCAGGCGGCAGAAGGAGCTCTTTGGCTCCCTAAAGGTTTCCAAACTGAGCTGCTAACAACTCTAAATCACAGAAAGAATGTTCATGTTTGTTTTAAAGCTTCACCGGCTCCGTTCTTAGAAATGATCCAGAACATTCTTCACTCTGCAGCAGTAAAACAGGCTCTAATGAAATCAGTCAAACTGTACTTACTGAAAACTTTAACAACGTTACAGAACAGATCCTGGAAAAACAGAGAAATAACCCTGAATTAATGCAGACTCAGCTGCTCCTTCAGGACCCACCAGACCCCATTAAGAAAACCTGCGATTTAGTCCTCACAGTAAAGCTGATCTGCTGCGGTTCTGTTTCCTTGTTTGTGTTGTTGTGTTGAGTTGGTTCAGAGTTAAAACCCTAAAAACACACAAACGTCACACCAACAACAAAAAAGAGAAACCGGCTGAGGCAGTTTTAGACCGGCACCTTATATTTTCTGCTGAGTTAAAATGACAGTTTTTGTCAATGAGGTTTGGTGTTGACTGTAACTCAACGTCTGTTTGTGGTCGGAAATATACAGAAAGGCAGATTTAAGACGACTCTGGTTTGTTTCTACTCTGTTTTATTCAGTTTGAACATCGTCCACAAAAGACGCCAACAGTCAAGTCATTTTTATTTTTATAGTTATTGTCAAATATCGTGCTGGATTTATTAGGATTCATGAATTAAAGTGTATTTTTCAGTATGTTTTACAGTCTAGTCTGGCTTGAATATTATTTTTACATAGAAATTGAAGGTTGAAACTCACTTTTTTAAACAGATTTATATACAGTTACACTTCCTGTGTCACTAACTGAAAAAATCCTGTTTTTGTCAGTGAAGTCTGGTGAGTTTTAAAGGAGCAGTGCAACAACTTTTCCCAGTTTCAAATAAAAACCTTATAAACTTTTAGATAACTGAAGACGGGATTACTTGTCTACCAATGTGTGAAAAATCAAAGATTTCTATTGGGTTATTTTTTCATGTGAAATCTGAAATTAGAGAAAACACAATATGTCGAGGGTAGATCACCAACTCCTGCTGTTTTCCGGTGCAATGACTCGTCAGCGGGGTCTGGTAGTTCTGCCAAATCCCTGACAGACGAAATAAGGAGTTGCTGGTCTACCCCTGTCTGTTTTCTTGTTTCACAGATATCGTGTATACATAGATAGTGCAAACTAACTTATAAAACTGACATTCGCACAAACACACAGAAAAATACCACAGCTGGAGGTGGGGGTGGATCAGAAACTCCCGTTTTCTTTGGAGTAAAATGACTGAAGACAGGAGGCTTTAAAGGAGAACTGCAGCAGCTGTTTTAGGTTCAGACAGAGAGACTGAAAAGACGTTATTTTCCCTCACAGGAAACAGTTTGTTCGGAGTCTTAACCTCACATCTAAAAAGTCAGAATAGAAACAAAGAGCCTTAAGTCCTGAACTGTAAAAGCTTTTTGTTTGCAGCATAAGGCCTTGAAAGTCCTTGGATTACTCTGATGGTTGCTGGTCTACCTTTTGGTTGTTTTTTAATTTTTAAGAACGCCGCGGAGGTCGAGCAGCGTCTCCTGAGTTCTTTCAGGTGAAATTTCTGTGTTTGTGAATCGAGTGTCGTGACTTTAAAGCAGGAATGAAGCAGCTGTCAGTGAACGTCGGGATCCTATATCAGTGCGCTAAAACCAAACTTCAGCTCCGCCCCTTTAAGACGGAGGAAAAACAGCAGAATGACCCTTTAATTCCAGATTAAACTCCAGTATGAAAAAATCGTTTGCTTGTCTGAAACATCTCCTCATACATCTGTACCTCTGTGTGTTTGTGTGTGTGTGTGTGTGTGTGTGTGTGTGTTTCAGGTGAAGGTGTGGTTTCAGAACCGCCGGACGAAACACAAACGCCAGAAGTTGGAGGAGGAGTCTCCTGAAGCTCAGCAGAAGAGGAAGGGCAGCCAACACGTGAACCGCTGGAGAGCCGCCACTCAGCAGCCGGGCGGCGAGGACGTGGACGTCATCAGCGACGACTAGACTGAACACACACACACACATGCACATGTACACACACACACACACACACACACACCTGCTGCATCAGTCAGTGCCAAATATCCAACATGGTCTCCAAAGGTGCGGACAGACGTCTTATTTATGTTTCAGAGAGAGGAGCAGGACTTCACCTAAACGGACAAAACCAGCCTGTCAAACCCTCCGAGACCAACTTTACCGCCTGTTTGATTCTCTGTTCCCCGACACTCTAAAACACAGACCTTCACCTGTCCCTGAAGGCATCACGCTCATGCAAACATCAGGAGGTCGAATCTCCTGAGAGACAAAAACTCCTATCAGCCGCCGAAGAAGAAGAAGAAGAAGAAGAGGAGGAGGAGGAGGAGGAGGAGGAGGAGGAGGTTTTCAAGACTGGAGCGGCGAGATCTGAAGCTTCAGAGAGGCATTAAAAAAAAAAACCACAGAGTCCAAACGCGGTCACAGCTGCTGACTGAACACTCGACGGTGGATTTTGGTGCCAAACGAAGCCAGCGTCTTAAAATAAGAGACGGTTAAAGTGAGAAAGCTGCTCTGCTGAAGGTTTCTGAGCGTCTGTCTGCAACAGACGGCCGCCGCTTCACAGGAAATCTGCTCCACGTGTCTGAGAGGGGAGAAGAAGGTTCCTGCAGCAGGAGGAGGAGGAGGAGAAACGAGGAGATGTATAATTATCTCTGCTCAAAGTTTTCTTGTTTTTCAAACCCCTCCAAACTCTGAGGAGACTCCTGATGTTCTTCACATTTCAGACCCTGACACAGGAAACAGCCCCGTCACACCAGTTCAGTCGACAGAGAACCAGTAAAACCAGCGGCACTTAAATCAGAAACAAGTGATTAAAGGATGAGACCAACTTTAGTCCAGTTTAAAGTTTTCCTCCATCTTTGCAGCGACATAAACTCAGTTTTTCAGGAGGAGCTTTAAAAACCTCTCTGTCAGCATGGTCAGGTGACATCAGAGATCATATTTCTCCAGAATGAACACATGAATCCTCACAGATGACCCTCATTTTTGTGGATTTTACAGCTGCGGTTTTTTCACACACTGACTCTGTTCTTTAATCACCTTTGAAAATAAATTCCTGTCAGCGACTCGAGGTCAGGATCGATCTCTCTGCTCTTAAAAACAAACCCGATCAATCCCCGATATAAAACTTCTCTGTCTTAGTCTACGTTCACTCTGCAGGTTCTGATGCACAATTCGGATTTTTAGTTAAATCCGATCTTTCTGTGCGGTCGTTCACGTTACAACAACGAATGCTGCGTCTAATGTAAAGTGACCCTCATGCGCTCAAAGCACAAATATCTTTCCATGCCTGTTTGTGTCGAACAACGGTGACGTTTGTCGCATATTGATGAACTCGACCTGAGCGTCCACACTGCAGTCACATCAGATACATATCAGATTTATATCCACATACAGAAGAGGCCTGGGTCGGATCAGAACCAATCAGAACTGACCTGTTCACACTTAGATGAAAACATCAGATATGAGTCACAGATGGTTAAAACATCAGAACTGACCTGCAGTCTGAACGTAGTTTTAGTCCTCCTATCACAGAAACTCTAAAGTTCACTTTCAAAAATCGCTCAGATGAACATTTTTTACTTCACGATCTCTTCAGATTTTGACCGACTGATGCCTCTATCTGGTTCTTGTAAAGCATTCTGGGAAATGTAGTCATGTAAAGGTTGACCTCCTGAAATGTGCTGAACATCATCAGGAGGAGGAGAAAAACATCACTGAGCTGGTTTTTAAAGGAGGGTCTTTTATTGTGAAAATCCTCGTTTCCTGTTGGGGGAACCTCTCTCACCTTCAGCAGGTTCTGATCCGCCTCCTCCGGTCTGGTCTGGTCAGGTGTTCGGGCTGATCTCAGAGCAGTTTTTGGACTTTTTATTCAGCTGGTAGTTTTTTTGTTTTGTTTGTTTTTGTTCGTTTTTGAAAGGAGAGTAGGTATTTATGTAAAAAAGGATCTGAAAGTATTCTATGCATCTGCGTGTAAATAACGAGGATAATAATAATAATAATAACGACGACGACGATGATGATGATGATGATGATGATGTGTGGACTGTTTCATTGTTTGTTTGTTTGTTTGTTTGTTTCTTTCACCTGTTTGTTTCTACTTCCTGACAGATTTACCTCATCCTCCTCTTATGTAGCACTTCTTCTTCTTCTTCCTCTTCTTTCTTCTCCTCCTTTTCTCTCCTCCTCTTCCTCCTCCTTCTCTTCTCTTCTTCTTCTTCTTCTTAGTCAGATCTATTTTTTCATCGTTTTAGGATCGAATGCACTAACTGTACGAAGATTTGTACTTCCTGTGTTCAGGTTTGGAAAAATATCAATAAAAAGAAAACGAGGAATAAACGGAGTTTCTGCTGCTGCTTAAAACATCCAACAAGAGTCAAGATGAAGAATTCATAAACACTGTAATATCACCATTTTAAAGAGAGCTTCTCTATTATTCTGTGAGTTTAATTTAAAGTTAAAATTAAAGGAAAATTGTCGTTTTTAAGCTCAAAAATCTGAAATATTTCGTTGTCTCTTCTGTTGTTTAGAGTTTTGATCGTTTTTGTCGAAATATAATCAGAAAGTTTGGAGTTTTATTGAAAGATTTTTACATTTTCAAAACTTTTTTTTCTGCAGAATTTAATATTTTCTCATTAAGCTGCAGACAATGTTGAGATAATAGGAAAAAACGGCGAAATACGCAGTTTATGAAATCAGAAAACACATTTAAAGACGCATGAAGAGCTGATTTTGGACCGTCTCATTTCTGCTCCTGTCGGTGTTTCTTTAATTTAAATACTTTTATATTTACTGACATGTTCGGATATCTAAACCTGCAGATTAAAACCTGAGGATTTCCTCTCGCTTTGGAATCTTCCCCTCCTGTAGTTTCAGCAGGAAGAGCCGCTCTGACCTGGATCCTCCGCCCGCAGATCGACGCTCTCTCCCGGCTGCTGCAGCGGCTCAGGTCCCGGTGTCCCCCGCTCCTCCTGCGGCCTCCTCCTGCAGCTGCTCCGCTTTCAGACCCGGCCTCTTCTCTCTGCGGGACCCGAACCTGCGACCATGGACCAAACACAGATTAGACAGATCAGACAGAAACCATCCACCCTGAGATTAAAACACACAGGTGATCAGATGGTTTTGGATCTCCAGCTGTAGTTCTGGTTCCGTGGTCCAGGCCGGACTCTCGTGCAGGCCGGAAACACTTGCTGCATGCTGCACGAGACCACCTTTGTCTCGGACCTTTTTTTCAGTATGAAATAAGAAAAACAAAAATCATTCGCAGTTAAAATAAAAAGGTTTAATATCAGGATTTTTCGGACAGAAACAGTAAAACTGGATCATCATTTCAAACAGTTTCTCCTTCAGAAAAAAAACGTCCTTATAGGTTTTATTTTCACAAACTGTATATATACATACTATAATCTATATATTATATACAGTCTATGGTTCAAACAGGCCAATCAGAGGAGAGGGTGCACGTGCATCAACCACTAAACTCCTACAAAAAAAAAGTGTTTTTGGACTTTAATTTATCCTCTGATTTTATTTTAAACATAATTCATCAATAATATTTTTAAAACCACGAATTTCTTCATGAGCTGAATAAGAGCAGAGTTTCAGATTAACTCACTTCACTTCAACTTTATTATGTCCCTAAAATGGTCAGATCAGGCTGCAGCAGACACATTTAAAACACTGACATACATCATAAAAATAGATAAATAAAATAAAATACATTTACATAAAAAACAGTTCAGGAGGTAAAAATTTAAGATGATTTATAAGGTAAAAAGAAAATCATATTTCAGTCGTACCAGTATTTTTACATGAACAGAGTGAATAAGATAAAATGCAGAAATGTGCGGTTTGTGGACCAATAAAGGACCCCGAGATGAGGCTTGATCTATAATAATAATAATATGTGATAATCCTCACATTATTGATCCCCATCCGTTATAATAAAGACACTCAGCTGATTATTTACAGGAACGTGAATTAAAATATTTTAAATCTGTAAAAAAGTTTTAATTCAGACAAAGGAAAAATAACAAAGTGCAGTTTTATCATTAAACAAGAATCAAACATGTTTTGTTCAAAATTCTAAAGTCTCTTCTGTAATATGTATATTTTTTACTTTGACCTTTTTATCAACATTTAACAGATTAAAAATCTCTGAATTTCTCTCCTCCATCATTTCTGTTTTAAAAACTGTGCAGGTTTTTTGTTTGTTTAAAGATTCACAAAATCTAAAATCATAGTTAAAAAAAGGTTCTTGTAAATGTTCAGTTTTTCTTCTTTAATTGTTGTTCAGACTTTTTTTTAACATCATGTACAAACAGAACAGAAAACTTCCATTTTTAAAAACCACCTTCGCTCTGAAACGGTTGATTTAACTACAGCAGGAGAAATACACAGGTGTGCTGCGATCCTCTACTTTTGATCAAACCCAAGAAAATATCAAAGATTCTGAATTTTTATTTTTGTCTGTTTTTTAATCTTCGCTCACTCTTTTTTCTTATTTTAGCATCCTGCATAAATCCTGCTAAAAAGGATCATTTACTTAAAGTCAGTTTCTATTTTAAATGTTTTTTTTTTGTGACTCTATGAAGTTACATACCGGATCTTTTCTTTGCATTTTGTTAAAAAACTTAAAAATATGTGAAAAAAAAAGTGTAATTACAGGAAATTTATCTGTTTTTTTATGTTTTTGGATTTCATCAGCCTTTTAAAAGAATTTATTTTTCTGTTTTTGAGCCTCATTATAGAATCTATTCTGCACAAAATTAGCATTTCATCAAATTAACACCTCTGATGAGTGAAAATATGAATTCACGAGGAAACACAGAGTCATACATGTACGTCCATTTTTTCATATTTGATGTATTTAGTGAATTTTTGCTCCTGATCGGATCTTTTTGCACGGAGGATTTCGAGACACATTCTGCTCAAAATGAAAATTTGCAGAAATCAACACCTCTCTCAAACTGTCATGCATTAATAAATGAGGTAACAGCGGTTTACTGAGAGACAGGACATGTTGACAATGTTAATTATTATGAGTGTTAATTGTTTTTTCATGCATCATCAAGGTCTGCAAAGTGCATCGATCAGACGAGCAAACAAACAGATGAAGACTTCGACAAAATACTGCAGAGATGGAAACACGAGAGTTAAAGTTACTACACCTGTGTGAGTCTGAGGAAGACTAACCTGACATAATGAAGTGATTTTAATCGTTAGAATAAATGAGTTTAACCTCATTAAAGCTTCAGACGGCTGCAGCTGCATTGTTCTGATATTAAAAGACAAAAACAGACAAAGTGTAAAGTGAGTCCTGACTGTGAAGGTAATGACAGAGACATCACAGCGTCAGGTGTCCTCCCCCCTCTACCTGCCTGTATGTTGGTGCTGTTGCCATGGAAACGTTTCATTATTCACAATGAGAGAGAGAGAGAGAGAGAGAGAGCTGAAATGAAATAACAGATGGTGGGAGGCATGTAGGTGCACGACTGAAACAAATTATCACCTCTCTTTATCTGCTCAGAGTCGGAATCACAGACGCAGAGACAGGTGAGTCCAGGTGAATCACGACTGAGTTATTGACGGATAATCAATTATCGGACGATTACCCTGGAGATGGATTTACAATGAAAGGAAAAGAGACGGTTAAAACGGCTGATGATCGTGGGGGTCCAAATGTTTCCAATGAGGGACAAGTCAGGAACTCCTAAACCTGGAGATCTTGTTTAAAACTGAGGATGCAGCATCTATGATTTCCAGTTCCTCGTTGAAAGGACGACTGGACAAACTTAGGTGAAACGTCCCAAGTTTGTCCAGTCGTCCTTTTAAGAAGAACGTAAGATCTTGATCCATCAGACCTCAAGACAGTTCAAGGACAAGTCATGTTAAAGGGATATTCTGACGTAAAATTAATTTATGGGCAAACACACCATAACACTGAGTTAGACCCCCCCTCCAGAGATGAATGTTGCCGACCGCTTGCTTCTCTAGTTATACCAACTTTAGTAACGACCGCAGGATAGAAATACAGAGAGCCACGCCCCCAACCAAAACACCACTCTATAGCCACAAATAATGCTCAGAACATCTTTTTAACTTTGACTAATTTCTGACCAGTCCATTACGGACTACAGCGGGGTGCCGCAGCTCAAGGAAGAACATTCATTATCATTTCTTTATCATTTCTTTGAAGTAATAATCATAATATTAATCATTTTACTAATGCGGTAGTTCTTCTGTCTTAGCGTCTCGGTCTGATTGTATTTCCATGAAGAAATGATCATAAATGTTCTTCCTTGAGCTGCGGCACCCCGCTGTAGTCTGTAATGGACTGGCCTGAGGTCTATATGTCCTGTTGATGAAGTTAGGTGCTGTTCTGAGCATTAGTTGTGGCTATAGAGTGGCGTTTTGGTTGAGGGCGTGGCTCCCTGTATTTCTATCCTGCGGTCGTTACTAAAGTTGGTATAACTAGAGAAGCAAGCGGTCGACAACATTCATCTCTGGAGGGGGGGTCTAACTCTGTGTTACGGTGGGTTTGACCCTAAATTAATTTTACGCAGGAATATCCCTTTAAGCCCATGCGGCGACTCCAACCACAGAGTCCTGATGCTCCTAAACCTGAGAGTATAGTTTTGCACTAATGGAGTTTTCACAGATGTGGAAGATACCCATGACATGGACTCTGATGATCCCCGGACCATCAGGGATGCTGGACTTGTCTCTGGTGTCTCTGTCTCTATCTGGTCTCCTCTCTCATGGTTCAGTTTGAACTTCTTTAGTAGACGCTGTGATGATCTGTGTTCACAGTCCACAGTCCATGCAGTGATTCCCACGCCAGAGTTCTGGTTTGGTTTGTTATCTTTCTGCATTATTTACTCTTAAAAATCGTCTTTGGATGATCTGTAAATGAGACACGGCTCGGAAACCACAGAAAAGGTCAAAGGTGATAAAACCCTTCAGTCTTTATTTTAACGTCTTGTAGAAGTTGATCATCTTAACTGGAGTTTGTCTTCTGAGTCTTTCTTTAACTTCGCCTCTCACTCCTTCGGCTCTCAGCCCGACAATCAGCTGAGCGCCACAATTAGCGTCAATCATCCACGGCCTCAGTGTGAGCTGAATCTGAGGGGCTGAGCGGCTCCATAACCATAATCAAAGTATTTATCCAAACCAGTCAAATTAACTCAAGCCCTCCTTTTGAAACCCCTCATCAGCTAAATCAACTTAATTGCTGCAAATAAAAGCAATTAACATTAGAGGCTGTGTTTATCCACTCTGCTGCTGCTGCTGCTTTAAAACAACAAATCCACATAATACCGACAGTAATGACCTGAAAT